CCCGGTATTAAAACGAAAAAAACGCTTACCGGATACGAAAAGAGCCTTTAAAAGCCGACGACCTCGTACTATTATACGATACGCTACGATATATAAATAAATCGATAGCCGTAAAACTAAAGTACCATTAAAAGGAACCGTACTTAATCGCCGAAGATTTAGGCTATAATCGTTATAAGCTTAAAGAACCGGATAAAGTTACGTTATTATACCTAGTTTTAGGCTATAGACTACGGAAATTTATTTAAGATATTAACGGGTTTTAAGAACTAAAAAACCCGGAGGAAAACGAATAAACCATACGCCTACTACCGATTAAATATAAGAACTAGGAATCGATAACTACTAACGATCCTTAAGCTAAAGGAGGCCTAGAGCCTATAGCCTCGGTAATCGACGACGAAGAAGAAAAATAGTTAGCCCCGAACGATAAGGTACGAATTATAGTAGAAATATTAAATAGGAAGCTTAAAGGATACGAAGTTATATCTAATAATAAACCCGGACTAAAAAGATCGACCCGACTTAATAAATAACCCTCTTATTATAATACGATAAGGCTATAGTGCCTTAAAATGACTTACCTATACCGATCGAGGAATAATAAAGCCTAGGAGCTTAATATATAGTCGCTTTCCTAAGTAAGGGAGGAAAGAAGTTATCCCTATATGGTTATTAAACCGGTAGCCTATATACGAAATTAATACCTTAAATTATAAATACTAATAAATACGCCCCTCCTTATCTCTTACCTTAAAAGAAAGTATATTTCTATAAATTATTAACGCCGATTAACGCGTTCTTATACTTAAATAAGTTATCCTTTGCGTTTATCGTTAGGAATCCGGAATATTAATATCCTAATATTACGTAACTATTACATTTTAACATAGGTATATTTCAGTATTTAAAGGGAAAGTAAGGAAAGTAATTTATATTAATAAAAGTAAAAGAAAAAGGAAAGAAAAGAAATACGCGTTTAAAAATAAGCCAGAAGTAACGTATACCCGCTAATTAATATCTTTCTTTTCCTCTTTACCCTTTTATCCTATCCTTTACTTATTAGTTATTAAGAAAACTAAAAACTTACTTACTTCCCGACCCCCGGAACGTAGCGATTTTCGAGTTTATTATAGCTAGTAACTCTTCCCTTATTACCCGTATTATAAGCAGGTATAAGGCTTAGTTTAAATCCTTTATTAAAGAGGGGTTGCGATTTATCCTTATCCGTAGGTAGGTAAACCGCTCGTCCCGGAATTTATAACGTATCCCGTTAATAAAGAAAAGGTAAATATCGTAAGAATACCTAAAGATACGATCGAGGGCTAAGGATCGGTAGGAAAAGAAGGGTTATATATCCGCGTATTTAACGGTATCGGAAGAGGCGAGCCGGCGCTCGTAATACTAATAGGGTACTTCGTTAGGTACCTTATATTATTAAACGAATAAGCTAACGACGTAACGAAGGTCCGTTATTAACCGACGGAAATATTCGTTAACCGGGTCCTTATTATTAATCTTTATAAATAACGTTCGGCGGCGAAAGGATTAAACGTAACGGGCGAGGGATATAATATAGCTTTAGAGGTAAGTAACTTCTTAAAAGTCCTTACTTATAATTTCTTATACGATATACCGGCCGGCCGCCGGCCTATCTAGAAAATAAAACCGAACGTTACGAATTATTTTACCATTAGTTAATATAGCCTTCGATTAATAAATCTTATTAATATTAAGAACTATATACTTAGCGTTATTAGTTTATTACCCGAATCCCTTCGATACTTCGGAGTTACCGGCCGATAATTACTTTCGGGTTTTAGTTTAAGGAACGAAAGTACGAGGCGTACGGTACTTACTAGGGCTTAGGGATTAGCCGATTAACGTCCCGGAACTCTTCGGTAAAAGGTAGGCGGCGGAAGGATTCGTCGGGCTATTTATTTATTAGGTTTACCGGCGGCGGTATCGACTTAATCCGTTAATACGTTACGGCTTTCTTCTTATCCTCCTTAGCCTTCTTAAACGCCCCGGTAATTTCCTCGTCGGTAATTCCCGTAGCCTTTAGTTATTCGAATAACTTAAGGACGGTCGCCCGGTTTAGTTTAAGGAGTTACTTCTAAATAATAGGGTTTATTATATATATATATATAAGAAAAAGAAAGATAGGAACGACGAAATTATAAATTTAGAATTAAGAAAAATCGAAAAACGAATTAAAACGAAGATAAAGGACCTAGGGAATAAAAGAAAGGAAGTAAATCGGAACCGTAGAATAGCGAGAAATAAGAGGGAAGGTCGGACGAAAACGAGAGAATCGAATACGTTACTTAGGTCGTAAGTACCGTACTTAGGAGAGTCTCGATAATACCTACCTTAGCCTACGTTTAATTACGAGTCTACGAACGTACGTACTTATTACTTTACTAAGAGTATATAATAGGAAGCTATAAGCTAACGCGTCTTTTATTATAGCTTTATACGTATACGGAAGAACGCGCTTTCCTAAAGCGTTAGCCGTAAAGGTATATTTAATTATATCGTTAATACGTCTCCTTTCCTTCTTTTCTTTTTCCTTTTTAGGTATCTTATTTCGAAAATCCCCCCCTTATAATTATTATATTCTTATTAATCTCTAGCCTACTTTTCTTATTATTAATTTAAATTCTTATTTTTACTTTTAATTTATTATCTTTTCTTCCCTTTTTCCTAATTCTTTTTTTTATTTTTTATTATATCTTTCCCCCGCTCCGCCGGAATCCCCCCCTTCTTTTCCCTTCCTTCCGTTTATAGAAACGTACGTCGTACCGATTTAGCCGACTTAATAAAACTCCTACGAGAGATTTATAGTAGTAAAAATAACTAAAGTAATATAAAGGAGTACTAGCTTAATACTCTAGATAACTACGATTCGAGGAAGGGTCCGATCGAATTAAGATCCGATATAGCCTAAGCCTTCCGGCTATCCGTTAATCGATCCCGAACTATGAATTAATAGCTATAAGAATAAATAAGGGTAACCTTAGTTAATTCTTTCGTATGCCTCGCCCGTTACGACTACCTTACTAACGAAGATATCCGCGCCTTTTATATTATAACTAGCTACGACCTTAAAGGCCGAAAAACGGCTTTCGAAGTAGACCCGTATTAAACGATAGGCTATCGATCGGTAGGATCGTTTAATTTCTTAACCCGTTAGTACCTCTTCGATAACCTTACCTTTACTTTAGTTTTTACGATTTATACGGATCTAGTAGATTCCGAACGAATTATTACTAACCCCTTAAAGTTCTCCTAAGCTTATTTCGCCGTAGTACTATACCTCCTTAAGCCTCGGAAATTATTTAACTTTAATATAGTTAAGGACGGCGCCTTCGATCGGGCGGCGTACGCGCTCGGCTAGTTATAACGAATATAAAAAGACGGTAATCTCGAGCTTAATATAATCCTTTAGTTTACTTATTACGTCGCGTTAATAAACTAATAAGATAGCTTTAGCTACGGTTTTTAAAGCGGCATTTTACCGTATCTTATCTTTAAACGACCGATCGAGATCGCGCGTTAAGCCTAAGAAAATAAGGGCCTTAATTTCCTTAATATTATAAGAAAATACGCCGAGGTAGTAGAGTAATTTTATAGCGTTCGGGTTTTAAAGGAAGGGGTTAGTATCGTTAAGCGTTTCCGGTAAGCCGTAAATTATTAGAAGCGAATCGACCTTATTAACGCTATAGCCTCGGCGTAAAGTACGCCGATCGGCGAGTTCCTTAGCCGTAAATCCTCCGTTCGGTTTATCGCGTAAGCTAAAGTCCGCCGTTTCTCTATAGCCTTAATACCTAACCTCCCTTACTTCTTCGTATTAGCGGATATAAACCTCCGCTATAATAACCTCGTTAAGGTTATAACGCGCTTCTTTCCTTTCCCCGGACTAGAAAGAATTAAGGCTTTTTAATCGGGGGAGACCTTTATATCGTATAGGTAGAGGGGAAATACCTAATTAACCCTTAGGACGCGTCCGTTTCCTTATTATTCCCTTAATTAGGAGGGCTAGGACGAAACTAAGAAGAAGGTAGCCGAAATAAAGAAAGAAAACGCCGATCGGATTAAATCGGTAAGGATAAACCGGGCTAAGTTAACTATAAAGTAATAAAGGAGCCTCCTTATAATATTAAACGAGAAGTTAAAGGCGCGGCCGTAATAGTTAGATAATAACCGGAGGAATAGAGTTTTACGGTAGTTTTTAAGGGGAGATATTAATCGAGATATACCGTATTATCCTTTTTAATTTAATTATCCCTTACGGTATAATTAAACTAAGGAGGCTATAGTAATACGGTAAGATATATCCTTTTAATGTATTACGTAATACGTTACGATAGGCCTTATATCTATATAAAGTAACCATAACTCCCGTAAGTACGGGATATACTATACTTATTATTTAGTTTATTACTTAGTTAGATTACTATCTTTATTATTTTTACCTTAATTAAAGATTCGTTTTTATTATTAGATTCGTCGTTTTTTAATTAGTATATTTATTTTAATTATAGGCGCTTAAGTTCCTTCGTCGTACCGTTATAGCCGAATAAGTAACTTTTACGTTTTACCCCTTTTCTCCTTTTACCTTTTATATCTTCGGACTAGCGATTACTATATCTCTACGACTAAGGGGTATAGCTAAGATACGATAACTATATTAGATTCCTTGCCTCTCGATTAATATAGCGATATTAGTTTTATTTATCTTAGACTATCGTACGTGCTATAGTCTTCGATAGAGTATACTTTCGAATGAACCTATCCGGGTCTTTAGTATCGCGTACGCTCTACTCCTCCTTAGTATTTTTATAAAGGAATTACCCTTATAAATAAATTAGTATAATAAAAGGTTTAACGTATTATAACTATCCTTTAGATAGGATAAATATTTACGTTTTATATAATAGATAATAATATCGTAAATAACTTAATTATTCTTTAAATAAACTAAAACCCCTACGGCCCCCCGAAGGGGGGCCCTGGCATGTTTGTATGTGACACGTTACCGAGGATGTACGGGTAGTAACGTGATGTATATATCTTATATTACATATGGACGAGTTCAACCTGTTCACTTGTCCCCGTCAGCTTGCAGCTGGCAAACGCAATGGTCCGCACAATAAGTAACGCTATCAGACACTGAGTCGTTTTCAATAGTATACGCCTGAGGCACCTATACTTTTTCCAACCCCAACAAGGAACCTATCAGAAAAACCAAACCCGGGTGCTCTATTATCTTTTTTTCCTTCGCCCCGATCCGACAGACCCGACCCGACCGGCCCGATGACCGCACATAGTCCCAGTTGGGAGCTCCCAGGGGCGTCACCGTCTCCTCACACATTCCGGTCCCCTTTACCGATTTCGTCTTTGCCCATCTTGTCATACCCGTCGTGTGGTCGATTTCGGAGCGCATGGCGGATGGCAGCCTCCGGTCGCTCCGCCCATACGGTATAGGCCGTTTGGCTGTGAGGATAGAGTACCTTGTTTTTCGGGTTTTCCACCCACTCGGAGATTCGCGGTTTCGGACGGGATGCGATTGTCTCCAGATCCTGTACGATCTGTTGGCAGAACAGGTCCAGAGGCAGGTCGTTGACATCGTTTCCGAACGGGTTCTCGATCTCGTGTCCGATAAAGAAGATGCCGAGGATGATATACGACGCGGCAACGGTGGCGGGAATCGTGATCCACCCCAGTTCCAGCAGTAGCTGGAACGGGAGCAGGAACACGTATAGCCAAGTAATCTGCGAAATGGCGATGGCGTAGGCGATGGGCAGTGGCGTATTGAGGATGCGCTCGGTGCTCACCATGACATCGTTAAGTGCTTGAAGGGAGTTGTCTAGAGGCTATTGTCAGCTCACTACATCTGACGATGCGACACCTATACTCCTCCTGCCCGAGTTGACTCACAGGCCGCTGTCTGCTGCATTCCGACGGGCAATTGCCCGCTCGTGGAAATTTCGTCGACGTAGGAGGTCAGATAGCAGAGAATCTCCAGGGGCAGGTTGCCGAGAGGGCTCGTAGCTCGCTTCATTGCCTTTCGCGGGTTCGATGCCGCGAACGACACGCCCAGGTTCTCTCCGACCGCCTTGAACATTCCCGACTTCGGCTTGAATTCGTGTTCCTCGGTAGCGGATCTGGCGAACGTGTCTAGGTGCTCGACTAACTCTCCAAGGTCATCGTAGGAGGTGTAAGGCTCAAAACGCAACCTGTGCTTCAAAGATACGGCAAACGCAACGAGCAAGTTCATGGCCGTCCTGGTCATGGTTAGCCGAGCGGACACAGACCGGGTGCGTATATATGCGCAAGGGGTAGCCTCACAGTTTTGCCAGGAGATCCTGCTTGACCCGACCTTCGCGTTCGACCGAGTGTAACCAGAAGACCCGGCCGAGCGCCTGGCAGGTGTAGATCAACTGACTCCAATACTTCCTACCTTCGGCATATCGTTCGTATGCCGTCGAACTGCGGAAAGAAAGACCCAGGCCGACGACGAAACCGGTGATCGTCAATAGGATAGATCGAATTCCCAGGTTTACGTTCTCGACTTTCATCGAGATGGAAGTGATGAGAGTGGCCCAACAAGCGACCACGATCAGTGGTACGATCATCTTGGGAAGGATGCTCCCATGCATTTGCATGAAAAGGGGCCATTTCGAGTGCTTGGTCACATCGCGGGGACCGGTCTACACGGGAGAAGGTCAACAATCAATCACGGATAAGCTCGATAGGAGCAAGGCGCGTAGCGTACAAAATAGTCGTCGAGGTCCATACTAGTGTTCCTCCGACTAAACGGATTGGGTGTCGTGTCGCGCCGCGGGGAGATCGGATATATATCCTCTTGGATGGCGACCGTCTTGACTGCTTGGTGGTCGGTGGATACTTGATGGGCGGTCGGCTCACCATGACTGGCGGCCGGTGCCGTTATGGCACCTGCGTCTTCCCCCATTACGGGACTATCTCGAGGGGTCGGAAACGGGTGGAGATATCGATGGTAGAAGGGATCTGCTATGCCTCTGGGCCGGTTACGGGGAAAGAGAGCCGGAGAATGGAGGGAGAGATTTGGGGGGAGGGATCCTTCTACTCGACGATATACTGGGTCTACACTTAATCGGAATCCGAAATAACAGTGACAAGGCAAAGCTAGCCAGAATTGAAAATACAACCGCGGGAATTAGTAAGTTTAATGAGAGTATAGGGCGGGAGGAATAGAACGAAGAAAAGGGCGAAGAGGAAGGAAGAAGCTTGGGAGTGCGTCTCTGTTTAACCCTCGCACGCCGAGAAGGCGAGGCGGCGCGTCTTTATGGACGACATCCTGGCTCCAGAACAGGGAGGCAGCGGCCAGGGGATTTCGTCGGAACCACAACGAATGAAGTCTTCTCTGCAAACCCCTGTGCTCGCCCAGTTCTACGTATTCTACTCGGTAGGGTTCCTCATCGCTTTTCTCAGTCTAGCCCACCCACCACGGTATACGCACATAGAGGATTGAAACGGGGCGAGGCCACCATGGAGGCCAATGGGGGTGAGCCTCGGTCAATAGCTGCCGGATTGATTGGAGGTCAAGCTTACGGAGAGATCCTAGAATAGGACCTTGGCGATCAGGGGGATCAAGCGTATTGTTGCTTGTATCATGAGGTGGCCGCCATTTCAGTACCGGCGATCTAGTACCTCCGGACCGACCCGACTTGGGCCAAACAACGAAAAAAAAAAAAAAGCCTCTGGGGAAATACCGGGAGACATCTGCTTCTACATACCGGCACGGGCCCGATAGCACGTCGAAGCGGGAAGGCTGTCTACGCATATATGTATGTACGTAGGTATGCCGACGAGACGGGATGCCCTGGGAGCACAGGTAAAGGAGACCAAGCGCAATTCCAGGAATACGAAATTTTCTGCCTCTCACATACCTACTTACCTACGTATATGCGTGTATGGGTGCATGGGCAAGGTGGTTTAGGGGGTTCCACATGGGCTGACGAAGTTGATCCTGGTCAGTGGCTGGGACTGGGAGACGGGATCGAGAATCTGAAACGGTCCAGCCCTTCGCAACGAGTCTGGAGAGATTCCAGATCCGGCGCTGATCGATGAACCACGACACCAAAAGCGAGTAGGTATAGCTTCTCCTCGTTCAACAACACGGACCCCTCATGTGAGCTTACTTTCGGACATCGGTTTTACCTACTAGCAGTTGAAGCAACCCTGCAACTGCTTCGGCTCGTAACAACTATCAAACGAGAATGAGGGAGACGGTCATAGCTGGTGCATATCAATCGGGATGCAGGTAAAAATTAGGTATGTCCGCTTCATTTACCGAACCCGTCCCCTTCTCCATACAACCGGTAGATCTCCCTTCTCTCGCGACAAAAGACGCATGCCACGTGGAAGTATGAACCGTAGAGCACTCGAATCCAGATCCGTTCCCAGTGAAGTACATACTAAAGTCCTTTACAACAGCCCAGAGCTGAAAAGCGTGAAAATCCTTATACATGTCAGCACATAGAGACCAAATGACGAACGAAAGCTATTAATATACTCATAAGTGTTTACGTACAAGATTATATGTGTATGCATTCAGCCGTTACCAATTTTAACATAGGTACTGCACTCCGCCGGCCAGAGCCACCTTTAGGCCCTAGGGAGGAATGCGGCCCCCGAGTTTAGCTCCTCCCTGACCTACATATGTAGGTATATGTCATGACTGTCATTCCGGGCGTGACGAGTGTTTACAGGCTGAATTACCTGGCCGGAAATTGCCGCGGCGTGCAGACCTACATAAGTGAATCCTTAGAAAGAGGGGCCGGAACTGGATATGAAGAAGAGATAGAAGAGATGCTATTCGCACGATTTTACGAGTGTTGCTAATCAGATTCTGCTGTATTTATGCCTTACTCCTCGACCAACCAATGTCATGCTGCACATGCCCTCACTATAGACATATATATATGTGTTTGTGTGTGTGTGTGTGTGTGTGTGTGTATCATGCTACTACATAGTATATGAAATCGTTCCCATAACCCCATGTAAAGACCAGATAGTATAATAGCCCAATTTACATTCTCTCGTCGCACGATAATGGCGTTACGGGCCGGTAAGAGAGAAATTCCCTCGCGCGTACACGCGCGTGCCCAAGCCCTCCTCCCCTCTACGCAACCACCGAAACTACCCGTTCCTTTTCCTCTCGCTCCTTCATCTTCTTAAATAGATTCTTCAGTATGTTATCCTTCTTGGGGCGAACCACGCCTTCGAAGGTGCTAGCTCGATCTTTGCGGCCGTCCTCGATCGCCTTGGGCCGCCCCCTTTCGGTCGCCTTGGTCTTGGAGGTGTGATCCGTCCTGTCACTCCGGTGGCTGCGGTGAGTGCGATGACTGTGGCGGCTGCCCGCCTCGCTCGCTTCGTCGACCTCCTTAGAGCCCTTGCTGCTCTTGCGGTCGGGGACGACTTGGCTATCTACCACACTATCTTTGCGACTCTTTTGCGATTTATGGGACTTGGTCGTTTTGGAGGTTCGGTGCGTCTTGCTCGTACGAGCGCTGTGCACAGTCTGCGCATCGTCGCCACCGTACTGGCTGCGGATCGCGCGGTCGGCTTCCGGGCTGATGAGCTCGAGGTCGGCATGCTCATCCTCGCCAAACGGCACGATCCCCCGTCGCCAGGTCTCGATCGCGCTTAGCTCCTCTTCGATCACTAGCGCCTCGTCGAAACCCGCGCTGACTTCTGTCTCGGGATACGGAGGACGGTCGGACCCGATAGGATGTGGCGGTTGCGACGCAAATGCCATGGGACGGGCGGCCTCTATGCTCTTGGCCTCCTGGATGCGCTTGATAATCTTCCAGCCTCCAAACATAACTATTGTCACGCCAACGGTCACCCCAGCAGCGATTAAGAACTGCGGGCTCGCCAAAAGGGCGAAGATTGCCGGACTTCCACCCTTCAGGACAGCGAGGAAGGATGGTGACATCTTCCCGAGGATCGCGGAGAGCTCGGCAAGAGTAAGGGCCACAGCGGCTGCAGCTTCCGGGTTCCCCTGCAAGTGTTGGATAATGTGTTGCGCAGTATGATGCACGCATTGGGCCTCTGTCAGAAGATCCTCAATCTTCCCCACCAAGTCCCGAGCCTCGCGCTCGTCGTGCTCGATCTTGTGCGGAGGGTTTCTGTGTGCCGGGTCGAGATCAATCCTCTCCGCGAGGTCTGGCGGCAGGTCTCCGTACGCCAGGTGCATGTCGATATCCTTCCCCTTATCCCGTAGGGTCGGATCGGAGGCCGATCGAGGCACTAGGGCGTTCTGTTCGAAGTCCACGGGCATCGTGCGCGCGTGCACTAACGTGGGGCGGCTTATCGTCATGTCTCTGGGGGCAGTCTCGGCATATGGGGGACGATAGGCGATAGGAGGGCGTGAGGGGGCAGTGGATGAGACTTCGGTGAGCGTCTGTAGATTGCGTTCGGTCAAGGCCGTCCTCGCCTGCGAAACCGATCGACGACGGGAGCCATCGCTCTGCTTCGAGCGGTGGCTTTTGCGGGAGGTCGCATAAGATACATAGGACATCGCATCGTCGTGAGAGATTCGCCGACGCCACCGGCCATCTTCGTTCTCATCGTCGTTCCGCGTCGGGGTGCGCACGTCGAATGTCTCGGCACGCCTGATCGCTAGCTCGGCTTTGATCGCTGCCTTTTTCTCCTGGTAGGTGGCTCTGGCCTCCTTGAATACGTTTATCAGGTGTTTTCCCTGTGACGGAGAAAGTGGTTAGGTGGAACGCGTCCAAATCAAATATTAAATAGGAACGTGGGTTTGGGGTTGAAGTTGGCAAGAGAAGTAGGAAACATTGGATTCGTTTTGCGAGGAGAGCGGTGTTGTAAAAATCTGGCCCCCCCCTTCCTCTAGCCCCCCCTTTAGGGGAGATCTACTCGATTTGTAGATACTTCCCGACGTAGATACAGTGGTGGTGGTAACGTAATGCTGGTGGTAACATTGGCGGCACATTCGCGGAGAAGGTATGATATAGTGCGGCGTGGCTGGGCGCGCGCCCATACCTCCTCCGCCCTCTCTCTAGGTATCTCTGCCATTGCGCGTGTGCGCGTATACTGTGTATGTGTAGTCACTGAGGGAGGAGATGACGGTAAAATCGAAGAACCGAACCGATGACCGCGTAACTTACATTGCTGATGATCTTCCCCGACGAATTTACCACGGTGACGATTTCTACCGGCATTATGGCGATCGCAAGTCGTAGTCGTAACCGTCTCGTGGCAAGCTCGGGTGTGTGAAAGGGGGGAGGAGGAAGAACGAGTCGGTGACAAAGTACGTCCTAGTCTGGGTTACTTATGAAGTGGTTTATGAAGTGGTGGGACAGCATGAGAGGACGGGGAGCGCGTAACCCGCCCAGCCGGCCACAATTTGCGATTCGTCTGTGTGTGGGTGACACGCGGCGGTGAAGGGATCGCTAAGAGGTAAGTATCGACAGGGTAAAGCGGGAATAGGAGGAGAAGCCGGTGTCGACCTCTCTTTTACCCCCTCTCCAGTTTTTATTTCTCGCCATACACGGCCTATCTAACTTATACCCACTTACATATCTAGGGATGTGTGCACGTAGGGTATATATATATATATACGTGTGTGTGTATGTGTGTACACCTACATACCTATATTGGGCGTATATACTACGTGAGTTCTGCACGGAGGCTAATAAAGCGAGCCGTAACCAGCGCGATGGATGGAGAAGAAGGAGAAGCGTAGAGACTGACGAGAATGCCATCCAATGGCCCGTCCGCCTAAGCTATCTACTCGCCGACAGCTGCCACTGATTGGCCGCGGGCGAGAGACGATCAGGCGTGCTTGCAGCTCTCCGACGGCACCACGTTGTAAACAACGATCCGTGACAGAATTGCGCGAGGAACCAGAGAGGCCGGCATGCAACATGATGTGATGGTTCGGTTCGCCGGCCAGGATCCCACGACACCGCAAAGGAGAGATGGCGTACCGCCTGCGGCCGCTTTCACAATCCCAGCGGTTCGGATCCCCGATGCGGTTTCGCTAGCTGGGGCGGCCCTATGTACACAGAGGGAGTCTGCGCAGTATATGAGTAGGTGGTATAGACTAGGTGCCCTATCTGTTTCTATAGGTAGGGAGAGGAACACACACGCACAACACATACCCATACCCCATACCCTCTCTCCCTTCTTGATGTGAGTCCATCCCACAGATCTGGTCACTCACTCGCTCGGTCGTGGCATAGACCTTTTCCCAACCCCTCGTACAACCCCCTCCCCCGACCCGTCCAGAACATACGTACATATATGTGTATGTCCACATGCACACATGCATACAGACATATAACTCGCATACATATGCACGTATGTGCGTGCCTACGCTCAGAGAGTAGACCTCGTTATAGAGGCACCTACCCACCTCCGTAGTATGAGTAACGGTCTTGGCTAACAAGGCGAGGTCGAATAGCACGTTGGCTGGGGCAAACAGGCAGCGTACATCGCTTGGCTTCCGCTACGAAACGATCCGGTGCGGAAATGCAGGCTTTGAATGGAGACAAGTGGCGGCGACCACAACCACCCAACGCCTGGTAGTTCCGTCAAGCCTTAGACGGGGGACAGCCCTGGTTAGCTCTCTGTACATGCTAACAGAGGTATGAGTTAGGCCCGCTTCCGATGGATTGCTTAGAACCGCCCACACCACGCAGCTCTGCAACGTACTATAGGTAGGTAGATATTCAGTCTCCCTATGTTAGGTATATGGTCACACTAGGCACATCCGGGGGAAAGGGAGGATGCTACCTGGTTTGAAGCTCTTCTGATTCCCTCCCCCCCCTCCTTACATTACCTAGGAACCTAGGAAGTTGTGCCAGGCATGTTCATCAGGCGCCTCGCATCGAATTCTACCATCGTCGGTATAATAATATACATACTGCGCTCTCGAGCCAGCCCCTTTACCGGGGCGGGTGCGGATGGGTCTGCCCACCGTCACGCCCGAAGCAAGTCACGTAAGAGCTCCAGCGGGACTACCAACGTACCTCTCCTCTAAGGACCGGCACCGCCAGGAGGTAGGTAGGTACCTAGGTATGTTATGAGGTACCTCCTGTAGGCATCCAGGGTCTAGGTACCTAGGTCGACGCCCAAGATATGAGTGGTAGGCGCGTCAGGTTATCCTCAAAGCCCAATGGCGTTCCTAAATAAGCGTTGTTGCATTACCCCTCTCTTTCTCCCAATCTAGGTACCTATACCTGGGTATACCGGCCTACCTATATTAGGTACATCAGGTACCTAAGGTAGGCACCTAGGCCATACCATGGACCTTTTCCTTGCTCGCCATTTAATACCTGCCTCCACCTCGTACGTACATAGATGTGCATGGATTCGGAGCTGGATAAGTGCCTCCTCGGTATTATGTCGTGTCTCGAAGATCAAAGCGGTCCACCACGCGTTATGACGATAAGATTCCTATCGAACCCCAAGACATCTCACCACATAATAGCAAGCACAAGCTTGATCCAGTTGCTCCCACCTTGCCGCCGGAAAACAACGACCCCCATGGATACGGCCAGCTGGCGCCGCGTCATCAGATCTCGTTCCGCTAGCGAGGATTTTAAGTCGCCTACCCAAGCAAGGTGCTCGCTCTCTTAAGCTGCCGCACGTCGCCCTCCAGGCCAAAGCCGTAACGCACCTCTCCAGCATCCCCGGCTGGCCGTCCTGGGTACCCAGTATCCTCGTGGACTGCGTGGCACCCGTTTGTCGCGTGGATGATTCCGTAGCCAACCTTGATATCCTTGAAATCCTGCGGCAGCTCACCATGATCGTCTGCGACCCATCCTAGCTTCTCCAACGCCAGGCCTCGGGTCGCCGTGACGATGCTCGAAAACCGCGTGCTGCGCAGGACGCCCTCGTTATCCAACATCGCCACAGTGCCCGAGAGTACTCCGGCTGCCGCGAGCACGATAGAAATGCTATATACGATCCACAGATCACGTTCGTGGTACCTGTACCTATTCTCGATCCTAGACCGCACGCAGGGATACGCCGTCGACTCGTCGCCTGGGACCGTCCCCGAGCTCACGTTCGGGCTCGCCGCCCAAACGACGCTGACGAATTGCTGGTCGGAAAATAGTGAAAATATCATGTCCTCGTAGAACTGTGGTATCAACTCCGCCATGTTCGGGAGCGCAAAGTAGTTTTGTCTCTGATCCAGCAGTTTAGTTTGGTCAGCCTTGGTGCTGGCAATCGGCGTGCCCAGATTCTTCGAGTTGATCGTCCCGTTCAGGAAGTTCCGCAGCTGCAACCCCATCGAGTGGTACGCCGCAACCCGCCGATATCGACGAACGTCTCTTGGGTAGATGTACTGGCTGCGAGGATACGCTGTCGTATTGTCGTTTGTGCCGTCATTCGCATCTTCTCCCTGAATCCAAGTTGTCCTATATGATGGGTTAGCATCGCCTATCTAGAGGTCCAACCAAGACCCAACCGAGCTCTATGGGCTTCGTGGGTTCTGAGCTGAACATGGACGAGTTGGATGTGCACTGACTCCATCACGCGGTTCAGGAATTTCCGTTCGGTTACGTTTATATACTGTTGGCCTCCCGTCAAGTTAAACATAACGGTGTAGTCGGTCTCGTAATGCTCGCAGGCCACGACTTTGGGGATAAAGGCGTCGTTCCAGCCGGGCATCGACCTGTTGGCGGGGATTGCTTTATCTGGCTCCGTTCTCACGGAAAAGCCCACCCATAGGACCGGTTCCGTACGAAACGATCTTCAATCCTTAATTCAACTGCTTCTTTAACTTGCTACGCGTATATGTGGCTGAAGAGGATAGAATAACTTACCCCAAAGCCTCGGGAAACGGAGGGTCAGCCACGGGAATTCCTCCGTCCATCATCTCTTTCATCTGTATAGGAGAGTACTCACCGCCTCCACTGTAGGCGTAATAGCTGTAATCGCCCTCGGGAACTAGAAGTCTGGTGCTGAACCCCTGAGGGGGGGTTTGTTCACCGAGGGCCAGGATCCCGGAGCTAACACCACTCGCGACCTCCAGGCACTTATACGCAGGTGCCGTGAAATTGACCGTGTAGGTACAGTTCCAGCCGGTTCCGCAGATGTCAACATTGATCCCCATCTTGCTGACCGCCTGCCCCTTAAAGGCCGCCTGGGTCATAACTCGAATGAGAGAGTTGGTAGCTCCGGTATAGTAGTCAAACCAATTAGGAGAAGTGGTGTCGTAGGCTGTTGTGTTCCAGAGCGATATAGACAGTCCGTTCAAACCGTCGATCTTGGTGGGAGCTCTCCATTCCTGTGCGGTCGTTAGAGCCTCTGCGTATCAAAGTATGACAGTATTCAGTCACCTCAAATTCCTCTCGCGCAAAGTTCAAGGTTCGGATACCTAAGCACGTCGTGTTATCAACCTGTAAAGTCGGTTCCACGGTCAAGGTATTGCTCGTCAAGACCATAATAACGGGCGTTATCCAAACGAATACCGCCAACAACATCGCGATCTTGGCCTCCTGGTATATCTCGAGGTTCAGCATAGCTGACAAGTCTTCGGTCGCGGCGAACAGGGAGTCGAGAGCCGCCACGCTGAGGAATTTGCTTCTTACGGTGGACCACATCCGTCGTTTAAACGCCATAACCACGGCTGATACTAGCGAAGCTTTAGTTGCAAGCGACAGCATCGAGCCGTAGCGAAGCATAGAGAGTTGGTCCTCGGCAGGTTGCCCATCCAAGGTTTTGTAGAATGTATGGTGGCCAATTGCGCATATCACTCCGAAGAGGAAGGACAGGTACATGAACCACGCCCGGGGCCAATGCCACCACTTTCGGGGCTTAGGTATCGCGGCCGAGTAAGGCGGCGGGTCTCTCCACGCGGGTTGTGTACTTGAGGCGTTTAGGAGATTCGAACGAGAGTCCGTGCTGGAACGTTGGAGTCGGCCCCATGGGAAACCCATGGACCGATGTGATCCGGAGGGTGAATAGAGAGCCGTAGGAGCATCTTCTAACCGAATTGGGTCTTGTTTCAGGCCCGAACCTCGAGGCATAGATACCGGCGGGCTTTGGAACCTCGGCACTTCTTGCTTAGGTTGAGTAGATAAGCTAGAGACCGGATCTGGCGAGCCCGTATGTGACCTCGAGGCTACATTTTCGTTTTCTGATGAGTTTTCCCGTGGAGCTGTCATCGGTGGACATCCAGGCCCGGCCCCAGGGACAGGAGACCCTTGTCCTCCCACCGGTGCCCCGAGAGGGGGCATGAGAGACGTGAGGAAAGTCGTAGATCCGGGACCTCAAGCAGGAATGAAGATTGTCGCTAGCGGTCGGTTGACCTGCAGGGAATATTCCTGGCTGGTATTAGTTCCTCGAACATGGACGTCGTCAGGGTCATACAGACGAACGGCTGACAAGTCCAGCGGTTAAGCTCGATTAACCTAGGTGGTGTATTCCGAGGAAACCCACGGCGTGGGCTGAGCCTCCACTCAGCAGCACCCTAGGTGGGTTGGAAGAAGCCGGACAACTAGGTACACTCAAGGGGTTCGTTCATAGGCGGTTAGGTTGTGAGAAAACTTATTAGACGAGACAAAGTAGTTGTTAGAACTGGGACAATCCCGACATCGCACAATCACTACAGTAGCAGATGGATTCTATCATCAGTAGACACTACGCGAGCGGCGTCCTCTCGTGAGGCGTAGTGTAAGTCTCCAACGAGCATGCTCAAGAGGAGGGAGGCCTAACTGGATCTATGTAGTCGAGGGAGAACGTGGCTCCGCCAATGATCGGCAACAACGGGACCGCTGTTCCACGTTTGTTATCTGTCACGGACTACCCGACACGACGAAAAACACAAAGTGGCGGCGGTGACCTCGACCCAAGAAATCCGGCGAAAGGGCCACCATCGCGCTCGGTATTCCAAAGGTCCGACAACCCAAGCCAGAGCATCGTCACTCACGATTCTCCGCTTCGAGCTACGCTATTCGTCTAAGCACGTAACATGGGATGCTGCGGAGGGCATAAAGGCTACTAAAGGGATATAGCGAAACCACGGCACGTAACCACAACAAACTTCGTGATTCCCATCAATTGGTAGGTCTCCCTATCCGCACGCCGCCTGTACCCGAAAACCAAAGCAGTTAGCCGGTGGAAAACTGCTGGACTATCTCCGTCCGCGTGCCGCGCAACGAGGCTAGGTGAACTTGTCCGTTATCCCTTGTGTTTACTTAGCTATATGTTCCTCGAGTGATCACAAGTAACTGGAAGAACCTGATGTAGTTATCTCATATTCAAGGGGCGGGAAGGAGGGTAGACCTCGAGATTGAGGTTCCACTACGCTACCAGGGTTACTCATACTAAGCTACCGAGCCTTGGTGCCCCCCCCTTTTGGCTCCAGAGAAGGCCCCGGTAATTAAAGATCCTCTTGGAGAGAAAAAAAAATTACTGGGAGTCGTGTTCTTAGGAATTGCTAGCTTAGGGGGGGCATTGGCTTCTTGGCGCCCTACGGATCGTCGCATTTCTTTTCTCGACGTCGACGCGTGTGGGCAAGCGTGTTGCATACAGAATAACAGACAGCGTTGCCGAAGACGTCGGAATTATATGGTACGTATATTACCGAGAAAGGAACGCGCTTTGTGAGAATAGCACGTAGTCATGGCCGTCATCAGAAACATAGTATTCCCTCCGTCAGTCAAGTCTGTCAAGCGTATCTGGGATCCGAACAACAGAGCAGAGCACGTTAGAGTCAACCCTGCGTATAGCCTCTATTATGCAACCCGCCTAGAAAGCCGTAGGCCGCGAATCAAATCGTTAAGATGCTGGCTAAACCGAGTGATAAAAAATAGGATACTACTACTTGTCTATGTACATACACATATATGCGCACATATATCTACCGAAATCAGGGGGAATCATGCATATGTAGTTGAAGCCGAGACCTCGACGCGGGGAACTTGATTTTAGGCCCTCACTCTGCGTCCTCACTGCTAGGCAGTTGGCGATCCCAACAAAGTGCTAGCTAGGTGGCTATGGCATTTACTGACTATGGGGTAGACAATACCGGTACGTACAGAAATTTCCGCGCCTTGCATCCCCGGACCTGATCCAAAGAGGAATTGGGGTGTCCGAGGAGGCTCGCAGTTCGATGTGGCCGCCGCCGGCCTAGCACAAGGGCACGCGCGCTGTGCGCATTCTATCGCGTAGGTCAAGGACGATGTAGGCCCCGTCACTTGCCCATAGTTTCCCATGACTGCTTTCCCCTAGCTCACACGAACTGCGGCCGGAACGGCTAGATACCATACATCATAGTATGATTCCAGACGAGACTGGTGCCGCCATTAGGTAGCTTAGGCAGGTAGCTACCGGTACATGTAAGTTTGCGAATTCCCTTTCCGTCTTCTGCTGGGGTTACCGGCGATGGGACAGGATTAGTATGCCTCACACCCGCCGCTTCAGCCGCCAGAGCCCAATACTCTCTCGTCTCGCCAAGTGCTAGGCTTCGCAAGTCGAGTCCGAAATCCTGGCCCTACCCGAAATACCAACCCGACACGATTGTGAGGTCGATTTTCCCAAGCGATGAATTCTGTTCCCTAGCCAGGAGCGGCTCACCTCTGCCGGATGTTTTTGGCTTTTCGCTTCTTGAAAACTATGGTGGGCGTCTCGTTCTCTACGTGTGCTTCTTGTTTCGGTAGCGACTCAGCGGCATCACTAGAGGCTGGTGGTATAATGGCCAGGGCTTGGCCGTCGTCTTTATGCTCTAACTTGATGCTAGGTGTATAATCCCGCTCCGGCCCTGGTAAACCATCGCCGCTGTCTGTATCACGATGCTGCTCTTCGACCTTGAATGATTTCGGTATAGTTGTGCTGAGTAACGTGTCCAGCTCTGCATCCTCGTCCGCAGCGTCATTCTCGCCGCGACCCCATCTTCTCGACTTCTTGGACAGACTTCTTATCGTATTCTCTTCCTCTTCATCATCATCTTCTTTCTTCGGACGCTTCCTCGAGCCGATTGCAATCGCATCCACGTTCCCCGGCGCGGCACCCGGAGTATCGGGTTTGGGCGCATCGTCAATCACTCTCGTGTTGGTAACGGTCCATTCGCCAGCCATTGCCATCTCTCCCCTCAACTCGGTCGGCACGTCGATGCCCATCGTGGCGAGCTGCTCCCATTGTCTTTGGCGCTGGGTATCGCTGGCTTGTATTGAAGAGGCGGCGGGTATCTTGCTACTACTACCCGTGGACACCGCGGGGGCGCTTCCCGCGTGTTTGGACGATGAGGTGCCGACGACGCCATTTAGTCTTTCGATTTCGCGTTTAGCGTACTCCTTCTCGCGCTGTTCTTTGTCGTGACCACGGTGCAGATCTCGAAGGAACCGTTTGAGGGCGCCTTGGTGCTTGGCGGTAGCTTCATGGTTGGTGCGCTCCAACTTGGTGTCGCGGACGTAGGTGCTACAATGCTTGCACCAGTACTTGGGCGTTGATTTCCAGTATTCGGACATGACGATGGGTGATACGCGGGGGCGTGAGGGCGCAAGGATGGACTTTTGAGAAAGAAGCGAAGGGCTGAACGACCTAGGCTCGCGGGTGGATTATATCAGACGATACCTATGGTCAACCGCGGATCCGCTAGTTATTGCCTTACTTCCTAAGCATGCACATATACATTGTACGTATCTTACGGGGTATATGCATCTAATACAGATATGCTGTGCTTCTTGGCTTGGCCCGCTTCCTGTGATCCCACGATACTAGTTAGTAACCAACTAGTATGCGAATCTTTAGAATGCTGAACCCGACGGACCGTTGATCTATAAGGAGGAGCTAGAACTGCTAATTGAAGGCTTAGGTATTTTTATCAATCGGATTCAGGTCGATATTGCCGATTACGGCGAATATCAGCGCTAGCCGATAGGGCGGCTGGGTCCTACAATGCTGGCAATGGCCTCTCTGCCTTAATTGCATATCTATATTTTCCTCTTTGATGGAATCGGATTCAAAGAGCTTACATACACAGAAACGCTCCACAACCCAGATATCGTCTCCCACGGGTCGGACGCTCTAGTTTCATGACTACCTCTCCTATTCCTTAGGCAACCTCCGTAGTCGCCCTAGACTTGCGAAAATACATGTCGATACGGCCCTCGTACTTTCGGTCCAAGAAGATGTTGACACTCTCGTCCCTCGGACCGCTCTTTAGCCTGGCCTCGACAAAGAGAGCAGGCAGGCTCAGAAACCGGAAGCATGCACGCAGATATTAGATGCTTAATATCCGGACGGATGGTCTGTGTATGTTTATTCACCAATAGGTATCTAGGGCATCTAGCCTATCTTTCGACTCCAACAGTACCGTCATTAACCCTAGAGCCCTATTGTCCTTCCGTTTTGCACATTAAACCTGCTTCTGCGAGTGTACCTCCTAGAAGCCTCTGTTCGGAGCGACATTACATCCAGGCATGCCCCTGTACCTCTTTCCTTTTCCACCCATTTCATATCCTAGCCGAACCCGACGGCCTCGACAGTGGCGAGTATGACCACCCCTTACAAGAAGAAGAAGGCAATCAGGGCGGTACACATCAACGCGCCGATAGATACGGCAGGCATGCGTGACGATCCGCTCTGGGGCGGGGCTGAAGCCTCAGTCGGTGGCGTCGTGGCACTCGGCGAGCTTTCCGGAACGCTAGCGCTTGAGATGACGCCTGCAGACGGGCTTGAGACGGAAGTGCCGGGCGTCAAGGTTGATGCCGAAATTGATGCCGAAGCAGCTGGCTCCGACGGAGCTGGCGATGCAGGGGGGGCACCGGTCGTGGCTGCTGGGGGCACCGGAGCGGTTCCCGGGGGTGTGACCTGAATCTGGCCGTCCGTGTACTCGCTTACGGGCACGTACGTGCTGGTCGGGATGGGAGTCACAGAAGCGCAAGGCGTGGTCACAACCTGCACCTGGCCGTCGCCGATCTGGCAGATAGGGACAGGCACCGAGGTCGTCACTACCTGGGGCTGGCCGTCGGGCAACACGGTAACGATTGTGGTCTGAACGACGCTAGTACCGACGACTTGGCCATCTGGGATCTGCGAGGCGGGATCGGCTGAACCGCAAGGCACAGCGATGATGGATACGGGCTCGCATTGCTCAGCCCAGTTACGGTCATAGAGATTGAAAAAGTTGCCTGAGAGGCAGCGGTAAAAGATTTGGGAATCTCCGAGAGCTAGAATGTTGTTCTCGCACACAGAGAATCCGCCAGTGATGATGGCACCAGCCTGAGGGGGGCGGTCGAACTGGAATTGAAAGTTCGAGGCAATATAGCCGGTTCGATCTTTGGCGTCGTGCGTAACGCCATCCTTCAGGGTCAAGACAAGCACGCCGTCGCCACCGCACTCGGCGCGTTTCTACCACCCCGTTAGCCCAGAAATCCACTGACGATGCCCTCCTTCTCACCACCCATTAGATGCTCATACCTGCGGTGCCGAGACGCTACGCTTCTCGGTGATGTCGGCTACGGTAATCTCAAAACTTCCGTCGAAGCTACCGGTGCAGCCGGCCGGGGCGACACCGGTAGGTGTCAGGGTATCCGTGACACCTTGCGGGGTCGCAATGGCGATGCCCACGAGGGCAGAGACGACAGCGAATGAGAACTGCATCGTGATGTAACGATTGACGCTCTGCGATGCGAGTAGTCTGGAAAAGGGCGTGGTGTACACAAACGATCGAAGTAGCGAACGACTATTGAGCTTCAGATATCTCGGCCGCCTCTTTTGGATAACGCCTCTTGCCTCAATCCAGATACCGGGTCCGCGTGGGAGATGTAGGAGGAGAGGGAGAGGGAGAGGGAGAAGAAGAGCGCGGGTGCCCAGAGGGAGGGGAGGGAGAAGACAGCTTTACTGATTTTATATCGGCCATGTTGATTCTGATCAAAGCCAGGGTTCCGGAACCTACCGGGCCTACTGTGCCTGGCATACCTACACGTACATGTCTACATGTCAATGTATATGCGGATCCAACACCTCCTTTTCCTCCATTTACAGTTATCTCAGCTTGAAAAAAAACAGGCCTGGTGTACTTGGAGAGCCATTGGGTGTACGCGTACATCCCCTGGTTCATCTTTTTCAGCAAGGTTTAGGTGGCTGTGAATGATCAGCCCTTTGTACCTCACACACCTGCTTGGTTTTATCGAGTGATTCCAGCATGTCACAAGTTACCACTTGTCGAGTTGGGAGACTAGAAGGTCGGCAGTGCTTTTGAGACAGGACCCATCCTAATGTTACTTGGGAGCTGTACTGTACAACAACTCTCCAGGTTGAAAAGTGTTCTGACACCCATGCCCACACCCAGAAACAAGGCTTTACTTACCAGTGGCATTCCTACAAGCTGGTGTGTGCCAACAGGTATCTTGGTATATCCGTCAATCCATCTAGGGCTCCTCAACAATTAATTGTTGAAGGCTGTGAGGTCCCTATGTGGGAATATGCCATTTCCAAACAAGGCCTGTTTCTTAAGCGTAAATCCGAGAACAAGAAGATTCCGCTGGAGGCAACAAACCTACCGAGAGCAGTGTTTGATGTCAGCAATAAACCCACCAAGAGCACAGTTGTCACTACTGAAGAGCATACTGTGGAGGCCGTATCCATGAATTGAAAAGATCGACAACTAGATCTGCCGCCAGGGCGTGGGGAAGAGCCGAATCGTCCGCTTAGGGCAGTGCTGTTCGTTATCTTCAGATTCCTAGATAGGCTAGGTGCTTTCATGACAGGGGTTTGTCTAGAACCGACATAGGTACAGTATAAAAATATACAGATCTCGATGTAGGTATGTACTGAGACTTCTTATCTAGTATTCAACAAGGTCGGGCAGAGACAGGAGTTCGTTCATAATACATTGGTGTATCCGTGAGTCCAATTTCGCAGGTCCATGTAGGTAGAGAGGAGGCAATATTACCTGGGCACATCTCTCCAACTGGGCCTACTCTCGTCGAGGTCGACCACACTATCGGCTTTATTTCTATCTTCGGGCTCGGCCGTTCTTCTCACGAGTCACGAGAAGGTTTTGGAGGGGGGTGTCGATTAGAGCACTATCACCAAACGCCTTGTCGCTTCTGTTACGAGGAGCCCGTGTCTAATGAGTGCATCTCGCCTTGCGTGACCGTGACCACGATTTAGGCGGCTGGTAGAATTAGGGGGTGCAGCAATAACAAGGCCAAGGTGCCGCGAATAACAACGCAACTAGGTCCGCGACCACTTGGCCCACTCTCTAGCGATTGCCCCGTATAATGAATATTCATCTTTTTACCTAGACTCGGCGATTCGGAGAGAACCTTTGGTTCCTCTCCTGCCACTAACATCGTGGTATCGTGTTAGGTAGTTGGTAGGTTAGAAGGTAACCCTTGTTACGTGGTGCTCACTTCTGAGATGCGTATCTCTCCATCAACTTGGCCAGCAGGGGTCATAAATAAGCTTCAGCCCAGAGATCAAATGCCAATCAACCTTTCCCATGCAAGTGGATGCTGGCCATCAAATGTGGACGACCTACTCACATACATACCTGGAGATCCAGTTCCCTGCCTAGCGGCTCGCTCCGGGGAGGGAAGGGGGGGAGCCACAAGGGCGGGCTTCTAGGGACCTAGTACCGTGTTGACTCCAGCACATGTGTTTCATCTCTAGCCACTCCGCCCGAGGGGGGCCAATTATTCTCGGGGATGTGTGTACACGGGGTCTCAGCTACATAATTCAGCGAGGAGGGGGAGACTATGGGGCTTATGGTGAAATAAGAATTTCACGGATGGATTAAACTGCCCCACGGGATGCTGCCACGAGGCATTTCCCTTCGGAATACCTGGTGCGCATATATTATTCGAGTTTCTTCTCCAGCAAGGGTGGTAAGTTCAAAGAGGGCATCTCACTGGCCAGGCGACGCCTCAATTTGGTGTGAACAGAATCGTTTGCGAGAATCGAGATTCTGACAGGATGCAACCCCTCTCCGGCACATCAGCCAGTGATGCTCGTGGGAACGACACGCAACCCCGGCCACCGCGCGGAGTTGACACTGGAAAAAGGGGGCGGGGGATGGGGGCCGGGAAAGGGACCGGGAAAATTTTGAAGGGTGGCCTGAGGATAGCTGGCCATAGGCACATGCCTACATATACATTCAGGCAGGGAGATGGACGTCGACGCAAGCTGCAATGCAGCCAGCCTGCAGGCATATAACAGACGTAGGTACCGATGCATCCCTCGTACCTCCTGGCTCGGCCGGGATTGGCAAGACACCCAAGTGAGGACGACGATGATTCCGTCCCGTAAGTTGCGGGTAAAAAGAATAGAAATTCGGCCAACCCTAGGGGCACAGGCGAAGAGGGATTCCGTGCCAAGGGGAAATACCACTTGGTGGGGCAGGTATTTGCAACTGGTTTTTGTCTAAACTATCAACATATCCGCACCACCCTCATTCCCTCGTTTTGTTCGTTACTACAGTACGAGCGATCTGCTCTCACCCATGACTGTCTTGGACAGGGCTCCTCATGTAGATTGAACTCGGCCCATGTGCCCACCAGTGCGAAGATCCATTCAGAAAACTTACCCACATACCTGTCAATCGTCCACCCACACTTCCTGTAGGTAGGCAGAGATTGTCACCCACCCTCCACTGCCAGTACTCCAACCAGTACCTTGGGTGCATAATAGGCTGTAAACATCAGAGACAGGTGTATAGGAGACGCGTCGCGGGAGTGTTTTCAAGTACGGTACGCGCGCGCCCGCCGCCTCCCGTCGAGGATACACGGTAGAGGCTAACTGGTAGACTTTCACGGGGGTCTCTTGATCTCTTCCTCGGCGTGACGAAGGGCTACTGTTGCAGGTGGCGATCCGTTTACTTGAGGAGGGGAGGGCAGCGTGGCTCGCTTCATGCGATCTCGGCGCATGATAGATAGTAGATACCTCGGGAATGCGTAAGGAGGCCTCGGAGTGGCGCCGCGAACGTCATCATAAGTCCGAGGAGAAACACGTGGTTGGATCTTGTACACGAACTACCTACCTATTTCAACGCCTAAATAAATAGGTAGACGATATAGGTAATGCTACGATCACTTTTGTTCGACTGGTAAACTCTCCATAGGTATATGGTTGAGGCTATCAATGTCGTGAAAGGCTTGGTAAGTACCTATCATTTACGAAGCAGAGCGAGTGGACTTGCATGTGCTCTCTTACCACAAGCTGCCCGCTTGTTTATCGAGGTAGGTATCATGTGTGCATCCCTGTCTGTCTCGGACGTAGCCAGTGCAGAAAAAAGTCAACCTCGATTATCCTCGCCTCATCAGTCACCGGGCCTCTCTCCTCTAGTTCTACGTCGTTTATTCACCTCAGTCTGAACGCGCCGAACTCTTGATATCTCGGCTACGATTTCACCCATACGGGGATGGGGCAAAACACCAAGGGCGCAGGGTACTGTAACACTTCAGAAATTGGCTGTGAAGCCCTCAGTTTGCTTATTAGGACAGCATCTACAAACGAAGGGCAGCGACATTGGGATCGTCTCGTAGGAAACATTGGAAATCTATCGATCGGGGGAATCATTTTTATGCGCATCGTTTGACCGCCTCGCCTCCCATCTTTCCTCCATTCATTCATTTGATTCATGAAATCATCATACCCATTCCCGCCAGTGCCGCTTTCCTAGATCCTCTCCCTTCCTACGTCCTACTTAGAGAGGACGCGTACCATCTCCAGCACGACTTCTCTTGTCTCTGGTTCGAGCTGCTCATCTGGAGGTCCGAGGACCTGGGAGAAAATGCCGAGGAGCTTGGGGGTGAGTTCCTGCACCGTCGGATTGGAGAGCACATCTGAGAAAGATTGCGATTAGTGTTGGATCTCGAAGGGACAACGGGCTTCACGATACCAACCGCCAAGGTCACCGCATCAGTCCACGTCTAGGAAAAAACTTACATAGCTTATGCAAACATTCATAAACAGGCTTGTTTTCCTCATAGTCCCCCTTCAGAGGAAGCAGCTCTACAAGCGCAGGCAGAACTTCTGCGATGGGGACCTGGCCCGGGTGGGCTAGTATCATGCGACATAGGCATCCGGCCGCGTTATCCTGTAAACGAGCATCGTTGATCTGCAGTAAGGGCTCAAGCTTTCTGAGGATCTGGTTATACGCAGCGAGACACGTCTTCGTATCCTCTGAATGATATACGAGCTGACCAGTTGCGTAAGCCGCATTCGACTTGGTGTCCTTGTCCTCGTCGGAAAGACGGTGCAGCAACGGACGCAGTAGATTTGCCGTATAGGGAGTCACGGCGCTACCCATGTATGCGACACATTCGGCCACCACGCCGACAGCTGTCGACCGTTCGATGGCCTCGTTGGAACTAAGCAGCTTGAGAATGGGCTTCTCGAAGACCTTCCAGACTTCGGCAAACTGTGCCCCCAGGGCGCAGGCGAGGCCGATCAACACATCCAATGCGGTATCCACGATGAGCCAGTCCCACTCGGAGCTACCCTGTGCCATATCTTGGTCTTCTTCTTCGTCCCCCAGGTCCTGTTGGCAGGGATGCGAACGGGTGATGATAGTTCCAAGGACGGTAACAATCCCCTCCATCATATCCCTCTGTCCTAGTATCGCCGGACCGCATGCCTTGAGAGTAAAGGCAACACTCCGATTGATCTCGGTAACCGGGTCCCTGCGAGGATTAGCAACTGGCCCCTTACTTCCGACGGCGACGTAACGGCGAAAAAGAAGACCAGTCAGATTTGAGTTGAATTACGTGTTCTCAGCAACCGCACGTGGCGTCTGAGTGAGCTGGGTATAACGCAAGGCATTCATCATAATGGTCGGCGCGGAACGCAGCATCCAGGAGAGGGGTGGGAAGAGACGAGACAACAAACAACCTACCGGTCGGATTCGTCCTGCCAGATCTGCAGGGTGGCAGTAGAAACGATCTCACCCAATCTGGCAATGTTTGCAATTGGTTCAGACTTCAAGGGCAAGCCTGGCTCCCATTTTATGCCCGTCTGCTTTTCCACGACTTCCCAAACGCAAGCATACGTTCGCCACAAGGTTCCAATAGCGGATTTCCGACAGCCCTCGTATATGTGCTCCGCAAAAGGAGCCACTAGTTCCACTGTCCTCTCGATGTAGGGAGTACTCCGTTCCTTGGATGCGTATATGACGTCTCCGAGCACTTCCAGCGCGGTCTCTTTCTCTAGTGCCTGAGCGGATACGCCAACAAGGTCATCCCAGTCGTCGTCGTCTTCATCGTCCATGTCATAAGTATCATCATCCTCAGCTTCACCAACGATCTTGGCCTTGGCCTTCTTGGCACGCCCGACAACCGTCTCGTCTACAAGGCCCTCCTGCTCTTCAATGACGTCTAGCTCAAAGTCTTCCTCTTCGAGCTGTAAGCTGTCAAACAGGCCCTTAAAAATCCCCGCGAGCGAGTCTCCAAGATCTCCTTCGTACACCGTAGCGAGTTGACTCCATAGGACGAAAGTGGTCTGCCGGAGGCGAGCATTTTCAAGGTTGAGGGCTTTCTCGCTAGATATTAGTAGCGGCATGGCGTATGGGCTGAATTGCTGGGCTCCGACACCAACGGCGATACGACCCATGGCATTGTAAACAGAGCTTCGTAGCGCTAACTCCTCCTCACCGCTCTCGGCCATGATGTATGATGACATGGCCTCCATGGTGTCTTTGAGGTAAGGAATAAACGCACTCTTGATAGAAGCAGCGATGGCGCCTAGCGCACCCGCGGCTGAAGCCTTGACCTTAGGATCGGGGTGTGCTAGGAACGTCCCAACACGATGTATCATACTCTCCCCGTACTTCGCCATGATTTCTGGCCCAAACCCCTCGGCTAAGGAATCAATGGCGCCGCATACAGATCCGATAATCTCAGAATTCTTCTTGTCAGACTCGTCGCTGCTAGCCGCATCTAAGTTCATAATTAAGGCGGTTATAATAGCTTCGTGGTGCGAAGACATGCCGTCGGATAAATCCTCGCCCAGGCGTATGAGACCGAGAAGGGCGGAATAGCGGACACTCCGCTCCGGATCTTTAAGCAGATTCAGGACTAGGGGTAACACAGATTCTATCTGCGTCGAGACGAATTCGGGGGCGCCCTCCGCGCAGGTCCCAAGCGCTAAAACACAGGCCTTGCGTTGGCCAGGATTCTGGGACCTTGCATAATTGGGGAACTCGTCCAGCAAAGGAACGATAACTTGCCGCGGCGGGAGATCGCTAGCCAGCTGATCGATCAATGTAAGGGCAGACCTAGCAGGACTCGCGTCGTCCTCGTCGTCGTCCTCATCTAGCTCAGACAGAATGAGCAAGCTCTTCTTCATGAGCTGCAGACCCATATCAGGGATGCCCTGTATCTTCATTCGTCGATACCTAACGCTCTGGGCCAGGAAGGCTAAGGCCTGAACCCGGACATCGTCGTCGGCATTTGTGTTGACAGCTAAATCGAGCATAAACTGAACCAAGTCCTTGAAGTAGCGAGAGAGTATGGCCGACTCATAAGATAAGAACGATTGGAAAACTTCAAAAGACTGTTGTATCCTTTCGTCGTCGCCATTGTCGACCGCATCCTTGAGGACATCTACCATGGACGGGATGAAGCCCTGGACGGTTTCCACAGACTGTTCGTCTTCATCGGCGCTGATCAGCATTAGGATGGAGCTGATGGACATCATGGTGTTGACCCGCACGTCGCGACTCTGAGGGTCCTTGATCGTTTTGGAGAAGAGCTCAAACAGCATCGGGAGATGATCTTCGAAATGGACCGGGTCCGCCTCGAGGAGACTATAAATGATATATGAACCCACCTCACGGTGGGCAACGTTCTCCGAGGTGGCAAGCTGGCTGACAGCAGGTAACAGGTCTCCCCATTGCTTGTTGCTAAAGTCTAGCGACGCGATGGCCGCGATAACACGAGACTGGCCATGTCGGCACTTGGAATCCTGCTCTCGTACAATGGCTTGGAGGATCTCATTTCGAACCGCGGGCTTCTGATTTTCGGCGATGTTGTTCCAATGCTTGGGGACAAGGCGCAAAGCTTGCACAGCTGCAAGCATGCGTATGGTAGCTTCAGGATGCGACACAATGACATGGAGGAGGCCGAGTAACGAGTCTGGGTGAGGATAGAAATTCTTTCGCAGCTCGGCCGTGGCAGCCTTGACCTTCTGCGTGTCAGCTGTGAGGGGTTAAAAGGTCAGTACAAAACCAGTTTCCAGGACTGGGCCTAGTAGATCTCCTGTCTTAGGAACACTTACGAATCTGGCATGCCTGGAGCAGCTCAACAAGCTTTTGCTGGTCCATAACAGCAGCACAGATGGACTGGGTCTATGCCCTCGACAAGAGGGGGGCACGGCGTTGTTATTTTAGCGACGTGGTTGTAGAGCTGGGCCAGCGGGATACTAATTAGGCACGTTGAGCAAAGGAAGAGAACCAGGCGGTATTGAAGCTGGTAACGAGCCCATGTGCCTTTCCCCTGAACACAGGAGATCTGGGTTCAGTTAGCTTCGGAAGGAGACTTGGGAGATGGAGATGAGGAATACCAAATGATCTTCGGTACAGAGGGAGGAGGGGTGTTTGCGTAGAAATTTTTAAGTGGGCCACATGATAAGATAACACTAGTATTTATATACGGCACCTTAAGTTAGGCTTGTAGGGTTCCTTACCTCTATTACCCAATACACTACAGGAGATGCTTTGGTGATGAAAATTACCTACCTAGGCACGCGCGGATAGAGGTATCCAGGTGCCTGCGGGTGGGCACCCGTATTTAGAGAGCTACCTAAGGTAATTGGGGGGAGGTCTTCATTCATCCAAGGTCCCTCCTTGCAGAACCCATCAAGAAGGACAAAGACGATGGATGGGTTGATGGATTGATTATTAAATATACCTGCTATAAGGAACGTTAGGTCAGGCGGGTATCGAATGCAACAGAGTACATATCAATTAATCCAGCACATTCCTACTCTATAGGTACCCTTTCCCCAAACTGCCCACTACCTAATCTAATGTAAGGTCGGCACCCACAATATTAAAGGATGTGTTTTATCGATGCATGCATAAGTTTTATAGCTCTGATCCAATCTGATGAAATCGGTTAAGAACACTCCTACCTCTTCTGTCGTATCGTGAAGAAGATACGATGTAGGTCCAGAAACAGGCAGTTAACTACGCTTTGCGCTGGCATGGAGACTATCATCGATATCAACCAGCGCGCGGATATGGACTTTACCTTCTTCAGCACCGTCGTCTCGCCTCGATAATGGTGACACTGGGCTTAGCGCCGCTTGTCCCCACGCAAACTCGTCTGAATGGCAGCAAGAATCTGCTAATTTGATGATCAGGAGTGGGCACCAGGGGACAGGAAAGCGTGACATCCCAGCGAGCTGAAAGCATCTCCTTGGCAACAGGCAAGGGCCTCTTTAAAACGTCTTCCACCCGCGACGTCTTCTCGTCTACTAGTTCCTGAGGACTTTCCCGATGACACGGCTCGCCTTTGGTGTCTTGACATCAAAGCCCCCCCGAGACCATGAGACGCTCGCTGCTCTCTTTCCTGCTGCTGCCCGGGATCCTCGCGGCCTCAGCTTCGAAGCTTGTTTTCCTTCCCATCGCCACCCAGACTGAAGATGGCGTGTATGCGAATGCGTATCAGCCAGTTCCGACCGCCGCCCCGGAACTCTACGCGTCGACAGAGTTGTTAAAGCGCCAGGACTTCTACATGGACCACGATACCTGCGGATTCGGCGCAATCGACCGTATGACCGCGCCCCCTTTCCCTCTTCCTTTTCTCCTTTTCTGCGACTAGTCAGGAAACTGTCGTGATAGCTAGCTGACCTTATACGGTAGCCGGGTTGACGTATAGATGTTACTCTAGCGTTGGGACTTGCGAAAACATCGGCAGCTTTAGAGGCTGCTGTACGAGCGGCTTGAGCCAATGTTCTTCTACCTTCTGGACCCAGTGTGATGATTACGATCTCACAAGTCTCTGCGGCCTGAGTTCGAAAACCCGTTGCTGGTAAACGCCCTTCCTAGATAATACAAGCCCACGCTCTTCGATATGTATTAACAACTGTCTTTCAGCCACTCTGCGCTGCCGTACTGCATTACTTGGCTGTTCTCTGTAAGTATACCCAAAATAGACAGGTATATATGAGGGGGTTCGCCTCCCTCAGCGCCTTCCTTCGGAGTTGTTTTAGGATACGTTTAGAGGCTTCTAGCGCCGCATGGGGACTGGGGAAGATGATGTGGCTGACAATGGTTATGACAGACAAGCGACTCTACTGTTACCGCGCTAGATTGCGATACCCAAAGCAGGACCCGAGTTTTCGAGCTGTTGGCTACGCCGTTGAGCTTGCTATCTAATACCTCATCATCGACGACAAACAACGTTACCACGCCGTCTTCGACATTGGAAATCACATCCCAACCCTCTACAACGGCAAATGATCCGGCTGTTACTTCCTCTTCGGAACCGGCGACGACTTCTCCTGAGGCCGTCGAATCCAGCAACTCGGGGGCGCCCATCGGGGCTATCGTTGGGGGCGTGGTGGGCGGTATTGCAGGAATTGGTTTGGTAGCTCTGGGCATCTTTTGCCTGCTGAAGAGGAATAGGCGGGGAGGCTCTCCGTCTAGCGGAGCGTTACAATCACCGCCACCGCCTCCTCCCGGGCCGCAGGAACTAGCCGGGTCCGGATACGCAAGCGTTCATGCACCTCCCCAGGCATACCATACTCCTAGTGCCCAATCCAAGTATCATACGCCAATGGTGGAAACCCCCTTTGTCGAGGCGCCAAATACGCCGGCAATTGGAACTGGCTATAACAGGGCAGAGTTGGGTTGATACGACAACAGGTTCTATGGCAAGATATCGCCTGTACGAATTAGCTAGCTGCCCATAAGAAGGAAATAGGCAAAAATGATGACTCTCAAAGCGGAATGATTGGCTTACTTTCAAAAGTTAACATGTGAGAATCGAAGGGTCGGTTGGACGAATGAAATCGACTTTTCATCGATGTCTGTTAGGAGCCAGGATTTCAACGTTGACGAAATAGCCCTTCCTCGCCACCTGACCTAGGTAAGTAGGACATGGGTAGCCTAGAGGTGTGTGTTGCGGGATGTCGCACTCATATAACAGCACCGTGACTCCGGATTCCATGACGCTGTGGGGAGTTACTCGTAAACCTCACCTAGAACACCACTCGGGTGCCCGCCACATCCTGCCATCCATCAATGATAATACGGGGACCGTCTGTTCTTACGTGGAGTGCTTAATGTACCTATGTAGGAGTGCGTACACACCTCTTAGGAGGTACTTAATTTACATTACCTGTAGGTATCCAGGTAAGTAACGTTATAGGTATTTTTGAGGAGGATAGAACGTACCTACGCAAAAAGCTGGGCCACGTTAAGGTTATCACTCCCTTCGCACTTGTGTCGCGCGACGCAATGATAGATGGGTGCTTTGTGTATCCGTTCAGGGGGGATTGATGTGTTGCCTAAGCATGCTGGATTTGGTTCTTGTTTCTATACATACATCCCGTCCCTACTGCGGGACGAGATTCCTATCGTGCTGTAATAGGCTATATTCCTAACTACCTGGGTATTGGCATCTGATCGAGTCTCGACGCCAGTTGCCACGACCAAGTTGACCCCTAATCCTCCCCGGACACGATCGAGGGTCTAGCGTGCCCGGCGCTTGGACACGGTCCTAGAGATTGTAGTCCCGCAGCCGGGTGCTGGGGGTACCGAGACCGGTACGGCTTCACCAACATCTCCTGCTGGGTCACCGGGGGTAGAGCGCGGCATTTGTGGCGGGAGGTCGACCACGCAGAGGGGATCCCTTTCTAGCCGAAGACGAGGTGGTGGGGGGGGGGGAGAAGGGAACAGAACAAAGCGCCGGAGAACTTGGAGAGCCGAGCCTCACTAGTCCCGAAGTGGCTGTCCGACCGGATCACCCGCACGGGATGGAGGCATATGGATGATTTGGTGCCGTGGCTGTCGCAGCACGTCGGCACGTAACGCATCACACATTTGCCCCCGCATACCTACAAGCAAGGAGAGCTTACCTATATCATACATGTATGCAATTTATCATCCTATCCCAAAGAGGAGAACTGCCTTGGGCACTTGTACTCACCTGTATGACCTACACGTATCAACCTGCCTGGTATCCGATGGTAGGACCGCCGATATAGACACCTACCTGCCTCCTACTACGGTCTGTGGGAGCGTTGTCCTTGCTGCCCGCTAACTACGGGACGGCACTGATGGGGGAGCATCGAGGGGATATGCACGTCAACTATACCTAAATCCGAGCCCTGATGAGGCATATACGCTATACCACAGGTACATCATCACTGGAATCAGGCACTACATGCCTCCTCGGGTACCTAAACCCTACAAGGCAGGTACTGAATTGCCTGTGTGTCTCAGGTACCTCTTTACCTATCTGCTTTTGTTGCGTATATTTCCTACCAGCTAGAGGTGGGGAGCCTCGGGTACAAGTCCCGGTCGAGCTGCCCTGGAAGTGACGGCAGCAATGTAGGACTGTGTAATTTACATACCTGCCGGCAGGCATGCGTAAAGTAGGTACCTGGCAGGCAGGTGGAGGCGGGTACCTCCCAGGTGCCTCGGGGTACCCTGAGGCTATGGAGAGCTCGAGGAGAGAACCCAATAAAACGAGCCCTAGATGACGTCGGATTGTCGGCGTCGGATACAATGCGCTAAGGTGCGTAGCACACCTTCCAAATAGCTAGGATACATGACGCCCGCCTTGTCTTTCGCATTAGAGGTTAGGTAGGTACCTTCTCGGCGACTCACCTATACAGGTAGGTATGAGGTAGGCAGGTCAGGTTGGGAGGTACCTACCTACCTGCACGCAATGCCGTGTATACTCTGGATGCTGACAGACATATAGATGTACCCTATTCCCATGGCCCAATGATCCTTTAACGATCCGTTGCAAAGGAGTTGCTGATAAATCAGCCCCTCCTGTTGTTTTCTCTCTCGCCCTTCCGTTGGCGGGCGTCACTTTCACTCATAAAAGACTATGGAGAACACCATTTAAGGAGCGAGTCTCTGGCTTTCCGGAACTTCTAGCCTTGCAACTTTCTGTTCGCCTCTACCGACCTGGTCTATATATATCCTGCGGGAAAATCATCCAGATACATACAAGATGGCTTCGAACCCACCTGGCCCATGCTGCGCCCAGGGATTTAAACACGAGTAAGTTGTTCGAGCCTACTACGTGCGTACGTAGTTGGTATTGGCCCCGCGAAGGAATCGATGGCATTGTGCATGCCCCGAGCTAGCAATTGACTATGTCCTTTGGCAGCGGCGAGCCTACAGGAGTCTCCCTCAAGGTGGGCGAGCACGAGGCTTACCTGGCGACCCCGGACCCGTCCATTGCCCACAAAGACGTGGCGATCCTATACGTTCCGGACGTCATCAGCATTTGGCAAAACAGCAAGCTGCTAGCCGATCAATATGCCGCCAATGGCTACCTCACCCTAATCATCGACCTGTTTAGGGGGGACCCTGTAAAGTTGAATGGGCCGCCTAACTTTGATTTCGCCTCCTGGATAGCCAAGGGCAGTACCGGCGACAATCCCCACACTAAGGAGTACGTCGACCCGATCGTCGAAGAGGCCATCAAGTATCTCAAGGAGGAGAAGGGTGTGAAGAAGCTAGGTGCCGTCGGCTACTGCTTCGGAGCCAAGGTAGGTCGCCGGTTCTGCTTCCCGCCCTTTACTGGTCCGCGTGGTCCCAGCTGGCGCGGAGCCAATACGGGCCAGACAAGAAGAATGCGGCAGCCAAGAGGGTCTGTAGGTGCGTGTAGACCGGGATCGCTGACATGCCATATCCTATCAGTACGTCGTCCGTCACTTTAAGGACGGAATTCAAGTTGGCTTCGTGGCGCACCCTTCCTTCGTCGAGGAAGATGAGCTCGAGGGCTTCAAAGCGCCGTTGTCCATCGCCGCCGCCCAGACCGATAGCATCTTCACAACCGAAAAACGCCACCGGTCTGAAGCCATCCTCGCCAAGAGCGGCAAGCCCTGGCAAATCAACCTGCACTCCGACGTCGTCCACGGGTTTGCCGTGCGCTGTAACATCCAAGACCCGTCCCAGAAGTTCGCCAAGGAGCAGGCCTTCCACCAGGCCATCACCTGGTTTAATACCTGGCTGCTGTGACTAGATGATGGGACGCTAGCGCAGAGAAAGCTGTGAGATGGTTGATGTCAGTGAGGAAAGACACCCGTTAACTATATAAATGTCGGGCCGGGCCTTAATCCCGGTGGAATAGATAGTAAGACAAGAGAACCGGGGAGTAGCCGCATCCAATCGGTAGGGGACTTCTCTGGGTTCATTCCGTGGTATTCTCATCGCGGGCTTTAGGATGTGATTTGCGTCATTCGTATTCCTAGGAAATTAAGGCCCGTCTTTCTCACCGGGCGCTTGTATAGACAGCAATTGACTCTGGAGGCCCTTCTTCCCAACACTCATGGCCTTCTCAAGCTCCCGTTCCTCCTCTCGTAGCGCGGCCCTGCCGTATTCTAACTGTCGCTTCTGCCTACGTTTCTCCTCGGCGACGACACGCTCCCTCTCTTCCAGTGCTTTTTCCCTCTTTCTCCTATCCTCCCTTGCCTTGCGTGTGGCCTCATCCTCCTCGGCTGCGTCCTCCGTAGGCGGTGGTCCCAACGTCCGAATGTAAGCATCTATCATTGCATCTCTGATCTTCGGGTCTAGGCTAATGTATCGGATATCTGCAAGCACCTGGCTCGGGATATTCTCCAGGAGGGTCTTGTTATTCAGCAGCCGAGTGGGGATGCTTCTTAGCAGGGCCATGAGATCTTTCTTGAGCGCATCTTGCGGTAACTTGAGCCTGTTGATATGTTCGCGGTACCACTTCTCCCTGTCGCGGTCACTCAGCGACGTATCCTTCATCGGCCCCTCCTTTTTGTGCTTGCGACGAAATTCGGGCCAGTACAGCTTAGGAGTTGCCTTCTGCTGAAGGAACGCGAGGTATGGTATCCGGGGATCCCTCTTTTCTTCCTTGGCGCGCTTTTCCTTGAGGATTTGTATCTGCTCACGGCTCCATTCCTCCCAAACGTTCCTCCGCGCCTTGGTAGTATCGAGGGCGGTATACCGCGAATCTTCGATGATACGCCCATCTTCGATGAGCTTCTCCCACGGCGAGTAGGGGTTAATGGCAGAGTCGTTCAGTAGGTCCTTGAATAGTTCTCTCGCGTCAGCCTCGGACAACGGAATGCCTTCAGCGCCCTCGGGCCATGCGTCGGGGTTCCCGTCGTCGTACTCGCCGGGATCGAGGCCGTAATCGGCGCCCATCGCTTGCAGTTGATATGCAATATCATCTTCGTTGAACTCCATGGGTACATCATCGGTGGCTTCGTCCGTGCGCTGTCTTTTAAAGGGCTGGCGATTGCTGTCGCCATCGTCACCCTGAAGAGATTCACCGCCTTCTTCGTCGTCTAGTTCATCATCCGTTACCTCGACCTCTTCGTAGTCGGAACCTAGATCTGCTGTTTGCTCATCTAGTGCCGCAACTACCCCCCCCAACCCCTCCTCCCGGGGTTCTGTCGACTTTGACTTTTCGGGGTCTGCTTCTTCCTGCGCCTCAACTTTCTCCTTTATCCCTTTGATATCTAACTCCAGCACACCTTTCATGATCTTCTCTGGTATCCGCCAGTAACTTGTGTTTTTGGTCGGATTGTATGCGAACCGTCTGCCATACTTCGTGTAGACTAGTAACCACGGCTCGCACCCAGGTATGGCGATCTTAGACTTTGGCTTGTCGAGAGGCTGGGGGCGCGGACGAGTCCTCCCATCGGGCCCTCCGCGATGCGCCCCGCGGCCATGCTGCTGACTGGTTCCATGTGCTTGCTGTTGGCTCGTCGGGGCGTATTGGGCAATGAACGCGTTCGCGACTGCAGGATCAGATAGTTTGGGCACGGATGAGTACTGGAGGAAGCTCGCGTACGGGTCTTGCGGTTGTGGCGGAGGGGGGTCGTTTGACGAGGGCTTGTAAGTAGACTTCAACATATTTTTTCAGGTTGAGGGAGAATTGATAGAGATGTCTGATGATGTCGCGCGTCTGCTGATATTGAAATGCTGTCGTGTTCGGCGTACGACTAAGGACAGGGCGGGGCGCAAAATGGGCATCGGAGAAACATGCATTACATAAGAGACTAACTAAGGAAGCGGTTGTAAGCGTTATTACTATAGTCAGTATAGGTACCTAAGGAAGTGGACAGACACTGCCTTAGGTAGTCGCGCGTAGGTACCTGACGTACTGAAGGTAGGGTACCTCTAATACTAAATTAATCCGCCATCCCCTGTGACAGGTAGGTATACTTTCCATGTCCAGCACCTAAACTTGGCACGCGCGCGACATTGTCGTTGTCCCCATCGTTCCGTAAATACCCTGCCCAAACATTTCCGGCACTGAATTCGAGTCGCGTATATAGGAAGAACCGTCGTTCTAGCTTATATACCTACGCTCTGACGGTCCGCCTGGGGAGATGCTACGGAGCGCTTTCAAGGCTGTACGTGGACGGTGACTTGCTGCAATTGTGGCGATGACACCGCGGGAAGATGCCGCTCGGGAAGGGGGCGTCTTAGGCGTTCTCGCGAGGTTCTGGTTTGTACGGTTGATCGTCTTCTCCCCTGCCCCGTCTGATTGCGTCTGACTATCGCCCAGCATTCCTATGCCCCCGACTATATCGGCTTCGTCAGCCTGCTTACGGCCTACCTCCTAATCCAACTCCTAGTCGAACCGTTCCACCGCATGTTCTTCATCAACAACTTAAACATTGGCTTCCCTCATGCGGAGGTTGAGCGGGTTCCCGTATGGTTGAACTTCGTCTACGCCCTCTTTGTGCCGCTCGGCATAGTATTACTTTACAACAGCTTCACCCGAGCGACTTTCCATAAGCACCACAGCACCGTGTTGGGTCTCGCTGTCGCTCTCATCCTGAGTTCGTTCCTAACCGATGTTGTCAAAAATACGGTCGGCCGTCCTAGGCCAGACCTCATTTCTAGATGTAAGCCTGCGCCGGGCACCATGCCTGACACGTTGGTCACAATCGACGTCTGTACCGAAACCGACCACCATACTCTTCACGACGGTTGGCGATCTTTCCCTTCGGGACACTCTAGCTTCTCGTTCAGCGGCCTCGGGTATCTGGCCTGTTTTCTAGCCGGCCAGCTGCGGGTCTTCCGTGACAGGAAGGATCTCGGCCGGTCGTTGGTCTGTATAGCGCCTCTTCTCGGGGCAACCCTGATAGCCATCAGCCGCTGCGAAGACTACCGCCATGACGTATACGATGTCTGTGCGGGATCGGCATTAGGATTTACCGTCGGGGTCTTCAGCTACCGTAGGTACTGGCCGAGACTGGGCAGTCGGGAGTGCGATGAACCGTACCCGGCACCGGGGACGGGGTCGGCGGATAAGGATGGATGGCGGAGAATTCGGGATGAGGAGGAAGGCAGCCTGCCCGCGGGACGAATCGCCGGGTATGAGATGGCCAGCACAACGACGGATGATGAGGGATCATAGCTGACGTATGTTTACTAGATGATCGGGTCGGGCAGCATACGCATAGTATCTACAGGGATACCAAACCCGGTATGGGATTTATCCCTATCTTATGGCTCCACCGTGTTCTTCCGGATATTCGACCGTCCTCATTTTCCACGCGCCGCAAGTTGAGAGATATGAATAGACAGTTAAGTCTCGGCACCTAACAACAATTTCCATCAACCAATCGAGCTAAGACGGATGATATTGAGGTCCGCCGGGAGGTGTTAGGTTCTAATTTCAGACTCAGCGTTAGGTGAGCGTCGGCCTTGATGGTTTAGAAGATGCGAATATCGATAGGATTTTATTATATATCCACTTGCGAGAGCACGAACTGAAAGTTATCATCGTGTCTGAGGAATACCTAAGTACCTAGGTACTTCATTATGGCAGCATAGCATTATACAGGTACCTAGGTACATATAGTATTTTCCACGAACCTCGAAGGCGCCGTTCCTCGTTGACTCTGATGTACTGCACTAAGACTAAGACTAAATGTTAGGTTAGGTCGGCTCCAAGTGCCTCTTATGGGGCGGGTACCCTTAATAACCTTGTAGGGGACACCTGCCTATGTACCCAGGTTGAGCTACTCGTGACCTAAGGCCCTCAAGCCACGAGGAGAGGTTAGGTACCATATAGGGAGGGGGGGGTCTATTGACACTATGTTAGTAACCCTTTCTATAACTAGACATAGTGTCTGCCTCGTAATAAGAGTAAGTTAAACTCTGGGCTGACATTATTACCATTTCCCGACATAGTTACCATCCGGACATAATGTCTTTATTTTAAAAAAAGGTACATTCTATAGGATTACCCGGTTACCTCTAGGTTACCTCTAAGTACGTACTTTTGTACCTTTGTATCTTTTACGTCTGTTACCTACCTAACCTCCTACCTACCTACTTACCTACCTCTTCCATAGGTTCGAAGATAGGTAGATAGATTCTACGCGCGAACTAGCTCCCATAGGTTCGTAGATAGGTTCGAAGATAGATAGATTCCACGCACGCTAACTAGCTCCCATAGGATCGAAGATAGATAGATTCCATACGTCTGAACAAGCTCCCATAGGTTCTAAGATAGGTTCGAAGATAGATAGATTTCACGCGTACGCGCGAACTAGCTCCTACAGGTTCGAAGATAGATAGATTCTATACGCGCGAACTAGCTCTCATAGGTTCGAAGATAAATAGATTCCATACGTCTGAACAAGCTCCCATAGGTTCGAAGATAGGTTCGAAGATAAATAGATTCCACGTACGTGAACTAGCTCCTATAGATTCGAAGATAGATAGATTCTATATGCCTAAACTAGCTCCCATAGGTTCGTAAATAGGTTCGTAGATAGATAGATTCTACGCGCGAACTAGCTCCTACAGGTTCGAAGATAGATAGATTCCATACGCCTGAACTAGCTCCCACGGGTTCGCAGATAGGCTCGCAGATAGGTTCGCAGATAGGTTCGCAGATAGGTTCGTAGATGGGTAATAGATCATAGTGTTTATAGAAAAAAGATGAAGACAACAGGTAGGTCTAGGTAGGTAGGTAGGTAGGTAGGTAGGTAGGTAGGTAGTGAGGAGGAGCAGAGCGTACGCGATACTGGAGACCCGGATAGGTTTACTCGAAAGTGCACTCTATCGAAGACTATAGTACGTACGATGGTCTAAGATGGATGAAACTAGTGTCGCTATACTAATAGAGAGGCAAGGAATCTAATGTAGTTATCGTATCTTAGCTATGCCCCTTGGTCGTAGAGATATAGTAGTCGCTAGCCCGAAGGGATAAGAGGTAAGGGGAGAAAAGGGGTAAAACGTAAAAGTCATTTATTCGGCTATAGCGGTACGACGAAGTAACTTAAGCGCCTATAATTAAGATAGATATATTAATCGGAGAACGACGAATCTAATGGTAAAAACGAATCTTTAATTAAGGTGAAAATAGTAAAGATAGCGATTTAGCTAGGTAATAAACTAGATAATAAGTATAGCATGTCCCGTACTTGCGGGAGCTATGGTTACTCTATATAGGTATAAGGCCTATCGTAGCGTGTTACGTAATGTATTAAGAGAGTATGTCTTACCGTACTACTACAGTAGGTAGGTAGGTAGGTAGGTACCTATGGAATATAGACATTATATCCGTCTGGATATTAGTTCCTACGTTATTATAAAAACCATCCTGAAATTATAAGAAGGGAAGGTAATAAGGTCGGTACCGTAACCCTTGCTATAATTCTTTTAGCCCCTCCGAAAGAATGACTAGCTAAGGTAACCCTTACTAGATTTTGTTACCGTATCGGTACCCCGACTCTATGGCTGACATACTGTCCATAGACCCCCCCCCTCCTTATATGGTACCTAACCTAACCTAGGAGCATCTCAGGTACCTCTAGGAGGTACCGAACATAACTTTAGAGGTACGTACCTTGAGCTAGGTACGTACCTGCTTGAGGTGCCCGATCTGCTCCCATCAGCACTTGAAAGGATAGGTACCTACCTGGGTACCTAATTAAATACCTTGGTACCTCCTAACGTACCTACAGGCGCTCTTCTGATCGGGTGAGGTTTGCCCAGTGCAAATCTAATCGGCACTGGGATGCAAAGCGCATTCTGGATCCAGGCGTGAAGTATGAGGAGCATGATGACTCACGCAACCCAATTATATACGCGATCAGAGGTAGGTACCTACCCCAGGTTAGGTACTTGCGGGCGACCCTTCGCGTCCAATCACCTGCCGGGGAGACCGAGAGGAGAACGAGTACCCGGTACCGTGTCGCGCCCGCTCCCAGCCACCGGAGAAGCCCCCTATCCTGGCAGGCGCGACGTGGTAATATACGCGTGCCTTCTCGCGTCGTCCTCCGCGTTTAGATAGTGCTTGTTAGTGCGCCCACGCGAACTAGCCTGGCACTCTATCAATCTCCATCATCGCACTGAGGCCATCCTGAGCGCACTTCTCCAAAAGCGCGTCTCGGACGTGCTTGTTTCGAGTCCTCATCAATTTCTTCTATCCCTCTCCTTCGAACCTCCTCCGCCCCATTTCGCCTTTTCCTCATTCTCGCATTTTCTCACAATTCCTCTTACCTCTACAACGCCGGCTTATCGTCTCATGTATTGGATGCACTTCTCTTTCTCCATCTCGAATTGGCATTTCTACGTTCACGTCATCAACCGCCTCAACAACTCATAAATCCCCTACCATAACCCTCTCCTAACCTAGGCATACGATGCTCCTACCTTCGCTAGAATCAATTGGGTGCCTCATTTAAACCCTCTTTCTCCTCAGCTCCGCTCTCGCCTATCTGGTTTATCTGAGCAATCTGGCGGACCGATCCCAGTTTCATCGATATGTCACGCCTTGGCAGCATCAAGCGCGAGCCGAAGGGCTCATCACCCACAAGCATCCCGTCTAGGACCATGCCGCCGCCCTCGCCTTCTCTGAAAAGGAAGCTGCCGCATGATGAATTCACCGACAGCCAGTCCGTCGCCAACTCATTCATCCGCTCCCATGCTCGTGAGTAGCCGCCTATCGTTTATATCATTGCCCTGGCTAAACACAATCCACCCACAGCTAGTGCCGAGACATGGCAGCGGAGGGAAGAGGACGCCGAGCCCATGTTGATGGAGGTGAGATACCGGCCTGGCAGTTTTATAAGCGGCCCACAGGGTTCGCCGTCCCAGAACGTGGACACGAGCTTCGCTCACCAGAGCTTTGCCCATCCCACCTTCACCGACATTGGGATGAAATTGAAGGCCTGCAATGATACCCTGGGGGATCTTCAGACTTTAGGTGTATCTCGTAAGTATCGATTTCGAGCTTTAAAGTCATCAATCTCGCCCTATTCCGAGCGTTGGGTTGGACTGTACCCACATTCTGCCCGTTCGCGAGTGGCCGTCTGCGGTCTATCCCGTTAAATCAAATTCACTAACTGTGGGAACTTCACAGACGTCGCTGCTCTACCCGAGTTAGTCCTTGTGGGTGACCAGTCGGCTGGAAAGTCTAGTCTCATGTCCGGCTTGGCCCGCGTCAACCTGCCGCGGAGCGCTGGCGTGTGTACTCGCTGTCCGTTGCATATTCGTCTGATCAGTAGCAACCTTGATCGTTGGTCCTGCACTGTTTCTCTCCAGCAGGATTACGACTTCCAGCCCATCCCTGGTCGTAAGCCTAAGAAGTCTGATGTCACCAATGCAAACCCGTTTCCACCATGGGTTAAGATGACCCACCGTGACAGCAAGACATTCAAGACTATCTTCGACCCATCGGAAATCGAAGAAGTCCTGCGCTGGGCGCAAGTTGCAATCTTGAACCATAACCGGAACTATGAACAATTCATTCCTGGCGAGGGACCGATCGCGAAGGAAATCACACTTGATGGTGAGCCTTCCACCCCCCCCCCACCTCACATTTGGTTCCTTCGCCTATTTGCTGACGCCCTGTTTCTAAAGTGGCCGCTCGTGACACGGACGCGCAGTTTTCACCGAACATCGTTGCGTTAGAGATCAAAGGGCCCGGCCTGCCAGATCTCAGTTTCTACGACTTACCAGGTGTTTTCATATCGCCGGAGAAGGAAGAGGACGAATACATAGTGAAGGTCGTGAGGAATTTGACCCGCGAGTATATCTCACGGGAAAAGGCTATCATCATGTGGGCTCTCCCTATGAACGTCGATTCAGAAAACTCCATCTCCTTAGGCATCATCCGCGACGCCAAGGCGGCAGATCGCACGATCGGCGTGATGACGAAGGCCGACCAGTTGCCCCAGCAGAATATTCCCAGTTGGCTCGCCATGTTCCGGGGTGAGAAGCAATTAGTTGGCCACGGCTTCTTTGCTACATCGCGGCCGCCAGATCAACCACTAGAGAATGCTACTAAGTGGGAGGAACTCTTTTTCAATCGCGAGGTTAGCGGTAGCAGCGGGTGGCCAAGTGAGCTCGTCGACTTCTCAGACCGCTGTGGCGTGGAGGTCTTGCTTGAGGTAAGCGCTCAGCTAGTTCCCGCCCTTGCGTTCGAACCTGTCAGGTTTTTCTTTAGCTTTGACATGGAAAGGCTGCTAACTATTAAATACGTGTTGTAGTACCTTTCGCGGCAGCTCGGGGATGCCTTTGCCCGAAGCCTCCCATCCATCAAGGATATGGTATACACACGTCTTCAAATGATCCAGAAGGAGCTGGCGGATCTTCCAGAGCTCCCGCAAAACGTTGAGCACGAAGTTAAAAAAAGCCTATTCCAGTTTCTTGGTCAGATGAAAACCGCCATAAAAGGGACCGAATTCTCGTCGGAGTGGAACGCACTCAACAACCACTTGCAGGAGTGCGTGTTTAAAATGAAACCGACCTGCAAAGTCAAGGAACCTAGCCTCCTCACAATAAACCTCGTAGACGAGGCATCAACGAGCACGCCACCAAAACCCAGACCAAGTGACTCGACGATGCGAGGATCCACCACACCCAGCAGACGCCAGCGCCGAGAGGAAGTGAGCACGCCCGTGAAAGAAGAAGCCAGTGTGGCTCCGCTCGTTTCCCGCGCCTCGTCCGTCGTTGGAACTATGGGCACGGATTCGAGCCCGTTTACTAAGTATTTCAACCTCGGCCGATGCGCATTGGACATCAGAGACATCCGCAGCGAGATTTTAAGAAAGAAGCGACCCGGCATGCCACGTGATCTAGTCCCGGATGAAGTGCGTGAGACATTATGTATGGACGCGGTTAAGAAATGGGAAGGACCACTCGAGACGTACATTAACAAGACAGCCGAGCTTCTAGAAAAGACTGCCACCGCCGTTCTCGATGAATCTCTGGGATCACTACGTCGTCGCCTAATATTCCGAGAATGTCAAGAGTGTTTGAGGCGATTCATTGGCGAAGCCGTCGCCAGCCAGAGGGCTCGTCTCATGGAGATGTACGAGTCCGAAACTTACCAATTGTACATGATGAATGACGATGCCTTCAATCGGTACAAGGTGCTTGAGATGGAGCAACTCCGCCGCGTACGCTCGATATATAGGCTAAAAGCCTTAACCCTCTTTGAATGGGACTACAAGGTTAAAAAGATAGAAGAGATGACGGAAGACGAAAAGACATGGGAGCGGAAGAAGATTGATAGCCACATTCCCAAGATTGGCAAAGACCCTTATGAGACCGAGCTCGAGGTCGCAGGTTTCGTTCGCGGCTACTACATGAGTATGTATCCATGAAAGTCCGGTCAAGCGAGAGGCGCTAACTTGGTAGCAGCGGCTGCTGTTCGATTCGTTGAAGGCATCACCATGAATGTGAATTCAAATCTCTTCCGGACATTCAGGGAGACACAGCTCGACCATTCTCTGGATGAGAAGTTCAAGATCTATAGCCACTCTGGTAAGTCGGGTTCCGGCGCGATCGCGCAAAGCTAGCTGCTGAAGTGATACTAACAGCCCATCGTCCTGCAGATCCTAGTTTGTATAGCAAATTGATGGAGGAAGATGAGAGAACTGCGAAGCGGAGACAGCAACTCAAGGGGGAGAAGGAAAAGTTGTTAAAAGCTATGGCCCGAATCAACGATTTAGAAGGGTCCTCTCATGATGCGCATCACAGCCAGCCCACGGTGGTTGCCGTTAACTCCGACAGCGACATGGAAGATGGTGTGTTGTAACCGTACTAGACAAGTGGCGCCTAGAAAAGTCATGTCGTCGGCGGACCTTTCTTGTGAGGTTGTTTGGGATCTCTTGTCCCCAATTGTCGCAGTGGAGGCGTAATTGGGTATAATGACAAAATAGATGTCAGTATAACCCTCCACCTCCCCTCTACTGTGTAGTAGGTCTTCAACTCCACATAGCATATCGTTGAGGGAAGAATATGAGCCAGAGCTGGTACTTCGTCGTCCCCTCCTCGTTACGCGTCTCCGCAAATAAAGGAACATTCCTCTTTACCTAAACAGAAACCGGGAGGCCATCGCGATTGGCTACGTCTGTCTGGGTCTGGCCAAGCTTCCCCCTTGGGTGACTCTTCCTGTTTCATCCCGGCTTTTGCCAATTCAACCGCCCGGCCCTTTTCTAGTCCGCCACTGCCAGCATGACCTAGCCCTTGCTCAGGCATGCCTTGCGTCCAATAGCAAGCGGACGACGGACCAACGTCCAAGATCATATCCATGCGATGGAAGATGTAGCACCGAAGTCTAGAATAAATCACCAGTAGCGTCGGCCTCGACGGGCAACGAGCAGGGCGCACACGCTCCCCAGACCCGTTTTGGGCATAGCTGAATGTTTTATTGTCGAGGGGCGTGCCGAGAGCGACAACTTACGGCCCGTCGTCGTAGTGACTCCTCTTTGCGTCCCACCCGTATCATGGGGGGTTGCATCACACAGAACCTGGGGAGGCGGGTCTTCGCTGGATCTTCCCTGAGGGTAGGATAGAATCCCAACGTATCCGTGTACGTTCAGAGGTAAGCGGAATACAGCAACAGCACAAGGGGTAGTAGTGACGGACACGATAAGGAGACGGGTTGTTACCTCTTTACGGGAACTGAATTTGAAGCGAGCTGATGCTGTTGCTCGGCGCGAAGAATTATTCTCTTACTGCTGCGGAGATCCAGCAATGTCAACTCGCGAGTTCATCTTCCGGAGGTCAAGAGGAAGATACTCCATCGTAACCGGCCTGTCGGGTTGATAGGGCCGTTAGTTGGTTAGACCCCGGTCGGTCCCCATGAACCGTCACAATCCTCTACCCTACCCCCGCATTGTAATAACAATGCGTCACCCATAGTCGTGGCTCGAATGCGTGTTTCTAGTCCTTGGCGGAGACACGGACAGTCTCGTAAAGGATTGATTACGCCAGCCCTTAGCATGGAATACTTGAATAACATCTGCGTTCCTTTTGGCTTGTTTCGCCCTTTCGAGTCCAAGGCGACCAAAATTTCGCCCTCGATTTCATTTTGTCTCGGAAGAGAGGACTCGATTCATAGAAGCCAGCATGGTTCGCGCAGCCAAGGCGGTGGCGGACGGCCATGACGACGAGCGGGAGGAACTCACATATAGGGGAGCTCCCGAGTTCGAATACGTCTCCTGGACCAAAGAGCCTCATCTGCGTAAGCTCTACGCCTGGGCCTGCGTGTTGATGATAGCTTCAGCGACTACCGGCTATGACGGGTTAGTAGAACCCCAGGCATCCGCCAAATACCGACACTTTCCAGCTAACGGGTCGTGCGCAGTATGCTAGTGAACACATCGCAGCAGATTGATCGCTGGAAGCAATACTTTCCTAGAACGCAACGCAGCGCCGACAATCCCCAAGAGATAGCCGACAGCTGGCTAGGGCTCCTCGTGAATATGTTCAACATTGGGAGCATTCTCAGCTTCTTCCTCACGTAAGTCACCCTGACTATCTATCTAGCCAAGGGTATGGCACGTTTCTAACTGTTGCTACTACCTAGTCCGCATGTCGCTGACAACTGGGGCCGCAAGACATCTATCGCGATCGGCTGCATCTTTATGATCATAGGAGGCTGCGTATCTGCCTTCTGTAACGACTACGAAAGTGGGTAAATTCGGAATACACCTACTCACACGATATAAGGTTATTAACCTCTCTCTTTTACGCAGTGTTCATTACTGGCCGTTTAATTCTCGGCTTCGGTAACAGCTTATCACAGATGGCCTCCCCCCTCCTTCTCACCGAGATATGCCATCCTCAGCATCGTGGGCCCGTCACGGCTGTGTACAACTGCCTGTGGAATCTTGGCGCGCTCCTAGTCGCCTGGATAGGTTGGGGCACTGCGCAGATCCAGAACGATTGGAGCTGGAGATCGATAACATTACTGCAGATCTTGCCTTCGCTTATCCAGATCTCGTTCATCTACTGGATTCCGGAGTCGCCCCGGTACCTCATATCTAAGGATCGCCACGATGAGGCACTGGATATACTTGCCAAGTATCACGCTGGCGGTGATAAGAATGATGTGCTCGTCCAGTTCGAGTTCCGCGAGATCAAGGAGACGATGCGGATGGAAAGCCAGGCTGCCCGCGCTGCTGGTTACCTTGACTTCTTGCGCACTAAGGGTAATCTCTGGAGGTTAGCTATCCTTGTCTCCTTGGGCGTTATCTCCCAGTATAGCGGCAACGCCCTCTTCTCCAATTATATGGACACTGTGTATGAGGGCGCCGGAATCACGATTCAGGATCAAAAGCTTGCTGTAAGTATCACGGACCGCTAGCACATTCCGATTCTCCTCGAGTTACTAATGTAAGCACCCTAGTTGAGCGGTGGAAAGACAATCGTCGATCTAATCGTTACGATCCTTGCCGCCCTAAACGTCGATAGATTCGGCAGACGACCGCTCTTCCTCCTATCCACTTCCGGTATGGTTATCTCGTTCGCAAGCTGGACAATCTGCGGGGCTATATATGATAACTCGGGGCTGTCGAATATCGCTTCAGGGTACGCACAGCTAGTGTTCATCTGGCTCTTCGGCATATTCTACGACATAGGCTTCTCTGGCCTCCTTATCGCCTACGCTCTTGAAGTCCTCCCGTTCAGGCTGCGTGCCAAGGGTATGATGATCATGAACATCACCGTGCAGGCCATCCTAGCGCTAAGCAACCAGACCAACAAGATTGCCTGGAACAGCATGCCAAAGCACTGGCACTTCATGCTCTTTTACACCGTAAGCATTACGCCAAACATATCACTTTCATGCTTCTCCCACGCACGCGCGCTCCTCTCTGCGTACAATATGAGCGACTTGCTAATGTACCTTGTGCCCATGTCAGCTTTGGGACTTCTGTGAGCTGGCCTTCGTATATTTCTTCTACGTTGAGACGAAAGGCCCAACGCTGGAGGAAATTGCCTGGATATTTGATGGCGCGGACGCTGTCGCCAACATTGACCTTAGGCAAGTCGAGAAAGAGATGCACAACCTAGATCGTGAAGAAAGCGTCACTTCAGGGGCTCGATCGTCGGGGAGAGGGACTATCTAGGCAGGTTTCTTTTGCTACAATAGGTAGTTACGCCTATGGGGTTGAAGGGGATGTAATGGACGACTGACGAGTTGATGATTACTGTCTGATATTTGGTAGGGCGCATACTTATTTCATCCGGGTCAAGCTTCAAAGAGATACCAAAAAGGGGGAGCGGGAGCGGGGCAAGGAGTACCTGGAGCATTCGGAATGTGTGAAATCAATCATATTTCTGTATGAACCACGCACTATCGTTACGAGTATGGTAATAAGTCATTAATATCGGCCGCTATTCATAGATATACTCATCGTCGTCGTCTCTCTCATGCGTGTTGCTTAGACCTTAACCTAACAAGCTAGGCTCTCTGTGTTCGATCCGTCCGGGAACGGCCATCCGATTAGCAAGCCCTGTTTGGTTTCAGAAGATTCATACTTGAGAGAGTGGAGGTCCTACTGATATGTTCCCAGTTATGGGCGCATCAGCGCTGCATATCTCGAACAATTTGAGAAACGCCGGCGAAGTTGAGCTCCTCCAGCGTTTCCTCCCATATCCTATCGCTTACGTCCTGCGCTCCCTCCTTGTACATCATTTCAGGAAACCTGCGCTCCGGTCAGCCTGCTCTCTATTGCCAAGGTACGGATCAGACTGCTCTATTACGGTCGGATGGCCCAATCGCTAACATAGCTCCCGTGGCTCGCCTTATCATGCATGACGACCGCGTCGACGAGGGTGCTGGCGCCGACTTCCACCGTTCTCCCTGTGGCTAGTTTGAGTAACCCCATCAATATACTAAACGTCACGCTGAACTTTCGCCCTTTATCGAAGTCGGTACCCTTGCAATACCCCGGGTTGGACGCGTTGATTATAACATCCTCGGCGCTGACGCTCCCTGCGAGCTTGGCGGTGAAGAACAACTGCAAGAGTTTCCCTCTCTGGTAGTTCCGCATCGGATAGAAGCTTTCGGGCTTGTCGAATTGGGCAAATATTGGACCACTGGTTTCGAGCGAGGCCCACAGTGCCGTATCCGAGGAGACTATGGAGAGACGCGGTGGCGGCGAGTTCCACTGCAGCCTCTTAGACTTGAGCGTCGGCAGCAGCAAGATAGTCAATAGGGCCGTCGAGAGATAATTGACCTGGAAGCTCTGCTCGTGCTCTGTGATCTCGACGACTCTGAACGCATCTCCCCGCATACCGGCATTCAGGAGCACGATGTCGATCCTCGGAAGTGTTTCGCATCTCCTTGCGAATGACGTTACCGAGTCGTATGACTCCATGTCTAGAAGCCATACCGAGACGGTCGAGTCCGGAAACTCCTCACGTAGCAATCCTGCGGCAGTGTCACCTCTAGCTTGGGATCTAACGCCCATCACTAAGCATTCGAGGCCCATCTGGAGCAGTTGCCGTGCGGCTTCGAGGCCAAGCCCGGAATTGGAGCCCGTCACGATGGCAGTCTGCCCCGAGAGGTTTGTGCCCTTGGGAATCTGCTTCCGGGGGGTCCATTGACGATACAGGAAGCCGAGTATACTTCCCTCAAACTGAGCTTCATTTTCCAGATCGTGCGACATCGCTACACTGTCGTTATCCTTCGCGTCGGGATTTGCGGGAGAGAACAATGAGGCGCGGGTTAAGGGTTAGCTGATGAAGCTAGAAATTGCCGTAGGCTCGAAAATGCTTTGATGGCTTCGCTGAGAGGGACTTATTTCCCTGCGTCTTGTTGAGGACGATATTAACGCACTCGTCCCCGAGGTATTTATAATCGCCTATGGCTATGGGGTGGCATGACCCTGCATGGCAGCACGACGTGCGACCTAACTCGGGAATAGGAGGTTTCGTTCTCCTCGTCCGAGTCTCTCGCCCATACCCTACTGCTAGTGGGGGGGTTATCTTCATGCATAGAAGTAGTAGGTAGGTGTATTATACGGCATCTTGACGAAAAAAGCCCGACGCTGGTAGACCGGTGCCCTCGAATCGGGAGCCACAGGTCACTTGTAGGTAGGCACCGATGACATATGATTCCTGCGTAGAAAGAGAAAGTAGTGGTTAGCTCTGTCAATGTAGTAGGCAGGTATATGCACGACGTAGTAGGTATGTGAACACACCACGGAACCGCTCGTTGGCATTGGAGTTGTGGTAGGTCGGGCCTCGGATTTATCGACAAAGCAATCACCGAGCCTCGCATGGCTGCGTAACAGCACAAACCGTCGAGACTTTGCTTCGGATATGTACGTCTCATGGCGGCGCGGCCTCCATCTACCTAGATAGGGAGGTAAGGTGTGTGGTGAGGCTCATAACTCGAGCATCCTGTAGTCGACCTCGCTGAAGTTGGGGAATGCGACACGACCCGGCACAATTAATCCCTGTCCCCAAGCCACACGAGCCAAGGATACGACTTGGTTCGGGACCGATGCTTAAACTATCCAACTCCTGCCATAGGTCGATATCCATCCAGGTCCATCACTGGCTTTGATGAGATCCAGAGAAGCAAGAATCGTGAGGTTTCTTTCTACTTAAGTCATATGGGGAGGGGTTAGCTACTGCAATATGGCGAGCGAGACCACGCATGTTCGCGGTATCATCCGCTACGGCAAACCAGAAACACGCTGCTCGTGTTGTGATGAATGGAAACCTATTCGTTCGTTCTCTGTACTGGATTCTTCGCAGATCGGGAAGGCCCAGCTCGACTCCAAAGTGCCGGGATGGTCAACTATGGGGGATCACGGCGACGGAACTCTGGACGATCTCGTAGGGGAACCTGTTGCTTGGCGTGATGCTTGGGTGGTATATTGGTCGATTGTCGGTACAAGCACAACTCCCGTCCTACAAGTCACACCTACATCCTGAGACATCGATTCTCAGGGGCATATACCTACTGGCACCTTGTCTCTCGTTGGTTCTGGCGGAGATTCCCTCCGGCCACCATCCATCTTGTTGGGCACTTGGCCTCTCTTGCTCGCGATCTGCTGTTAGATACACTCACGAAGTGCAAATTCATAGATAGTTGGATTAAGATAAACCGTTCTAGGCGTTGGTCGCGTGGGTGAAGGTCCCGATCGTGTCTTTTTCGCACAGTATTGCCGGCGCAAACTCCGAGGCCGCGGCCAGGCGGTGACCAACCAATCCAGTCTGCCTCCTGCTTACCACCCCCCTCCCCCCCCCCCTTCTTCTCAGCTAGCAATGGTACCAAGCTGAGGAGGCCTCTACGGTGATGACGAGAGCGTTGGTTGAAAACGCATATGGTCTTGGCACGCGCGGCCGCTTACATTTGATAGGTCCAAGTTTGGTTTCGTTGGCAGATGGCTGAAGGCATTGGTTAGGTAAATGTCGGATCACAAGTATGCGAGGCTTAAATCCTGTCCTTTCAATGGTCGGGCCCGTCACTGTACACGAGTCTGACACTATTTAAGTCGCTCAGGTTCCGACGGGCGCCTACGAATTATCACCACTTCATCCCCCGCCTCTTATCACTCTGGAAATCAAAGAGCGAGGAGTGGATTCCCATCTTCTTGAAAATGAGAAAGGGGAACAAATTTCCCTACCTACCTCTCCCAGCTCTGATTTCCGTATGGGCCAGTTCGGCTTTGGTGCTCAGAAAGTTCGATGCCTAGGACTGTGCAACATGGCCGAGGCAGGCCGTCCGTGGTCGCGACGCCGCCTTCGCGTCAGCAGTTAGCGGGCGGTATATGGTGGTTGCCTCCCAAAGACAAGTTGACAGGGAACGACGATCCGGACCTCGATGAGGGAAAATGTAACCATCCGGTGGTAATTCTCTCGCCACAACTCGAGAATGGCCAGGTCGTATTTCTAATAGTAGGTCACTCGGACGTATGAGGGTTCCAGCTAGGTAGTTTCGTTCTGACGATAGAACCAGGTCACATCGTTCAAGGAGACGAGCCTTGAGATACGGTTTAGCCACCACCCGAGCTTACGACTCGAATACCTCCCCATTCGGCCTTGTGACCCGCACCCGGACAACGGGAAGCTCCTAAGCCTCTCGGACCCGTCGTTAGAGCTCAGAAAGAAGTCGTACATCCATACCAAAAAGACACATCAGATCAGGCATAAGTTACTCCAAACGTACGACCGCAGGGGTGTCGAATACGTCCTATCTCGAGGCTCGTATTTAGAACTAATCGAGTATGCCGGCTTCTCCCCTCCGGCCCCACACCCCCGATCCAACACCGTCTCTCCGGGGCGAAGCTCTCGGTCGCGTAACCGAATCATCCGGGCTTCTCGCCCACGGACCAGCTTCTCAGCTTCTCCGCCACGAGTCGACTCCCCGGTTAGGACCCCCGCGGCTGCTACACAGAGGGACAGCTACTCGGAGTTCGTTTCCGCCCTCAGGCGATTGGAGAGCGGCACGACGAGCCCTTCTCGTAACCAGCACCATGCACATTACGTTTCGGCTACGCAGTGGCAACCCCAGCCGAGCGAACGAGCGCCTTTACTAAGTCGAAATAACGAGCACGCCTATACGTACAATCGTCCGTATAACACGTCTCACGGGGTGGGGTATGAGCACATCGAACCCTCGGCGTCCCCCAGTGGAGGCGTGTTCTGGAAATGTGTCAAAGCGCTCTTCGGGATCGTGGGGTCGCTTCTGGGGATCTATGCGGTATATCGTGGTGCGTACTGGTTGGCCGGCATGTCAAAGACCAGCACTACAACCGATTTGCACAGCTTTAGCCGAGTAGTTTCTGATATTTGGGCGCACGTAACGGGAAAGGAAGAATGGCAGCGTCTGAGGACAGTGGAAGCAAAAAGACGGTGGCTCAACAGACTACTTTTTGGTACTCGGCGGTGAGGTGCGGCGCATTCTTTGGTATACTGGTGGCCCGTCTCAGTTTATTTGCAAGTTGGTGTAAATGGGACAGCAATATGTGATCCGTGGTAATAGTTCTGGGTAAAAGTTTAGCGACTTCTATATGCATTCTTTGATTGTCGTCGCTCAACAGGACTGGCCGTCGCAAGTGTGAGTCTGATTTACGATCAGTCTCCATGCGTCCCAGATGAACCACGCGCTCGTCTTAACGAAGCATTCGTAGCCATCGTTAGTAGCGAGAGTACGGTCGAGACGCAGATGCGAATAGTTGCTGTCGTCTGGATATCGGTCCTAGTTCCTGCATCATATTTTGGAGGCTGCAGTCCGTAAGAGGTGTGGTTCTCCGGGTCCACCACCCTGACGCCGAGCTGCGTCGAGTTCGGCGGCGGGGGGACATACGTATATGTTATATACGTAAGTCTCTCGGCGGAAAACCTCGTCGGCGCTGATGCGTTGGGGCAATTTGCTACTTCGTTCCCTCTTGTGGTGAGATGTGGGAGGCTCGCTTTCATTGATGGGGAGGCGAATATCATGAAATGGCTCCAGCCGACAAGCGTCATTCCCATCTAGTATGCCTCTCAGACTAGGCTCAAGCTATCCGTATTAAGTTATAGGCGAGATTCTAGCTATCTCTCTATCGTAGTTAGGGGACTTGCTGACATTCGCAACCCGAGTAGCGGATAAAGCTGTACGTGTTAGCCCAGAGCGGATTTCCAAACCCGGAACGGACACCACCATTCACGCCACCGGAGTTGGGTGTCCTCACCCACTCATAATTTCTTGGCTTTATCTGGGGAAGACACATGGCATGGATGGATTATGTCTCATCGTATGGCAAAGACGTCCAGTCGTTGGCGTGTAGTATCTCCTACGACACAGCACTGAGTGCCGTGACCGCGCGGGGAATTTGATACCGAAACGTTCGGAATTTCTCGCAACATCGTAAAGTCATTTGGAAAATGGCTGTTCACGCTATATAACTATTTTCGGCGTTAACCCCAACCACAAAGTGGGCGACTTTGAGATAGTCTGGCCCGGAAGGACCCATTCCGAGATGTAGCGAGCTTGGTCGGCGGCGAACATCCGCACGAGGGCATCTACTTAGCCTTTCGTTATTAGAACGTGTTGCCGCTAAGGCAAGGCCAGGCTTGAATCGAGTTCTTTCGTTTGCGGTATACTGCCTATCCCATTGAAAGACAGGTTGGTGGTGCGTTTTAGCTAGATCTCGTGAAGGAGTGCAACGAAAGGCCCAGCCTGAGGGCGCGGGGGATATGCCCGCTCCGGGGGGAAAGATGGACGACGCCTTGTCCCCAGAAAACGTCGCCTGGGTAATAGAAAGGTACTCAGGGCAGAAAGTCTCGAAGCCGAAATTGTTTGGGAAAGTCCTTGCTATCGGCCCTCCTCTGTACATTGCGAACTCACCTAGCTGCCGAGCCTGCCCCTTGCTTGTCAGTGCCCAACAGGGTAGCGAAGGCGTTCGATATGAGGTGCTTGAGATAACCCTGAAGAGGACAAGAAAGAGAAGAGGTCACTGCATAGAGATTCACACAATTTGATGTCTCTGGTCCCTTCCTCCGTCCCGAGAACGCATATAGCACCGAATCACACGGATCAATGCGCTTGCACATCGTCGGGCAGTAGCACTACAACCAAGTACACATATACAGGTATAGAATTACAATTGTCAAGCAATATCACTTGGTGGTTTATGGTGGTACTCCTACAAGGTCTCCATTGCGCCTTACAGTATGCTTCTTCGTGAATAAGCCATCGCCATGATGCCATGATGCCGTGATGCTAGAACGCCTCGCAACCGTTCTCAGTACTGCCGTAACCCTTACAAACCTAAATAGCCTTGCGGACATCGAGAGAGCTTTCGATAACTGCCACCGATATGTGATGTCCCAAGACCACCCTTGAGAGCTATACCGTACGATCTCGTGAGGACGTCCACAAGTGTTCCGGCGACAGATACTAAGGGGCACGCCACTCAATCTGCCGAGACCGTCCTTTCTCATCATCATCCCGAATGCCTCAGCCTTACGGTCGTCTCCCAAACGAGATGAAGAACCATCACTGCTCACGAGGTAACCCGTAGCTATCCCCTCCCCCTTCCTGCTAGCACCCTGGTATGCTTATCCTGTTCGTTTGCCCTGAATCTCAAGGCCCTGTCTGGACTGCTTCGAACAGCTTCAGCAGGAAATATATGGTAACAGTTGATCGCGAGCAGTGTCGGCATTGCTGGGCTTAATTGTCCTCGTCCATAATCCTCTGGACCTCGGGGCCGTTGAGCAGAATTCGCTTACCCAGCTCTTCCGGCGACTTTCCGTCACGGACCGCGCCAAAGTCAAGAATCTATTCACGAGTTAGCACTATGATTGGGCCCATCACCAGTTGAATTACGGCTTTCGAGGGTCCGACTCACTTCGACGTAGGTCAAATTCTCTCTCTGGACGGCGGCTACGCATCGGCGCTCGTCAAATCTGACCTGCCAGACCCCACTAAGGTCCGTGAGAAGGTCTTGGATGCACTCGCCAGAGCGGATATCCCACATCTTCAGAGTCCGATCGCTACCGCTAATGACCTTGCGCCCGTCATGTTGGAAGCATGTAATTGCACCGGTGTGCGCCGTCAATGTTGACTGGCACCGCCCGCTCTCCGGATCCCAGATGCGGAGTGTACTATCCGCGGCGGCTGAGACGAGCCTCTCGTCGCGAAGATCGAGCAAGCCAACAAGCAACGTGTGCCCCTCGAGTGTGTGTATGCAAGATCCCGTTTCCAGGTCCCAAATCCTCACGAAGCTGTCCATGCTACCCGATATACATCGATTACGGGCAACGTCAAGCACAACGCTGTAGACCTTTTGGGAGTGCCCTTGCAGGATGTGGACCGTCTCCCCTGTACTAATACGCCACACTCGAACTGTATTGTCGTAACTTCCGCTCACGAGCGTGTCTGCATGGGCGGCGATAGCGCGGACCGAGTGGGTGTGTCCTGGAAGGGTGCGGACGAAGTAAGGGCAGTCGGCATCGTTGGCCGGGGGTCCGGTTTGGATGTATCTCCTGGATCCTGATTCGGGTAGACGCCAAACTCGTAGTTGACTGTCACGGGACCCGGTGATGATCAGAGGTTTAGCGGGCATCATGACCGGGTGCCCATCTTCAACCTTGCCAGTGTTTGTAGGCATCAGGATCTGCAGACATCGAACAGTACTAGTGTGACCATAGAAGACCTGGGTGCAAAGTCCTTTCTCAATATCCCACACGCGAACGGACCTATCTGTAGAACCAGATACCAGAACGTTGCCTTCGTACTGTAACGCCCACACTCCACCTTCGTGGCCTTCCAGGCGTCGACGGAGCTTGCCAGTCTTGGTATCGTAAACGTGGATAAGCATGTCGTCGCTTCCGGTAATAATCTTGTCTTCGTCGAACTGTAGGCATGTGATGACGTGGCGGGGATGGGCGGCAAAGGCAACGTGGCTAGGTTTGACTTTACCGCTCGTCCAACTCTTGCGAATCATGTAATGGCGGCGGTAGAGTGATTTGAATAGATGAAGCCTCCTTAGGCTAGGAAGACCGACGTGGGGATCCGGCACCGCGAGGGCGGCGGCGTTAGCGGCGGACAGCGGCCCTTCCGATTTATGCACCTTCTCGCCGGTATACGTCTTTTCGTCCTTAGCCGTCTCCTGCGCGCTGGCTCGTCGTTTGGACCGCTCGGAACCAAGGCTATTTAGAGCCCTCTTTCGTTTCGAAGATCGTAACTTTTGCGGGGGTGGATCAGGTTTCGATGAGCGAATCAACTCCGTCTCGGTGGATGTAAGTCGGTTCTGAAGGCTATAGTCGCGCTCACAGCCCTCGGGTCCCACTGGGTCTTGCCAACCCCAGCCCTCCCTGATGGCCCTATCCAGCTCACCCGGGGCCAGAACAAATCCGTCGTTATCAAATAGCTCCTTCCAACCCGTCTCGTTGCTATCAATAATCCCCCGCCAGTGTTTCGAAACTTGCGCTGCGTGGCAAAGATCGCGGTGGTCCAGGTATGACAGAATGTGGAAAGTCAGCTCGAGGGGTAAGTCTTTTAAAATATCGCATTTTAGGGCTGGGTTGACTACGTCGGCAACGACGTGAAGGGTTTTCCGGGAACATCGGCGAAGGAACTGATACATCATGAATGTCTTCATCTCAGGAGGCATAGAGTCGAACGTCTCTAACATTGAGCGAGTGTCCATTATCGTCGGCCGGAAGCGCCGAGGGCGCGGGTCTAGGCGCCGTAGGGTCATAGACGGGGTTTCAGTCACCGACGGCGGGACGGACTCGTAATCCATCGTGTTCTGGCTGTCGTCGTGGAAGATCAGAGATACTTCCTCCTCAGTGGCGTCATGCTCTTCGTCCTGATCGAGCAAGTGCGTTTTGGAGGCCTGCAGGGTCGGAGACAAGCGTGGACTTGGTAAACTCGCGTCTTGGCTTACAAGTGTGTTGATGGGTCGGGGGGGTTGCAAGGCACGGATGGACTGCTGCAACGATTCGTCGGCATCGACATCTGCGAATGGCTCTGCATCCTCGTCCGCATCCGTGATAGGGGGAGTAGCCACATTACTACCACCGAAGGCGGTGTGCGAATCGCTTCCTGAGGGGCTTGAGGCAGTAAAGAAGGATTGGGGTTGACTGGGGTCGGATTCCGGTGCCTCGAAAGAGTCCAACTGTGCATGACGCAGTTTAAGAGGTCTATTCATGCCGGCGAGGGCCGTATCTGTTGTGTCGGGGGTGACAGGAAAGCTAGTGGTTGGCCAATTTGCACCGCTATTCTTGATGGACTCCTTACGGGAGCTGTGAGTTAGGGCGCGGCGGAGCTTGTCGGACACAGCAAGAGAGAGATTGGGTGTAAAGGAGCGTGCGTGTGATTTCTGTGAATTCTTCTTCACGGATCCGCTCACAATGGGAGAGGCGGCTCTCGAGCCCATCCTCTGTGGTTTACGCGATGATACCTGCGGGTAAGGCTTAGACGAGCGGCGGTCGATTCGGACGTGAGAAAGATCCGAGCCTGGCTCCGTCTTGATATCCTGTGTCGATTCATCGCTGGTGGAAAGTTGAGACTAGAATACCGGTTAGACTATTTATCAAGGCGGGGTTGGTTTGCGAACTGAGACGAGGAGCGGAGCATACATCTTGCTGGTTCTCGGAATCGTCGTCGGAGGGCCAAGAAAGCCCTCCAAAGTGGCCCACGTTAAAGGTGAAGTTGGCCAGCTCGGGAGGAGTTGGTTTCTGAGCGAGAGGATACTCTTTGGAGTCAAGGGATGCCAACGGTCGGGTCTCTCTGACGAGGAGAGGAGGATACGATCTCTTAGTAGTAGTGGTGGTGGTGACGGTCCTGGTCTCGACGCACTCTGCAACACCGAACTGGATACGCGAAAGTGGAGAAGCGGAATCGGCCTCGTCGAAGTTGACGGACACGGTGGTCTGGCTGGACCGAGGCCGGCCAGAATCCATCCTCTCGTCAACCAGGGGTGCAGATATCCTCATAGTACTCTTATCACCGTACACAAGGCCATGTACAACCGGAAGAGTTGAGGAGAAAGGAAGGCGTCGTCGAACGTAGGGATGAATCACGGCCTCGGCGAATCAATGTTGCGGAGTCGAAGTCGAGGTCGAAGTCGAGGTCGAAGTCGAGGTAGAAGTCTAATATGTATGACTGGACAAACAAGGGTTGGAGGGGAAGGAGACGATGCGAGAAAGTAGAAGCGGGAAAAGTAGGGGACACAAGAAAGGCGTGGACAGTCGTGGGCGCGTGCCAGAGAGTAGCGTGTCGTGTCGTATTTTGGCTTCGGGTTTAGGTTATGTCGCGGTTCAGCTCGATGACGAGACCCGTCGTGGCATCACGAGGCTGAGTTTCGAACACGCGTAATGAAGGGAGGGCGGTTTCTGAAGGTATAGGGTGGCGGCGGTAGACGGGTTCGCCGAGTGGAGGAGGCGGAAAAGAGAGAAGAGGAGAAAGAGGAGGAGGGTAGTGTAGGTGAGCGATGTAGGTGAGGATCGTATTGGTTGTGAATGGGAATGGAAATAGTAGTAGAATTCCAAGGGTTGGAGGAGGGGAGGAAGAGGGCCAGGGAGAAAATGTGAGGAGAAGAGAGACGGACGAACCTGCCCTTCCTCCCTGCCCAGTTAGCACTAATGCAAGTAGTGAAAACAGATTCATATGTACTACTAGGTAATTCACCCCAAATCCTGCAGGTGGGATAGGCGAATATATTTAATTATACCTCACGTAGAATCAAACTCTTTTCTACCCTATCAGGGACGCTAGATACTTCCTATCGATACTAGTAGGTACCTAAGCCTGTCCCCTAAGTACCTACCTAGCGACCTAGGTACCTCCTGCTAGTAAATCGGGTAGGCACCCTCGAGGTAGGTACCCACCATAACAACACCAGGTACTCCTTCGGGACTCCGAAGTATTGGAGTACATGTTGAGGTCCATACGGGCCTCCTGCTTTAGGTGCCTACCACCTTCTAGGAGCCAGGTGGCCCCGGGTACATGGAAGGTACCTGAAGTTCCCTGCATACTCGTACATGCATGCAATTGCATATATAATTTAAAAAAATAAAAATAAAAATAAAAAAAGAAAGAAAGAATCTATGATTGCATGGGCGGAAGGCGGGTAAGACAAGATGATACATGGCATTAACCTGCTCGCAGCCCGGTGGTTGAGGAGGTAGGATACGTAGGGCACTAACCTAAGCCTGTAGGCCCCGCCAACCCGCACATCAGGTGCATTTACCAGGCCTTTAATTTCTCGGCCTCCTTGTTTACCTAACCCTATACCTCAGGCAGCCGCGAAGCTGCGTTTAAATGTGTATAGCATGCCTACCTCAAAGTACCTACACCTGCCTCTTACTGACCTGACTGCCCTGAAAGGCAAGTACCTAGACGCCTATATAAGGTATACGCCTACCTTTCCAGGTAAAATACATTCGATGTGCCCGTATAATGCAATTGAAAGCGTGCACACATCGGGGATCGCATCACGTTCCCGGAGGAGCATCGCGGCAAACCCCGTCTGAAAATGCCATAAAAAAGGAAAGTTGCCTAGCGATGGGGAGTAGAACCCGGTAATCCTAAGCGCTCTGATAGATGCATAGCTGGCGCCATGCGCCCAGGCACCTAACCCGCTCCGGTGAATACCATCACTCTACCAGCTAGGTAGGTACCCTGGGCACCTCAGGCAGTTGCGAACTAAGAGGTAGGCAAGTACCTCCTAAAGTACCTACCCAGTAGGTACCTCCTAACCTGACCTAACATGACGGGCACGTTACCAGGCCTCCTTCTCTCCCTCTGCTCCTCTAGTCCTCTTCGTCTTCGTCTCCGTTATTCGTCTATCCCCATCCTCTTCGGCCCTGCATTGCTCTCCCTTCCCTAAATCCACTCCGACTCTCCCCTCCCTCTCTTCCCCCTTCCCCCGAGCACGCGTCCGTCGGCACTGATATCGATCTCTATCTAAGGCGAATCCCCGCCAGAGGTCCGGCTCTTGCTAATCCCGTCCGATGAGACGACAACTCTCGTAACTGGGTTGTTGTGAGAGGAAGAGCGCGCACTGTCGATGTGGCCCTCAACGCATCTCCCGCTCTTCGGTTTGCGCGTGTGCGCGTGTGTGATGGACGGCCTGGATAACCTTGCAGACCCGCCTGTTTGGGATACCTTCGACCGCCTGGAAAACCTGAGCCTGGCAACCCCCAGATGGTCTGCCAATCAGCAAAACTCGGTGCCGCCGTAGGAGTACCAGGCCTCCCCCCGTATATGGCACTATCGCGTACGGCGCTATCGTCGCGTTTCTTAGCCGGCTATCGCGAAGACTGCCAAGTATGCACATATACATAGCTACTACGCACTGCCAAGTGTACGTGGCATGTACGCACATGTTCGCCCAGCCGTTGGAGGCGCTATGTACGTTGGATCCGTTCCGGGCACGGTAGCACGTTGGCGTGCCTGGCGCAAACAGAATCGTGTAGTAAGGGAATACCCCATCACGCACACATCCTCCTGTCGGGATGAAACCGCCTGCCTACATGCACGTACATACATATAGATACCTAGGTACTGAGCTGTGCCGTAACATCTCATCGATACGTAGCCGGGAACTCCAAGGGTTATGCGACATGCGCCCTCGTGCACGAAGACACGCCAACCACAGAGGCACGCGTACCTCGAGCGGGTAGATATCGTGGCGGCACACATCGCATGCAGCACGCCGTCGAGTCTGGCGGCTGGTGCCGGATGGGACGAGAAAATCATCCGAGCGACCGTGTCCCCGACAGCTGCCACCGCAGCCGGTGCGGATTCCCATGTACACACACGCGTTAGGTATCTGGAGTAGGTACCTCCGCCACTCACTCTCCACTAGGGACAGTTGGAACGCCGGGAGCAACAGTGTCGGCACCGATGCAAGCTTCAGGGTGATCATCGTGACGGGCTGGGGGTACGGGGACCCGTGGGCGACGGTCTCGCCGCGGTATAATAAATGTCGACACGCCTAGCCGGTAAAAGACCCTCTCCATCTGTGCCTACGACACGGGAAGCTCATCCAGGCTACCAAGCAAGGAGGGGCAGTCTTATCGAGGCGTGAAGGATGGCAAACGCAGACGCCATGGACAAAGCCAACCTCGACGCACACGAGAGTTGCAATCGCTGTGCGGGCCTGCATTTACCGGAATCCCGCCGCCCAATGGTGGGAAGCCATCGAGCCAACATCAAGTAACACCATTGTCGACAGCGTCCCCGCCCCAGGTCCGGCGGCTTACTGGCGTGTAAACGATCGTCCCCTCGTCTGGGCGGTGACTGGCTGTTCGCGGGCGTGATCACCGGCTCGAGAATCTTTCGAATATCGGCTGATCGGGGGTGGTTAAAAGGTACCCAGCACGCCAACATGCTCCAAGCATGGTCCAGCATTCCCCCTCCATCAACTATGCACGTGGAGGCGTAAATCCCGGGGTGGACGGCTGGGTCGCCAGTGGTGGCAGCCCTCTCCGGCGGTGATGCAATGAGAGAAAAAAAAACCGACCCAAGCGATGGGGGCGTGCCTGAAGACGTCTTGTCTCCGATTTCGAATCCCGCAATCTTGCATGGGTGCCAACGGTGTGTATCAAGTCTTGAATATCTTCACATACCATGGGACCGAACAACAGTAATTCCAGTGCACCCATAAGCGTACCTCGTCCGTTCCCACCCCTGGCTACCCACCGCTATTATATGTAGATATAAATCCCACAGCGATAGGTAAAGCCAAACAGCTCGGTGCACGCCTCCGAAGCTTCGTTCAACCAGTGATTACATCAACCCCTTCGTGACCTGGACCGCGCCTCGCGCAAAGCTGAGGCCTCCGTCCCCTTAGCGTAGCTGAAAATATTGTCGTCGTAAAAGTGGATATGCCTTATGGTCTCTCTCTCTCTCTCTCCTCACCACCGAGACCGGATTCTTTTTTTTCGTGACTCTTCAGCCTGCGAGAGGCCCGTAAAGCACCTTGTCCACCCCTGTCCTTGGTGGGAGGCTTGGTGAACACACACCAGCACACATACAGATCGGACACCTTAAGCGGACCGATCCGCTGCGCGGACTGCCCGGGCCGTATGATCACTTGCTGGTCGCAAGGCCTCCCGGTCATGGAATCAGACGGCCCTCGCCGGCTTTGGTAACCTCGTGCCTGGATACTCCAGTGGCATTCGCGATAGATTGGTACTGGCACCCGGATGCTCATGAGTTCCTTGTCTGCTCGAGTTGTTACGTCGATCACATACATAGAACTACGTTCGGGGAATCGTTTCGATGCAACGATTCGACGACAGGCAGCCGCGGGTATGCCGGTTCAGCAAGCCCAGGATTCGGGGCTGCCTCCTCAAAGCTGCCCTCGCGATGGGCACCCTCGAGCTAGCACTAGAGCGGATGCGCTTTCGCCCCTCGATTCCCAACTGCAAGGGCACAAACGGTGCCAGGGGCACCGCCGGCATCAAATGGTACGCGACAAAATTCAAGGAAATAGACGGCTCTGTTTCCTGCTAGGCCTGCTACGAGGACCGTGTCCCAGCCAACCGCTTCTCTTACCCACCTAGAGCCTGCGCGGCGACAGCCCGAGGGGGACACCTGGGCTTGCGATATCGCCGCCCCCCTCATCTAGAGGGAATACGAGCTCAAGGCCAAGTTTAACGACTGGCCCGGTTTCGTCCGCGAGGCGAAGGTGCGGACGTCTATCCCGCCGTGTCCGCAGCAAGCCCGCGTTCCGACCTACGGCAGGAAATGGGTTGTGCCTCGGGACGGGCCCAACGGGATGATCTTCTGTACGGCCTGCTATTGCGACCACGTCGTCCACACCGGCGAGGGACAGAGGTGGAAGGCGGCGGAGAACTACACCCAGTCGCGCGAGACCAAGGCTCGGTGCGGCATGAGCGTCCTGGGAATTGGGACAGCTATGACGTCCGCCCAGGAGGTCGAGGACTACTAGATCTTCTGGACGGCCGTCTACAAGCTTAGCAACGAGAAGTTCTGCGCGGACGAAGACATCTAGGGCGGGGTCTGGTACACGCTGCCCTCGAACCCGGTCAACTTCGGCGTCTGTGCAAGCTGCTACGTCGCTGCCTTGGAGCCGCTCGGCGTGCCGCAATTCTTCGTGCGCCAGCCCGCCGCGCCGGTCGGGAGCAAGCTGCTGTGATGCCTCAACCTGGCGCGCCCTCGCATAAAGCAGTTCTTGCCACGGCTCCTAGAGACGTGCTTCACGCGCGGCCCGACGTCATTCGACCAGGCTGCCTCCGCATATGCTTCCATCCCGTTGTGCCGGCGCGACGAAGACGTCGGCAATCGGCGCTGGTACGGGCGGTCCGACTGTGCGATTTGTCCGGAAGGCTACTTGGACTTCGCGCGCCACAGCCCGCTGGCCGGCATGATGGAGCTTGAAAACACGTCCCGGGAGGCCGGCATGATGTGCGAGCTGTACAGCCCGCGCATGCGCACTCTCCACAAGCAATGCGGCGAGGCCCCTCGACCGGACCCCGCCCCACTGCTGGCATCCTCGGTTCGGTGGCGGCTCATCTGGGCGGGGACGGTGCCGCGTATACGCATGATGCTATTCCAGGGGCAGATGATGCAGATGGAGCAGCAGATGCTGAACGGCATGAGCCTGGTCTCTACGACCGCCGGCGGGATCGACCAGATCAATTACGGGTCTTTGCGCACATATAGTTCTCCCGCTGTGAGGCACGGCTTTCAGTTCGATAACATGAACCTCCTCAGGGCTGCCGTGTATACAGTAGGCGTATGGCCTCGTTGCAAATAGCGGGAGTACGGTGGTGATGGTGGGGCCAGCTGGAGCAACGGCGGAGGGCCGTTGAATAAATAGCCTACTTAGCCTTCCAAATTTGGAGCCGTGGTCAGGACGAAAGGGGGAGTATACAGCAGCATCAATATTCCATGTTTGACTAGTGACTCCAATGCGTAGATCTCTCATAGACGAAGGACGAAAGGGGGAGAGTGGTATTTTACGGAAGCTTGGAATCCGCCAACTTCACCCCCCTACCTCAGGCGGTCAGCCTTAATGAAGCCCTTATTCTTGATTTCGTACGAGCGAAACCAAACCGGCACCGATGCGCAAGCCATAAATGCCAAGTCAGGACCTAGCGATTCGCGTAGGATGGGCTTGACTCCTTGGCTCTCCGTCTGGACCCGAGCGGGGGATGGCTCGGTAGAAGTATTGGAAGCTGAGGGGGAAGAAGAGAGGTAGGCATGGTAGGGTTGATTTTTGAGGGTGGTGGTATCAAGGGCACAGCAACTCACTGACGCAGGGGGATTTGAAACGCAGGCAGCTCTAATTTGAGTCTGTGCCGCTGTCGCGACGTCGTTGTCGTTGTGGCCGCCTGCAACCGAAGCAGGGCACTTCTGCCGTGACCTTGGCCTCGTCTGTGTAGTCACACACACACGCCCCTTTAGTTCCCCATGTCTGCGTCCGTAGGTAAGCATCGGGTACTATTGCCTACTTGCCTGGTGGGGTGGCAGTGCGCCATACTTGCTCGATGCTACAACGCCAGGTTTCCGCTAATACACAGCCATATTTTCCGTCCTCTCGCCGGAACGTAGGCGGGTTACTTTCAGGGGGTGCGAGCGGTCGTCTGAATGCAGTCTGTGCCTGGTTCCCTCGCGAGGCACCGCGGGCCGTGGAGGTGACGGCCGGCTTCGCGCCCGATAGGCCGAATACGCACTGGCTTTATTCCTCCTGGGGTCGACAGCTCACATAAGGAATCGGGGGATGGCTGAGCACATATGGGGTATGGATGTATGCAAATATGGACATACATGCCTGCGTAGGTACCTCACTGGTCTGTACCTATATATATATAGGTATATAGGATACATGTTGTGATGGATGCCGATGCGGAATGTTCCATGCCTGGAGAGCACACGGCTGGCCCCATCAGCCGATATCCCATCCACCCCCATGCCAAATCCAAGTGGCGGAGACGAGTTTTACCAAGATCGAGTAGCACCTATATGTGTATCAATTGCTACTCAACGTGGTAACGGTGGTGTGTACCGCCTATGGGAAGAGGCGTGTATCGCCTATAACAGGTACCTACCTCTATGTATGCCTACCACCTACCTACCTAGGTGGTGTGTACCCTACGGAGATCCCCTGTCTGGTATCCTAGCCGGGTTAGGTATATGCCAGACTCGCGTCTCCGGGCCTCAACCCCTTCTTCATATAGCAGCCGGGATAGGGACGTCGAAAACGTGGATGCAAGAAGACAACGGTATAGACAATACAGATATAAAAATAAATATACCTACCTGCGACAATGCACGATTGCCTTAGACCGTGTCGGCACGAAGACAAGCACGCCCTCTCTTTCCGTTCCTCCGTCATCTTCCATTGTGCGCCTCTTCCGTCGGACCGTCAGCATCTCACCAGCTCCAGCTTAGCGGCTCTATCCGCTCGACCTAGATGGTTTTTAGGAGGCCCAGCCAGAGCCAGCGCAGCCAGCTTCGCGATTCGAACTAGTGTGCTACTGTCTTGGCGGGTGGCCCGGCTTGGACGGAGTCACCGTTTCCTTGGTCCGGAGACCAAGCGCATCGTCGCACCTCAAACGGACGATGATCAACCGGAGCTCGCCAGTAGGTATGTATGAGTATGTACGCAGGTATACCCACCTATCGGCTCTCTGCCAATACCTACAATGACGTCGGTTCTTTTTATTTTTGCATCATCCTCGAGACCAGACGATATCTGATCCTATGGCCGTACCCTATGTGTACCGTGCAGGCACTATCCTATCGTCCAGCACACGCCTACATCTTCTAAGAATCTGAGCCGCCTGACCCGCAGTCTCATCCTAACCAAGACATAATACACCAACGCCATCCCTGCTCACAGTACTCATGATACCTATTGTAGGCCGAGTGTTTATCTAGGACACACCTTGCGCTGCCGTACCTCAGTCTCGATTGGCTCGCTTGGGCGTCTACACACCACCCGCCACTATTCACCTTAGCTCCCGTCTAAGCACATTGCCTTACCCAAGCGCGTATTGGGCGTCGGGCGTTGGCGTTACGGTGGCTTTGTCCGCGGTGCCCGCGCCCTTGTCGGCCTGTATATGTGGTGGTGGGACCTGCTGAAAACACAGGGCGGCGTGGGGGTCTGAGGAAACATGCTAATATAAAGAGAGCGACGCAGATGCCGACAATTATTGTTGATCTTCGGCATACAGACGAGTTTCTCCCGTTGGTTATGCCATCGCAGGAGCAAGGCGGTGCTTGCGACGGTTACCGTTGGCTGAGTATATACTCACGATCGAACCGACTCGGAAGCTTCGAGGTGTTGTGGCATTATTGTCCCTGAGAGAGAGCGAGAGAGAGAGGGGACCGTCGTGGATTCCGGTGCCGGCTTCGGGGACATTCCTAAGAGGAAAGAAGAAGGAAGGAGAAAGAAGAACAAGGAGAAGAGAGAGGAAAAGACAAGCAAAGAGACGGCACCGGATATTCAATCCCGCCCTACTCGCGCCATGATACAGAAGGCGTTGCTGCACCTGAGGCAACACAGTCGCTCCGCAATTACAACTCGAAGGGCGTCGAATTTCAATAGCGAACAGCAACCAGATAGGTCTCTGGATCGTCTCCTGGCGGGGAGGGTCTACATAGAAGAGCTGCCTCCGGATATCGAGCCTATTAGGACGCTGCTGGTGAAGTACAGCGGGATTCGCACCAAGGATGTCGACGAGCATGTTCATCAGATAGTACGTGCGCCTCGAGTCATGAGACACCCATCCCCCCTCTTCCCGTCCCTCCCTATTCCGGCTTATGCTGAGCGATACTAACTTGCCGTGTATCTAGCGCGACCGCCTATGGGATATATACCCTTACGCCACCATCGGCCATTTCCGCTTCCTGTCCCTCAAATTCACGCTAGATTCTTGGTACCATGTTGCCCTGGACCGGCTGCTCGCGCCAAGGTCTGACGTTACGTTTCTCGACGTAGGCTGCTGTGTCGGACAAGTGCTACGGAAACTCGCGTTCGACGGCGTGGACCCTGGGCGGTTATACGGCTTAGACCTCGAAAGCCGCTTCATAGACGCTGGCTACGACCTGTTTAAAGACCGGAACAAATTCAGGGCTACGTTCCTGGTTGACGATGTGCTGAGACGTGGCAGCGTGGGCGGTGGCGATTCCGGGTCCGAGGCGCTCGACGGCAAAATCAACATCATCCACGCGACGAGCTTCTTCCACCTGTTCACGTGGAGGGACCAGGTTCGGGCGGCCCAGCGCATGGTCCAATTTCTCGATCCTGACGACCCGGACGCTATGATCTTCGGCCGCCAGGTCGGGACGACGACGCCCGGGGATAAGGAGTGCAGCAGAGGACCGAGCAAGTTCCTGCACAATGCTGTGAGCTGGCAAGCGTTGTGGGACGAGGTCGGCGTTCTCACGGGGACCTCCTGGCGAACCGAGGTCAGCGAAACAGAGGAGAGGGGCATGCGCGGGGATGAGACCGCGGACGGAACACTCCGACGGATACGATTTGGTGTTTTTCGGGCGTGAACGACACCCATGGCTGATCGGCCGTGCCGCAGACGATGTTATTTTTCACCGCCAGAGTCCGCGAATGAGAATGTGCGGGTGCTCGCGGGGAAATGAGCGACATATAGTGGCTTTTAGAGCCGCCGTTAACCCAAGGAGTAAAGCTCGACAAGAAAACCCGAGGTTGGCGACGGGCAAAATCACGAGTTGGGCCTAGTTTCGCTAGGCTGCCGTCGCTAGAGCCCTGGCGATTCTGGAAACAAATTCCGTTGTCGTCGGATGAACGGTACCACTTCATCTTGGCCGGTTGGATACGGTTCCCGCAATGATGCCATCCATACTCCAACCGGACGAATATGCTAGTAGGCAGTAACCGGCTCAATCTTCTCCTCGTACGCCTAGCCCCGGGAAGGCCAATGAAGGAGAGATATCTTTCAGACTACGCTCGACACAACCACGCCATTGGTTGCTGAAGAGGCTACTGTAGACGTCCAGGCTCGTCCACGGTGCCTTCATGGTCGGCTCGTTTCCGGCGCGATATCCTCGTCAAGATTCAGAGGAAGGCCGTACATCTATGACGACAACCCCTTCCGAAGTAGCATGGCATCTCTCGCTCAAGTATGCCTACCTCTTCGTCAGGCGCCGCGTCGCGATGCGAAAGAGAGCCTCTTCACTTCCACAAAGTAGACGTGCGCGGCGAGCATAATCTAGTTCCTCAAACCGTCTTTCTCGGTGGTTATACCTCCTGGGATCGGTCCTTCTCCTGTATTCCACGTATTCGCCTTTGAGGATACGGGCTTGGGCCGAGTGACGACCAAAGGGCCGCTGAACCCAAGGCGATAACAATACGTGGCCGTTCCGAACTCGAGGAACTCCTGAAGAACAGCCTTGTTGACCCTAGCAAGCTCTGTTATTGAAATCGCATCCATAGACGGAAGGATAGGCCCCGTTCCTAGGTGATGGGGAAAATCAATGGAGTTAAGAAGTGCAATTCGTATTGATAGATGGTGGTGAGAATTGTATGGTCGCGGCGAAACACGGCTCAAGGGACAGAGCAACGACTCGGGAGGGCGACTTATCGACTTATCGATACCTTCTATACCCTACGAGTACTTTAATTGTATCTTGGCGCCTCGCGCGCTGTGCCGATGTATGCACGAGCCTATACACACGGTTATGTGACGAACTTGCGGGAAGAGGAATCGCTAAATGTATGACGGAGGGACAGGAGGACGGGACTCGATCGAGGTCAATTAAATATTTGGACTGTAGAGCCATGCAGGATGTATAGTAAGCTCGCAAATAACAACGCGACAGCATTGCTAGTTACCTATAAAACCAGTAACAACTCCGATACATGACCGTAATGGTTACTAACAACGCCAACCCATGCTAACAATCGGTAATGGACCGGGGCGATAATGATAGCTTCACCATATTCGCTTGGCTATCATCTCGTATCTCACGACTTTAGAGAGCCCGTCATCGCCTTTCTCCTTAAACTTCTCCTCCGTCTTGCGTTCCCGCTCGCGCATCTTCTTCAGTCCATCTTGGTCATCTTCGTACAACCATCTCCTACGATCGTCTCCGATCTCGACAGCGCCCCACGAGCCGATTCGCTTGCCCGGTTGCGAAAAGTTCTCGTGCTCCGCCTTGCCGGCCGCTACGGAATGCTCCTTTCGCTTCATCGCAACGTATCGCTCCCTCGAGTACCGCAATAGAAGCATGCCTAAGAGGAGCTTTGCGATGAGAAAAACAAACCAGAGAGACATGAAGAATATCGCGGTCATGGAGACGGCGATTACATCATCCGAGGAGAAGGCCCAGAAGGACGGGGGATCAGGAGAGTTGTAAGGATAACCATACACTGCACGACCTAGTGCGTTTCTGATAAGTGTATCGAGATGCTCAAACGCAGCAATCATAGCGGGTGAAGAGGGGGTGGAAGATTCGACCAAAAGTTCCGTAGTCGATGTTGGGAGGGGCGGATGTAGATGTGTAGAGAGGAACATATGGTAGACCTGCATCATGGCGCGGACGAAGAGGCACGAGAGAGGTAAGAGTGGCAGCCCCAGACGGCGGGTCAGCGACGGCGCCGAAAAGGCCTGCTTGGGTGGTGAGATAATTGTTCTGCAGCGCTTTCGACAATGATCATAGCTGATATGAACCAACTTACATTTGTATAGTAGTCTTTGGCCAGTACGTCCAGCATTCTCTTATATATGGTGGGCTTGATGTTGTTGAATTTATTGATGTACGCGTGCTTGATCCAGTCGACCATCATCTCGATGCCAATTACGACGAGGAAGGGCGAGAGTACTTCACCCGAGAGGAGCCACGACGGCAGGACAGTGAAGCTCGCGGGTAGAATCGAGCTCGTGTGCACCGGCCCGGGCTTCGTGACGTTTCCGTCCAGCTCGCTCCCGGCCCCTGGCACGGAGAACCCGCCTACCTCGACAACGTTTCGCATGCCGATGATGGACAAGATGACCCACAGCTGGAAGCGCTCAACCACGTCTGAACAAGTAAGCTGAAAGAGGTTCTCCTTCTCGATCCTCTTGAACACGCTCCCCTTGATCTCGACGAACTGGTTTGAGATGAGAAGGGTAAGGAGGGAATTTGAGTAGGAGTTCACGGCAACATTCAACGTGATGGCCTGGTAGAATAAGCACCAGGTGTGGAGGACGTTGTATATCAACGAGAGGATGAACATGCCAAGAGGCAAGAGCACCTTGGACCGTCCGGAGCTGTTGCGGGAAAGGGTTTCGGAGCTGAAGAGACACTCAAGAATATCCTGGCCGAGCGCCGAGAGGAGCCTGTCAGCAACCTCGAGGATATTGAAAATTACGTACAGTTTCATGGAGGACTGGGCTCGGATGAAGTGATACATTCGGCTGGCGTCTACGCCCATTAGGGCTATGACGCTGCAGAGGAGGATAGCACCCTGGAGGAGATCGGCTTTGTGATACGGCGTAAGGTTAGATGGAATCGACTTCGTTCTACGGTGTCGAGAACCCCCGGTCCTAGGCAGAGGGTGCTTTGGCGGGTGGAATACGCCGTTGCCGTTCAAGCGAGAAGTCTCAAGGGAGGTCAGACCTCCTGGCTCAGATGCGGTGCGATGTCGCAGCGTTCCGTTCTGCTGGGTGTTGGAGCTACTCCCTCTCGCTCGGCTCTGACTCCTTTCAGCCTCGCTGGCGGCTTGGCTGGACTGATCGTGAGGAGGCCGTCCCCTCTTCGCTCTCTGCCAGAGCCGCCAGATACCTTGCCAGACATAGCCAACAACCCACCTGACCTCTTTCCCTACCACGTAGGCCCACCATTTCCCAAGCACGCCTGCGGCGATTAGGAAGCGCATAGGTAGGATGGTGATTGTATACAGCCATGCGTCGAGGCACGCTAGGGTACCGAAGGTGAGGATCTGTTCGAGATACCATGGTAGACTGATAGCATTAAATAGTCGCTCGAACTTGACGGCACTAGATTCGTACGGCATATCGGCGGCATGCGAATGGTGAATGTAGAGGGGACTGGGCCGCTGACCAGCTAATTCAAGATTGAGGTGAGTATGGATCGACATGGGAGCGAGGGGGATGGCGGGAAGAATGGGAGATGGGGGTAGCTGATCGACCCGGTCTGGCTTGTGCGAAGACATAGATATTTTTGGCCCGACGTGGGAAAGATTCAGGGGAGAAGGGCGAGGAAGAGGATTGAACGAATTCCGTCTCGCCGCGTTTGGTGACGTTGTATGGGAGCTCATGGTTGCCCTCCGATTGATAGGAGGGGTGGAAAGCGTCCGCGATGGAGCAGGAGGCCGTCTGAGGTCGGCGGCGGTTTTGGGGGAGTTGCAGACTGGCGTAGATGGCACAGCCAGACTCTCGTTCTCGGCCGAGGCGTGAAGGCTATTTTGAAGTTGTCCCACGGGTAGACGGGACGCCGACTCAGCTATGCCGGCGGATTTCGGATACTCGGTGCCGTTCGCTTTGCGTTGATGAGGGGGGGGCAGCGGAGGAGGAGCAAGAGAGAGAGGGGCGGCGGCGACGGGAAGGGAATCGGGCGACGAGGTCAACGCCTGCATCTGGGAGGCAGACAGCTTCCTAACACTCTCATGACTCGGCTTCTTGGTGGCGGGCTTCGAAATGGACAGCGTACGCGGCTTAGAAACAGTGATGCTGTCGACCGACCGACCGGACGTAGCTTTTTCGGGAACGTGAGAAACGGTGACCGTTGAGGAAGGGTGGTCGTTGACACTGTTGCTCCCACTACTACTGGATGTTCTGTCGGACGAGCGTGCGTAGGCATCCCCGCTGGCGACTGGCCGGGATCTCTCAGGTCTCGGGGCGGCGGAAGTCGAGGCGGCGATTTCGAGCGTGGGGAACGGATCGGTTATGGGCAGTGGTGGTTGCTTTGCGGTCATCTTGTCTGCTCGAGAGACGCCGTCGTCGTCCTGATCCTGTTTTTCTTTCCTCTGCAAAGTCCTCCCCAGCCTTTCACTAAATTCCGTTTCCTCTGCCGCCCCTCTTACTTCCTCTTGCAAGAGCGTGCCACGGTCATCCCAGGCGCGACCGTCGTCGAGGTCAACGTCCTTATCTCGCATGGTCGATTTGGACATTAAGTATGGAGATGGTGATATTTTCTCGATTCACCCATGGTTTCTGGGAGCATGTTGGATCCCGTCCTCCGTCCGTGCTCCTGGTCGCCGGTACGGATAGCACCGGGGAAAAGACAGCAGAAAATGGGCGCGATCTCACGCCGCTTGTTGGGCGATGGTGCAGTTAACTAAGTGTTGTATCGTCGAAGGGTGAGAAGAAGCCAAGTTGAAATTCCGACTGGGGTATGAATGTGATAGGTTAGGTATCTGCCTGCAGCCTTGCAGTGGACCACCTGCCTGAGAGTTCTAGCGAATAAAGTACCTGAAGGTACCTACATACCTACGTCATCAACTACCTAACACGTATAAGCCTACTAACCTGTGGTGAAGGTACCTAGGTACTACATAGGTACGTACCTAACCAGGTACGTAGGTACGTACTGAAGGTATCTGGGTGTAGGTACCTCTAAGGTATACTGTCATAAATGCATGTGCATGTATGGGTGAGGCGAAAATAGGTACCTACAGATTGGATCAATCTAGTAATCTAGGTATTCATCTTGTCGCAGAAGCTCATGCTAACTATCTCAACAAATGTGGAGATTCGCCATCTCGCAACATCGCATCGCTAATAGCGATGCCAATATGAACTTCTGAGGACATAATGTTCGCCTATTTCACCTAGGTATTTCTACTCGGCTTATCCTATCTTAAAGCCTGCCCTGTTACGGAAGGAGTTCGCTTCCGAGGCTCCCAGATTAGATCGTCACCATGTAACAGGGGATTTGCTAGGCCGCGTAGGCATGGAGAAATTGGCCGACACATCGCTCTCACCTGTACCTGCAGCCTTGCGCTGTCTCTTTGCGGCTGAAGCGAACCGCCTCCTTGTATACCCGCCCTGGTGGGCGTGCGTCGACGTCGACGGGGCGAAGCCCGAATCCCTCGATTCCCAAGTATGGGGATATAGACCGAGCCGGCCAATCAAAACAACCAAATAGGCATACCTGGGTTGCTCTCGTCTTCGTCAACCTCATGGTTGCAGCTCGCACTCGGTCCCAGCCCGCATCCGGCCCATCGCTGACATACCTAGCGTGCGTCGTGTTCTCGGTCGGCGGCATATCCCCTAGCATCAAGTGTGTATCGAGATGGAGAGACAGAGAGACGATATATCAGCAGAGGGACTTTAAAAGCAGTGTCTTTCGCTCTATCTACTCGGGATGGACGGCACGACATGCTCGCTACGACCGCCGTTCACCTTGAATTAGGTATTTGTCAGATATACATAATGCTTGCCTACTTCGCTCGCCCGACGACTGTCTTCGCAGCATTGGTTGTTGGAAATGCTGTCCAAGCCGCCCTCCATGGTCACTGTCCACCTCTAGGGGCTGTCCTGCCGGCTCCGACCCGTCCCTCCGCACACGTATCGGTGCAAGCTGCCGTAGCAGACGTCACAAATACCCTCCGGAATCTCACTGTTGGACTTGACGCCACGGGGATATCGATCGCGGTTAAGTCGATACACGAGGCTGACCCGCTGCTCGAGCTCCATCATACGCCAGCGCTCCTCAACACCAATGGGACTGCTGCCATCGACTCGCAGTCTGTCTACCGTGTGGGGAGCATATCCAAAATATTCGCCGTGCTGGCTCTTTTACAACAGAGCCATGTGAGGTGGGACGACTTGATTACGGACTACGTTCCGGAGCTCCTCGAGCTGAGGGGAGAGACCGACGAGATTAACGACATTACAACTGTCTGCTGGAACGAGGTCACCCTCGGTTCCCTCGCATCGCATATGAGTGGTATCGGCACAGATCGTAAGTAAAACTAGAAACAAATACCCGGCCAGCGTTCCTGCTAACCAGCCCCAGTCGTGAACGACCTGGGTACCCTTCCGACAGACTGGACTCAAATTGGATTGCCTCAGCTCGACGAAACCCAGAAAACCGGATGCGCCGGCGTCCTTGGCCTTCCTCCCTGCGATAGAGCCCAGTTCTTTAGGGACTTCGGGAAGCGCCATCCAGTGTACGCTCCATTCACGAATCCGGTCTACTCTAACGTCGCGAGCGTTATTCTCGGCTTTGCAGTCGAAGCGATAACCAACGCAACCTATGACAACTATGTTAAGGAGTCGATCTTTGAGCCTCTCTCTATGACTAATACAACCATCTTCGACGCCCCGAAGAATGATGCTTGGGGCTTCATTCCCGTGAATGAGATGTGGTGGGGCAGCAGTTTCGGATACGAGGACATGTAAGTTTCGACGTCGGTCCGCTACGGGGCAAATCTAACGCCAGGCAGGGCGGGTGGTTTCTACTCGAACACGGTGGACCTTCTTTCCTTTGGTACCGGTATCCTGAAGCACAGCGTGCTCGATGCTCCCAAAACGAGGAAGTGGATGAAGCCGGAATCGTCCACCTCTTCATCTGGTCTCCTGATGGGCGGACCTTGGGAGATCTTACGATCTAAGACGGTAACCAAGGACAAGCGCCTTGTCGAGTTTTACTGCAAGGGGGGAAACCTCAGTACTTACAACAACATCTTATGCCTCGTGCCGGACTACGATCTAGTTATCACTATCCTCTCTGGCGGGTCGCAGTCGAGTGCCGATCTAGTTGATTTGGCTCTGACGAAGGTTGTCCAGGGGCTGCTTCCTGCTATCGAGGAGGCAGGCAAAACCGAGGCCTCGTCGAGATTTGGCGGCACCTACGTCGATTCGTCTACGAATTCGACGATTACCCTTTCGGTCGATGACGCCCCGGGGTTCGCCGTCTCCAACTGGGTTGTTCGCGACGTCGATATCGTTCAGAACTACGGGAGATTTTCCTCGCCGTCGAGCAGCCCGCAGGACCGAGAAGTCTCCGTCAGGTTGTATCCGACGAACCTCAGCTCGGGATATCAGACTGCATGGCGCGCCTTCTTCGACGTCGGAAGTCCCGAGCAGATGGCCGAGAAAGATATGAACTCATTCTGGCCTGACGCGAGCTGCCATACTTGGGGCTCTATGGATAGACTCACGTACGGGTTCCGATCCGTGGACGAGTTCATCTTTTCAGTCTCCGGGCGTGGCTCGGCGCAGAGCGTGGATCTCAGGGCTTTTAGGGTTCATTTGCAGAAGGCACTTTGATGAAATCTTGGCTGGAGAAACAGGCCAAGACAACGTTCATTCGTACAAATCTCCGGGGCGCACAATTTTGGAAGTGTACTGGAGCCGTCAGACCTGCTGTCCGTATACTAAATTTATTTCATATCTAGAGCAGATTACTCGTGCTCAATACTTAATGATACAGGACTCCACCGAAGCCGTCCCGTAGACAATCAGTTACCCCGCATAGTTCATTGAAAACAAACGGCACATGAATTTGTCCAAAGACCACAGCTCCTACTGCTATCGTCATCCACGTCCTACGTCTATTTCCAGAACGGGGGTGCCATAGCCGAATAGTATCATCGTATGCCGCTCTTCGAACACCGCCTCCTCTCGCATACCGATAAATCTTACCCTTGTTGTGTCTTCGGGCTCTCCTCCAAAGCCCGCGAACACCACGCGCCCTCCCATCGATCTCCAAAAGCAGAGCGTGCCAAATATGGCGACCGACATCTCCGAGTCTACCCGGCGACAGCATCAAGGGCCAACGGCGTCGTGTTTACGGGCAGCGCCATCGGTCTTGGCGCCCAGTCCACTACCAGGCGCATCGTGACCCCTTATCTATGTAGGTCCGTGTTTAAAAGCTGCGACCAAGTTGGGGAGTTATCCTTAGGACTGGCTGTCTCGAGCAAATCGCGGGACAGAAGCTTCGTCGGCGAGCGACTTCGATGCCGGCGTAGATTAGACGGGATTTAGCAGTTGGTCGAATAGTGAACGATTCAATCGAACTCCTTCCTTTTCCTCAATATGTGCCAACATGATGCCTACCACGAACGCGATAGCCATTGCCATTTCCAGTAGACGTGACCACAGCTACATGCCGTTACGCCCTCGGCTGGCCGGATTAGTTGCTATCTGGAGTCGTCGGTCTTTGTTCTGGTCCACTGGTCCTGGTTATCTCCGCCGCACCAGCCGGCCACCATTCCCCGCAGGACGAGCCATGAGCGCTGGCGCTGGCGCTCGAGGGCGGCAAGCGATGGCGTGATCGGCATCAATATGGCGATAGGCCATGGGAATCGGCGATGTCGATTGCACATGTCGGGATGTGTATGCGGGGAGTTCCAGCCTCTGTCGTTCCCCGGTTACCGTAAAAAGACCTGCAAGATTAAGAACCCAGCTGCTGCCTCCATCCATTCTGTAGCGATGTTAAATGACGCCGCATCATCTCTGGTCCCCATAGCTCGTTAATTCGATTGCCATAATAATCCTCGTCACCTCGTCGGCATAATAATAGCAAGTATAATTACCATGGCCTCCCCAATTCAGAAGAACCTAGTCGAGAAGAACGCGGAATACTCCAGCAAGTTCACCCAAGGCGACCTTGCCCTCCCTCCTGCGAAGCAATATCTTGTCCGTACGTAGTATTATCTCCCCACACCAAAGGGTTACAGCGGGCCGAGCTGCGCCCCTGGGGGGGCCCAACTAACCTTCTCGGATAGTGACATGCATGGACGCCCGTCTCGACCCGGCGGCAGCATTCGGCATCGACCTCGGAGACGCCCACGTCATCCGTAATGCCGGCGGTAGTGCGAGGGATGCCCTCCGATCCATCATCATCTCGGAGCAGCTCCTGGGCACGAAGGAGATAATCCTCATCAAGCATACCGGCTGTGGTATGCTGACGTTTACGAATGAGGATGCCCACGGTCTGGTGAAAAAGAACCTGGGCCCCAGTGCTGCGGCAGAGATTTCTACCCTCGACTTCCTCCCGTTTCCAAACTTGGAAGAAGCCGTGAAGCAAGACGTGGAATACTTGAAGAAGAGTGCCGCCGTGCCTGCAGCTGTACCCATTACTGGTTGGGTTTACGAAGTTGAGACCGGCAAGGTCAGGCAGGTCATATAGGCGGTATGGCGAGAATGATTTGGCATTAAGCGCAACAGTCGGCATCATACCTATCCGGCGTGTATAGGGCGAATCACCAGACAATCAACCCGATCCTGGCTCTATTTCCTCCTCCATCCCCCTCTGTGCTCCAGCTCAGTCCACCAAATGAAGGGCCGGATTACTTTGCCGATAGAGCACGCAAGCTGAACCTTGATAGAATGTAATCAGCAAATGCGGTCGTTCATTAGGATGAAGTACTATGGTCCGCAAGGGAACTCTGATTGTGCACTTCTCTGCAAATATGAAGACTCGTATACACGGACAAAATACATAGGATAACACGAACTACCAACATGACTTTCGGGTAGGAGAATTATCTGACGCAATTGGTGACTCGCCGTTGCAAGTTCCACCGGCCAAGTAGCTACCACTGAAATCGTCAGTAAACGCGATAGAGATCCCACGTTTATGCTCAGTACGAGTTGTAAGAGGTCCGAGAAGAGAACTCCGAACTTTATTCCCCAGTAAATCCTGCCCGATATCAGAACCTATACCCTCGGCTTAACTCTGCCAACCTCCATGCTGTCCACTCCATGTTCATAGTATACCTTCCGTGGGGAGGACGACACCGATGTAGGAAACCGAATAGCTAATAGGCGGCTTGAGCGGGGATCTAATGTAGAAGCATTAGGATGCGAATTAAGAGGCGGACAATGGAAGATGGGAACTTTCGTTCAAAAGCGCGGGATCGATCATTGCCAGATCGATCATTGGCATTGTTTGTGCAACCGGTGCACCTCCATGATCCTCGTCATCGTCGTCTCGCCGAGGTTTCGGGCCTCGGTCTGGTCGATCGGGTGGAGAGTTATCCCCTTCGTCAGAACTCTCATCTTCTTTTCCCTTGGAGGCTGCCTCGTCGGCGGCATGATCCTGGGGGCTTTTCTCTTGATTACCGGTGCCGTCTTCCGCGCCTTTGTGCTTTCTCCGGCGATGAGTGCGGAAGCTGTTGAGGTTCGCATATTTGCGACCACAGCAGCGCAGGTCACTCTTCGGCGCTTGCTTTTGAAGATAAGCCGAGTTGGGCTTATGAATCTTGGACAAATGGGAAGAAATATTATGGCCGGCGTTGGCCATCTTCGAGCCGCAAGGACTGCCGTTCTTCAACATGCCACATCGGAATCTGCCACTTTTCATCACACTCCCCACAGCATTTTTTAAGGCTGGCTGAGTATCATTATCAGGTTCGGAATCGCCTGGAAGGCCGCCACGCGGCGTAGGCTTTCGGTCCTCCTTTTTAGGAGGCATGGCTTGGGTAGAGAGGTCGGCACGCTAAAGCTTTACAGTCAGTCGATACCCGCGTCGTCTCCTCGCAACTACGCCTTTCAGGACCTGATAATGAATCGAGATGGGGACGTTCGGGGACAAGAAGGGGACAGATCCGGGAATCCATCACTGCTAACAAAATGGAAAACATATACTCAATGATAGGATGCCAACTTACTGTACTGCTTGATAGCTTTTTTTAGGGTATCCCCAAGTTGCTGATTCTCTAGAAATGATGCCTTTGTGAGAGAGGAGGAGGGGCGAAGGAGAGAAGAAGAGGGAGGAAGGAAAAGATCTCAAGTCCGGGGGGTCCGGCTTTATATGCCGGAAAAGCGGGTCAACCGGAGCCGAAGGTGTGATCTCTTCCCGGGCAGGAGTCCGGACCCGTAGATGTATTGAATTGTCATATACCTATCAGCATGTATATCAAGTTGGCACAAAGCTCTGGGTCACCTGGTGGGCAAAGAGATGTTTGTGCGTGGGTCATCTCCAGTCAACAGACAGGGCGAGGATGTCTTGACTTGGTGTGTAGCACTGGGTTGGTTTAAAATTGATCACTTGTCTGTACTATAGTTAGGCTTGATGTCTTGACGGGCGATACTATTCTATTATGAAGAAGGATGTAATCCACAACTAGTGTGACTTGTCAGTGAATGGAAGAGGATCTCAAATTTGGCAGGACTACTATTATCCCTATATATTGTGACGCTGTTAAGGTATGTTTACTAGGACAAATCACCTCGTTATGGAAGTGTTGATATAGATGTTCGTGATTTCACCGTTTTCATATCATTTGTCCTCAGTCTTTTTATCTCGTCCCCTGCACTATTGCTAGTATCACAAAAGCCTACCCATATTTAGCCCATAGCTTCGGCCCCTTTCAATATGTTCTTAGATATAACAAGCTAGATGCTCTCGAGAAAAAAGCCATAAGACAACTAAGATGTCAATACCCAACAAGCTAGTCCACCATACAAAACTTTCTAATTCTGTCCAGGCAAGGCAGTTCTGGTGAGAGTTACATGAATTGGGGGTATATCATCATCTCCTACACTCTTCTTAGGAATGATTGAACTACCTGTATACTGTTAATAAGAGTCATGTCCTACCTTTCTGGGCCTCCCCTCGTTGGACTGATACGGAGCTATACTACCGAGGTTAAAAAAAAACATTGTAGCCCTCTTATACTGGGGCTGGAAGATACCGAGACTTACACAACATGTTCCGTGAGCTGTGATCGCCGGAGCCTTCCAGTAGAAGCGCCCCCCCCCCCCCCTTCTATACCCTTCTCCTCCTCTCCCCTAGCAGGGTTGGTCTGGGGTTGGGTTGGCTCGGGATGGGCGCATCGCTGGCGCTGGGGGGTGGTTGGTTCCTGTTCCGCCCTGTCGAGATAAAGATAATGGTATTGTTGATGAGGCGTAGCAAGACACATCAAGCTATCCACTGTTGAAGCTAGAGATCTCATAAGGAGATGTACCCAATTGCTATGCTACACTAATACTTGGTATTATATGTAGGGGTTCAATTAGAAGGCGGATCACGATCTGTTGAAACTTAACCGCGAAGCGTCATTTATCCCCGCCTCGTAGATCGGTGTTTGGTGTTCGGGAGGATCTGCCAAAGGTCTTGGGAACGAGCAGTGGTAAATTCGGGAAACCGGCAATCCCACCGGGGCCACATTCATGATAGTAGATAACAGCACGAATACTCAGAGGTGTATTATCAGGCGGATGTCTAAGCAACAAGGCAGATAGTATTGTCCCGCAGCTCCGCTCTTATATTTATCGTTTAATGGCACTCGAGATTCTTAAAATTGACGCTTGGGATCTTGGAAAATTGTATTTATTTCTGTGTGTAAGATGCTAGTAATATCGGCCTGTAGGTTGTATGTTGAGCAAACGACGTGGATGTAGACGCTCAGACACAAACAGCTTCGCTATAATCCCGAGGGGCGGCGATGGGCGTAGCAAAGAGAGCAAACTGGAGAGAAATAGGTGGAGCAGCACATCACTTCTCTATGGGTCTTCCGAAATATTATTACGGGAAGACGGGCCTTTGTTGCGGCGAAGCTAGGGGGTTGCGAACCATGATGGATAAGGACGATGATGATGCCAAGGAAAAAGGAAATGAGGGTATATCCGAGAAAAAAAGAGCAGAAGTGCATTCTTTGGTTATGAGGGGATTTTCACCGCGGAACTGCAGCTATTATAATTGGTTGGATAAACTAGTTGGCTGGTTAATAGGAATCACTTGGAATAGGGCCGAGGATTGAAGCGGGGGGAGGAGGACATAACTCAAAGTAGCAGGAAGTTGTAGGGGATCGACACGCCGATGCTAAAGCTTCGCTTCTATACGAGTCAAGGCGCGGCGATCTCTATCCGTTCAGGGTGCTACGATGCCTGACGGTACCCTGCCGAGGCTACTCTGACGTCTGTTCTCGATACTGAGAAACCAGCACAAGCCCAGATGCCTAGGGGTATAAAGCCTGCGGATGTGCACATTTCTAGTGTATGTTACCTCTCCCCCAGTAGTAGCACCTTGCTCATCCGAGTATGGTACTGATTCGATGCGCTCCCGCCGTGCCGCCCTCGTCGCCCTGGCCCTGGCCGGCCAGCGCTTGGTCTCGTCGCATAGCTTCGTATCCAACATCAACATCAACGGCCTTTCGTACGATGGCTTCCGCCCCACCGAGCCAGATGCTCACCCCTATGCTATAGGTTGGTCGACAGCGGCACTCGACCAAGGCTACGTAAATCAAACAGGATACCGTACCGAAGAAATCATATGCCACAGGGGGGCAGAGAATGCAAGGGGGTACGCGCCGGTTCCCGCCGGTGGCATTGTGCATATTCAGTGGAATGGCTGGCCGCAGTCGCACAAGGGACCCGTGATGGATTATCTGGCCTCCTGCAACGGTCCTAGCGAAACAGTCGATAAAACCAGGTTGCGGTTCTTCAAGATTAACCAGGTCGGGCTCGTGGACGGGTCTGAAGCTCCAGGGATATGGGGATCGGACCAGCTCATCGCGAATAACAATTCTTGGGTGGTTGAGATCCCCCGACGTATTCGACCTGGTTTCTACGTCCTGCGGACCGAGATCATAGCTCTGCACAATGCCTCCTACGAGATCGGGGCGCAAAACTATCCCCAGTGCATAAACCTGCAGATCACCGGCGACGGTCCCGATTTGCCTGCCGGAGTTCCTGGCCAGGCACTTTACGACCCCGAAGATCCTAGCATGCACCTCGATATCAGTGGCGGCATACCCGAATACACGATTCCGGGGCCACCCCCTATCGCAGGGATCGAAACTGTCACGTTGAGCCACCCTATGCCAACTGGAAGCGGGACTCCGCGCATAGGAACCGCTGAAGCCGCGATAGCAACTCTAGCCGAGATAGCTGATCGGATATATAACACTTTGGGCCCTGACGTATAATAGACAAGATGTGTACGCTGCATGACAGGCTGAGATGACATGGGAAACATTGTGTATATTTCTACGTAGACATATAACTTGTTAGAACACGGCGATCTTAACGACTTACACCCGCCGAGGTTACGTGCTAGGGAAAGGTTATTGCGCTGACTACTTAGTCATCTAATTCGTTCCCTTTGTAGAACCCTTGGAAAGCTGTGAAAGCGATAATTGCGTTTTCTAGGAGCACGCGAAGACTAGATATTGAGCAAGGGACAGCTGATCAACGGACGAGGCGATGGAGGACCTTGGTGCTGAGTCCCCTAGAACACCTCTACAGTTGTGACGCCGCTAACAGGACTCACCGGCACTGGGAATTTGGGCCTTCCAAGTGGAGGATTTGGTAAGTTTGGAGCAAGCACGGATGGTCCTGGACCGCCGGTAGAACCGGGGTAAGACTACTCACTCACTTCGATCCATCTTGCCTCGTCTCACCCAGTGATAAGTTTGATATCCTTTTGAATCTGAGCATGATCCTGATACGTCGCGTGGTAATCTTCAAGGGTGGGGGTCCACACTGGTTGCTCGAACTCCTTAGGGTAGAAGCCTGAATTCTCCCAGTCAAGGATGGCAGCGACATCCATGGTCTCCTCGTTAAGCATGATGTTCGCTCGAGAGAGATCGCAGTGACAAAGGACCAGACGCTCCCCCGGAGTCGCTTCTCGTGGCTCCCACGTTGGCCGACTGTCGTATTCAAGGATGCGCTGCGGTGGGCAGACGAAGCCCTCGAGTCCGGTGGTATTCGATGTGATCCGCTGGAGCTCTGGCAGGACTACGCTCTGAATGGAGCGGTTTGCTTTTCCGGCAGCGATGGTCTCGCATACCTTGCACTCCCCAGAAGCGACATGTTCATATCCGGGCCGGGCGCGACATTGCTGTCCTACTTCGAACGCTTCAATACCATACACTCGTTCCGTTTCGAGGAATGTAGCGCCGTTTTCGCGTCGATCAAATCGAATGACCTTAGGTACGCGAATGCAAGTGTTTGCCGCGACGAGTTGCAATGGACGTATTCGTTCCTAAGTCGATGGGGCCCCCATCGCCAGAGAAATGGCTCGCCAGTGCGTTTACTTATTGGTCGCTCAGATTCCGCGTACTCGCTTTTGGTAAATGTTCGGTGAGCGTGTAGGTCTTGGTGCCGAGTGGGATGAATTGGGCCATCTTGCCATGTCATGGTGGTCGTGGAGATGATGGGTGTGCGTGGGATGCCAAAATGTCGGGAAAATTGTGTCCTGTGTGCATCCAAGGGGATTGGTTAGCTTATGTGTTGAGCCTCAGGCATTAAAACAGCCAGCCCCGCCGACGATACCTACTGTCTGTAGCTGATTCGTTGACTGGGCGCGGTGTTATGGGGGAGTCCACGTGCGAACTGTAGGGAAGAAGACGGGTACGTGGGATAGCGGAAGGACGAAGGATTAATCTCAATGAATTTGAATTCCATAATGCTATACGTCTTGGGTCCTTCTGGGTTCCGCGAAAGATCTCCTTCGTCCGATATTATATATTCAAATTAAATTAATGAGGTGTTATATCTAGCTGCTTTATCCCCCGTGGGACGACAACTCGGACCCACCAGGTCTTAGGCCGTTATCCTATGCTCCTATCTAGAGCAGCACGGTATTTTCCACCGCCCCCAGCCAGTGATGGTGTTCTTGAATGGCTCAACTCGCACTTCCTCCTCGCTTTAGGAGTCTCCCGTCTCTTTTGCAGCTCCGTTTCTAAACTGGACAGGATGTCCTGAGCCGTAAGTCTATCAGCTACCATGTTGAGTCGGCTAATGGACGTAACGGGAAAGGTGTCGAGGGAACCGTACTACAAAGACGAATGGCAGGGTGAGAATGGGTCCACTCCATTCCATCGATCAGAGCTTCTAACTCTGCCAATATTACTGCGGGGTTTTCCTTGATGCGAGAAGGATAGCGTTGGGAGAGTAAGGGTCGCTGATTCGGCGAGCGGTAAGGATGAGAGGCTAAGTGGTCTGGTAACGAGAATGGAACGGCTGCGTGGTTCCCGTATAGTAATTTTTACCTAAGGCGATACCAGCAATCAATCAGATAGCCACGGAAGCCGAGAAAATTCTTGCGGGGGGTAGGGGGTTGAACGACGACGCGAGGAAATGATCGCGCCTATGCTATCCCTAGGAGTTTCATCGCTCTCCGTAGTGTTCCTCGTTGTTCTTCAGGGCCCATCCGCATCGCGTGAGCCAGAACATGGCCATGGGCGGCGTGGTCAGCAGGCCCAACACGCCTCCTTGAATCAACTTGAAGATTTGCGGCGCCCACAACTTCTCGTAGTACCAGTCGCCGTCATACCAGCTGCCCGCCAAGACGAGAAAGCCGATGCTAGCGCCCCAGACGACCGGGAAGATTGCCACGACTACGAGCATGATCCGCAAGATCTGGGAGAAGAGGAAGCCCAGCCAGTGAGAAAAGCTCCCGGCTTCGTGTGCCTGCTCTGGCCGATCCAGGAACATGAACCACCTCATAAAGCGGCCCTTAGGTTCGGGTATGAAGCCGATGGAATGCACACCGCCCTTCTTTAGGTCCCAGTTGACGAGAAAGAGCTCGACATGCCAGGTGATGAGACACTGGATGATGATGGTGACCGCCGCATCACCAGCGAGCGTGTTGGGAAATTGGAACAGTCGAATGGGCCTCGCTACCGTGTCCTGGTTTGCATACATGGCTACGGTCGAGTCAGCATGCGGCTTCATCGTACCGGCGGTGAAGATGGGCGAGTGGGCAAATACCGTACGCGATGGCGAAGTTAATGCCACCAGACAATACCAGCGAGCCGATTCCATCTAGAATGAATATGTAGAAGATCTGGTGGGCGGTGAACTTGTCGGTTGGTTCCTTGAACCCCTCGTCAATGCTCCTTAGGATCTCCTGGCGCGGGCGGGCGACAATCGAGGTTTCGGCGGCTTCGGCGGATTCAGCGCTGGCTTCCACGTCTGCCGGGTGCCCAGACGTTGCCGGCTTGAAGAGGGGATTCGTCGCCCAGGACATGGCTGGCGCGTCTGCGAGTAGAGCTACGGCGAAGGGCGACGAGGGCGGCGGGAATTTGAGACTGGGTGGGATATTCTAGCACCACGCGCGTCATTTCATGGCGATGGGCACGAGCGTGAGAAGTCGAAAGAGCCGGGGGTCGGTCGAGCTGCGGAATTAGAGCGGTGAGGACTGCGCGGATTAGCTAGTTGTCAGTAGGAGAGGAGCAGGAGAATGTGGTGACGGAGAGAACGAACCTCTTTGACAGTGAGGCCACGAGGCCACTTTGAGCTCCGACGACGGTGTGCATACGGAGGTATTGTTATCGTAAGAAACAAGCATGTCTGTCTGCTGGTCTTCAGTGTTTAAAGAATGAAGGGAGCCAGAGCTAGGGCCAGTTTCTTGGCAGGGTCCGGACCAGGATCAGGCGGACTTGCGACGGATCCCCGAAGCCTTCAAGGTGTGTAGGTACCCAAGACAGGGAGTCCTCAGGTGACGGCTCCTACCGGATGTCTCGGCGTCCACTAGAGCAACGAAAGGAAGCACACGGACGCCGGACGAAGACGCCATTGGGCGCCCGTGATCGAGCTGGCGACACAGATCTTGATAAGCACGATTCCGCCGCTGCCGTTGCCGGTTCGTGCCATGGCCTAGGCACCTAGGGACCTCGATGTTTCCATTGGATGTAAGTTTCAGGGTACGTGCACATAAGTGCTGGATCTCCGTCGCTTGACTCGGTCAACCTCGTTTCTCAGGAGAAAGGTGAGGTTGAGAGACAGGCGGACATTTCTTCATAGGTGTTGAGAGAGAGCAGGTTGGCAGACCAGCCCGACTAGCCCCATGTGGCTCGCCCCTAAGCGAGTCAAGGCTTCCTGAAGATTCTATTCGCTAATAGGTTAGGATGAGGTTTATTCAATTACTGAAGCTACCACTGCCACCGCCACCAACACCACCATCACTCCCATCACTATTACCAAGTCGGTATACTACCACTACCACTGTTTATTATGATGCTTAAAAATGCAATTAAAGGACAATCAATTTCATTTTATTTGGTTCTGAACTCTTTAATACTCTTATTGCAGTTGGCGCGGTAGGACTACATATAGTCCTTGTCGGGTTTCCAGTGAGTATTTATATGGGTCTCGCACACGTTCACCATCCATCATTCGGCTTCGATTGTTGGGTATCACAAATCGCCAGCTAGATAGCTATTCACTCTTTTGATCGCCACCCTTCGCCATGCCTTTCGTATATCCTTTTTAGATCCTGTCTCTCCCAGCTGCCGCTAGAAAGAAAGCCCGACATCCCTCTTCGGTCGATTAATGTTACTTTTTGCCGAAAGTAGAACCCCGAGTGTAGAATGCCTTGATATTCAAAGAAGTCGAGAAGACATCTGACGGATCGTATGTCGCCTTAAGGTCCTGCAGCCGCTCATAATGGCGTATGCCGTAATACCTCGCAGGGTGGTAGCCAACGACAGGAGATGCTGCGTAGGATAGATACTTATCACGAGTACCTCCTTGGATGGAGAGGAAGGCATCGGTAGCGTGGCTATAAACATTCGAAGTCGTAGCGCCTTCAGTCCTAATCCAAGTGTTGATGGTGTATGCACCGTCGCGATGGGGAAAAGACGTGGCGTTTGAGGGGAAGGTGTTTGGGATGCCGCCTCGCATATCGAACAGGAACAGCCAGTTATTCGGGGCACGTCCAGAGTTGTAGAGTTTGTCAATGAAGTTGTCGATACTGCTGTTCGTGGGAAGATCCGAGAGAGGTACCATCCTATCTTCGCTGTGGAAGTGCGATTGTGCCGGAAAGACACTCCGAGTACCTTCAAATTGCGAACGCATCAGCGTCAGCCACGAGTCATGGGCGGTGATGTTGCTGTCCTCATGGTTGATGTGTGGAATTCTGGTAAAAAGGTCGAGCACGTCAAGATCTGTCGGATGTCCAATGAAAACTCCCATAAAATCGAGGCCGCTTTGCGTGAATTGACAGCTGACGCTGATGTTCACGGGAAAATCGGAATTGCGGATCAGCTGGTGGTATGCTTTGACCGACTCGGCTAGAATGGTTGTATCGTTGCTCCGGACCGGATAAGTAAACTCGATGATCGACTCAGGCTCAGAGAAGGTCTTAAACTTGAACTCGGTAACGATGCCGAAACTCGCAGCAGCTCCACGAATGGCCCAAAACAAGTCGGAGGATTCGTCTGCTGTCGCCCGGACGACTTGGCCGTTTGACAAGACGACTTCAGCCTCCGTCATGACATCTAAGGTATAACCAAACATGCGGCTTGAGAAACCCATGCCGCCTACGGTGGCATGGCCGCCGACACCAACGTTGTAGTGAATCCCATGGGGCATCAGACGTTTACCGTTTGCGTACAAGCCCTCGACAAGAGAGCTCAAGCGGTGGCCAGAGCCAACAGTCGCGATGCCCTCCTCGTCGATTGACAGCTGTTGGAAGCCACCAACATCAACCACCACGATACCATCCCCCGTGCCAATACCTAACAACAATTAGCGAATCTGGTCATCACATGGCGAGACCTATTCATACTTCTATTGATATAGTCGTGCCCGCCACTTCTGGCTTGAACCTTCCGACCCTGCCTCGCAGCACAAAGGACAATGGAAGAGACTTCTCCCGTGGTATTTGGATAAGCAACAGCAAATGGAGTGCGTGGGTAATTGAGATTGTATGGACGAACATGCTGTTCAATGAAATTCGTGTCGTTGGAGAACTGCAACCGAGCTATATCAGCGATCGCGTCCGCTAGGCATGCCCGCAGCTCTTGTGGACCTCTTCGGACATGTTGTTCGCTGGACGATACAACTGTAGCCGAGGCTGCGGTCATGGCCACCCCCATGACTGTAAAAAGGCGAGGAACGAGCATGTTGGGCACAGCGCAGACAGAAGGTAAAAGGATTGGTGATGATGACCCGCTCAGACCAGCACAAAGCCTGAAGGTCTAGTTTAAGTAGTCCATCGCATCGTACTGAGAGAACAATCAACTCCGCGGCTGCCGAATGAATTATCCGAGTTAAGAAGATGCCTATTAACAAGCTGTTATTGGTTCAGGTGAAGACAGTTGAGGGTTAGTATAGTACTTGTTGGGATGTCGAGATTGCCGGGAGCCGCGCGTAGCGATGAGACCGAATTCGTCGAACCCCCTTTACGTTGTTGCGCCCCGCGGCCGCCGGAGTTGCGAATTGGCATACGCTAAGAGACTACTCCGCGGTGCCCCATCCATGAAGGCCCCCATCAGCTTGCCTATCTTCGCCCATGCCATGATCGCAGTATGCGCATCCTTTCTGCCCAGGATAGCCGTCGTTTCCGGCAAACCAGCCTCGGATGCCGCCGGCAGCAACCGCAAGCTTTAGCTTCCCAGTGACCTGGTACAGTTTGGCCTCAACTTGTATACTAAGATAGCCCCGACAAACATCCAGAGCCTCGTCGGCGTCTTGGGCTGGGTGGCTGATAACGCGAGCCAGGGACGCGTTGCAGGACAAGTATGACCGGCTTGCAAGAGTTGCTCCAGCGGTTCGAGCCAGGGGCTGACGTAGACAGCTCTATGTAGGTATTCACAGCCTAGCGCCGGTAAAGATGTCCTGCTGCTAGTAGCCTATATTGAATGGGGGCCCATGTAGCGAGAAGACACTGGAAGTTCTTGCCAGCTCCCGTCAGGGCAGCTTAGGGAGGGCCAGGCCAGTGCTTGCAGTCTGCATGGTGGTAGCATGCGGCCGAAGGATCCGTTTGACACGTTAGAAGATTTGGATCGGTAGTTCGAGGAGGGTTTCCTCTGGGGTCTTGACACGATGAAATTCTTAACTCAGTAGCAACATTGTAGAGATGTTCCCAACGGTATGACGTCTGTAAAGCATGATTCTCGAGTGGTTGTTGGCTTCGTGTTCGGGTGCACGGGGCCGCTATGGGGAAGATAATAAGCCAGGTAATACCTCTTTACGGTACCGAGCCAACAATGTTTCGAGGGTTGAGTCGACATGTGATAGGTAGCTGAAGGCATTTGTAAGGAAATTCAAGGAAATTCAAGGCAGCCTAGGCGTAAGTCTCATTTGTATGCAGTGCATACTCAGAGTAACACTATCTCTTGGCTGTAGCCATCGCGTCGCCCGGGATCCGGTCGGCCCCCGAACTTCCGTCTTCCATGCTCGTCGGAAATAGCACGACACGGATCTGCAGCTCCCGGACGGTGGAGAAACTTATACAACCCTTGGGTTCGTCCCCCATAACAGCTCTAAAGAGCGATTCCCAGCGACCTTAGCTGTTTACAATCGCAAGACCTTTCCAGATTCCTTGTTTACTCTTAAATAGAGTTATCGGGAAAACATGTTATCGTTTCTTTTACTCATCGGCGCGCTGCTGCCGATCTGTTTCCTCCGAAACGTCGACAAGTTCTTCCTCTTGACTAAACCCATCTCCACGACCTCTCAAAACGAGCCATTGCCGGGCATGGCATAGGTACCAAAGCGGCCGGCCGCTTAATCATTACGTAATTGCGCGGCATATGCCCGAACCATATTAATCTGAACGAGGAAAGGATGTTCAACAATGCCGGTGGTTGCACGGGCGGAATATACATCGTCCACGCCAGTAAGTCACTTTACCGCCGAGCATTCGCCCTCAATCAACGTCCCCTTGGCGACTAATACGAGGCCCTAGGTCTTACCGAATACACCATTATCTTTGGAACTGCCGTCGGCACCGAAGGCCACAGCGGCCGTCATCTTCTCGATAACTACTTCTATATCCTGACCGGCACCTAGCCTGCCTACAACCCTGACGAATACAAACTAGAGGTCTATCTGCCCGGCAGCTAGCACCACCCGCCTCGCGGTAGCGCCCAGAAGTACATGATGCCCTCGGCATGCGTCGCGCTCGAATATTCCCGGGGGTGGATTCCTGCAAAGCTATTCTTCGGTTTCGCTGACTCACTCACCAGCACCCTAGACTCCCCCACACTTTGGATCAGTATTTGTGTGACCACTCGGGAGACCATTGAGAAATTGATAAGACTGAAGGTGTGAGCTTTGGACAAGCAGCATATGGGATTCGGGTTGGCTCAATGAACTCGTGTTGAGATAGAAAGCTATGGCGAACAGCTTCTGATCTTATGGGAAAGAAGGAAATAGAGGCATATGTAATACTATTCGGTGACGGCGATGTATTAGAAAAGAAACGGCGCGAAGGCTAGAGATTCTGTCAGGCTGCTTCATAATAGACATGAAAACCCCGCAGAGACACCGGCAGTCGATCGGTGCGTCCCAGTTTAACCACGCTCTCCGGACGGCTTTTGATCAGCTTACCTGAAAACTCGTTCGCCGATCACCAAGATCCCCTGTTTTCGTTTGCTTATTATCCCCTTTAAAGGGCCGTGCCCGTTTTTGCCTAGTTTCGCTTGATTATTTTCACCTTATTTTTCGCCCGTGCCTTGATAGCGATCCACCAGCGGTGCCGTTGATCGGCAGTTACCTTTCACACGCGCCGTGGATGGCGATATCAGTCAATCATCACCAATCAGATCAGATCAGATCAGTTGCAAGGGGCTTGCCAGCTTGATAGCCCGTGGCGTAGCAACGTGATTCGACGCATATCAACTAGGAGGATAAACGTCTCATTTGACATCGCCAATGCCATCTGTCTCCGCCGCCCACCACTCCTGCATCGTTCTCAGCCGATCTGTCCTCTCTTTTGCCAACTGCCGTCCGGCATCTGTCTTCATCATGCCCTCCAAGTGAAGCAGCTTCTCTCCAAAATGTGCCATTGTCTGCTCCAGGGACCGACCTTTCGCACCTCCGAACGTGAAAGTCCGCCCGATGCCCACGGCACCGATAGCATCTAGCCTATCGGCATCCTGCACGATCGCCAACTCGGGATAAACCTTGATGAGCTCCAACACGCGCGCTGGGTCCTTGACCTCTCCCGAGTAGCTGACACCTAGACAGATCGCCTGGACTGTATTCGCGATGTCGACGGGGCTGCCCAGCGAGATGAGCACATCGTGGACAAGACGTGAGCCATCTTCGCCGGGCTTGAGGTACTTCTTGTCACCTACATCGTGTAGTAACGCTGAAAGGATGACTATGTGGCGAGAGGTGCCCGGCACTGAGGCCTGGATGTGGCAGGCGAGGTGAACAACGCGGCGGATATGGTCAAAGTCGTGGGAGGGGTCGTAGTGGGACATGTAGTCCTTGACATAATTCGTCACCTTGGCAACGAGGGACTCGATCGCAGTACGGTCCATAGGTGGCCCCTCGTTTTGTACCGTCATCTCCTTCATTGACAGCGCACCAGCTCTAGTGCTTGATCCTGTATTGATGATTCGGGTTCAAAGTGTATGTCTCGAAACGAGTGGTAGATTGTTCCTAAGTGAGGTTGAAAGATAGTAAATAAGGTTCCTAGTTTAACGTTAGAGTGAGACGTTAGCCCCACGAGTTCGGAGTCGCATAGCTGGAATATTAAAATTAATAAAAAAACACTTGTTTTTAGCTTGAGGGTAATATTTTTAATAAATAAACACAACTTGCTTGGTAGACGAAAATCCTACCTTAGTAGTTGTGTGATTCTTAAAACAGTGGGCATAGAATTTTCTCACACGCCTTCATAAAAGAAAGTCTACATTTTTAATGTAAATTACTTATAATATATTTATAACAATAAATTTTTATAAAATTTTTATTCTAAATTCTAAAATTTTCTTAACTTTTCTATTTCATTATAATTAAAAATAAAAAGAGTTTAAATAAAGTTATATTGTTTTTAAATATAAATATATTATAAAATCGCAGCATACATACGAGCTTAAACCCAAAGGCCGCCGGAGATTCAATACCTACATGGGCGAGCTATTTACTAAAGCGGACTTGCCTAGAGGCACTCCTAAGAAACCCTGGACGGTCGCGACAGGAAGGTACGCGATGCGGACGGCGGACGCGGTACTAAGGTACTTAGGCCCTGGGGCACATTAAGCGTTTGACTACCCCTCTTTCTAAAATGAGGGGTAGCCGAACGGATCGTTTGTTCGGTCGTTTGTCTGATCGTTTGTAGTAGATATCCTTATGTACGATGGATTAGCGACAGCGAGAGGCATGAGTCAGTCGCCGTATACGGGAATGCACTTAGGTATTACCTGGCTCGAAAGGATTCCGTTACAAAAGCAAACCCTCTGGGAGGTTCTTCATGAGTAGGGCGATTCATTAGAATGGAGTAATCACCCGTTGACGGATTATTATATAAGGAGCTTGCCGGCGCGCCCTCTAACGGCCTTCTCTCTCTATTCTCTCCCAGTACAGCTTCACTTATGAATAGGCGGACCTTTTTCATTTGGCGAATATTAGCTTCCGGAACCGCGATAGGAAGATACTTAACTCCATAACGAAAAGGGTACTTGCCAATAGCAAAGGTAGGTCAGGTACTAACCTGCAACCGCTCAGTTAAATATACCTACCTAGCGTGTATGCTAATCACGCCCCCTCCGGCCTTAAGAGTTCACTTATAAAAAAATCCCGTAGGACTCTCCAACTCCGCACATAAGTAGAGAGCAGAGACGTTCGTTTCCCATTACCCTCTGCTTAGCTCTACTCAGCTTCGTCGTAAGTCCTCAAGCCATGGCTGAGCAACTTCCTATCGTCGATCTCACGGCGTACTACGCCGGGGGCCCACAGCTCCGGGACGCCCAGCATGCCATTCAAGCAATGCATGCCGCAGCCTCGAAATGGGGCTTCTTTCTCATTACCGGGACCCAGGTGTCTCCACAGACCCAATCCTCCCTTCTTTCCGTCTCGCGGAGCTTCTTCGACCTACCACTCGCCGCCAAGACAGCCCTGGACGTGAGTAATGGCGGTGTCGCCTGGCGCGGCTATATGCCGCTCGGCGGGGAGCATACCCACGGTCGCCTCGACTGGAAGGAGGGCCTGTACGTGGGCCCTGAGCACACCGATGACCATCCACTCGCCGGCCTCCCGCTGCATGGACGGAACCAGTTCCCCGACCAGGAGCTCCCCGACATGAGGCCCACTGTGCTGGAGTACGTGGACAAAGTCACGGAACTAGGAAAGACGCTGACGGACATGTTCTCTCTGGGGTTGGGATTGGGTCAGGATGAGCTGCGGCAGGCTCTTCTGGAACCGGAGCCGGTCGTGCTCTTTCGGTGCTTCAAGTATGCGCCAGTCAAGGCAGATGCTCTTCAGGGGGCGGCTCCTGAGGAGCCGAAGAACGGAAATAGTGAGAAGAGCTTTGGCATCGGCGAACATACTGGTTGGAAAGCTCCAGAATATCAGCTGGTCTGGGGAACTCGCTAATTTGGCGCCGTAGATTTCGGGTTTCTTACCATTCTGAAGGTAGACTCGCCCGGCCTCCAGGTCAGTATAGCCTTGGAACGTCCCTAGTTCTGGTAACCCTGCCTCACAGCTTAGTTTAGATCCTATCCCCGTCCGATGAGTGGATAGATGTGCCGGTTGTAGAAAATTCCTTTGTAGTGAACAGTAAGCCGAACATTCAGTTCACTCTTGATACCTTTACAGTCGTCCAAACACTGACTTACCACCAAGTCGGCGATATGTTCGACCAACTCACCCACGGCCGATATCGATCTCGACCGCATCGCGTCCTCCGGCCAGGACCCGACAGCGCGCCGCGCTTCTCTTTCCCCCTCTTTTTCGATTTCGCATGGAATGCTAAGATGGTTCGGCTGTCACTAGACCACCTGCCCCCATTGTCTGATGAGGAGAAGCTGTTGGCCAAGAAGCGCTGGGCCGCCACCACGTTCCGTGAGGTTGAAGGGCGGTGGTCACAGTACCTAGCGCGCAAGGTACAGAAAGTGTTTCCAGACTTGAAGATCCCGGATTTTGAACCAAACGCTGCACCTTCGACGAGGTTCACAAGGGTGGTGGGGGTCGAGTCATCTACCTAGATGACGATCCCTCTCGCAACGGTATACGCTGCTCGGGGAAATAGCCAAGGTTTCTCCTTCAAAGCTGTAGGTAGTAATTTGAAAGTGAATGTCCTCGTCTGATCTGATCCGTGAGCTCGCGGGAGGGAATATCTGCAAGGGAAAGACATGCATGTGTGAGCAGTACGCCAGCCCGACTTCTCACGATTACTTTACATATATCCCCAATTTTCACCCTCCTCGCACATGCCCTGATAGAAACCTTCGCAGCAAGCTGGAGACCGGCAGCATTGCATATGAAGAAATCAGCGACGGACGAGTCGGCATTAAGCTCTCAACTCGCCTACTAGGCTAAATAACCTAAGAGTTGCGAAGCCGTGGTCCGGGTTGTTTGTTTCTGCGAGAGAAAATACGCCCCCGGATGTTTCCAGGGCAGCCATGGTGTTACGGTAGTAGTTTTTGGGAAAGTTAACGATCTCTGGAGTGGATGCGAGTAGCTGTTGGCGAACCGATACACAAGCCCCCTTCTGGATAGCCACGTTCCCCACGGCTTCCGGAAAATGTGTGTTCCGCACCCAAGCCAGACAAGCGAGCGGCAGCCCTGATCCGGTATTCGTTGTTTGTTAGACTAGCTTGAAAATTCCGGCGGTATGGGACAATAGCTGGAGAGCGAACGGGATTGTGCGGAGAGTATTACCCATACCTATATCATATCCTTCGTGCCCTCTAGAATGAAGCCCGCGCAATGGACGTTAAAGGGGCTCATTAAATACGGAGAAGAGTGACCCTACTGAAAGTCGACGGTCCGGAAGCCGCCATGGTGTATTAGATGGCCAAGGGGTTTGATATTGGTAAGGAGAGCAACCTCAAGCAATGGGGTTCGATAAGTATAAAATACAGTGCTTGGTACATCTACAATGAAGACATGGAGGCAAACCCTCAAGGCTAGGATCAGTTAAGCAACTGACAACTGTATGTAACCTTGACACCGATAATATTATGTCCTTACCAGACTTTGCTCTCGGGGTACTCCTCTAACGCAGCCAGGGTTTCGTTCCAGAGCTTCTTTTGCACGGCCTGGCCTTCAGCCGAGAGCACGAATTTCGAAAAACTACGATAGATACCCGACGGGTCAGCATCAGTGCGTTCGGTCGCCGAATCAGTAAGAGAAGGGGGGGAAGAGGGGGAAGATAGCTCTTACGGCTTGACTGCCTGCTCGCTCAGGTACGCCCCGTGGCTGTCCGGGTGCGCCACGACAGCGTCGGTCAGGAAGCGGGCGCCCACGTCGGCGCTCCACGCGAGGTACCTGCCGGCGGCGGCGGAGCTGGGGTCGGCGCGGTGGAACTCAGTCATGCACCAGCCGGGGTTGACCATATTCACAAGGATCTCGCTGGCGTCCGTGTGCGCGGCGAGCTCGCGCGCCCACAGGATCAGCAGCAGCTTCGACAGGCTGTAGCGGCCGGGCCCCGGCTGGAACGACGCCGGGTCGTCGAGCCACGGCAGGATCTGCTGGTCGGCCGACGACGGCGCCGCGATGTCCTGCACCGGAGACAGGAACGCGAGGCTCGACGTCGTGAAGGTGATGCGCGCCGGGGTCCCGGTCAGCGCCGAGGCGCGACGGAGCGGGTCGAGCAGGATTAGCGACAGGAGCGCGGGGCCTAGGTAGTTCACCTAGGTACGAAGTGGTTAGCTCGCGGCTCTCGGTACGCGGGCGCGGACTTGGCGGGATTGGGACCATCCCAAAAGAATACGCGGAAGAGACGGCGGTGGTGCGCCGGGGCTGTGGCAACCCGGGAGATATGTGAGCGGACGGGCTATTAGATGTCCTCACCTGTACGTGTGTCTCGTGGCCGGTGGGCGACTTGCTGTAATCTAACCGCTTCATCCCGGCATTCAGGAGCAGGATGTCGAGCCGGTCGAGCCCCTGGGCCTTGCGCGCGAACGCGAGGATGCTCTCAGGCGACTCCTGATCCAGCTGCCATACTTCCACGCTGCACTTGGGGCTCGCGCTCACGATGGAGGCGCGGGCCTCTTCGCCCTTGGCTGGACTCCGCACGGCGAGGATGAGGCGCGAAAGACCGTGGGCAGCGAGCTCCTTGGCGGCCTCGAAGCCAAGACCGACGTTTGAGCCTGTCACTATCGCTGTCTTTCCGTCGAGCTTGACATCGGCGGGCAGAGGCTTCGGCTTGAAGGTCAGTTGATACCACAGTATCGATGCCACTGTCGATGCTGCCTCCATGGCGGGCGACGGGGAGGTTGATGTGCTTGGGTTTGCACGTTGGTGCTTCGTCTAGCGATTGATCGAACCGAGGAAACGTTTCCCTTCGGAAATAGCTGTGGCTGAGTTAGTCAAAGCGCCCCCCTTCGGACGGCCGCTTGGCGGACGCTGTTTTGCTGTGCAACATCGCGGAAGACCGCAGGCCCGTCCGTAATTAATATTTAACGGATACGAGACGTAAATACATACCTACACAGAGTCTTCTGTAATACTTGAAAGTAGCCAGTTGCCTGGGCTTCCGGTGTTTTTTTATTGTGCGAAGATATCTAGGTAAGGAATGATGCCTGATATACCAACTAAACCGTTTGCTCTGAGGTATTATTTGCCTTATTATTTTATCCCGGGAAAACTGGCGAGGAAATGAATCATCACCGTGCGGACGAAGTAGCAGCCATTGCTCATCATCGCAACGTACGTTGTTCCGCCTGCTAAACCGCCGCCTCGGTGTAATACCCAGCCTTCATGGTGTAGTCGTGCGTGACCCTCCCAGCAATACCTACCCCCTCGTACGGTTCCGTCGATGGTATCTACGCAGGTACGCAATCCTACCCATGACCACCCTCCTGCACCCGGATGGAGCTGTGTAGGAGAGCTCCGCCTCCAGCTTGCAGGGTGTTCTAGAAAAACATTACCTAGAATAGCCACGTTAACCTTCCGTCTATGCGTCGTGACACCGATGCAGCGGGGGTCGGTTTCGCATGGTCGAGCTCGTCTTCCCGCACATCATCTTGCAGTGGCCGATCTGCACAGAGCCAGATGTATCCTGTTGACAGATCTCTCAGGTCCCCTTACCCCCATCCCCTCAGACTTTTTGTCTTTGGGATGGGTAGCTACACTAAGAATAGCGCTCGCCTCCACTGATCGTCCGTGTCTGAGGGTCACGACCTATCGATGCGTAACTCCCCCGGGCATCTATCTGGGGTGTGGGTGGATGTATGCACGTAAGGGGTAGGGTATATAGACGTAGATAGAGGAAAGGTGTAAGAGGTAGGTATCGCGGGATCGGATTGTCCTCGTTTAGATGTACCTATACGTGGGACAAGAGGCGGCGATCTATCGACTCTGGGCGCAGAGGATTCGTGGATGCTCGGCAGGGTAACATGTTCCTTATTCCCTAAGCGGAAGTCAGCAGAATGAATACCTCGTCAAGGAACCGGTTGACGACCGGCATAACTAAACACGTAGCCGAAGAGGGGAACTGCTTAACGAGGGCGGTGGCCCGGAATTAACGTGTCAGCTTCCCAGGTGTTCCCTCTACTTATCCCGTTTGGCATGCCTGTCCCGTCGTCGTGGTGCATTCACGATGCTGCCCACCTCGTCCCGTCCCACCATTTCTCCAAGTCTCCCGTGGATTCGTCAGCACGACAAATTCCCAGTCTAGACTCCGCTGATCACCACAGCATAAGCACTGGTAGCTTGCTCCTCCGGTCGCATTTTCGCTCCCGGCTGGAGGGATTATCCTCTGTTCTTGGGCCTGTGGCTGCCAACCTCGGACATACGAGGCGCGCGAGCGCGAGACGGAAATCCTGAATCGTCACACCTACAAATTTATGCTTGCTACTGGACCAGCAGCGGGCAGGAGAGGGGCATGGGGCGAACCAGCAGATCTGACTACTGTCTTTGTACACGATAGTTGACGAAGGCCGAGTGTGAGAGCAAGTCTAGAACGCGGGATCGTGGTCCTCTTGTGTAGGCTCCCAAGTGCTACACCCAGCACATCCAGCACACACACACACACGCACGCACGCACAGTCGGGGTTACGTAGGACTTTCGACACCCCTTGCCACGCGCAATGATCCGCGAGATTATTAGGAGCCTGCCTCGTTGGTGTGTAACTTACGTAGGCCTTTTCGAAAAGTGCATGGCCGTGTCGGAAATCACTTCGAGCTCCTGCGGAATCGCTGTAAAGATATAGAATCCACGGGATATTTGCATGATCTTGGTAGCTATGGGCGGTCACCTCGCGTACGTAGACGTATTTCACTGCTGTCTCCGTGACAGAGGGGAGGGGGAGGGGAAGGGGGAGGGTGGTACTCTATATAATAACACAGTCCCAAGCGGGCGGGGATCGGAGGTAGGTATTATGTGCGGTCACAGAAGCTGGGTAGATCATCATCCTTGCTGTGACATCCCACCTCGTCTCTCGGCGAACTTCCATTCGTAGGCTGATACCGGTGCTGAGTATCAGCATTCTATGCTATCACCTACAGAAGCTCACGCGTAAAAGTCCCAGTGGGATCAAATTCCCTCTTCAGGGCCCTGAGCCTACGAATCCTGTCGTCGCCCTTATACCGGTATTCCAAAGCATCCTCGCGGCTGGTGTTGGTGTAGGAAACGAAGGCCTCCTCGTTAGTGCCAACTCGCATGCACTCCTGTGCCTTCTGATCCATCTTGGCTACGAAGTCGTGATGAGCTCCGTCGGTGTACCAGCTCAACACGTTGCTAGCCCAGGCGGCGTTAGATTTAGAAAGGAAAAAAGAAACGGGGGGCATTCAGAAACGGGTTGGGAAAATACGTACAGCCAATAATCCACGTTCTCGTGGCCGAAGGACGATTTTAGCTCCCTCTTTGCTCGGCACGGGCTATGCCACTCCACGTTATACCCGGAGCGGGCGGCATCGGGACAGGTTGCGACCAGTTCGGCATGGAGCTCAGCAAGCTTCTTGAAGTTCTCGGTGCTCCAGCCGGTTAGGCCGATCTGGGTGAACTTCTTGAAGTCTCCCTTGACACAGACCCAATCGAGATGGTCGCTGTGCTTCTCAAACGTAGACGGAATCAACACCTGCTGGACCGGGCCGATATCGACTAGGGGCTGGAACAGCTTCGCGGCCTCTTCGGCGGAGCAGAACACCTGCGGTGCCACTAGCAGAACCTGCTGCTTCAAGTCCGGAGGCGCCTGCACGATCATGACGTGACCCGCCGATACGTGTTCCTTGCTCTCTATGATTGTCTGCAGAGCGGTGCAGACGGCGTCGAGCTGCTGCAGGAGGAATATGTAGGTGCCGCACATGCGCTGACCCTCGTCGTTGCCCAGTAGAGAGTATGGGTAAGTCCTAATGGTCAACTCCGTGACTAGGCCTAGGAACTGGCCGGCGCCGCGAAGCCCCCATAGGAGCTCCGGGTTCTGAGATTCCGACACTGCCACAAGCTCTCCCTGGGCGGTTACGAGCTTCGCAGAAACGATATTCTCGCTGCCATAGCCGACGAAGGGAGTGTAGATGCTGATGCCGCCACCGATGTAGTACGGGATCACGCCAACGGTGTTGCCGTTGCCGACGGCTAGCGAATAGGTGAGCGTGCGTAGAGAGGAGAAAGTAGTAGAAGCTAGATAGAGGCTGTCCTCTCTCCCATACCTGCAAATTGCCTATGGGGGTGCAACGCAGCTTGAAGATCGGTCATCAAGGTACCGCCCCTGACAGTAGCGACGTTCTCGGCGGCGTCGTATGCGACACCCTTGTACCGACTCAGGTCGATAATAATCCCGTCCTTTCCGATCGTCGACCACGGGCTGTGGCCACCCGACGCGGGGACGAAGGGGACGGAAGCCCTTACGGCCTCTCGGACCGCGTGTATGACATCTTCCTCACTCGCAGGCTGGACGATGGCAAACGGGATCTTCACATCATAGTTAGACCACCGGTCCAGCGTAGCCGTGAAGTCCGGGGACTTCTCATCCCTGAGGATCTTGGACGAGGGCGAGAGCTTGGTGGCGAGGGCGGACAGGAAGTCTTCGCTGGCCATGGCTGGATACGTAGGTAGGAGGAGAAATTGAGGGAGTCGAGGGGATGAAGTAGACGACAGAATGTCTTGACCGTCCAGGAATTGGCGTGCGAGAAGTTAGAGCAGACAATTCCTCGTGTAAATGCTGCTGGCGCTGTTTCGTTGGTGCTTTATGGTGTAGCAACTAGCCGACAGGTAAGACGGCGGGAGGTGCCAGTCCCAGGAAAAGGACGCCGAGAGTCCGAGATGCTGCATTGTTACGCACGCCGCGGGGTAATATTGATAGTAGTCTTGAGATGGGTAATGGGCAAGCGTCCAGGTACGTTGGTAGTAAAAATGCGTGAGACCAACACGATGAGGCCACGGTCGAGGCGGCGCTGTAGCGGTTCTGCCTCTGTAGCATGCTGCCTAACAGTTTTAAACCGGCCCTGGGAACTGGGAACCATATAACCAATGTAACCAGGAACTTGTGACCCGACAAGTAGCCCGCGACAAGGGCAGGAAATAACAACGGTGCACAACTAACGCACAGAAAACTATCGGCAGGTATACTAGGTACCTACAGTAAGTGAGAGGTATCTGCCAAAACCCTCCGATGTGCCAGGTGCATCATCGCACAGAGGTACGTACAATACTGCTGCTGTAGGAGGCAGTTGGTAGGGCTTAGAGGTACCTCCCGAGGATCCCGGGCACTTACCAGTACCGGTTAGCTGGTGGAGGAACCAGGGCGGGGAGTGGGCCCTTGAGCCGGTATCCTATACATAGGTACCTAAGGTACCTACCTACCGCATACATCGGGTACATGCATGCCCTTGCTTAGCCCGGCCCCTTCGAGAACAACCCAGGCAGGAGCACGACGTAGTACGGCGTAGTACAACGTAATAATATGCACGGCGCCCATACGGCACAGAGGCAAGTGCCTTCGGAGAGGTAGAGAGGTACCTCCTTAGGTACCTAGGTACCTGTATTATTAGACTAGATGTATTCCCGCCGAGAATGGTAAGTAGATCCTTCGGTGCTTAGAAGACGGGTTTACCCTTTTACCGCTGTTAGGGCTTGGAGCTATGGGCCATCTGCCCTAACACCACCACGGGGTTTCCTAGAGGGCGCCCATCGCGTACTGCTGCTTCTTCAATGGGTGATCCTTCAGGTGCGCGCAGTCAGTCATTAGATATCCTCGTTCTCGACGGCTCTGCGACTGCTACAGACATTATATTACACAGATATCCTGTACCTATATCTAGTTGCGAGATATTAGTTACTGCTATGCCACTACTACTAGGTAATCGGATCCAGATCTGCTAGGCCGCCGAACTCTCGGCCTGGATCTTAGTGTTGACCACGATTCGGTTGTTGGGTATTGCTTCCAGCGCATGCTCCTCAAACCCCGCCGAGGTAACTTGTCCAGAACCTCCCACCCGGGTCAGCGATTCCTCGTCTTCGAGGCGCTGGTGGTACGCCGTATGGGTGGACCGCTTGTGCGAGCTCAGCCCGGACGAACCACCCGACGCGCCCAAGGTAGTGCGCTTCTTCAGCACGCCCCGGAACAGCGGCGCGTACGTCGGCAGACAGCAACCTAGGAGCCCAACCTCATTCTCGGCCAAGTGCCAGAACAATGTGCCCGCTGTGTACCAGGTAATGTCCGAGAAGTAGACGAGCGGATTGGCGGTGGTGAAAGAAATCACCCATCCGAAGATGATAGTCCGTGTGATACCGATGGCGACGACACTAAGCAGTCCGTTAGCCTTCTCGTCCCGGCGCTGCGCGGGGCTTCGACGGCGGGGCACATCGCTGGGGAAGCAGTGGAGAAATGGAGGACTAGAGAGAGGGCTTATACACTCACATGGATCCCAAGAGGAAGATACCAGCAACGCCGACTTTCTCCCTCCAGGGCAGTTGGAGCTGCCACAGGTGAGGAACGGGCAGGATGAAGATGACCACGTCGAGGATGAGGTCGGAGATGGCTAAAGAAAAGTAGAAGGGCTGCACCGTTATGCACGAGTCTCCGTACTCGATCTCGAACTTCTCCCAGAGCGTCGAGACCGGCGTGCACTGCAACGCGACGGTAAACGTGAAAGCGATGCCCCAGGCGACGGTGATGCCGATGAAGACATCGTTGATGACGCGGAAAGACCGAACCGAGAATATGCGGCGGAAGAAGAGGAGCACCGAAAGCTTGATGACCCAGAGGCCGACCGTCCCGAGAAGTTGGTAGGTGTACTTGGTCTTCTCGTACACGTACAGCTGCGTGGTGTGTGCGACTTGGCCGTCGACGAGCTCCTGGTGGCTTCCCAGCCCTCCGGCCTCCGTTGCTGTGCCGCCCCGTTAGTCTGGCCGTTCTGGCAGCCTCCCTCGACTGCGGCACGTACCGATGATCTGGGTTATCGAGAGCCCGATGCAGATGAGCATCGACGGGATGGTGATCAAGTCGTCGATTCCAACCTTGGCCCAACTCACCGATCGCGCATAGAATCTGACCCCTACGGAGATTATGGGGAGAATGATGAAGAAGACGGCCGTCCCGACCAAGACGGACCGGGGATACGGATTGTAGTTGGGATCGAGGTAAGGGTTAGACATTTCGACGCACGGATGCCAGATAGATTCATCTCTCGGTGTGAGCGGATCTCAGGGCGCATCCAGCGTTGCCTCTCCCCCTCTCTCGCGACGCAGACGAGCTTATAAGGTGGCGATATTCTGAGGCTCCGTAGACTTCTGGGAACTTCGACTTCTGCTAGGTATAGCCTCTCGATGTCAATGTACGGGCCTAGACTTGGTGATATCGATGCGACCTCGGGGCAGGAACTCAACGATTCGGAGACTAGAAACGGGGTTTAATATGAAGCAACCCGTGTACGCTTCGACCCTTGGGTACTACGCAAGCAAAAAACCACCCGCCTAAATGGGTAAAGCTGATATGAAACCCAGTCTGTTAAAGGATCGAATTCAAGGGATCCTGTATCTGGTTTGAATCGTGTGAATCAGACCGTACCGCGAAGGCGAGCAGGATTTGCCTGGACCTAAAAGTGGACAGCAGACGTGATGCTGAAACCTATCTAGGCTATCGTCTTCCCTCCAGGGACGCCGCGAATACGTGGGCCGCGAGGTCTTTTGTATCGCCCCCGGCTAATCGTGACTGAGGACCTGCCTACTTGCCATCTAAGCTGCTGGCGGGATTATACGCACCTCGAGTGAGACGGGATGGATGCTACACAGCTTGTCTCCAAACCAATATTTAGCGATCCTACCCATACAGCTGAACCTGATCGGATATAACTCGTGCTTATTTCATGCCGCCCTAGCTACGGCGAGAAAAGTATCATCCACGCTTACTACGCATAATGCCACTGGAACTCTGGCCAAACCGCGGCTGGGAAGATTACGATGTCGGATCCGGCATACCCTCTCGGCCGTCTGGGGCCGTATCTAGCAATGCTCGGGATGGCACAGGCACGCAGAGGGCCACATTATCCGCATGATATGGCACGAATTCGACGAGGAAAGGCATTGTACCTATATCACTTACTACCTGACACCTACTATCTGACGTTGCTGCGTTATAGGTACCTAGCTCAGGTAGTAACGGTACTACCTCACAGGCCCTGGTCGCCGACCCCGGTCGGGCGATGCATCGAAGCTAAGTATTGGCTACACTGCTGACTCGGATCAACCTCCTGGTCCCAACTGGAGATAAGTAAAGGCTGACATAATTGCAACTAGCAGAGCGCCTCGTGACCAGATTTGATCCCGCCACAGGCAGGTTGATAACTATAAAGGGCCGTCTTACAACTGCCCGCGCTTACTGAATCAAGTATAAATATAACCCTTCCTTTCATTTTTCTCACCTTTCGTTTTATCCCCAAAAGGAGATCAGCGGCAGCAAATGCAGTTAGTGGGGAGTTCACGGTAAGTCGTCCTCTCGGCTCTGCCGACGAGCGGAAACCGGATCGCGATTCCTAGCCACCACTCCTAGCCAAGGGAAAAGCAAGGAAACAGCGCTGCCACTGGTACTTAATTGAACGGTCGAAATTCGCTCGCTATGAGTAGGCATGCTGGCGCACACCCCCTTGGGCGTGGGGTTGGATGGCAAGGCATAGGTGGGTTAGCAAGCCGCGATTAAGCCCGTCGTTGGTGGGTAACGGGTAAATATGGAACATGCCGATTCTCAAGAGTATGGAGAAGTGCTTAACTATGGGTGTTTCGACGTCGGCACATCGCAACCCAACTACGCTGAAATTCTGCAACGGGAAACCAGCAGAATGCGCCTGTGATGCGACGAAACTGTAAGTATACCCACCTCCCTCCCTCCTAAGGAGGGTCTCGCAGCGTGTAGAGAAGCGGACGCCGAAAACAGCCTGACGCAATAAGGTGCGGGAAAGGACCAGCAAGGTGTAGGGGCATCACGGCCCTGATAATTGTTGAAGCCAGTCACTCGAGAGCGAGTCCGGCCAAATAAAATGGTGGAAGGCGACGCGTGGACGCGCGGCAACGATCCAAGCGAGCTCACAGTCGAGGGTGCCATTTTCAATCGCCAGAGGTATTATTAAAGATCGGGAAGGTATAAAATGGGCAATTCCTATCGTATACTGCCGCCTCTCACCGCTGTGCCGAGTAGGTATTAATTCCCGAGCCAGGCTTCAAGTCCCCCGTCCGGCCCTGACTTGCCCTCCTTCCCACCCCCATAGCCTACTGCCACCCCGTTACCCGACAGAGGGAACCGAGTGCCCTGGCCGAACGAAAGCCCTGGTCGCTCTGAAACGTCGACTGATACCTAGCAGTCCGGTAGTCGTTGCGGATTTCCTTGATGAAGGTCAAAAAGACGGACCAGACGCCCTCGGGAGATGCTGTTCTATCCGGACTTCATATTTGCATAGTCGGCGGCGGCGTGGTCGGGCTTGTCGGCGGCATCTTCCTGCGCCAGTATGGGTTCCGAGTGACGATACTCGAGAGGGACACTACTCTCAAAACCGTAAGTGATGCAGGCGCGTGGGTGGTTGGTGGCCTTTTGACTGAAAGCGCTGTCTCTCGAGATCGGTGCTGGTATCCAGCTGCACCCGAACGCCGTGCGGGTGCTTCAGGACCTCGGAATCTACGAGAAGATCCGCTCGAAATCCGTCGTTCCCCCGTCCATCATCCTCAAAGAGTATACGACGGGAGAAATATTACATAACCAAGACTTGTTAGAGCCGGCAAGGAAGTACGGCGCCCCGGTCCTGACCTTGCATCGAGGTGACCTACGCGGACTCTTGTACGACGGGGCCGTCGCAGAGGGGGTCGACGTCAGGCATGGAGTCAGCATCGATCTCGGCGACATAGACCTGGTCAACGGTGTTGTGAAGCTATCCGGCCAGTCTGAGGTGCTTCGTGCCGATCTAATTATAGGCGCAGACGGCGCGCACTCGGTTGTCCGAGAAGCCTTGGCAGGGCGAAAAGACGAGGCAGTCCCTCACGGCAAGGTCGTCAATCGGATCCTGATCGAGGAGAAGGCTATAGCAGCGGTGCCAAGCCTACGGTATCTGGTCGAGAAACCCAACATTATCGTGTGGTTGGGCCCCGAGTGCCAGGCTGTCACCTATGTACTGGACGGCACGTTCAACATTGCCTTCACTTGGCCGTCATCCTTGGACCCTAACGATATGTTTTTCGGTCCCCAACCGGTGGACTTGGACGAGTTCCGGTCCCGTCTCGACAATTGGGAGCCCGAGCTTCGCGATCTTGTCGGCCTTGCAGAGCACTCTCTACGCTGGATGCTCTTCGAGCCCATAGTAGATGACAAAGAGACGCCATGGGTCGATACGCGAGGCAAATTTTGTATCGTCGGCGATGCTGCCCACCGGGTGCTACCGTATCTGTAGGTGTTTACTATCGCCGTCTGTCCCACCACCGCGCCTCGGCATGCGCATGGATTCTTAGGATTCTCGAGCTAACGTCCAACGCGTCTCCTATAGGGCACAGGGGGCGGCCATTGGCATCGAGTCGATTGCGCTCCTGGCGCATCTGCTAGCCAAGGTGGAGGACAGGGGCCAGATCAAGGACTGTCTGGACATCTACCAACGTCTCCGCAAGGAGAGGACCAGCCAGATCAGCCGTGCGACGCTGAAGAACGGGCGAAACTGGCAAATGGCCGACGGGCCCTTGAAAGAGGAACGGAACAGGGTGTTTTTGACGGAAGTCCCGACGGCGGGATTTCCCAACCTGTTGGCGGACCCGTTCTTCCAGGAATGGCTATGGGGGTACGACGCGTCGAAAGCGGCCGACGAGGCCTGGTCGCGATACAAGCCAGTCCGGGAAGGGAAGGAGTTGAAGGGCAAGGGGTAAGAACTTGATATACCTGGCGTGGGAAGCATGGAGGTGGGTGTGAAGGTGGGTAGGTAGGTAGACAGGTAGATGGATGGGTAGGTAAGTAGGTAGGTAGGTAGGTAGGTAGGTATTAGGGGCCCACAGGTAGAGCATCGGTTTTCCGAAAAATATCACGAGATGCCCCGCGCCTTGCTGGACAGAGAGGATTTAGTCTCTAACCTGGGCGGGACTTGGCATCAGCATCGGGTTCCAATCGGTTACGCGGTTTGGCGAGAAGCTACCTAATGCGGTAAACAGGCCAAAAACAGCTGCGCGATTAGGGGAGATCCTAAAGCTTAGCAGCCCACAACTCCTAACGTCGGAAGCACCCGCAGGCCCCTTGCGGCATACGACGGCATTGCGACGCATACGAACAGAACTAGAGGCAGGCCGTTCTACTTGGCTGGACCCGGCGTATGTACCTAGCCGTAGGTACCTACCTATATAGAGGTAGCTACGGGCAGGCCAGGTCGTCACGTAGCACTGCTAGTATAGCCTATGGCTTGGCGCTGCATAGGTACTTCTTGCACCTACAGTCACCGAACATATACGTTAAATACCTACCTAATCTATAGGAGGTAGATACCTAACCTAAGGTGCCTATTCCTATCTTAGGCACATCGCCTGAAGTTGGGCACGTTCTGATGCAAGTGACACGCGTACCTGCACTCCATCACCTAACCTACCACTCCTATTAGCGCTGACGAAACGTCAACGTGTACCTACCTGTGCCCACTTACACTGGGCACCTACCTAGGTAGACCTAAGGTAGGTACCTGTACGCATAACATGGGGCGCGTAGGTACCTATCGTACCTACCTGTTAAATAGGTAGGTTAGGTACCTAAGGTATGCCCCCCGCATTGGCAGAAATGCAACGCCGCCTTGTTTCGACAGGGCTGTCGCCGCCAGTCGATTCCGGCACGACCCGTGTATAGCGGTAACCCTGGCGGGCCGCACCCCCCTATCCCGATAACAACGATACCCATCCCATCCCCTGCTCTTCTCTGGAATCGTCGTTGGTTCTATAGGTACCTAACCTACCCATACCGCCCACATATGCAAATGCGACTTCACCTAACTCCTCCTATATTCCCGTCAGCGAGAGCCCTCCCCGGCTGTTTTCGCTCCTTACAGCCCATACGAAAAGGCGGGATCCTTCACGTTCAGGAACATGGATCTAGAAGCACGCCGAGCACGTCGTCTGCTGGGATGTGCGCCGCCCTCGAATTTAAAGCACTTCAATAATAGACAACATGGCACCGTACGCACCCGTGTCTCTTGCCCGGAAATCCGATCTCGTTTCATCTCGCAAATTTTAAGCGTATGACTGCGCATTTCCGCATATGACGCCTGAGCATTTCGTGTTGTCATAGGAATCCCTCCTGCCGTTGCCCGATAGCATGCCCTACCCCCTTTCCACGGTAGCGAGGGGCTTCCCCTGCATCACCCGACCAAGATTCGGTGCTCCCTCGCCCACCGAACTTCGAGTTTTACAGGCCATCCCACGGCCAGCCGCTCGTCGGGGCTACTTACCCCGACGTTGGATCCGCGAGGTACCAAAGAGACTGCAAAGCTCGACGGCGGCCCAGCCGTCGCATTCTCGACCGCACGCCGAGCCTCTCACACGCCAGTACCCCCCCTGGTCCCCTCCGACCCAGGGCGTCCTCTCTCTCCTCCCGTCGTCGTGGGTGCCCTATGCCGAGCTGTCGCGTATCGAGAAGCCCGGGGGCCTATACGGGTTCTACATGGCGTATCTGATCGGTATCAGCTATGGTGCCTGCCTCGCAACACCTACGGTGCCGCCGGTCACTCTCCTAGGCACTGCGGGCGTGCTTCTCGTGTACAACGTCTTCCTGCGAGGCGCCGCTTGTACCGTCAATGACATCCTCGACCGCGAGTACGATAGGCAGGTAGCGCGCTGCAGGAATCGCCCAGTAGCGCGGGGTGCGGTCACGCCCTCGCAGGCCTATGTGTGGTACGGTGCACAGACGCTCGGCGCTGGCGCAGCCATCGCGTGCCTACCAAATCCCGGGCTTGCGCTGGCATACGCCGTCCCGATCCAGTTCCTGGTCAGCGTGTATCCCTTGGGCAAGCGGTTTACCGATTTCCCGCAGCTCATACTGAGCGCGCCGCTCGCCGCTGGCATCTTCATGTCTGCCTCGGCGATTGGCGTCGACCCCTTCAGCCTGCCGACCCCGGCTCTCGCGGGGGCGACCTTCTCTCTGGCGCTGTCTCACTACGTCTGGATCACCATCTTCGACTACGTGAACGCCTGCCAGGACACGGCCGACGACGTGAAGGCCGGCGTGCGCAGCATGGCCGTTCGTTATCGCAACACGGCTGCTTTCATCTCAGTCCTGGGGGCAGTCCAGGTCGGCTGCCTAGTGGCCACGGGGGTGCTGGCCGGCTTCTCGCCCATCTACTTCGTCGGTGCCGCCGGGGGAAACGCCCTCTGGCTGGCTGCTATGGCAAAGACGGCGAAACGCACGAGGCCGGACATTTGCGCCTGGTGGTTCTCTTGGGGCGGCCTGCTGGTCAGCGGTACTACGACCTTAGCACTTATCGGAGAGTACTTCTATACCTTTTACGGCCAAGGGAAGAATCACGAAAGAGTCTGACCCTACAATGCGACAAGGCGGCATGGGATTAGCAAGTCTTTACAAGTATACATCTCTATTTTATTACTAGCTTCATACAATATACACTTCGTACAGGATAGATATCAATAGCTGCATCGGCTATGGAGTATTATGAGAGCGGGAACCACTGGTTGAAGCGCTTCTTCGGGTCGTACTTTTTCTTCAGTCGCTGCAACCTAGGTAGGCTGCTCCCGTAGATAGCTTCGAGTGGCTCGTCGCCGTGGGCAAAGTTGATGTAACTGCGGGGCTTGTCAGCGTGAACCGTCTCCCAGAGGACTTATGGGTAAAATACTTACGCCTGGAGCCCAGAGGTTCCGGCTGTAGGAGCCAAGTAATCCCTAACCTTCTGACCAAACGCGTTGGCCTCCCCGTCCAGGCTCGCGTCCTCATACCACGGGATCGCAACAGCGTGGCACTTAACATCACGGAACGGGTACGACGACTCCGAGCTGCCGATCTCCAAGGCTTTAGATGTAGCGTAGCATTCGGTGAGAATAGTAGTAGTCCCAGCCTCGGGATGTTGCTTCAGGAACGAGGAGTACTCATCCCAGACGTTTCGCCACGCAGCCGGATCGACCGTCGTAAGCCCGACGGCGTAGGAAGGCTTGCGGCCGCCCTTGGAGCAAAACGCGTCGCTGGCGGCATTCCAGGCGTCGTAAGTAAGCACCGCCGTGCTGTCGGCAAGGGGGCCGACGGCCAGGAGCGAAGAGAATTTCTCTCTGCCGGCCTCCTCGCTCCCCAGGTAAAATGGCAGCATGACTACCGTAGGCTCGTAAGCGGGCGGGTTGGCGACGAAATAGAAATCGAGCTGCATCTCGGCCTCGAAGGTGAGGTCGTCGATGGCGCTCATGAGCGCCTCGATCTTAGACGGGTCGTAGATGAGCGCGCCGGTCCAAGCCAGGTTCTCCTCCTGAGGCACGAGGTAGCTCTTGAATACTGCTGAGGTGACGATACCAAAGTTGGCTCCCGCTCCCTTCAAGGCCCACCATAGGTCGGGGTCGCTCTTGGCCGTCACCGTCTTCTTTCTTCCGTCGCCGTCTACGTAGTTGACCGAGAGGAGCTGGTCGACCTCCATGCCGTACGGACCCTGGGTTCTGCTCAAGCCGCCACCAAGAGTGGCACCGAGAATACTGACGCAGTTGCAGGTGGCGGTAGAGGCGCGCACGTTGCTGTTCCAAGCCGCTGCAACTAGGTCGGCGTTGGTAACGCCGGCCTGGAAGGTCACCTCGGTCTTGTTAGAATTGAAGGTGATCTCCTTGAGCTTTGACATGTCGATGACGATTCCGGAGCCGTCGAGGGTGAATGTGTTTGCCCACCCATTGCCGCCGCCCTGAACCAGAAAGGGGATGTTCCTCTTGCTAGCAAAAGCTACAACCTTGGAAACGTCGTCCTCGGCACCGATCTTGACGACGACGCCCGGTTGCGGAGCCGCGTACTCGCTCCATCGCACGTTCTGGCCACCGCACTCAATGGTGGAGGCCGCGGAGATAGACTGGTTGAGTTGACCCGCGTACTGGTTGCACCCCGTGGCAGCACGGCGATGCGTGCTGACACACTCAGCCACGCTGAGGGTTAGCAGGCCGACAACGAGGTGCAGTAGGCGGAAAGACATAGCTGCAGGACGGGTATGGGACGGTAGAGGTTGAACAGGAGAGACGCAGGGGATACACACGTGGATCGGAGTCTGCAGATATATCGTCGAGCCTACCTCTGGCCGTACAGGAAGGGTACATGTCAGCGTAGGATTGTAGCTGTTATGCTGCTTAATGTCGCGAGCATGCCTCACCCCTGGCATCGAAGGATCACCGTGAAGGCCATGGGGTTCAGCTGCCAAGTGCGATGGGTTATCCCGAAAAACCTGGAAACCAGAACGACAGTCATCACTGGTAATGGCAATAAACCCGAGCTGCCTACGAGACGTACCCGTTGATCTAATTACACGTACGAAAGGATCCAACAGGGGCGCGCAGCTGCTAACGAGTGCTATCAGACCCCGAATTCGCGTCCCGCCACGTGCGAGCCATGTGAGTGAGCCCAGATCCACGAATCCGCAAGAGGGGAAGCATTCCAACCCCCTGGCAAATGCCGCGGCGGTACAGGCAAGTCATTAAGCATAGATGTACTCATAGCTGCGTATTGGGCTAGGGGTCGGCCGAATGCACGCAGAGACCCATGTCTCGAGCGGAAGACGCCCCTGGGGATTTCCGCTCTCGGGTATTAGCATGCAGCCATGGCTCTGGAGATCTACGCCGCGTACGCAGTCGTCGTCAACATAACAACTACGCTTCGCTATTCTATCGCGTTCTGTCTTTTAAGCCGTGACCTTGAACGATTCAAAACATTCTCCTCCCGTGCCATTGTACCGTAGTCTCTATCTGTAAAGGCTCCGAGTTGACACTTCTTCGCCGAGGCGTTGGTAATGCGTCTATGGATGTCTCGGCCCATTGTTATACTCCGACATCCCTTGATTCGCCCTACTGCTCCCGAGCTATCCGTTACCCCAGGGGATGGATGCCCTGTGTGCATTCCGCATTCCAAATATTTGCTCGTATTAAGATCCAACGCGCACAGGAACCAAGACAATTCTGAGCCGTTTAAGAGTGACGATGACGATGCATCATGACTAACAATGCGATAAATAGCACGTCTGGATTGGCATCCTCATCGTCGCCTTCTATATCTAACGGGTCAGCAGAGAAATGTCATATTTATGCATACCTGGATGGGGTATTGCCTAGGTGCAACGTGAACCTTGTACATCAGCGATATAAGACCACCTATTAACAAATAATAGTGTGTCTTCTCATATACCTTCCTCTATCGGAAGTTGTCATACGTCAATGAATGGAGCAATATTGCGGATATTACGAAAGGGAAAAAGAAAAGGGGGAGAGGTAGGGCTATTTTAGTAGCAATATTGTCTTTTAACGGATACGGTCTCACTCATCATCTAGGAACCGATCTCATACTCAGCGGTGGTGGGGTTTGGCGGTGTCTACGGATCCTGAAGACGAGCGGGGGGTGGAATCGACGCCTAGCCCACCCGGGTCTCTGGATAATAACCATTCAGTGAGAAACGCTTACATTCTCGTTGCTACGTAGCATTGCTGTCTTGGGACCATCGCTAGCACATGCTCTTGTTCAGGCCCCGAACCGACTCGACGCTTCACGAGGCCCATGCCCCGCTCAAAGCGTCGTACACGGTCTGGTTGACAGCCAGGATGCTTCCGTGCCGCAAGTTTTTCGGAAACCCCGATCTGCTGCTCGCAGTCCACGCGTTGTCTCTCGGGCTGGTGCTCTGGTACGGCCTATACCCGTCGTCGCCGTAAAAGTCCAGGAGGACGTGTACCTTGGCGTCATCCCTGTTATCCCGGTAGGCAGCCGGCCCTTCGACGCCGGATGCAATGATGCCCGCGGCCCCCCCGGCCCGCGTCCATGTGCCGAAGAGCCCCGTCGTCGAATACTCCAGGAACACAGTCTTCAACGTCTCGTCCTTCATGAACCGTAGGTAGTTGTTGCCGGTGGTGTCGAGGGGCAGGATATCGAGGTCGATGATGTTAGTTGGCGCATAGTCGATGTAGGTTTGCGGCGTGCTGAAGGTCTTGAAGTCGCTGGTGTACGCGTACCGGATCCGGATATTCGACGGAGAACCAGTGTGATTGGGATCTGAAGCAGGATACTGTTGCTGATGGTTAGCGACGTTACCGACTTGATCGAGCGGGGAAACTGACGAATTTTGATGCCCAATGGACGAGGTATTGATCTGAGCGCAATATTAGCATCGCGGTAATAGGTGAGGATTGGAGACAGGAAAAGCTCACCCTTCGCAGCGTCCCATATAGCCTCCGGCGCCCAAACCATACCGGCACTAGCATCTTCGACGTTTATGAGACGCTCGCCGGTGAAGTTAATGAGGTCAGTCGTTTCCCAGACAAATATCCCCTTCGACCCAGTCCGCTGTGCAGCGTCCCACGTGGTCTGGCGTATGGTTAGTTGACGGCGGTAGTAAGTATTATATGGTCTGATGCTTCACGAACCTTTCCGATGTGCAGATCGGTGCCGATAATATACCACTTGCGACCTGCTTCAGAGCCACCACCCTGGACGAGGTAGGGGTCCCTGACACCGCCTGTGCCCTTCGTTGGGCGAAGAATAGGCTGCCCCCCATTCAAGGCCGTGAACGAAACCGGATCGTTGCCATTGCTGAGGTAAAAGTAGACGTACGGGTCAGCCCCGAGGAATATCGCCCCAAGATAACCGACGAGGCTCGAGTCCGCACGGCGCTCCGCCTGAAGGCCTAGCTCACCGAGATCGATCGGATTCGCAAGAGACAGCCCCAAACGAATGCCGATCGAGACGGCCAGCTGTAGCATCCGACGCATAAACATCCTTACTTCAGCCCTTAGTAGTAGATGCCGAAAGAGTTCCAGAAACCCGGTCCCTCGAGCTGTTGCTGCACGGGGTTGATCTTTCATTTGTATAATGATCCTCGGGAGATTGGAGTCCGGACGGGCCAATCCAAGGCGCGTGAATGACATCTATTTTCCATACTCCGGCATTTTAGCCTTGATCTCCCTTCCAATTACGGCAAAAGGCTCCGCGGATGCAGCCATCGTGAATGTGGGGAAGAGGTAGCGGACCGAAATAGTGGATGCGGGGAGCGAGTTGAGGCTAGTATTAGGTTCACCAAACCCCTAATACCTAACATGAAAAGCGAGGTGAAAGGAGCCGAAATGGGAGCGGTGTGAAATGAAGACCAATGCTGTTGACGCCGAGAAAGAGATGCGACGGACGATGCCCATGGCAGAAGTCGTAGGTGGGGCTTGAAAACATATGAATAGTTTCAGACAACCTCTCATGTGATCCCCGCGCCCAGACACCAAGTGACTGGAAGGGGGTTGGAAGCCGGTTTATGAATGTTGCAGTAGTCTTTTCCGCACCAATCACAACGTCGTCTGAACGAGCCCCAGACCAAGTTTGAGTACGCGTACAAGAGCAATACAGCTGTACAATAGTCAACACATATTCATTCTGATGACACAGTCGAGGTGATTGGAGGAAAATAGCACCCATGGCCTATATAGACATCGGTATCCGAGCCTACACGTGCTATATACATCAACTCCATAGATATAGGTGTGAAGATTTCACATATGAGATGGTTTGTTGAGGATCTAACGGAAGTTTGCTTTGGAAATCAGTGAGTTGTCGGGGACAGCACTCCTTTGCCCTTCAAGATTTCGATAGATAACTCAGATAACCGCGTCGCTCATCCTCTCAGAAGGTTGATGATAAAGTCTCCCTCCTCGGGCTACCGAGGATGCTGGTCCTATGTCGCGTCGTAGTCGTCAACCCACCAGCGTTTCTCGCCGCCTTCTCCGGACGCCGGTAGTCCAACCGCTGCCTCCGTGCCGACCTCCTCCAGGGGCTTGAGGAAGTGGTAGAGGAAGAATGCACCCAAAAGTGCCCAGCAGAGACACATCAGCCCGACGATACTAGACACAACCTTTATTTTACAAGAGGCCGACGCTTCCATCGCGGCAGCGACCTGTGGGTCGTAGGTGGTATATGGGGATATCGGTGCCATCTTCAGCCGGTGTCGTGTCGGTATAGATAAGGATGTCCTAGCACGACAGTCTCAGCGAGCTCCTGGGCATGCATTGTCGGGTATAAATTACTTACACTTCTATATTCCACCCCGGTAGTCTTTGACGATATTGAATAAGGGTCCCTTTGATAGGTAGATTGAGCAACGACTGTATCGTGGTGAAGTGTGATTTGGTTACTCGCAAAGTTGCTCCGGCAAAGAGCAGCCTAGGAGACACCTGACCCACTCCCATACATTGTGACGTCCCGCTATTCACCCCGAGATATCTCGAGTATCAAAAGAACCCTTCTCCCGACGGGAGAACGATGCCGAAAGAGTTGGCAGGTCGTCGAGCCGAAGACACCAGGGAGACGCTTCCCGTGAGATGAAACTGGGCTCCGCGGTAACTGGAGTTGCGCTCTGGGAGTAGGACCACGTTATAAGAGGTTGGGAGAGAGAAGAGATCACAGCCTGTGCGAGTGCGTCAGCTCCGGGTTTATTACGACGTGACGAAGGTTGTTATTCAGCTACGGCAGGGGGAACACGCACCGTTTCACCCCCGATGAATCATAAGTGCCGCTTAAAGCATGCTTCTCATCTGGTATTACGCTTAGTATGACACCTACTGAGCGTCATGCTAGCTCCGCTTATCATTTGCGTTCCGTCTATTACCCCAAGATAGGGGGGGCGGCGTGTCCCGCGGCTCATATCCACCAACACTAGGTATAATAGCTTAATTTACTCCCAGGGATAGGATTTCCTGCGTGGTGTTGTCCTAGTTCAGCCCGTTTAAGCGCCTCGGGGCAACGTCTTAGACGCACCGGGATGGAATTGCCGCTATCATCTGGTGGATTCCACCTCGCAAACAGGGCAACAGATCCTCGCCCACCCGGCTGCCCGCAAACATCGTAGAGGCCAAGAAACGCGCTGGCGAAGGGCCGAGGAGGTATAATATGAGGTAGTCATATTATCGTCAACCTGTCGCGAAGGCATTCCCAGGTACCTTGAACCTGAATGGGGTTATGGTAGCGGGATGTGTATTGTAAGACATGGAAGTTGAGGGGGTTCGCTCATCTCTCTCATATGCGCGGCTAAGCTTTCCGGGTGCTTTACTGAAACAGCTGATCGTACACGGCCCTCGCTTCCCCAGCTTCCCCAGTTTCCCCAGACGGCACTCGGCGATTTTGTGGCATGGCAGGCCCGTGGACATGGAGCACGGCCCGATAAGCGCGTGGCAGGAGGTCATCAACATTCCACGAGGAGCTGGAAAACCCCCCATGCCTTGGCGAGCCTGCTGACCTCGCCCAAGGTATCGGGGTCATGGCTAAACTTCCAAGGATTCAGCCTATCGTTGGGCAGGATCTTGTGTGAGCAAAGTCAGGTAGAAAATTGCCGCGGAGGGCTGACAGCCTAGACCCGGTGATATTTAGCCGGTTAGGCCACTCGAGCGAAACAGGGCTCGTGTAGCGCTCGGTAAGATGGCAGATCGCGCCAACTAGGTCGCGACGGCATCGTCGAGAGAGAAGGAGAAGTGTGATTGTGGTGTCACCTCGTATGTTTCGGCTGGCGGTTCAGCCCGATGCCTACTCGACGAGAGCCTCGATATTACTCCAAACGGGAAGAAATCATAATCATACTTGTATGGTAATCATTCCGATCGCATGCAGTAGCCGGCAAGACATAGGGAAGAGTTGAACCGCGACTCTCGTCACAGATAAGACCAGTTGACCGAAAGCGAGCAGAATGGCACTCCAATAACAAAGCGGCTTCCAGGGCGCTTCAGTATTTCGGTTGTTGCGATTATCGCCTAGGTGCTGCCGCGCGTATCGCGCTTGAGCGTGAAATACAGCAAGGAAATAGAGTCTCCTTAGGGCTGCTGTAACAGTGGGTAGTAGCAGTGATAACTAGCGGACGACGTAATGACACGTTAATATATGCACCTGGTCTTAATTATGTGTTGTGCAGGAAGGTGTATAAGCCTACAGCTGTGAACAGGAGGTTTAGGGATACATACCCATCCCATGTTAGCATTCATGTATGATTGCGAGTTAGATATGTGTCGTAAGACCAGAGGACGGAATATTATTGTGTCATAGATGGTGTTATATTACTTACGCCTTCTCTACCGTGCGTATTGTTTGGTAATAGAAAGGAGTAGACCGTCTATCCGGCAATAGTCCTGTTGCCCCAGGGGCACTAGATCGAGGGCGGTCCAAAATGAAGAGGTCGGCTACGTGTGGCGGAGCAAGGAATGAATTTAAGGTCTGTGTATTAAAAGGCACTATAGCGAATATGATATCCTGCCGATACCTTCCATCGCTGGCTGGTATCTATCTACACACGTACTCGCTACCCAAACTTCAATAGGGGATGCTTTACCCGCTTGCCACGCGACTCGAGGAAGTATAAGGGGCAGGGGGTGAGAAACGGAGGCACGAGAGGAGCCGTTACATCGTTCTGTCATGAGTTCCTAGATATATCAGCCGGGCACCGAAATACCGTGATGTGGTTATAAAGCGGGTATGAAACGAAACTGTGTATGGTGGACGTGGTTTGTAGAAGGGAGAATTGGTGTAATGGGTGTGGGTGCATAGAAATCTACAAGGCATATTGCTGTGAACATACATGATGCCTCTGTGTTCTAGCCAACAACGTCGCATATATCCTACGGCCATGCTCAAGCGCCGTCCCTTGAAAGGCATCAGAATGTCGGAATATCCATAAACGTATGCGGTGATAAGGAAGCATGTAACCGGTAACCAAAGCGGGTTGCGACATATGAGATCACGCCGAAAAGGGGGGGAAGTGGCCAAAGTGTCGGGCTAAAGGGGAGGGGGTAAAACGGGCGCAGAAACGTTGGGAGTGGTGGCTAGTGGGAGGTTGGGGTTGCTTACAGCAAAGCTAGTGTCAGATCACCGTGAATCCTCGCCTTCAGCGTGACTTCCACCTCGAGGTTGAGATCGAGCCTCAGACGCAGCGTGTCTGATTTGCCCCCTCCGCCGCCCTGGTTATTGAGCGCGCCGCCAGCAACGTTGCCGAGCGTGCCCGTAGCCGAGCTCGTCAGATTGTTGGCGGTCTCGCCGACGTTGCTCACGGGGAGCAGTTGGTCGGCGCCGCCCACGCCGCCCACGCCGCCGAGAGGGCCGCCGCCGCCGCTCCGTTGCTGGCTGGGCGCCTGGGTCTGCTGGCGCTGGCGCCGGCGGCGCGCTTGCGGGCGAGGCAGCGGCGGCGGCGCCGGCTCGTCAACCTCCTCCACACTCTCGTCGTCGTACGCGTCGGAATACGGCTGGTCCTGGGATCCCGACTGGGCTGCGGGGGTGGGAGGCTGCTGCGGGGGCTGGTCCTCGTTGCGACGGCGCCCTTCGCGCGACCCGGAAGCGGAGCCCGATGGCGTAGGGGATGACATGTTGGGCTTGTAGAAGTGGATATTCTCTTAGTGAGGGGGATTTCGAGATAATTCCGGTAGAGTCCCTGCGCTATGGTAACGTGGTACTTCGAAAATAGAGGACGAGAGACTCACACTCGACGGTAAAGACAGACAGTACTAGCGAAAGCTTATAAGACAGCGAGAAGGAGAAGTAACGCAAGGGAGAGCCGCCCGTTGATAAGCCAGCCATGCCACAGCCTCTACCAGGAGTGCGCTCATAGAAGGGCGCCGCACCTGTCTGCATGCTGAGTTGACCCTGGCTTGGTTGGTATGGCACACGACGAAGCGGGAGGCTGGCTGTGCCCGAGAGCACCGTTTTCAAGGGGGGCGTGGAACACGTCACCCACGGCTACAGTTCGAGGACGCTGTCTCCTGCTGACCCTTATGCTCCTACAGCGAATCTTGATTTTTCTCGTCATCCAGATTTCGCCTTGCGTCTGTCGCTCGAAAGCGCATCGACGCCGCCTACTGCATCACTTTGCCTGGCCACCAACCGTTCGTGTCTCGGGAGTGTGCGAGTGGCTGAAGGGCTGACGTAGAATCGCATACCCCTCCTGACTTGCGAGCCAATCCAGCAGGGGTTCACGTTACCCCGAGGAGGAGAGGAGGGTGTGTGGTCGGAGTTCCTGGGTGTCACCAGGAAATATTTACGAGTCGTTTCTGCGATTTCTCTGCGCCGAAAAGCAAGTTTTCTTCCCAGTACCCTTCGCCTGAACCTCAGATCTCGATGAGGTACATCTTGTTTGACTGCATCTACATGTAATGCGGGTTATTCATTCCCTCCCTTGCTCCCCCTCCACTCCAAGTCGGGATCTGACCGTCTGTTTGTTGTGTCTTCTAGTCTCTGGTATATCGACTGGACACGCCGAGCTGAAGCTCGCGATGTAATTCGATATCCACCATATCGCAGTCCAGTATCTCGTCTAGATTCCCATTTCTGTCGTAATGAACCGTCCATTTCCCGTCATCGTTCTCGACGGCGATGAAGCGCTGTGTCCCCTGGAGGATGAGCCACTCCTCATCTTCGGTCCAGCTCCAGGGTCCAATAATATGCTCAGTGGTCTCCGACCTCGAGCCATGACGCAGTAATCCCGTGTCCTTATCGACATAAATCCAATTGAGCATCGGCGGATCATCCGCTATGGGCGCCACCAGCCCCTGGTGCTGCTCTGGGCCGGGGTAGGCGAAATAGAAGCCGTTGAAAGGGTATCCTTCTACCGGCTGATCCGGATGGCTTAAGTAAAGCTATCGGGAACGTGAGCGTGGTCTTGGGATTTGCTGCTTCAGGAGAGGGGTCCTAGTCCATCTACACGCAGAGAGGACGGGTAGAGCCCGACATACCTTCTTATCCTTGAACACCACCAGGGCATCTCTCGGCGGCGACACGCCGTTATGCGAAAATTTCGCCGTCAACTTAAACTTAATTCTGTCCTTTGCCTGTTGGTTTTGCTTCTTCTGCGCGTCAATCGCTTCCGCTACGCCGATAACTGTTGGTATAGCGCCGACGGTGAGTAGCCCTAAGGTAGCGAGAGCCATGTATAGTACTCCTAGAAGACACAGTACGGAAGAATCGAAGGAACTGCAAGTTCTCTCGTGTTCCAGCCGAAGCGGGGAAAAGGCCTGACAATGTTGCGTAACAAGTCCCGGGATTTGGCAGTCGGGAATGGTAAATCAAGTTCATGACAGAGCAGGTCGAGCAGATACGGGAGACAATGATATCGGACATGCGCTACATAAAGACACGCCCCTCCATTCGAGATAAGCAACTGATCGACCACGGACGTAGACCGTCCAGCGTAGAAGATGACTTCATATCGAACGGACTTGATGGGTTGGTTGCCTGACCATAGAGAATCAAGGCGGCTTTGCACAACCTCGCCGTAGAGGGCAACTGATTGGATGTAGACAGGCGGACCAGGGCTCTGATGCTGATGGCTGCAGACGCAGATCAAGGTAAGCAAAGTTGGGGTACGATCCAGGTGCGTCGCGTTGGTATTGCGTCAGGGGTGCTGGAGGCTTGTCCGTAGGCAAACTTGAGATCTCGTGTTGGTTAGGGGAAATAAAACAAGGGAGACCGCCACAGAACACAGAATACTGTTCGGCCGTTTATAGAGCTCCCGCATCCTCACGGAAGTTCCCTATCATCACTCTAGCACACTATGTCGTCTAATGACGACCCGACCAACCAACAGCCTCCCGAACAGGGGCGAGCATCGCCGCAGGCCGAACCGGGAGAAGGGCAGGGCGGCGACGGCCCGAGCGATACCCGGGACGAAGCACTGCAAAGAGACGAGCATGACGGCGGAGAGCAACAGAGCCAAAACCAGCCGCAGCCCGCTCAGGACGACGACGGCGGCGACGATAGAGGTGTGAAGAATGGTAAACAGCGGGACGAGCCCGAAACTGCCAGAGCAGAACAGCCTCGAGACCGCCAACGCGAACAGACGCGGGCAGAATCCGAGAAGCCCAGCCGGTCACGCCGCCGCCGCCGCAATCAGCCCTCATGGGTGGACGAGGACGAGGAGAACGGCTATCAGAAGCAGATGGCACCTCGGCGGCAGCGCCAGCCGCCGCCGCAGTATCAGTCACAACAGCAGATCCAGGCACAGATCCAGGCGCAACAGCAACAGGTGCAGCAGCCGCAGAAGAAAGAGGGCTCGAAGAATCCGTTGAGGTTGCGATTAGATCTCAACCTCGAGGTAGAAGTGCAGCTCAAGGCCCGAATCCACGGCGACCTGACTCTGGCTCTCTTGTACGTTCTGAATCGTCCATCTGCAACCCCTCCTCTAGCCCACCTTCATCGCCGCGTGTCGAGAGACCTAGGGAGAAGCCGTGCAGACTGTTTTCTCTGTGTGCCCATCGAACTGACTTCTATAACAAAGCGACAGTTAGCGTGATGAGACAGCAACTGCTAACGGCATCCCCCGTCAACAGGGAAGATGGGCTGTGAGCCCGAACCACCCGGCCGCGTGGGTGAAGGTTGCCGGCACTCCCAGACGTGTTGTGGGTTTTGCTGTGGCGACGGGCGTGTTGGAAATTGTGATGGGGTCACACCCCCGTTTAATATAGACGGCGTGGGCTTGCATTTAGGTCGGTAGCGTTCGGTGTTCTAGTATTGAGTCGGGATGCTGGGCAAGTCGTGTAGTTGTAGTGTACTTAGTGTAGTGTGGCTGGTGGCACTGCGATGAGGACAGGTATTGGAAGAAAGAATCAGTTAAACAGGCAGTAATTATAGGTACCTTAGGTGCCCACCAGTCATCTATCAGGCCCTATATTCGTACCGACTTAGGCGCCTTATGCCTTTGATAGGTACCTGTCCACCAGCCACACAACCCACCTAAGAAGCCACCGCTGAAATGAACGCTAAGCCAAGTAGAAACATCCTCGTTTCCCTCTTCTCATCCGTCAATGCTTTCTTCGGTCCTCAGTCGAGACTCGACCTCGCGCCCTCGACGACGCACGGTTTTAGCCCGACGTCGTATGGGCCCTGCCCGATGCTGGTCGTAGCCCGACATGCCTAAGTCCCAAGATTCGATAGGGTAAGCATTGCCTATACCTATCTAATGCAGGTCCAGAGCCTGGTTCGGGGGCCTCTAGCGACAGCCAGTCTCTATCTCCCTGACCTCTTCCGAGGGCCTTTCCGCTCGGTTCTCATCTCAGGGGTCAGCCCTGGGACCAGAGTTGTTCGTTCGACGGCTAGATCGATGACATCAGATCTGAGAGAGATGCCACGCCTTGAGGCTGCGTAAAAGCAATGCTACGATACAGCAGCAAGCGCCAAGACAATGGCACTGCCATCCGTACGTACACGTTGCATCGCGAAGCCCAGGAGGCCTGAAGCGCCCTGTCTGTACTACCACTTGGGAAGTTGGCCAACCGGGCAAGCCAACAGGTGCCGGGTTATCCTGCTTGAGCTCTTGTCCACCTATGCCTACAGTACATACGTCCATAAGGAGCGAGCTGTCGGGTCCTTGATTTGCTGGAGTATACCCTCCACCACCACCCGTCACAGGTTCTAGGGTCACAGCTTCTAGGATCGCCATCCTATGACGCAAGTAAAGCGTGGTACGACGACGCCTCTTGCTAAAATCGAGCAGCCAGAAAGGGTACATCAGTGGTGACGGGTTGGGACCTGGGCTCTACTGTCGCTTACTCCTTCTTTAGGATGGGCGCCATCATCACTCTGCTTTGGTCGTTTCGGTTCACAGTCAGTCGGTGAATGCTTTCCTCGATATACCGCCGTGGAAAGTGTCCGTTCTGTCTCTCCCCATCTTCATCTGCAGCATAATTTGGGTGACACTGCTTGTCATCTTCATCCTCTACGCCAGTCATATGCGATCCTTTGTCAAAGCCATGGCCGACCGGATGAATCCACAAACTCCCCCAAGAAAATTGTTCAAGCCCTCGAGCAAAACCAAGACGCCGACTTCTGGAAAAAAGCAGGGGCCAACTACCCCAACAACCTCGCACCACCAGTCCGAGACGACGGGCTTCACCCCTGGGGAATCCGCAAAGCAAACCGGCGCTACGTCTCCGTCAACGAGACCAGCTACCAGACCTACCGCCGATGATATAAGCAAATCGGCCATCTTAGCTCCCCTCACTAGTACAAACATCCCCTCAGATAGGGTTGATGATTATACGAGCTCCGCTGCCGCGGGCAACCCTCCAGTTGGCTCGATCGATAACGACGTCCTCACCCCAACCGATACGATCAGCCAAAGCACACATGTCCCTAGCATCCTTTCGAGAGGCGCGTCGGAAGCTACTGTGGGCGCGAGGCCTGGTTCCTATGATGGGATCCCAAGTAGTCCAGAACGAGACGCCAGTTACATGGCTACTGGTTCAGGGCGGGAACACTCCCCTCTAAGAGAAAAAATGCCAGATCAGAGAAGAAATACGGCTGCAAGTATTGACGGGAAGCTCCAGGAAGTCTCCCACACTGCCAATATCAACCCGGCCAGACCATTGAACCCCGCCGACAATGCGAGCTCTTCACACAACATTGCAGAATACTTCGGCGAGCAAGGAAATCCGGAAATGAGCACTTCCGCATCGGTAGTGGCAGGAACGGCATCACGTAACACTACGGATGCAAGCGGCGGCGCTACAAATTCGAAAAAAGACCCGTTAGGAACCGAAGGCGATAAACGGCCAAGCTCCCCTGAACCTGTCGGTCCCAGGAAGGCCGGACGGGTGGCGGGTGATTCGGGAGATCGGAACCTCGGCCTTGCACCGGCTAGCGTAATAACCAGGCCTGATACGGCCAGTATTCCAGACGAGGCAAAAGTCAGCGGTCTTGATCGAAACAGGGAGGCACATCGATCGGCCCGAGGCTTACCATCCGGCATCCAACAGACAGCTGCGAACACGAGGTCAGGTGCTCAAGCCGACGGTTCACGAACCTTGAATAACTTGGGCAACCCCACACATATCGAACGAAGAATCGAGTTTCCACTCCCGCGCCCCGAAAAGATAGTGGACAGCCCCCCCGATCCCATTAAGCCCGATACAAGCAACATTACGGCTAGCCTTGGTGGTGCCAACGACCTACCAGGGACAGAGGACCTGCCAAGTACAGAAGATCTAGCCAATCTTCCGGGAGACGTATCACAAGACCCCCCAGAGGAGATATTAGATCCCTCGGTGCATTCTGCGTCTACCAACGTCTCGCCTATTCCTAAGGTCCCGATAATCACACCTCTCGCTATGGATGTGCCTCATAATCTCTCCCACCTCGCCCGGGGCCTTGGCGGCAATACGGTCGATGATGTGGGGAATATTATAGATGCGTCTGGGAACGTTCTTGGCCATGCTTCAGGTGACCTGCCGACTATGGTTGGGAAGAAGATCGCCGAGGACGGGAAAGTCTACGGTGACGGTGGAGAACTCATCGGATATGTCTCAGAGAACTTCACAGCGCAGTCGCACTCGCCTAATGGAACCGAAAGTGTCCTTGGAGGTTTGGCGGTCGATCACCATGGAAATATCCTCGATGCAAGCGGCAATATTATCGGCCACTTCAACGATAAGTCCAAGGGAAGCAGTTACTTGCCTCCTTTCGAGGGCCAGTCCAAAACGAACCAAACACAGGCTGAGGATATATCTCGGACGAAACCCGCGCTGAATGTGAACGCGCACAGTGGCGGGAGCCCCTCGGACATCTTTCTGGATGTAAAATCCACGACAGATGGCATTCAACTGATAATTCGTATTCCTACAACGTTCGGGCGTCAGCAATCGGAGCAGTAGCTATTGGGAGGCTATGGTACCTGGAGGTTGCGTGAGCCTAGGGTGGAGCAGTGGAGTTATGCATACAGGATACCGCACAGTTAAATACGCAAATATATGTTTTTCCGGCAAAGTTAGCATGAAGAAGACTTTCAATTGTTCGGAGTCAGTTACCCCCATGAGGCGTCCGCAAGGGTGAGCAGCCAGTACCACAGAGCCCACATCAGCCATGGACGGATGGCCGGGCAGGCTTCTGAACCCCAACGGCCTCATTGTTCTCTGGCGGTACACCAGCTATCTCAATGTGCCTACGCCGCTAAAGACTACGTTCAAGTATTCGTACTTTCAAGGCTACACGATATTATCCGCAGTACTACGTAAGATGAGCCTGCGAGAATCACATCTCAGTGCAAAGAAGTAGCTATCAAGAGGTGTGACGCTCCCATGTACATGTAACTATACCATGCAAGGGCGTGGCCCGAGGAGCGAACTGCGATCGATATAGAACATATAGAACATAAACATCGTCGTGCGAGCTGTCTCCTTTTTGCGTACCTAAAGTACCTTGTGAATCCGGGGCACTAAACCTCATGTTAGAGCAGGCAGCATAGCCACCGACCAGGTGGCAACAAACCTACCAAGATATGCCCGCCGATCTTCTTCACCCTTGGAACAGCTCCTCGAAGTGTGGCCAACCGTATGTTGTTTGGTGTATATTGATATGTACTACCTGTCGGCTTACCGTAGTTCGTATCTTGTTACCATCGAGATCTCCGAACGGCACGCCCAGGGGTGCGTCCAGGATGTCTGGGAACCTGTCGTCAGAAGGCCGGGGAAGAATCCTGCTTTACAGACCAATACCTAGCAAATCTATCGTAAATCGTCTTCCAGCATCTATGTATTAGGGCCCCTACAATGGGGGCTATTAGTTCCGCGCGACCCTCAGCAACCCTTCACCTAGGCAGTGCAGACAACCCGCAAGCCACAGACCGGCTCAGGACCATGTCCTTGCTTGCGAAACGCCTCTCTATGTGTGCGACCTACCGCATAGGAGTAGAGATGATAACATCGTTTGTGGCTGACTCCGTCACAAGTTATACCGTCGTCATTAGTTGGGTGTCCCCTACTGATGACGTTAAAGCTCGGCTATCGTTCTGATATCGTGACGTCGGCCGCAATCTATCGAATGGCCTTTCAGCAGTCAAGATCTCGAGAGCGCGTCCCGTCGTGTATCGGTACAGCTGGTGGACGAGGTGGCCATCTCTCTTCTAAAGCAATGACGTAGATGTTAATTCTCGAGGCTTCACATCTTTTAAGATGCTGTGTCGTAGTCTTCCACTCATAAAAAGACCGGAGCCTTCCTGTTCTATAGGCCCTGACGCTTCAAATCGTATGAATGTCACCCGAGAATATACCTAGTAACAGTCAACTTTCACCCCAAGCACAACAGAGCCTGAGAATAGTGACAACAACAATCCAATATATCGTTACAGACGCAAACCCAGTAGCAGCATTCGTTCATCCTGCGGCTATGTCGAGAGTCGGCGGAACAGCTCGCGGCCTAGGAAGTCCCCTAGAAGTCGCCCCGGAAAATATTCCTGCCCGGGAATCACCCTCGCCAGCTTCGGTCCCGCGGTCTATACCGGCTCAATCGACCGGGTCAAACGCGAACGATGGTGAGGGCGAAATGGTACCGGCAGCCGGTCGCATTAACGAGGAAGGCCAGGTTATCGACGATGACGGTGACGCTATCGGCAAGGTCGTGGAAGGGGACGCCACCAAGTTCACAAACTTCGTCGTTACGCAGGAAGGAGACATATTAGACGAGGACGGTGGCGTGGTCGGCAAGGCCGAACCTTTGGAAGGCGTTGCCTCCGATTTCAACTACACTATCAAGTCTGGGAGGGATATAGGTACACAGCCTGATCAAGCCGGCAAACAAGAGGGGTCCGCTGAAGGGGGCGACGAAGGCGGACTGTTGTCTGGAGTCGCTGGAACCGCAAAGTCGGCCCTTGGCGGTGCCGCCAGCAGTCTAGGCCAGACCGGCAAGCATGTAACAGGAGCTGTAGGCGATGTCAGCGAAGGAATCCAGGATGTCGCCGGAGAGTCGGACGCGGCCAAGGATACTGCTGCTGCCTCTAGCAATGCAGCCCGAGGTGCAGCAGGGACGGCTGGGGACGCCCCCGTAGGAGCAACCGAAGCTCTTGGGGACGCCGAACAGCCTATAACAGAGGCGGCGGGAACCAACGTTCCAGATACCGAACGTGCTGCCGAGGCCCCAGGTAAGACGGTGGAGGGCGCTATTCGGAGCGCTCGAGAAGCCGCTCCCGACGGACACTCTACTCGAATAGAGGGTAGTAGAGCGGAAGACGACCTAGACATAGGATCTAAGGTTCGCTCAAAATCCGACCTAGTGTCCAAAGCCGACGACCTCACAAAACAAGGACCCGGCCCTGTAGAAATACCACCGCTATCGCCTTCCGTGGCGAATAAGGTTGTCGCCTTGTTCGAAGGACCGTTTACGGTTGCGGATGGCGGCAAGGTCACAGACCAGAACGGGAGGGTGATAGGGAGGCTGGCAGCGGGTTCAGATATTCAGGACTTGGTCGGCAAGGAGGTCACGGGGATCGACGGCGAGGGAAATCTTCGAGGCGCCGGCGATGCAATCATCGGAAAAGTCGACATCGCTCCAGAGGGTTCAATCGCCGAACGTATAAAGCAAGAAATCCCCGAAGCGGCCAGTCGTCTCAATGCTCTGGAGCAAAGAGCCCAAGGGGCTGCCCAAATCCAAATCCCCTCCTTTGCACCATCCGCGGCCGAAAAGGTCATCGCCATGTTCGAGGGCCCTTTCAATGTCGACAAGGATGGCCAGGTCACAGATCAGAAGGGGAAGATCCTAGGAAAATTAGCCGAGGGGCAGGGCTATGAGCATTTGGTTGGTAAGGATATCAAGGGAATTGATGAGAAAGGCAACTTGATGGGAGATAATGGTACGGCCCTTGGTAAGGTCGATCTTATCCCCGAGGGTACGATCGTTGAGCGAATTAAGGACGAGGTTCCGGGGGCAGTGGAACGACTAGATGCCCTCGAAGCGGCGAGGCAGCAAGTCGAGGGCCAAGCCCAGCTGCCTGACATCGCCATCCTCCAGGGTAAGAGGATAAACAAGGGTGGTAACGTTGTTGACGACAAGGGCAACCCGATTGGGAGAGTAAAGAGCGGAGATATCAAGAAGCTCGCCGGGAAAATGCCCGACAAGAACGGCAAGGTCTGGGATAACCAGGGGAACATCATTGGAGAGGTCGAAGTTCTCCCCGAAGTCATCGAGAACGTGGCGTCGCCTTTCGAGGATTTCCCTGATGCCACCGTCGACAAAGCCGGGAAGGTTATCTACGACGGGCGCCAGGTTGGAGTCGTCGTCGGCGACAATTTCCAGGATCTAATCGGCAAGAAAGTCGACGCTGAGGGCGACATCCTCGATAAGAACGGGAACGTCATCGGTCGTGCAGAGCGCGCCGAGGCCGAGGAGCCCATTGTGTCAGAGGAGGAACCCATCGATTACACGGTGCTCCGCGATAAGAAGGTCAACAAGTTGGGCAACGTCGTGGATGACAAGGGTCAAGTTTGGGGCCATGTCGTCGAAGGCATCGTCAAGCATCTTGTTGGCAAGAAGGTCGGCGACCAGGGCAAGATCTTTAGTGACGCTGGCCATGTCATTGGCCAAGCCGAGCCCATCCCCGAGGGCGAACGGGTGGATGCCAAAGAACCCGCGCCATTCGAAGACTTCCCCGACGCTGTTGTCGGCGATCAGGGCAAAGTTATGTCAGGTGGGGAGCAAGTGGGCATAGTGGTCGAAGGCGACCCCAAGAAGCTGAAGGGAAAGCCCGTGGACGCTGACGGGGATATCATCGACAAGGCGGGTAACCAGCTGGGCCGCGCGGAGCGCTGGGAAGAAGAAGAGCTTGAACCCGAACCCGAGGTCGACATGTCGGCGCTCGCCGGCAAGCGTATCAACAAGGCCGGCAACGCCGTCGACAGGCAGGGCGACATCTACGGCCGCGTAATCGAGGGCGATATTAAGCGACTAATCGGCAAGATGTGCGACAAAAATGGGTTTATCCGCAACGAAGGAGGCGACATTATCGGTAAATGTGAGCTCATTCCCGAAGCTGAGAGGGAGGGCATGAAGGAAGGGCCCTTCACGGAGCTTCCGGGCTGCACGGTCACCAAAGAAGGCAAAGTAGTGACGCCTGGCGGCGATGTTGTCGGGCGGCTTGTCGCCGGCGACCCCAAAGTTCTCTTCGGCCGCGCGGTGGACGACGACGGCGACATATGCGACAAGAACGGCAATGTTCTCGGACACGCGGAGCGCTGGGAGGAAGAGCCAGTTCCAAAGGACGTCAACCCCATGTCCGGCCGGAGGGTCAACCGTGAGGGCAATGTGGTCGACGAGAACGGCGACCTCATGGGTAAGCTCACCTCTGGCGTTCTGAGCCAGTGCGCGGGTAAAAAGATCGACGATGACGGTGACGTCGTCGACGGCAAAGGGAACGTCTTGGGCCATTGCTCGCTGCTCGTCGAAATTCCTGAAGAGCCCGAACCGGAGCCGGAGCCGGAGCCGGAGCCTGAGACCGAGACCGAGGAGGAGAGGGAAGCACGACTCCAGTTGGAACAGGATCGAAAGATTGCTGGCCAGATCGCCGCTTGCATCGACCTATCTCTCGACAAGATCAAGCCTATCTGCAGAATGATCGTTGATGTGAGTATCCGATTCCCGTCACAGAATCAGTCTAAGCTAACCGTTTAACCCCGCGCCGCAGAGAATCGACGCAGAAGAGCGCAAGCCGGAAGAGGAGCGGGACGAGGAGGAGCTGGTCAAGCAAGTGCGGCCGCTGATCGAGGAGGGCGGCAAGATCCTGACGGAGGCCAACGGGGTGATCCGCGGGCTCGACCCGGACGGGCGCATCTCGGCGAACGCCAAACACAAGACGGCGGCGCGCGAGGCGACGCCGGAGGAGTACCGGCTCGCGGAGCTGCTCAAGGAGCTCACGGGCACGGTGACGGAGACGATCGAGGGCGCCAAGCGCAAGCTCGAGAACCTGCCCCGCGCCAAGAAGGGCATCAACCCCCTCTGGGGCCTCCTGTCTGAGCCCCTCTTCCAGATCCTCGCCGCCGTCGGGCTCCTGCTCAGCGGCGTCCTCGGCCTCGTCGGGAAGCTCCTCAACGGGCTCGGCCTCGGCGGCCTCGTCAACAACCTGCTAGGAGGGCTGGGCCTCACGAGGGTCCTCGACAGCCTCGGCTTGGGCTCCATCCTGGCCCCTCTCACCGGGAAGAAGAAATGAGGCCGGAGCGGGGATTCGTGGGATACCGTGTGACTAATAATATCTTGACTCTGTACGATGGCGGTTGATTTCCAATGTGGTCCAATTGCGCCGGATGATTTTGTTTCTACCAATCTTACTCTTCAATCCCGGAAAAAGGGGGGGGGATCAGGAGCAACACTACTGAACACAGAATACATATAGTAATTTTAGTATGTTTTCTGAGATGGCTCAAAGAATCACGTCCCGAGGACTACAAAAAGGAATGGCCATGACGCCCTTCAGCTGCATTCGCATATGCCAGCTCGTCAAGGTGATCAGACTAACCTGTGAAATGCAATCCCATTTGACGCCGAGGTGTTGTTGACTCGGACGAACCTACCTAGAGTGTCCATCTACAAAGCGACACGACTCGTGAAGATCTCTAGTACTTTGCGACGTCGTCCTCTCTACGCGTGCCTAGCATACCCACGACATGTTCTAGCATTATTTTACGATCGATGATGGTATCGCTGGCCCAAAATGTGTCATCCTATGCCTCCTAACCGAAACTCTCTCCGCATCTCGTTAGTAATGATCTCATGGTCGGCCATCGTAAAAATCGGAACGTGTCATAGAGCACCAGACCCTAACATGTGCTTCCTGCTGAGAGGTGTTCGGACGAGTTTAAAAAGTCACAACTAGGACCAGGTTTGATCCTGAATTTCATCCGATGTATGTTCATACCCGGGTTGTCAACCAGAGTGCACCAAGATCTCGCCTACACCGACGGTCGAACACACGAAAAAACGGATATGGAGCAACACAGCGAAAGCAAGAGCTCGACTCGGAACCAGGGGGGTGGCGGCGGCTTCTTCGGTGGCGCTGCCAAGGGTGCCGATAGTATTCTCACGGGCGACAACGAGGCGGAAGGCCGGGGCGGCATGCTCGGCGGTCTACACAGCGGCGTCAATAAAACAAGCGAAGGTGCCGGGAACGCTCTCCGAGAGACGGCGGACGGTGCCGGAAAGGTTACCAGATCTGTAACCGAGGACGTCGGAAACGCGGGGAGGAACGTCACGGACAAACTGGATACCACTGTTAGGGGGATGGCTGGTGGTGGTGGTGGTGGTGGTGGACAAGAGAAGCGGAAATGAGAATTGAAAAGATGTTGATTATGAGGAAGAAGAAATGTTGCAGGGGGTGCGAGCATTTCCGTCTACTGACCTTGTAGTAGACAGAGGAGACGATGTACGTTGACGAGGCCGTAATCACGGTACCTTGGCATTCTTTACTTATACTCTACCCGAATTTCGCTATCCATCTATCATCGCGTTGTGATAGACAGAATGGTCGACACGTATTGAACTATGGTCGTGTAAATGATGCTCAGATCCTGTAGAAACCCATTTCAAGAGATTTCTCGAAATCGCAAAAAGTCGTGAAATTTTCATATTTTGGGGGGTCCGTTAATCGTCGGAAAATGAGTAGAATTTCCAATTCGGCGTAGCTTGTTGCGGTTGTCGATCCGAAGTCAATTAGGGGTCTGGGTGAAGATCATTTAGTTGGGGTGACTCTCCGGAGTCGGTATCCAGGGGGCGATGCGAATTCGGAGGGCTAAACCCGTCTCAATTGAACGATTACGCAACCCTGTCATCCTCCTCAAAACCCAAGACTGAACTCGAAGCCGCATTCTCCTAGACGGGCATTCCCGCAAGATCGAGGAGAGGGGATTCCGGCTGCCCTTGTGCTCGTTCTCACCGACGGTCCTCGCCGTTGCAGTCGTCACATCGTCGCTGTGGGCTATGCCGCCGGGCTGTGACGGTATTCCGGGAGCTGCTGCGCGTTTGTCAACAGAAGCGAAAAACACACCACGATGCCGCCATCCGCGTTGCATTGCGAGGCCCGCACGAACCAGAATGCGGCACGTGCCCGGCCACACGATCTCACCCCCTGCGGCCATTCCTGATGGCTACCTGCGTGCTGGATGGGGAGCGTAGCAGCAAGGGTGGTGTGGAAATAGTGGCGTGTTCTCCTGACCTGACTGGCTGCTCTCCCGGCCGGCCAGTCGAGCAGCGGGGTACTGATCCTTGGCTCTGTCGCGTCTCGGGGAGACCGCTGAGACAAGATCGATCGGATCGACGGTAAATAATCGTTAACGATTTCGTGCCAAGTTGGGCCCAACTATTCGGCCGCCCAAGCTAGGTTAGCTCTACTCTGGATGAAGCGGAGCTCGTGTTCAACGACTCAGGATGTCTCCCTCTCTGGATATCCACGGGCCATGATGGCTTGTGTGTTGCAGTGCGAGAGGCCACAGGTATGTACGGTGGACAGCCCGGGGGTGCGTTGGAGGAGGATGGTAAATTAATGACTCGTGTTGCACATTGGAGACGAGACCCTCTTCCCCCGACGACGTCGGGAACCACACTGGCTTTATGACAACCAGAGATACCCCCTCCCCCGCCTGCCGTCGATATTTCCAAGAAGTCGTGCTACCAGATTGCATACCGGCTTATACCTATATAGTTGGGTATCTGCAACCATCGTACGGCTGCTCATACGTAACATGCCCGACTTCGACGAAGCCTACTCGACCAGGCCATTTCTAGCGAGATCATCACACCTCTCTCCCACTCTCGAGGAGGGGGGGGTGGGGACGAAGGAAGCACTTCCGGCCTAGGCTATGCACGAGCATAGACGGAACTGGTGGAGATTATGCTCGCCGCCCCGGATTTACCCCAGGTTTCTGAAGCTATTCAGCGCTATGCTACTTCAAGCACGTACGATGTTACAGCTCTGGCGGAGCTCAGCGAACCACATCCTCAAGAGTCACACGATGAGCACACCATCTACGGTCGACGACGTCTTACTATAGCTCTACCCCACCTAATCATTACGAAACCTGATAGAAGCGACTGCATCAGCTGGTCGCCGATCCATGATACCTCCCTGTACGTGGTAGGTCGGTACAGTAAACCAGAACCCCTCCCCTCTCCCTCTTCTTCCGGCTGGCCCCTTTTTACCGCCCCTTCATATTGCCCGTTACGCCCCCTCCTCGTCTTGCCTCTCCTCTTCCCCTCTTCTCTGTCTTCCCGACGTTTGGCTTTACCGGTCTCGCCGTTCCTGCATACACAGGTCAAAAATCATCCGTTATTATCATTATATCTCTCCTAGCTGTTTAAGGTATCACTTTCCTATCCCATCGTAGTTTAGGGCGTGAACATCGGTACCAGTGTTCATGTAAAGACAGGACTCGCTAACGTATATGTCGGCTGGCAGTAGCTAGGCCGTCACCCTCTCGAATTCATCCCCCCACCCGCCAATTCATCATGGCGAATACCGTTAACAGAGTGGACTCGGGCATCGCTGGCCTCACGATCTCTACTAAAATAGAACGAGTCGATAGAGTAGACTCTGGCATCGCAGATGTCTCGGACTCTGCAACGAAGGAGACGGGGGAGCCCCTTACGAGAGTAGACTCGGCCGTCCAGGGCCTCTCTCCGATGGGGGAGCCTCTTACCAAAGTCGACTCGGCCGTTCAGGGACTCTCTATCTCTCCGGCTAAGGAGACGGGGGAGCCCCTCACCAGAGTAGACTCGGCCGTTCAGGGCCTCTCTCCGACTGAGGAGACGGGAGAACCCCTTACCAAGGTAGACTCGGCCGTTCAGGGCCTTTCTACTTCTCCTCCCAAGGAGAAGAAGGCTTCTAAAGAAAAGAAGCCTTTGAAGGAGAAGGTCGCTCATCGACGAACCAGCTCAAGTACACCCACACTACCGAACATGCAAGAGTTGAGTGAGTTATCTCGTTTAGTTTGTTGAATATCTTAGGGACTTCAGCTAAACATGGGTACCATAACAGAACAGAAGAAGACGAGGATACAAGTGGCAATAGAGACACAGGGCACAGGGTGGTAAGTGAATTTACACGTCTCATTTGAGTCTCTATCTCTATGTTGCGAGTTACTCTAGCTCGACCGTTGACATCCACCCAGGCTAACATCTGACTGACTATAGGAAGATCAACACCTCCACTTCGCATGTAGATGATAAGGACATACTATCGAAGCCCTTAGTAACACCGCTTGTGAAATCCATCGACCTCCACTTCAGCACAGGCATTGTCGTGACGGCACGGAATAAAGCTGGGGTCACTATCAAGGATGCCCTGGAGGTCATCTATAAGAAGAACAAGAACAAGGTATGTATAAGCGATCTTGTATATCTGTCCAGCAGGGCGAGTGCCCTCAGCCTATCACATTATCATATCTTCGTTGTTGCAAACGCTAAACCATTATATAGGCCGACGATGAACTCAGCGAGCCGTATCTGAAAGGATTTGTATGGGAACCCGATAGCTTCGAGGGGGACAGCAGCTCCGATGTACCAAAACAGTACTTGGATGAATGGGACAGACTGTATATCAGTCTGTCTCAAATACCGACTGTGGCTACCTCTCGCAGCGGCGGAAAGAAGAAGAAGAAGGCCGCAGCTGAGGCCGAATAGCTTGGCTCCGCCTTCGCTCGCGTATCCCCATCTGATCAACTTGCCCACGGTCCTCCATAAATCTCGAAGCGTACTGAACACGATGCTAGATAGGGTTGAAATCTTTCTGTTGGTAGTTGTACATACGGCTTGGTCGGTTCCAACACACGATCTACAAGACTTTCTGGTAGAGGCCGAGATTAATTAACCAATGCTCGCCGCGGATTCCCACCTCTCTACATTGCTGTATATTCATAAACGTTTCCCCGTGATGGTGATTATTTCAATCCCGTATTTCGGATGTCCGATACGGGACAAGATATGCAGCATAGTTAACATTACACAGGTATACGTCTAGCCATACTGTAGAAGAAGCATGATGGACAAGGTCTTCCTACATTGCGAGTAGCCATTCGCGCTGTCAATGCAGGCTTTTGCTTTAGATCGGTGCAATTATTCGCGCCCATCAGCCAACAAAATGTCTCACTGGTTGAAGCGCTATGGCATCTCGATGACATGTACAGTCTATCCTAAACTATCTTCACTACGCTGAATGGGAATTCTTCAAAAAGCGTCGTTAGGTACTGAGGATCTTCAGTATCATAATCTTCTTTTCCCCACGCGCAACCAACACGGCGGAAAGACGACCGAATCCCGCCCGTATATACTAGTGCCAAGGCGTATACATTGACAATCGAGAAGGACGGGCTGGCACTAGAACCGATGAAAAGAAGAAACACGTTATCATGAATGTCGTCCGGAGTGTCGAATTGTATGTAGAGGCGATGACGGCCAAAGTCTAGGGGGATATGAGATTCTGGGTGGTGATAAGAGCCGACGATGGTATATAGATCGCGTCCATTTGACTCTGCAATACACCGCTCCATGCCTTGTGCCATGCAGAGATATCCTCTCAGGGTGAGGGTACCTCCAGCCAACTCGCCCGTCTGGTCCTGACCTCGTGGCGTGATCTCTGCCTCGAGAACGTCCACATGCCAGTCGCTACACCAGTCATCCAGAAAACTGATATCCCCGTCCAGAGAGGCCCATGACCACGAAGGTGCCCGGTACGGCGATACAGGACGACCTTGTGTTTTTGGCGCCCATAGGAGACTCCTCGGCATCATGTGCTTCCATAGCCCAGCGAGGTAATTATCATACCCCGGCCCGCGATCTGTCACCATGGCGTCCCCCATATGCTTTGCCAGGCCTGACAAAGCGACGAGTTTATCACGAGAGAACGTCAAGTCACACTTGGAATAACTCTGAACAGCAGCCGGCCAGTCCGTCTCCGACCGTTCAGAGCTTCTCGTCCAAGGGTCTATCAAAGGCTTCCACCCACGCTTATCGGACTTCAAATCACCCGCAGGGCGTGTTCTGGGCTTTGAGACCAAGGTAGCGTTCGGGATAGTTTCGCAGTGATTCGACTCGAAACATTCCCAGAAGACTTGCTTACTGCCAAAGTACAGGTTCCGAGTTGAGAGAATTCGCTCCTGGAGAACCCAGGCGCGCGATAACAGAGGCTGTCCTTTGAAATCGTTCTTCCACGCTTCCATTTCGTCATCGAAACGGAAGGAGAATGACGCATCATCATCTCGGGACCATATGTTGATAATTGTAGGCGCGATAAGCGCCGGTTCGCGGTCAAAAAAGCAACCTGCTTGGTCGTCCTGAGCGCCGAGTGCCGCGATATTTATGAGCCCGTGGTGATAAATGGTCTGCATGGTGGACGCTTCCGCCTGCCAGTCGGCTGCGGAATCTTGGACAATGCATAATCTGTCAATCCATAGGTGGCGAACTTTCAATCGCTCGACAATCTCAAATGCATGCCGGAAGGTCTTTGGGAGAGTAGACACGGGAAGGCCTTTTCGGAGCATGTCAGAAGTCGACTGCAGAAGTCGTAGTTTCTTCGAAGCCGGTTCGGGACCCCAACAGTGGCTAAGAGTAATATATCGTTCCTGAGGATCGAATTCGCCGCGGTGAACGAGCCGAAATGACTTCTCGCCATTTATATCCCGCAATTCGAGAAGGCGGGTTGGCGAGAAGAGCGTAGAATCACGTTGAAGACATGATTCGTGACCTGTCAGACACCTGTCTACCCACGTTTCAACCAAGGACCATGTTTGCGCATCCGAGGTTGAAGTTGAGAGAGAAGGGTTGATGATGTCGTCTTCTACATTGCTATTTAGTTAGGATTCCCCGCCTCCATAAAGGGACTCTTACCGTCATGTGGGACCATGTCATGACAGGTTTCGTCCATTGGATCGCCACAGTACACGGCCATCACCGGGTCGCCTGCGTCACACCGGGACCAGCTCAACACGCGGAATACGGAATAGTAGCCCAGTGCCGCAAATGTAGGATTCACATCATCGCGGTCGTTAACCTCAGAAAATTGCAGACAGACAACACAACCGAGCTGCTGGGACCGTAATACGCTGTCATAGTTCTCGTGGTGACCAAAGATATAACGCTCTGGCTCATCCGATTCTGGCTCCTCTGCAGATCGTTAGCAGTAGTAGCATTTCGCATTATAGTTATAATACACACCGAGGCCTGCGTCGGTACTTTTATTATTAGGATCCCAAGAATCTCGTTCTAGTATTTCGGGGAAATCTTCGATCAGCCCAAGCCTCCTGGTCTTGGTGGGATCCTCGATGCCCTCCAGTCCTAGGCGGCAGACGTCACACAGCATCTCTCATGGTCCTTTGCAGTGTGAAGCAAATCCTCGTTCGCCTTTCGTTGGGTGAGTTTCCTCAGCTGACATTGGATTGGTGAGCTACTATAATGCTTTACTGGTAAGATATCGAACTAGGCGGATGCGTCCCTCAAATTTATACGGATGCTAGGAGGGGACATTTGTCCGGGGCTCCAGCCTGGGTTAGCACAGCACAGTATCAGCACCGCCCCGGCGTAGTGGTCCACTGGACGACGCGGGGGGGGATAGGATCGGTTGAGGCATAAGGGTTGCATAATGGGCTGACCAATGCCTGTCTATGACCACGTAGGTATGCATAGATTGGTAAAAGATATCGAACCCGCTTTACGAGACAGAACCTCATCCCTAGAATGTCGAATTTTCGTGGGCCGTCCCAAAGTCTCGGGTTTCGTTGCGTCGCCTGTGGTGAACCTCACACCAACAACCAAGAATTCGCCAGGGAGAGGGACCCTAGGCTCGGGTAGCGATGCCTACCCTTCGGGCCATGACTGGACCCAGGAGAGAGCGGGACTGGGCGGCAGTCTCGTCACGAAACGTAGCCCTGTTGCTAAACTCACGAGAGCCGATAACACGGGTATGAGCTCCACCGCAGTAAGTACGCGATGGAAGCCAGAGCTTCAGTCCAATAAACGGCGGGTCAAGAAGGGATGGCGTCCCACCTAGGGAGTTGTTTATGTCCTGCCTGGAGCGGTATCACGGTCTGATAGGGTAGAGGTCGGGATAACCTCTGCTCGCACGGCGCCTCTGACACACTTCCCCGACCAATCAGCCTAAGCCTCTAGCCAACAACGAGGTGGTCCCCATAAGCCTGAGCTTTGCGAATATGGATTCTGCTTTGGTCGACGGTTTGGGTCTTTAGCTAGCGGGAGGATCGTTACGGGTTCGGGTGCCCCTCCGTCCCCCCGCATCTGAGTTCCAGAAATAGTGGTGGTGTGGCTGGTCAAGTGGAAAAACGACCAAGGGAGGCGAGTCATCAAGGGTCGATGGTTGCTCGACAGAGGAGGAGGAGCAGTGGTGTTGTGTACTATGCGTCAAGTGTAGCCCGTAAGCGCAGGTGTGTATGCGCACGCGGAGGCCGCCACAAATTGCCATGGCTAGGCACGACGACAGGGTGAAAATGGAAGATGCCTAATAGGGTGCGATATGCGTGCTTGTTAGGTAACATAGGTAGGTAGCATAGGTAACATTGGCAGTTAGGTGCCTCAGGTAATAGGTAGATGGCTAATGCAACAGGGATAATGTATGCACATACCGGAGTGTGGCTGAAGAGGGATTACTAAAGCCTCCTCTGCTAACCGGTAGGGAATGATGGAATTGATCCCATCCTACGTTATATCCTTGACCATCTTTAGGATGTGGGGCCCTCTGGCTTTTCTCGTTTATGCCGCCATTAACCAGCACCTCGTAGCGTTTCCTGACCTGAAACTCCTCCCGGCCCCCAAAACAGGATGCTGACGACGTCGCGCTGTCGGTGTAGTGCCACCAGTACCAGCCGCGGAAGACGAAGACGGAGAAGAGAACGCCGGAGCTGCGCCGCGGACAATCCGAAGGCATGGCATCATGGAATTCTTCGAGAACCAAGTTGGCGAGGTGCGATACCTGACCACTCTGACTGAGACCCCAGCCTCGGTACCACCGGCATCCCCAGACTCCCAGCAACAACAGAGCAGCGCCGCCGCCGCCGCGCCGACGAGCGGTGGCGCCAAGAGGAAGAACAGCGTCGACGAATCCCCGCCTCCGAAGGGCCCTCAGCAGCGGAGCAAGAGAAACAGATACATCTCCATAGCCTGGTGAGTTGGTGCTTTTACGACGTGCCACCGCCCCCCCCCCCCCCCGTGTCCTCGCGGCAGTGCGGCAATGCGGCGCCGTCGCGACGCGATCGAGACCTGGCCGCGCTGACTCAGTGCCTGTGTGTGTGTGTTGTCGAATCTAGCAACGAGTGCAAGCGGCGCAAGATCAAATGCAATGGCGAGACGCCGTGTCAACGATGCGGCAACCTCAACCTCCAGTGCCTCTACACCCCCAATTGCTGCTCCCACTCCTTCAAGGACTCGGACGACTTCAAGCACATGGTCACCAAGGTCAATCAGCTGCAAGAGCAGGTCGACGCCCTCTTCGCCAGCATGAACGCCCTGAGGTCCGAGGCTCTGCGCTTCGCCCCTATCCAAGACCGACCGCCCGCGCTGCCCTCTGCCTCGAGCACTCCGTCGACCTCCTCGATCCCTTCCATCACACCCGCGTACCGAGCTGCCGATGTGCCCCACCCGCGCCATCCCGGCTTCCGAGGGCCCACGAGCGCCCGGTTCAATTTCGATGTTGCCAAGAATACCCTTCACAAGATGGGCTACAGCAACCCGTCCGACAGCGGTGACCCCGACGGCCTCACCCAAGACACCCCGGCCCCGTCTCCGAACCAGCCGGCGCAGCTGCCGTCATTGGCGACGGCCCAGTCCGTCCCGCGAGACCCGCTGTGGGAGTTTGACAAGGACGAGTTGGTGCGTCTATGCCGGGTGCACGACGAGGAGGTCGGCCTCATGTATCCCGTGGTTAAGATTGAGTCCGTCATCCGCCACGCCAGGTCCCTGGCCTCATGGATGGAGGCGTCCAGGAGGAACTTTGTGCTTTCCACGTATGGCGACGAAGTTGGCATCCGGGACCGAAATACGCTGCTGCTCAAGATCATCGTGTGCTGCGCCTTGCAGGTCGAGGAGCACGGGAATAGCGAGAAGGGCCAGAGGCTGTTCAGTAGCGTCCGGCCAATAATGGACAGAATATTGATGTCCGAACCCAGTGATGTGAAGAACATGCCGCTACTAGCCCTCACGGTATGTCCTGCCCTCCTGCGATCGCATGCTTTCTCCCCTCTGCACACACGCGGGCCAACGTCGTGAGCCACGTGCTAATCTTTTCAGGCCGGTTATTATTTTCTCGCCAACGACGAGATTCTCGCCTGGCGGACGATGGGTCAAGTTACCCGTCTCTGTTTCGAGCTCGGCCTTCACCGACGCGACGCGATCCGACAGATCGGCGACGAGGAAGAGCGCAAAAATGCAACCAATACCTTCTGGGCCGCCTACGTATTGGACCGACGGTGGGCGTTCGGCACCGGCTTGCCGTATACCGTTCCGGACGTCGAGATTGATCCCCAACTACCGTATCCCGTGAGTATCGCAACCTATTTTTCCAGCCGAAACCGGCACCTCTACTTTAATTGTCGTTAACTATTATGTGAAGGACTCGCACCCCTACCTCATTGCCATGATCAACTACTCGAAGCTAAGCGAACGGGTCTGGCGGATCGTCCGAAACTTCGAACCGAATGCGGCCCTGGGGGTGCGGCCAACCGACATCGAAGAACTCGACTGCTCGATAAAACAGTGGTACACCGAGGTGCCCCGTGAAACCCAGCTCGAACTAGCCAACTGGGAAGCGTTGCCTAGATACCTCAACCCTCCCGTGCATATCCAAAAGGAGTACGATATTCAGCGGCTACAAATCTGGACGTATCTCCGCCTCAATCAGATCCGGACTTGGCTCTACACCCCGGTCTTGCACACCCACAGTAGCATCATGGAGAACATGCAGTTCGCGGAGCGTGTTGTCAAGCTCGCCAAGAATACTATACGCTACTTGACGCACTTGAACAATACGACCAATATCTACCGGAAGATACAGGTCTTCTATCACCAGTTCCTGTTGTCGGCCATTTCCGTTCTCTTCCTCGCCTCCTGCCACGCCCCGGTCAACTTCAGCGCATCCTGTCGTCACGAATTCTACATGGCCCTCGAGCTAGTGAAGGACTTGTCGTCCAAGTCGTGGGTGTCGCAGCGCCTGTGGAGCACCATCAAGTCTCTCCGAGAAGTGGCACCCCGTCTGGGTCTGGCTCAGGACCCCCATTCGACGGCTGCGCTCACGAAGGCCGTACTTGCAACGGAACAGGCGAGAGCTGTCCCGCCAATGGGCCACGGCTATGGCTCGCAGCCATCGCCCATGTCGGGGGAGCCCGCGTCTTTCAGCGGCGTCCAGAACGGCCATCACATGTCGAGCGAAATGTCGCGAATATTCGAGGGCTACATGGGCCAAAACAATAGCCAGCTGACCCCTACCGATGTTCCCTCGGTGGATGACGACGATGCCGCACCTTACGGCATGGGGAGCAATGTATACCAGCACTTCAGAGCCATGTTTTAAATGAATCCCGTGTCGTTCGTCTCTGGGTATCCAGCCGTTTGCTGACCCACCCCCTGGATAGCATGGCAGACGGGGACCGCACATATGAGCGCCCATTTCCCGCTACGGGATATGAGGGTTCCCAACCAGTTATACTTATATTGCGCAACAGAATACTAGATCTCGGCACCGGCTTCTATGCCACGTTATTATATTTGCCAGCATCACTACAGTAAATACACAAAACGCTGCCGTATTTTGGTCGGGCCATTCACCAACTAGGACCTCACAAAACTTAGGGATTCCTTCTTAGGTCACATAATTCCCTTCGATGGCTTTCCGAGTCGAAATACCCCGGCGGTAAAAAGCCGAGTAGCGTACATGCTTGGTTTCGGTCGCTAGATCCATGCAGCCACCTAAGCATATAACTCGACAACAGCTTCATAGTTGCCAACAGTGCCAGGAGACCCATCGGTGAAGGTAGGTGTTTCATAATAATCTCTAAGGTCAGAAATTTCCCACGGGGACGCTCAGTGCGTCGTGAGCTCGTGGGGGTGGTGTAACGGATAGGTTCTTGGGACTACTTGACGAGTTCGACTGGCGGGTCGTCGTGACGGCATGGTAACGTGGCGTTATCATATTGCCCCACCCCTCGAGATCTTGTTTCCATTTCCATATTGGTTGAGCTGCGAAAGCAATTCAGGATAGAACCCCCACAGGGAGGTCCACATCCGGCTTCTCCTCAGTACGAAGTTCTGAGTTTATACCCGCCCTCTTTGGAGGCTCGGGGGCAGATATAGAGGGAACGAGAAGCACGTCAAGTATTGAGTCAAGACTAACGATGGTAAAGAAGCACTGGCCGTTGCTATCGAATCAATGCTAGAGGGGGTTCGGCATCGCAAGATGCGCCAGCACTCGGGGAGAAGGTATTATAAACAGTTTATGGAAGGATGCGTATGCTAAGGATACCTAGGGACTATTACTGGCAATACATATTCCAGTCGCTACCGCTAAACCTCTGGCGTGTTGAAATGCCCCTCAGATTTCAGTACGGAAATTAAATGTTATTAGACGATGGCATCTTTGTGTCTACAATCGGTAATAAAGCAAGATAAGGGGTGATCACTCACCGTCTGCTATTTATTAAAAGGGCGTGTGGCAGTCCTAGGCGGCTGTCCATTAAACAGTATTGTACGCCGCAAATAAAAATACAGTGTATATTATACAGGGATGAAATGATCAGACCCGAGACGTATTCCAGAGGCAAGATCCAAAGTCAGGTGCTGTACCTAAGTGATATGTCAACCAGCGGAGGAGTGAGGCCAATCGGACCATGGCGGGGGACGGACTTAACGATGCCGCACGGGACACGAAGACAACGGCCGAGACGAACAGACGAACGAACAACCGAAGAGGGAGATCGCTTTCCTTCGTCATCAACTCGCTGCTCTCCTCCATGTGCTCCGCGGTCAACCTTACTTCATTTCTTCAAGCTGAACTGGAGCCGCCATGGATCCCTTGAAAGTCCTCATAATCGGCGGCGGGGTGGCGGGCCCGACGCTCGCCTACTGGCTCTCGCGCATCGGCGCCAACATCACCCTCATCGAGCGCTCCCCGAACATGAGAGCGACGGGGCAGCAGGTGGACCTGCGCGCGCACGGCGTGCCGATGATGCAGAAGATGGGGATCGAGGCGGCGGTGCGGGCGGCGAGCGTGCCGGAAGCGGGGACGCAGCTCGTCGACGTGCGCGGCCGGGTCAAGGCGTTCTTCCCGGCGGAGCGGAGCGGGACGGGGATGCAGAGCTTCACGTCCGAGTACGAGATCATGCGCGGCGACCTGGTGCGGATCCTGTACGGGCTCACGGAGACGCGGCGCAACGTGCGGCACCTGTTCGGCGCCACCGTCGACGCCTTCACGCAGGACGACGAGCGCGACCCCGACGGCAAGGTCCACGTGCGCTTCGCCGACGGCCGCAGCGAGGACTACGACCTCGTCGTCGGCGCCGACGGCGCCGCCTCCAAGACCCGCAAGATGATGCTCGGCCCCGGCGCCCCCGACCCGCGCTTCCGCCGCGGCAGCTACATCGGCTACTTCAGCGTCCCCGCGGCGCCGGGCGACTCCGACCGCGGCACCTTCTGCCACCTGCCCGGGCGCGACGTGTCGCGGGTGGTCGGGACGCGCAAGGACCGCGCCGACCTCACGCGCGTGTACATGATCATGCGGGGGAAGTACCCGCCCCTCGACGCGGCGTACCAGTCCGGCGCGCTGGCGGAGCTGAAGAAGGCGTGGGGCGACCTGTACCAGGACGGCGGGTGGGAGTGCCGGCGGTTCACGGAGGCGCTGCGGCACGCGCCCGAGGCCGACGACCTGTACTGCACGCCGTTCGAGGAGGTGCGGCTGCCGCAGGGCGGCTGGTCGCGCGGCCGCGTCGTGCTGCTCGGCGACTCGGCGTACTGCCAGACCGCCGGCGGCTTCGGCTGCACGTGGAGCCTGGTCGGCGCGTACGTGCTGGCGGGCGAGATCGCGACGCTGCGCGCGCGAGCGGGCGTGTCGCGCTCCGAGGCCGTCATCCAGGGCGCCAAGAACTACGAGGAGCGGTTCCGGCCCCTGGCTACCGCCGGCCACGGCGGCGCCCAGATCTTCGACTACCTCTTCCTCCCCCGCTCCCCCCTCGGCATCGGCCTGCTGCACGCCTGCGCCAGCGCCGCCGCCTACTTCCGCCTCGACCGCAAGGCCTCCATGGAGACCAGGGTGGCGAGCCTGAAGCTCCCAGACTATCCCGAGTTAGAGGGCGAATAAGATATCGAGAATGGCTACTGGCTTAGGGTATGAGAACACAGCTTGGGAGGGCGTAAAGGGGCGGCTTGTACTTGGGCATGTAATTTTACATTATCTTCACTTGTAATCCCTACTCACTCGTCGCTGCCAGAGGTATTCTGTTCCGCGAGTTGCCCCTGAGCTTATAGGATGTGCCAGGTCGCCAAACGACTGCTTCTGAGCTCTTGACATCACCATCTCGCTTGTGAGCCACATCATACGATTTTACGGCAGGCATGATATCAGACAGGATAATAATTACTTTTTCTCAGCATTCAGGCTGGATGATAGCGGCGCCCGCGGTCTTTTAGATTGTCTTTCCTTTCCCCTTTTAGCCCTGCTTATAAGGTCTTCTTTATGGGGGAGGGGAATGAGTGGTCGGGGGGCCCTAGGCCGTCGTTAATATACGTATATAGTGTAGGCTGCGCTGTAGTCAGCGTCTTTCTAGGTAGCAGTTATTATGAGAAGTTTACCATCTGCTCTCCTTCGCTTAATGAACCCGTTTCTCTTTACATTTAGTGGTACATGTTATGGGGGAGAGACCGTGATACGTAGAACGGGAAGTTTAACAAACCTATTGCTGTTCTGTAAGTACTACATCCAGTGACATGAATCCACAGCAACAACATAGTCTATATGGATACACTGCGTATTTACGCCCGCTGTGTAAGGTGGTATGGTATCTTCGCAGAATTGCAACATGTCTACATGTAGGGGCCAGTTATAAAACTCGATGCGCACCAGCCCGCCCAGAGTTATAAGCTTGTTACCCAAGTTAAAACTCAACAACAACTAGTAACTAACTAAGAATTTGCTATGTCGAGTTTCTTATGTGTGTCGCCGGTGTTACGTACTAGCTATAGCTAGCTCCCATTAGCGGGGGCGGATCTAACCGGCAGCCCTGTCTTCAACAAGACATCAAATTACCCATTTAATAAGAGCGCCGCTCAGGGGCATACCGCTTGGATTCAGCGATCAGATACCAACATCCCGAGGAGACGGGGAGCAGTGAGTTCCTGGATGCCGAGGCAGCAACACGCTTCAAACCGTGAACCCAGCGAAAGCATGTATTAGATCCGTGGTTTCGCACATTAGAGCCACGATATGCCGCCGCCGACGCCCGTCTTCCATGTAGGCATGTAACTTTCATCTCCGCGGTCTCGGATAGCCAGAAGCTTGGCAACGGCACGGGATATCGGAAAGAACCAAGTGAATCACACGAGTGGCTCCCGGAAGTTCCGTCGGGCTAGCCACGAGAAAGGCAGCACGCAGGAATAGATGTACATGAGTTGGCTCACTGAAACCGGGTAAGACTTGTTTGTTTCAACCAAGCAAGCACCTCTCATGCACAGTGCCCGACAGAAGTTTCGGCTACCCAAGAATAGAGATCTTGTTTGCCGTGTCTGGCCTCAAACTAAGACGATCTCGGCAATGTGCTTGGTTGGTGTTATGCCGGCCAAAGTAGTCCAGGGATAGTTGGCAAGGATCCCACCAGCTCTCTTCGCATCTAGAATACTGTCAGCATTTCCAGAATGTAGGTTCATCGTGACGAGGAACAACTTGGTGAAGTTGTGTTTGGGCCTCTGATTTGGGCGTCTCTTACAGACCGAATGTCAGCTTTTAAGAAAATGTATCACCAGGTTAGATCTGAACCTGCGGGCTTGGTTTCGTCGAAATACTAGGACTTGAAATTCAACAATTGGATCATTTTCGTCCCTCATCCAAGAATCAAAAATTAAGTACTAATTGTGGCCATCTAAGGAACGGGTGAATAGTTGATTGAATTACAGTTATCTACGTAGCCTTTTGGAGCCGTTTTACGTGCCTTTTATATCCCGATTAGCCCTTACTAAGGTAGGGCTTACCCTATAGCTATACGTAACCGATTACGTACTTACGCGCCTATACGCCTTCTTAGCCTAGGTAAAGCTATCGTTAGGCTCTTAAATAACGTAAGGCCTTAATTCCGTAGTATTTTCCTCCTTCGTCGCTTTATTTATATGCTTATTTCGTTTAAGGAGTAAGGCTATTACGGGTCTTTTAGATATAATAACTTAATAAACCTCTAGTATTCCTTCGCCTCTAAGGGCTTCGTAAGTTTATTAGCCGCGTTTTTAGTTAATGGTACGTATCTTAGCTTATCGTACCCCTCTTTTATCTCTTATCTTACGTAGTAATAGTTCTTTCGGATATATCGCTTTTACTTATTTATCGCGGTTTTCTTTACTTACGTATTCGCCGTCGTACTATCGCATCGTAAGGTAATAAAGCCTACGGGTATTACGCTTAACTCCGTAAGGAAATTACGTATCTACGCGGTATTTACTACCGCCGTCGATAAGGCTATATACTTAGCTTCTCCCGAGCTTCGCGCGACTACCGACTAAAGCTTCGATATTTATACGATCGGGGCTTTTATTATAAAGAATACGTAACTACTCGTTAACTTAGCTATAAATATATCTCCCGCGTAGTTCGAGTTTACGTAACCGTAAAAACCTATCTCGTTATACTCTTTATAAGGGTAATTTTCGTTTAATTACCGATACCGGATTCCTCGGCTTACCGTTCCCTTAAGATATCGTATTACGCGTTTAATTCCCGTTTAATGCTCTTATAAGGGATTATTTATAAAACGCGCCTAGGTCGAGGCTACGTAACTAATATTAGGCCTCGTAATATATATCGGAAAGTTCGCTTTTCTTATTAACGAGGTATACTTTTAAACCTTTCGTAGGTCGGCTTTATCGTTAGCCTTTCTCGGTACGACCGCGTCCCGATTCTTCGGGTTATACGGTAACGGGTATAGCTTCGTATCGCCGTAGTTAAGTTCCTTTAAAGCCTTTTCCGTATATTACTATTAATCGAGCCGGACGTTCCCCGTAGGAAACGATCGTTTTATCCGGACCCCGAGAAACTAATTAGCGTCTCCTAAGTTAATTACCTTAACCTTTTCTTTAATTATATTCGCGAGCTTATAAAGTCGTTCCTCTTTAGGTCCGAATAATAAGAAATCGTTTACATACGAGGCGATTACGTTTTCTATTCCGGGTCTTATATAAATAACGTCGTTTAAAGTTAATAGGACGTAGCCGTATTTCTTTAAGATACCTTTTATACGTTATTACTACGCGGCTCTAGCTTATTTTAAGCCATATAACGGGTTAATTAACTCGATAATCTTCGATTCGTCGTAACTATAGGTTTATTTCTCTTTCTTATAAGCCTCGAAATACTCCTTTAATATAAGGAACTACTTTATAAAGATCCTTTCGTTTAGCTTCCCGTTAAGGTAAGCGGTAATGAAATTAATCTAAAGGATATATTACTAATAAATAATAACTAACGCTATTAATATTCTTTACGATATTACCTTCGCCGTTATCGCCTTAATTTCGTTATAATCGATGCCTTTTTTCTATATAAATCCTCGGGCGTAGATCCGTACCTTTAGCTTATCGAGATCTCCGTTAAATAAGAACTTCTTTTTTAAAACTTATTTAGCGTCGATAAGATAGCCGTTAACTACCTCGCTCGGCTATATAAACTTAAACGTATTACGTTCTAGGTTCTTTCGGATTTCCTTAAAAACGGCTTAGGTCTAAAGATTACGCTCTAGTCCCTTTATTACTTCCTTAAAGAGCGGTTCGTTTTCGTTTATCTTAAATAAGCCCGCCGTTATTAATATTATTTACCTATAGCTTTACTTTTACGGTACGGTAATAAGCGTATTAATATAATATAGCTCCTCTCGGGGCGCGATTTTAAACGCGATTTTAAGCGTATCTTATTCGCCTTTAGATACTCCTTCTAACTCGTTCTCTTACGAGCCGCTTAGCGCTAAGGCGGAGCGTACCTTATTTAACTTAGGTAGTACCTTTAGTATATAAATCTAGGGTAGTTTCTTCTTCGGGCGCCTTCTCCGGAGGCGTATCTTATCCTTATCCTCGTTTATAACGTCCTCGTCGACGATATTATTATCCTTATTACGAACGTTAATCGCCGCGATCTTCTTCCGATGCCGTAGCCGTTTTTAAACGTACTTAGGCAAGGACTTAACGACGTTTCTTAGGTCTAGGGCCTCTTCGGAATCTCCTAATTCTTCGTAAAAGATAACGTAAGGCGTCTTTAAGAAACGACCTCCTTCTACGAGCTAAACTAGGTAGTTATACTTCCCTTCGTAACCCATAAGAACGGCGCGGGCTTTACGTAGTTCTATCTTCTCGGAAACTACCCGATAATTCTTATCGATATAAGCTACGTAACGACTACCGACGATACGTAGATACGCGTTATTAAGTTTATAGTTCTTTCTTAGCTCCATATCGTTTATAAATCTCTCGTATAGCGTAAGCTTTTTTACGAACGAAACGTTAGTCTTATTAATCGTATACGCCGTTACTACGAGGACGTAATCCTAGAAGTAAGTAAGGATCTTTATTTAAACGTAAATTACTCTAGCATCGTCCTATAGGAAGCGTATATTTCTTTCCGTTACGCCGTTTTAATATTAGTTATCTAACGTAAAGGTATCTAACGTAATACCCCTTTCGTTATAGAATTACTCGATAGCGTTTATACCGAACTCTCGGCCGCCGTTAAGGCGTAATATTCTTATCCGTCGTCGGCTCTTATTTAAGACGTTCGGTAATACCTCGAGTAACTAATAAACTCGGGTAAGGTAAGTTATTAATACTTATTAAGCCTTTCCCTTAGACTTATATTAAATAAACTCTTTATTTCGGTTATCGTCGTTTACGATTAGTATAAAATAACGGTAGTTTTCGATCGATAAAGGCTATAACTTTCCGAGGTCGTACTAAGTAATCTCCCTAGAGATCTAGGTACGCTTCTAAAGGTCCTTCGAAGATATCCTAATAATTTTTACCCGATTATACGCGTAATAAGGTACCGTTTTTATAAGTACTAGGTTTAAGTCGATCCCTATCGACCTTTTAATAATTCATATAAGTCTCTCCGTATTAAGGTAATAAAGGCGGCGATACTATAGTATTAGCTACTTTATGATATTATCGTTTAGCTATATTAATATCGCTTATAATATCTCGCTAAGCTTACCGAGTTAGTACCCTAACGCGTTCCCTTAGTACCGTTTAAAGGGAAGGAGTTTCGGCTCCTCTTTCTTATATTCCTATAATAGGAAACCTCGTTTCTTAGGGTTTAGGGTCGTTAAAACGGTTCCGTTAAGGTTTATAATATTATTTTTATTTAATTAGCCTCCGCTACGATAAAATAACTCTCCCGAGAAGATCTTAACTAAAAAGGAGTTAATAAATAACGTATAATTTAACTACGCTCGGTTATATTCCCCGTCGTCGCCGGTAAGGTAATAAATAGCCTTACTTATCTTTATAACGTTTATAAGGCCTCCTTCCGTATTAATAACGTAACCCGGTAATAACGTTATTACCGTTCTCGGGTCTAAATTTCTTAAATCGTTCGTAACGTAAACGTTAGCTCTTATATCGAAGAATAAGTAATCCTTATAAGCGTTAGCCCTTACTCCGTAGTTAATTCTTAAAGGCTCTATAGGCCGCTCGCCTTTTAGCGGGTTAGCTATAATTAGGTTATTATCGGGGTTAATAAGGATAGGCTTTTATTTAGGGTCCTTTTTACGGCGTAATTCGTTATAAGCGTTTACTAGCCTAAAAAGCTCTACCGTATCTATCTTCGTTCGATATACCCCGCCTCCGCTATCGTAATAACCGAATTAAAGTAACGTATACGGTACGTACGTAATATATTACGTCGACGGTTATTTCGAACCGCTCCTTAATCCGCCGGAGGCGCTATCGCCGTTACCATTACCGCCGCCGTTATCCTTATCCTTTCGTTTCTTTAGCGGTTTCGGGTAGTCCTTAACCTTATACTTATATTCCTTATAATTAAAGCAGAGGAACTCTCCTTATTAGTTCTACGAGGGCTTCTTTTTCTTACCTTTTTCCTTATTTTAAGCGTTATTAACTTAATTATTATTACCGCCGTTACTCTTATTATCCTTATACTTATTAATCTTATTACGGAACTTTTCGCGGAAGCTATTAAATACGTTTAATAGGTTTATAGGTTTCGTTCTAGTTATAATATTTACGATCTTAACTTAATTAGCTACCTTATCCTATATATAGCTAAGGAATATCGTAATTTATTACTTTTCGCCGATTACGAGGCCGGTATTTATATATTAACGAACGACTAATTACTACTTAAACGTAAACTCTACCGGGTTCTTATCGTTATATTTTATTTTAATAAGTTACTCCTATAGCTCTTATTAACGAGCCTTTCCTATAAAAGCATAGGTTTAATCGAATATCTTTAATATTTTCGTACCTAAGTATACGTTCGTTATTAATTATAAGGGTTAATCCTAGTAGGTCCCGGCGATTACTCTCGCTAGGAATATCTCGTTTTATTCGTCGAGTTTTATTCCTTCTTTATACCTTACCTCTTCCATAAAAAGCATAAGTATATCCCGATATAAGCTTTAGTTCGAAATTCCCTTAAGATAAGCGTTCTTATCGGGATTAAAAACGAATTTCTTTTAGTTAATCCTACCGTCCTTCTTAAACGCGGTACCTTTATTCTTACTCCTTATCTTCCGGCTACGTCGTTTACCGTAATCGGAGTTACTATCGGAAAAGCTTCCTAATGAATTACTTAGGCTACGGCTTCGGCGGCGATAGCTCTTACGCCGGGCTAAACGCGAGGTACGATAATAGCGGCTATTCTCGCGGCTTCTACGGTAGTCCTTACCGTAGATTCGTTAAGTCTTTATAACCGACTTATTTAGTTTCCTCGGAATCTCTAGGTCTTTAATATAAGGTTTATTCTTACTTTCGTTAGCGTCGGTAAAGTCGCCTTCTTCTATTAAATCGGCGACGTCTTATTAAGGTTAGCGATAGCTTTCTTACCGTTATTCGCTTATTATTTCTAGCTTAGCTATTATCTCCTTAAGGAAATACTTTACGGTATTTATACGTTAGTTAATATACTCGGTCGTCTTACGTAAGTCCTCCTATAGCTCCTTACGTATCTTCTTACGGAAGTCTTTTAATGCGATATCCTACGTAGTTTCTTATTCGGTTCCCTCCTCGGCCGCTTTATCTTATAATTTCGTAGCTATCCTCGTAGCTATCCTCGCGATTTAATCATTTAACTTATCGATAATCTCTTTCTACCGTTAATCGTAGTTATACGGTTACCCCGGGCCGCTCGTTTATCGGAGCTTTCGTTACCTAATTACTTCCGTAGCGTAAGTAGTTAAATAATAATAAAATAACGTAATAATAACCTTACGAAACGTATAAGGTACTACTATATAGCTATCTAAGGAACGGGTAAATAATTAATTAAATTATAGTTATCTACGTAGCCTTTTAGAGCCGTTTTACGTACCTTTTATATCCCGATTAGCCCTCGCTAGGGCAGGGCTTACCCTGTAGCTATACGTAACCGATTGCGTGCTTGCGCGCCTACACCAATAACTATATGGAATGGAGAATATGTTCAATTATGCCGCTTTCTTAAAGTTCAGCCGTAAAGGGGCTTAGGGTCGATGCTCACAAGCGAGTTGGAACGTCTTGAATGGTCTCATCGGGTTATTATAAGCGGCTATGCATTCCAATTGGCTGTTTCACAGCGATTATCTAAAACATTTCTCTCTAGTTGCTAAGTAATGAACGTACTCTTGTGGCATATAATAGTCAAGTTTACGGAGCTATCTACCTAATACATCTAATAAAGCCACGAGAAATATTTCGATACTGACAACTACGAACTGGTACAAGGCTTGAGATTGTCACTAGCACGAAGCTCTATTATTATCCCCAAACTGGCACACGCTGAGTAGATATTAAAGAGCGTATTTATTATCCTGATTACTTTTAAACATATGCTATTTCCCCATCGGTATTCGTCGACTCGTCGTCACATCATTCATCAAATAGACCATTATTGAACATGCGCACACTCCAAACCCTACCCAGGTCTTATTCCGGACAACCCAAACTCCCACCCCCTTCCATTACACCGCTTTCATAAGCGGAAACCTACGACGAACCCGTGTTCCAGGGGCGGCAGCGCGTAGCCGCGCAGAAGCCGTTGCAGCAGGGTCCGACGTACTGGCCGTTGTTGAAGCAGATCCCGTACACGGGCACGCAGGTGCCGACGCAGCTGACGCTGATGATGGGCTGGGGCGGGCCGACGATGATGGACTGGAGGCCCGTCCGGGTGTCGATGCTGTTCACGAGCGTCTTCTCGCCGGCGGTGTTGAACGTGCACTGCGAGATGGCGTTGTAGTCCGGCGTGTCGATGATGCTGATGATGAGGTCGTTCTCTGCGCGCCCTCAGGTTAGCGGAAACGCGTGTCTCTCTCCTCGCGGAAATCGTCGCGGGACACAGAGTCAAGTCATACCAGTGTAGACCACCGTGCCGTCGGCTGGCACCTCGAGCTCGTACGAGGCCGGCCCGCCGTGGAAGGTCATATGTGCTACTTGGACAGGCGGCGAGGGCTCCTCCACAGGGTGCGCCCAGGCTTGGGCAACGAGCCCGAGACCCAAAACAGTGCTCACAAAGCGCATGGTGAAGGTTCAGTTAAGAGTTGCTTGAGAGATTCTAGACTTTCCGAAGTTGTGGTAGCGGTGTTGTCGTTTTCAGTCTTGATGGCAAGATACCTACCTAGAACAGTCCCGTCCTCACGGCGTAGACAACCTCCTTCTTATATTTGGAGGGGGTCGCACTGCGACGCAGAGGCAAATAGTGCTGCGATGTTTCCCATCTCCTCTCCATCACAATGAAGCCCAGCGGAACACGAGCTGTCGATTGCCCCGGCTTAGCAGCCACTCCACACTCTGGGGGCAAATACGAAGCGGGATCCTTGGCGTTCTCTTTCTCACGAGTGCTCAACCCATCCCAATCCGGGCACTGCTATGATTGGAGGGCCTGGGGCTACGTCTCCCGTTCGATCACGATCACTTATAGCGCGAGTCAGCTAGCCACCTAGTGCTTATGGAGTGCTCTCGTTTTTAATTGCCATAGCAATTACCCAGAGGCTGCTGTTCAGAGGGTCAGCCGAAGCGTAGTGGGTTCACCAGCTGGTCAAGCGGGCTATAAGCCTCGCCGTCATCGTGTCAGCGCAACGGGCTGCAGAGCTTCTTCCTCTCATGTGACCAACGCCAATTGCACAGATTCTCCGCCGAAACGAGATGCGATTCAATCTATCGACGCCATTAATAGCACGGGCGAATTGGCGATAAGTTAATTATATCTCACGGGACGCCGATGATGCAGAATAACCTCTCCGGGGACCATTTCGGCGTTTGAAGCCTCCAGGTTCTTTGTGAGTGGTGAGCTACGAGGTCCGCGTTCCTTTCACCCCCTTGCCGGTCATGTGAACAGTAAGATGCGTTAATACGGATTATAATATCTTCTACTAATATGTTGCCATCTGGGATGCTAAGAGACCAGAACTAGCTCGATAGGTTCCGGGGCGATCAATTCCGTCTCCCAAGACTACGCTGTATTATCCACTCCAAGAGGCTTTCGTCGTATCGTGCTCCCAGCCATTGCTCGCCAATGAGTAGCACATACTGCAAGCCACCGTTCCTCGGCGTATCAAAGAAGAGCATACGGCTAACTACAGACTTCTTCCTGGTCTGGGGACGGTCAGAACTAACCCTGGAGGATCCGCGAAATACACCGCCAGGACTGATCGTGTTATGCGTTCCTACCTATCTCACCCCTGACGTCCTGCTCAAGCCTCCCCTGGCACCGGAACCGATCGCTGAATATGTCTTCATCCTCGAACCCGACGCACTTCCAGCACTTCAAAAGTCCCTCGGGGTCGTATTTCTTCTTGACCGCGAGCAGCGCCGCGTAGTTATCGCCGCCCCACCATGACTCGCGCCAGTTCGGGGTGAAGGGGTTGGCTTCGTTTACATAGGACCCCCCGTCAGTGCCGGTCAATTTCTCGGCAAGGACTGTCGCTCTCGTAAGGGTTGTCATGCTCCGCAGACGGTCTGCATATGGCGCGTTCCACGGAATGAGTAAGCTTGTCGAAATGTCCCAGAGAGAATCGTACCACGCTGGATGAACGGATGTTGCGGATGTGGCCGTATTCCCGCTCCTCTGCGCTGAGGCTGACGCGCCGTCCGCGACGAAGGGGGTGTCCACTGGGCAGTAGAAGTTCCGCGGGTCAAAACCCAGGTCCTGCGCGGCCCTCATGAAGTTCATTATCTGAGTGATGCCAGCTTCATCTTCGAATAGCCTCCGCGGCAATAGTCTAGTGGCCAACATGCGAGCCACCCCCGACGATGTTCGTGCCCCTGGTAGCACGTATTTATTCCACACATCGATGTAATCGGGCAAAACTTCAACGATACCGGTGCCCCCAGCAGCAAGTGCGAATTCCATGACGGCGCTCATCGACTCTCGTGCAGCAGCGCCTCCATCTGACAAGTTGGCGATGGCTGGGAGGGGATTCATGTACGTAAGATACAATCCTGCCGCGTGCCCTCCCCATCCCTGCTTACCCCAGACCACGGATTGTCGTGCCATCAACTCAATCCACTCCAAGGCTGTCGCTGACGTGCTGTTCGAAGGCAATCTGATATTGGCGATCGCGACGGGCATTGAGGGTTCAACGCGATGCGTAGCTTCTAGGACAACACCAAATGTCCCCCCACCGCCGCCGCGCAAAGCCCAAAATAAGTCCTCATGCTGACATTGGTTAGCAACTCGGACGGCACCATCAGGAGTGACGATCTTGAATTGCACCACCCGATCGACTCCGAGGCCGTATGCGGGCGATAGCACGCTATGCCCGCCACCGAGGACCCATCCTCCCGAGACCGCAATCGTCGGCGAGTACCCACCGATAAAAGTGCTGCCGTGTTGAGATGCGAAGGTCATCACGTCGTGAGTGCTAGCACCAGCTCCCGCTGTGATCGCAGCACCAAGGCCACTCAGATCCGCCGCACATCCCTCTGGCACGAAATTGTCGTGGAAGGCGAGCTCTTGCAGATGGTGCACCCAGAGCGCAAGCGAGCCTTTCTGGCTGTTTCTGGTCATGTAGTCATGGCCGCTATTTTTGATGGTCAAGGGTATCCTGTATCCCCGTGAGAATTTAAAAGCAGCCCTGACGTCGGACGCTCCCCGGACCTCGATGTAATACGAAGGGACGCTGCCTTGATTGCATGAAACCCCCGAGGGCGGTTCCGGCGCCGGAATTACCGTGCTATTGAGTAGGCATTGGTCCGAGGCATCACTCAGACACATTTCGTCTTGCAGATTCATGTAGCCGCTAGGGTATCCTACACGAACTGAATTTGTCGTGTAGTTCTCCCTGATCAGGGAGCATGCGGCTCCGTCAACCGCGGTGGCCTCTCCGTTATAAACCGAGAAACACGGAAACGCAAATGGCCGCAAGGGATGGAGACGCCCGCCGATAGAAGTATTAAGCGCCGTCCATGCTTCCTCAGTCTGCCCTTGACTAAAAGGTATCAACCGAGGTAATAGCCAAAACGAGTATAGAATAGACCTCATTGTGTTAAAGGTAACTTTGATATACTCTCCCAAAGTCTTGAGCAGAACATCCGAGGCCGGAGCAACACGACCCAACGTGTTAATAAGGCGAGAGCGATATTTATGTGTGTGTATATGTGTACGTACGCGTCACTGAGACATTGAGACGGGCCCCGTCGGCATCTGGCTGTAAGAGATCAGCGCCAAAGTGGTACCGGGCCTATTACCTCCCACTGTGGCTACCGGCTTACCAATTTCACCACATCCTGAGAACCGTCCATCATGCAAAAATACCAAAGGACTGCAGTGCGGGGGATTCGGCAACAGCTCTGCTCTTGCAGGATTACTCACGACGAGGCGGGAATAGACCTCAATGGACCCTTGGGGATTATTTCGCCAATGGTATTAAATATAGGTCACCAGCATCTGGCTATCTGACTCTCGGGGATATCCTCTCTGCGGGGTTTCTCGGCAGGTGATGAAAAATGGCGGTAACACTAGAATCCGCCAAGGGTCAGGGATCAAGCCGGGCCCACCCCATCGAAGAACTCCTCATCCAGCAACCCTAGTAGGGCCTTCTGCCCCGCCCATTGCTCCTCCGCCGTCGGCCGAATCAACCCGGGGGGTAGCACGAAGCCGAAGTTGCCTGTGTCGCGGAGCTCTATAGTGTACGAGAAGTCGGCACGGCCAACGCTGTATACGTGGTCAGGTGCAGCACCTGTCGTGGTGTAGAGCGCGGCGCCGCTGGGTCCGAACGTGAAAGTCGTTTGCGCAGTGCGGTTGCTGTCGCGGATCGCGTCGCTGACGATGCCCGCTGCCTTGGTCCATTTACCGAGCTCGGGGGCGTATAGCGTCTCCTTGTACCCGAACGGCGAGAGGATGTACTGCCCATAGCTGTGCCAGTCGATGAACAGCTTGATGCCCGCGCCATCGCGCAGCTGTCGCACCAGCTTGTCCAATCCTTGGTTCTCCGGGGTATCGGAAGGGGCCTCGCCCTTGTAGGTCTGCGAGCACGGATTCCTGGAGGCGCCGAGGGGGTTGGCATCCCACGCGAATGCCCAATTTCTATTGATGTCCCGGCCGAAGCAAGATTGATTCGCCGGCGGAGGCGGAGGTGGCTGGCGGGTTTTACGCCATAGACGATCTACCTTCTGCGAGTATACGAAGCCTTGGAAGTATTAGCCTTCGCTGACAGATCGACACATACGCGGGAAGGCTGTCTAAAACTACTTACCATCAGGGTTTACAATCGGAAGAATATAGAAATCGTACCTATCCAAGAAGGAACGAATGAGGTTGTCGCCATTTTTGTAGCCGGTGATGAGTTGTAAGGTGATGAACTCGACAACCTGGAATTTGGGTGGTTAGTAGGTATTATACGAAATCTCGCGCGGCCAGGGAATGTCGTATTATCGAGACGTACCGGCGAGGTGATCCATTCCCTTGCGTGCACATTTCCATGGTACAACACTGCTGGCTTTCCAGGCCCGGCCGCCCCCCAAAGATGCAGGCCGTAAATATCTCTTCCCTCGTACGAAGTACCTGATGATATGGTTTCCGAGTTGTTCGGGAAAGACTGGCGCAAGTCTTGGAAATACTGGATATGGTCCTCGTAGTCGTGATACGAGTCATACCAGGACAGATCGTCGGCCTGCCTCTTGGACGAAGGTCTAGCTGCTGATTCCGCGGCAATTGAATCGCCTAGGTTCTCGTGCATGACTTCATAGTCAAGGCCAAGCGCCTCAAATGCGGCAATCTGGTCGGGTCGGACAACAACGTCGATGCTCCGGTAAGGATTCTGGTCCCATTGCTCGAGCGCGAGTTCCGACAGCTTCTGCTTCACAGCACGAGGATTCCCTAAAGTGTTGACACGCAGGACCTTGTACCCATCATATGACACAGACCCGGTGCCAGCAGAAGCTGCAACGATTGCTGCGAGAGGGGCTAAAAGGGAAGCCAAGAGGGCCGCCTTCATCGTGACGGCTGAAGAAGCGACCGAGTAATACACAGGGAGAAAGACGGAGTTGGGTCTTCACACTGTCGAAACCCATCTGAGGTTGCCGGCCGTTGACCAAGGCCATCTTCACATATATATACTACTCAAGGTTCGCTCGGTCTCCGCGGGATGGCGTGATGGCGAGCTTTCGCTAGACATATTCGACAATGCGCAGTAGCATCGGCTGGAGATTACCTTCCTATGCGGTCACTTTGCGATTGGCGCAGGTGTGGGCGGAAATGCGGCATGATGCGGAGAGTCACCGCATTCTAAGGACGCCAAGGTGCGCGCATCGCCAGGTCTACCTCTCTACCTTCCAGATTCATTCTGGCGGTGTCGTCTTCGCGATAAGTAAGGCGGATTGCGCAAGCAGCTCGAAGGGAGAGCCGAGAACCATAGCAGCCCCGTCTGGCGTTCAGCGCATTGCACTCAGGACTACTGGGTAGAGGAGAAGGGAGGGGAAATGCTGTGTCGGGCCCGGGGAGGGAGGCGGCGTGGAAATACGAGAGAATACGTTGGAATTGTTGAAGCCAAGAAAACTTGAAGACAGCGGCGGGTAGAAGGAAGGATATATGCAATTAAGGAGTCTATGAAGATATAGGGGCCCTATAAGAGGCCCTGGCCAAGAGAGATAGGTGTATCCAGGATCCCGGGGCACGAAATGCAACGCAACGCAACAGCGTTTCAACTGCAAAAGAAACTGTATTTAAAAGCTGTTGAATTAGCTGTCTTTACGTTTATGGCAGTTTTGACTCCTTTCAATTGATCAGTTCAGGTTCACCTCTCAACGTTTTGCATGCCTTAAATATGAAGCAACGGAAGCGAACCGGCTACAACGCACAAATAGCTATTTGCTGCAGGCAGACCGTCAGCGGCACCCTATTGAACCGATATATTGCAATCGAGGCTATTTACAACTCTTCAACGGCTCTGCAAGTCGTTTCCAACCCTCCCCGCCCGACTACCGACAAAACAGGCATCCCACGAGGTCCTCACCGGCCATCCCCGCGTCCTCTCCACACGGAGAACCGAGCCTTAAGCCCGATACCGACCTGAAAGCCCTCGCGGGCGACCGAGCTTCCTACAGCAAGTCTTCCGATGACGCACACAGGCGAGTGGAGCCCCTGGCACAGAATCTCCGCGCCGAGATGATCTCCCGTATCGACGAAATGGCCTCACGCTTCGATCAACGCCCCGATCAACGCCTCGATCAACACTTCGATCAGCTGACGAAGCTCCTGACGAAGCGTGAGGACCGTGCAGCAGGAGGTCCAGCGGGAGTAGCGAAACCCGCTGGAGAGAAGGGCCAGCAGCCGGAGCTGGGCCCTGAGGACCACGCTGTGGGTTGGCCTCTGGCCTAGGTTCAGGCTGTCGTTGATATGCTCCTCCGGAGGCCTCACCAGTCGGCGGCGGTGTTGGTTGGGCTTGCTCAGGTCGAGCAGGAGGTCGGGCGGGTGACTGACTGGGTGATTGACTCGTGGATTGACTGCTCCCACGGTCCTCACGCTTCGTCAGGAGCTTCGTCAGTTGGTCGGAGCGTTGATCGAGGCGTTGATCGAAGCGCGAGTATATCTCGGCGCAGGAACGGCTCATCTCGTTACGGAGACTGCCCATCTCGTTGTGGGCAGCCCATTTGTCAGAGATCGGGCAGGGAAGGTCGGAAACTGCTCACAGAGTCGTTAGGAGGTTGGGAATAGCTTCAATTGACGAAAAGATGGATCAAATAGGGTGCCGTTGGCGGTCTGCCTGCAGCAAATAGCTATTTGTGCGTTGTAGCTAGTTCGCTTCCGTTGCTTCATAGTTAAGGCATGCAAAACGTTGAAAGCTAGACCTAGACCAGTAGGTTACTTAACGAAGGATAGGTTCGATTCCTAGCAGCGCTACTTGGTAGTCTTCGCCATTTAGCTCATCTGACCTGAGCTGATCAGTTGAAAGGAGTCAAAAACTATACGGATACGTAGGTATGTATGTAGGTGCTGGAGAAACAGCTTGAATACAGGCGCCCTGGGATCCACATAGGCACCTACAGGCTGCCCCAATGAATGATGCCGCCCATTGGTGGGTACCTCGTGGGTCGTCCCCCACTTACATAAGTCAATCGACAGCTCACGGTAGGATCCCGGCAGGAAAAAAAAATAATAATAAAAAAGAGAGTCCGCCTGCAACTGGAATAGCTCAGCCGGCCTCTCCTGGTGGGCTCTGCAGACGGACCCATCCAACAGAGCTCTGCGAAGGAAATGTCATCACTCTCACTTCCGAGCTTCGCTGCCTTCGCCTTCCTCTGCGCCGACTCGTGACGTGGCTCTCACACTCAGCCTCTGTCGGCTAATCCACCGTCCGTTCTGCCTCTGTATAAATAACGGCGATTGCGAAGAACTGTCTGACGGGCAGCAGCACCGCGCGGTCACCACCACGGCCAACCATCGCCAGGGAGAGGAAGCGGCAGCAGCGGCAGCGGCAGCAGCAAGCAGACAAGCAGACAAGCAAGCATGTCGTTAGCCAGAGCGGAGAGGGCTCTGTCGTCCACCGTACGGCGAGCCGCCCTCCTCCAAACATCCCGACTCCTCACGCCCGCGCTCGCGTCAGCAACCTTCCGAACGTTCCACAACACTCCTAGATCGCCAGCGCCGGCGCCGCCGCTCGTCACCGGCCTCGGCGGCACCATTCCTCCCGCCTACTTCCAACGCCCCTCCCTCCCCGCCAACACCATCATCCGCTTCGTGCCGCAGCAGACCGCATGGATCGTCGAACGCATGGGCAAGTTCAACCGCATCCTTGAGCCCGGCCTGGCCATCCTCGTCCCCTTCATCGACCGAATTTCCTACGTCAAGAGCCTGAAGGAGGTAGCCATCGAGATACCCAGCCAGAGCGCCATCACCGCCGACAATGTCACCCTAGAGCTAGACGGCGTCCTGTTTACCCGTGTCTTCGACGCCTATAAAGCTAGGTATGTCGCCTCCCACATACAACAGAACTTGGGATATGTATTGTGCATAGACCTTCTATACAATGCCCGCAGCCCAAGTCGACGCCCTTTCTCCCCACCCCCCGCTCCCCCCCCATCCGAAAATCCACCCCACTAATAATATCACCCCTCCTTCCAGCTATGGCGTAGAAGACGCCGAGTACGCCATCTCGCAGCTCGCACAGACGACGATGCGCAGCGAGATAGGGCAGCTGACCCTCGACCATGTGCTGAAGGAACGCGCCGCGCTCAACACCAACATCACCGCGGCGATCAACGAGGCCGCCCAAGCCTGGGGCGTCACGTGCCTACGATACGAGATACGCGACATCCACGCCCCGGACGCCGTGGTCGAGGCCATGCACCGCCAGGTCACGGCCGAGCGATCGAAGCGGGCCGAGATCCTCGAGAGCGAGGGGCAGCGCCAGAGCGCCATCAACATCGCCGAGGGCAAGAAGCAGAGCGTCATCCTGGCCTCGGAGGCCCTGCGCGCCGAGCAGATCAACCGGGCCAACGGCGAGGCCGAGGCGATCCTGCTGAAGGCGAGGGCGACGGCCGAGGGCATCGACGCGGTCGCGCGGAGCATCGCCGCCGGCGGCAGCTCCGCCCAGGGCGCCGTCAGCCTCAGCGTCGCCGAGAAGTACGTCGAGGCGTTCGGCAAGCTGGCGCGCGAGAGCACCGCCGTCGTCGTCCCCGGGAACGTCGGCGACATCGGCGGCATGATCGCCACCGGCCTCAGCGTCTACGGCAAGGTCGGCGAGGCCCAGAGCCGCACCATGGCCAAGCAGCTCCTCGGCAACGGCGACGCCGCGCCCGGCGCCGAGCCCGCGCCGCAGGCCAGGCCCACCCGGGCGAGCGTCGTAGACTCGATGGTGCGCGAGTTCGATAACACCGCGAACAGAAAGACCTAAGAGCCCATATTCGACGCGTTATGACGCAGGGGGGAAGGAACGGGACCGGGAAATCGGGGTATGAGGTAGAACCCAGGAGGGGTGGGGTTGAGCTAGTTGAGGAATGAATAGCATGGGCTCGCTGTAACATCACTCGGGCTCGCGGAAGCGCTTCGGCTGATAAGCGGCCACGGCGACACATCCGGTCGAAACAGGAAGGGGAGGGTAGGGGCGAGGTTAGCGAGGAGAAGGAGGAGGAAAGGGTGCATTTTTACGAAAAGGGACGAATGTGAATATCACCACCCCGCGAAGGGAAGAAAAAAAACCACCTGACGGATGAGCATCGGCGTCGGCGGGGCACTATGATAGAGGAACAAAGCTGAGGAAGCAAAAGCATCGTGTCATTCCTACCATCACTACGGCATATATGATTCCCTACTTTTTTTTCCTTTTGGGGGGGTTTTCTCTCTGTTGCACCTACACGTATGTGTTGTACGAACCTGTAATTCTACTCAGGAGGCGGGAGTTTGGGGTGAGGGGGGGGGGGGGGGACATAAAACTACATCACCACAATTACACCCCAAACACAACTCACACGCGCGACCACAACCTCCCCTCTTTCCACGAAAAGAAAAGAAAAGGAGAAAAGTGAATGATGTGGTGTTAACGCGGCTATTACGATGAGGATCCGTCCCGCTGTCAATCAAGTATAAACGCGGGGCTCAGGAACTAGTTTCCGGCATGCGAGCACTACGACGAGATCAGCGGCGGCGGGGGCATATAGAAATAGACTGTCCCCTAACCTGTCAGGAGGGAATGATGTATGTCCACTCGGAATTAATATCAGAGATCAATTCTAACATCGCCAGACACTCCCAGGTCTAATAGACGCATGTCCCCAGAACGCCTGAAAAGGTCTCCGGACCCCCGAATGCAACCAACTGTCACAATCCTAGTTCGGAACCGACAACGTCCAACGCCCGCGTCAGTTGTTGCAGCACATCTTCGTCCCCGCTGGCCCCGGAAACCCCAGCGGCGTTCACCAGCAGCGGGTAGAGGCGAAGCAGATGCTTACGACTCTCGCTCTCGACATTGGGGGTGTTGGGTATGGCGTCCGGCTCGCTTCTGAGATCGACGAGCCGCTCGAGGATCCGAGCCAGCTCCTTGCGCAGACTCCACGGCTGCGGCATGTGTCCGCGCAACGGTTGGTCAGCAATGTAAGTCCTCAATGTCAAGGCCGCGCGCAGGATTAGATACGGCGCCGTCACTCTAGCCAACCGGATATTTAGGCTGCGAGGAGATACGAAGGGGGCCTTGACCGCTGCCGACGCGTTGGGCGGCGGGAAAGCTGGCGTTGGTGGCTGAACTGTTATCCGGGGCGTGGTTGAATCGTCGTTAGCCACCAGCGCAAACAACTCGTCCAGGCAGATGTAACCCATCTTCTCGCGTTTGGTAGTAGGCGGGTCGATGGTACGGCCTTTTCTAATCTTATATAGGCTTGTCAGCCCACCTACGCCGCCTCCACCGGTTCCGTAGATGAGGGAAGCCTCTACGGGAGCAGGGGTATGTATGATGGACATTCGGAATAGGTTTTCTGCGAAAACCATTCGAGTCTTGTCCGGTATAATCTCCGCGCCAAGTGCGGGGATAATAAGCCCTCTGAGCTTCAGAAACGAGGCAACGTCGAAGTCCTCGTCTTCCGCAATATTTACGCGATCCGGCGGCGCATCACAGTCTGCGTTGGTGATCCCATTGGCAATAGCGACTATCATCTCCCAGATGTTTTGCAGGTCCGGCCGTGAAATGTCGAGTTTCTGGAGGTGTGGAAGCGTAGCTTCAAGGATGGCTAAGGCGGATATTGTCGATTGCTTCCAGGGCTGATCCGATTTCGTGATGATCGGGAATCCGTACTTGAGTATTATGGGCCTCGACAGGGCCGTTAACGCGGCCAGAAACGCACCATCGCTATATATATTCGCATCAGATGCGTGATCTGTTATGAGGGATTGAAGAATAAGCATGCTAGCTCGGGACATGGCAACGTAGGTCCGTTTCTGCGCGCTTCGCTGATTTGACACGTCATATTTCTCCGGAAAAGCGAGAGAGATAAACTCGGCGGTCTGGGATATCAATGCGGACGGCGCCCCGGGCAGGTCTGTTCGAAGCATCTTGATTACTTCCAAGACTTGCCCTTGTAGAGGTGTGACGAGATCGATGTCAGCCACGTATGCCCCGGGGGTGGCTACTTGCATGACCTCTCGCAACAGTGTGAGCATGCGACGAATACGATCAACTGTCAGGTCGGCCTGCGTCAGACGGTATACGTCGCGTAACGCGGCGACATAGGCAAGCAGGCAGAACTGGTTGTCTGTAGTCTTGCCGAGGTTGCTATCCTTGGACACCGGGACACCGCGAGACCACAGGTCCCATGCTAGATCGATCGTGGTTTTGTTGAAATTCTGACTCGTGCTCACTTGACTTTGCGAAAGTATCTGAGCAAGTGCTTTGAAAGTTGCCGTGCTGATCTCCAAGACTTGGAAATCGAGGAGAAGGGCAAAGTGGCCCAGAAGTTGCTGCCAATACGAGTTGAATGTTGAATGGACCGTCAGCACGTCGAGGTAATTAGCAAGGAGGCCGGAAATCCCATTCAATACTACCACGGCGGTGTCATGCCAGTCGTGGCGGATCTTTTCGTCTATCTCAGGCTTGCCGACAGACTCCAGTTCTGTCTCAATTGACGAGAGAAGCTTGAAAATTACTGATTTGATGCAGACCGACCATGCCTCGGGGTCTAGTTTCTCCCCATATGCATCAAATATTCGCAATAGCGTTTGGATTGCACCTGCGAACACCATCAGAGCGAAGAACGGAGAAATTGTTGGGAGACTTACTATTCCTCAAGTCTAATCGTTCGTCAGAAGTCACAGTAGTTAGCCTCAGCAGAAGAAGCATCCATAGAGCCGCATCTGAAGATTCGTCCTCTGCGTTTGACGCTTTCCGCACTAACGAGCGCTCGTCTGCATCTTCAACCAGGCTATCAGTTATTAGCAATGACCTGCTCCTCCCGGATAGAAAGTCGGAGAGGACCCAGAAGAGCGTGACAGTCTGATAAAAAAAAGAGCGTGTTGGGTTAGTATCATCACAACTCGGCACCTAGCGAACAACGGGTTCTCACCGTTAATGCGATGTTTAAATCGTCATCCTGGGAACAGAACTTGTACAGGGTATCGACTAGAATGAGGAAACACGACCCGGGAAACGATGCGAGGAAGTCGGAACATATTAACTGTAGTGAACTGAACGCAGATCTAATGAGCTTGCTGGATCGTGTCGTGAGGGTAAGAGCCTGGCTAGTGGTGTCACGCGAACCATCGTTGCCAAATCTCCTTGGGATGAAGATGCTGCCAATAATCTCAAACGTTATTTCCCAACCGCTGAGAAGAGAGTCCCCGCAATCGTCGAGAAGAGCCTTGAGGCCTTCCAGTATGATTTTATGTATATCAACATCTACCGCGTGACTGGCCACGGAAGCTGCCCGGTCTTCCATTTGCAATGGTAACAGTGAATTTCGAAGGGCCTCTAGCAAGCGAAGCTGAACCATACTCCGAGTCTGATCGTTGACACCACTAGCCGCTTTAGCAGCGTCCGAGACGAGTTGCACGAGGATATCGGCGGCGCAACTACGGATTTGGACCGATAGGGAGACGGAGCCAAGCGTGGCAACTAGTTGGGAAGTAATGCGCGTCCATCCAGAAACATCTGGAGAATGGCTTAGAAGCCTCTCAATATTGATGGTAGCGATTTCACCAATCTTTGCGAGGGTGAACAGGTCCTCTTGATTGGGACCCATAGAAGCCGCGCCAGGTGTGCCGATAAGTTTCCGGTGTTGGCCTGTCGGCGTCCGGAGGCCTTGTCCTGGTGATGTTAAAGAAAGCGATGACTGCGGCCGACTTGACGGTTCGGAAGCTGATTCAAGCTGCTGGTCCAATAGGCTGCATACAGCATCAACAACTTCCACGAAAGCTCCATTCGGGAAATCAACGGTGCTTTCAAAGAGTCTGGACGCGGCAGTCTCGACAGCCCTTATTTCGGCGCTGAAATTTTCCAAGAGCGAAGCAGCTTCGTTCTCGGCCCTTGGATCTGGGCCTTTACCAGCAATCGGGGTTCTCCCAGGTGACTTTCCAGTCGTGAATAGAACGAAATCAGCCTGCTGAAGCGTTTCCAACACAATGGTCCAAGACGAGCTAAGTGTCGGCCCCAGGGCTATCCCCAAATTCAGAAGTGCTCTCAGACAGAGTAGATTCCGAGTATTCAACGTTTGCGGTATAGTGTTGGCATCCATAGACGCCTGCCTCTGTCGCTCGCCGGCAGCACCCACTGGAGTCACCAGACTATCAACACTGAGAAGGCCCTTGGCGTTCCCTAGGATACTTTTAGGTGTCTCGGCGGGGGGGCTGGCCGCTGCTGGCTTGGATGAACCGATATTAAGGGAAGCAGTGAATACATTGGGTGGCACAGATGCTTTTCCCAGGGTAGTTAAGAAAGCGTCCCGGGGAGTTTTAAGGTGAAGCAACCCTGCGACGTGCGCAAATTTCTGAAAGGCGCGGACGAGGCTGTGGTAATATTCCGAGTCGAGAGCGGCATAGAGGAAGGTGGAACATGTCGCGAGGATAGCCGGCCAACATTCCTCGATAATGGCCGCGCATAGCTTGATCTCTCCGTGAAGGGGGTGGTCCTTGATGGCCAGAGGGTTAAGGGGCACGGGATTCTTCTTGAACGAACCGGACCTCTCAAGTGTAATCAAGGACGCAGTCTTCTCCAGGACCGGCTTCGGCGCATTGACATCGTCTACTTCGGTTGGACCGGGGGATTCTCTGCCAAGTTCTGGCTGCTTGGTGTTCCGCCGACGAGATCGACCGTCCGGGGGTACCGTGAGCGGTAAGACGAACTTAGCCAGTCCTTCAGACAGCGACGTAATGCAAGACAGAGTCAATGCGTAGACGTAGGACTCTGGGATTGGCGGAGGCTCGGTTTTGTCGAGCTGGTCGATGCAAGCGACTCTAACCGTGCTCCACTGGGAGCTAATACCGGTGTTGTGGCTGTCGCTGACCGATCCACTGATGATTCCGGTGACGCCGCTGGCCTCTAACATCGCTTGGTCGGATGAGCCCCCGAGACCAGCATAAGGGTTCGCAGCCGGGATCGCGGATTGATGACCAAGACCAATTACAAGAGGCTTCTCTGTGCTAACCCTGACGAATGTAGCAGTGAGATTTTTCAAGATGTCCTTTTCTCCTTCTTTGGCGTCGAAGAGGGCAAAGATACGCCTCAGGAGAGGAGGCTCGGAGAATACAGCATGGAAGACCTCCATGCACAGTGCTCTCCTCCAGGCAACCGCGTCTTGATCCAGAAGTTGGGTAAGCGTGTCGAGTGCATCCCCGCTCTCCGATGGTAAAACCTCCAGATTCTTCCTCAACAAGGTCAATAAAATCCGTACGAGCCGAACGGATATCGCAAAATTCGGCTTTTTAGAGAGTGCCTTGATGATGAAAGGCATCACCCTCGTGCGAAGTATATGCACCTGCTCGGGATGTTGGGACTTGGCGAAGATGGCAGCATGCTGACTCAGAACAGATTCTATCAGCTCCAGGCCAAAGGTCTGAGGGCGGCCAGGGAACCGGAGATACTCGGGCCTATGGCCCTCCGTCATCAGGCAGATATCATTGAAGATGCGGTAGGCGTCCATGGACGCGGCCTGAAGCTGGATATTCCCATCTCCGGTCGGGGCTTCACCAACGTAACTCGCGTCAGAGAGAGATTCTGCCCGAATCAGCCTTTTCCCTCTCTTCAAACGGGGTTTCGCATCCCCATCTGGGTTTCACTCACTGTCCTCTACTGTTACTTTTTCGAAAACCGTTGTGACGAGCTGCTGGAGAGTGGCGGCGGATGTATTACTGACAATCCCATTCTTGGTGGTCTGCAGGATGAAACAGATATTCAAAGCGGTAACTAGAAGGTCGCCCTGGATCTCTTTCGAATAATTCTGGAGTAAAGAAGGCAGCGCCTGTAAAATCTTGAGCTGAACGTCGAGGCCAGCGGACGTAGCCTCACGCAGGGCTTCTAAGGCCGGGCTCAGCTTAGATCGGGGTAGCGCGGTAACGAGGATGAGACGCGACAGGCAGACAATAGCTATCCCGGTGAATTTCGCGTTCTTCGTGCCACACGCTATAATGAAAGGGTTGACGAAGTTGACCCTCTGGGACAGTTCTAGCGAATCCACCATCAGCATCCCAATACCCGCAGGTCATTCTAGAAAGCCTGAGCGTACCGGCGGCAAGTTGGGCTTCGCTCGTCGCCCTAATGCCTTTGAGTTCCTCTAGGGACTTCTCCGCCGCCTAAATCGGGTAAAGTTAGCAAGGGATTTATTTAATTACGATGGCGACGGTCGTGGACCCGTCTTCAAACATGGGGCACGGGGGGTAGGAAAGTGGGCGTGGGCCTGCCTGTCTAAGATCATTATGCTTCCGTTTGCTCTCCTGTATGAGATTGGCGAGCTCCGTAGAAAGGAGTCGGGTGGTCATCTTGGCCAAGCAACCGGAATAAGATCCATCTGAGAATACGTTCGTCTAGCTTGCCGTATAATGAGCGACTTTACGCACAGGGCGCATACGGCAAGGCCGAACGTTGGAAGGGAGGTCTGAAGTTGGACGGCCGCGTTCCGAACTGAGGCTCAAGTCCGGCGAGTGGATGTGTTGTTGCCAGATTCGTCGTGTCAGGTGGAGCCTGGGTGAGGAAGCCCGGATATAGGAGTAAGCGTCTGGTGACTAAGCAAAGATGCTCCGCCTCGATTCTCAGCCACATCCCTCTGGTGCAGGGTTTGGGCGACTAGGTATCTAAGTATCTAGGGGTGGCTTCTGTGCGAAGACTGGATTGATTAACCGGGCATTCAGTTAGGTACCTACCTAACCTAACCTAACCTGCCTTAGGTGCCTACAGGCACCTAACCCATAGCCCGTCGGCGGGGTTGCTCACTATACTTCCTCTGTAACGCACCTGAGACCCAACCAACCGTCACCTCCCCCCACCACATCCCTCGTCCACAGCTTTTCCCCAGCCGCTACACGCGAGGCTACCTTTTGTTCCTCTCTTCCTCGCACCATCAACTCCAACCCCCCGATCGCATACCCATTCCTCGCCCGCTCCTCGCTCATTCTTCATACAGCAAGACGATTCACCGTCACATCTGAGCATACGGTAGCGGCGAGCACACAGACTACGCAGAATATGAGCGCCAAAGTCCCACGAAATTTCCGCCTCTTGGAGGAATTGGAGAAGGGCGAGAAAGGCCTAGGAGCTGGTGTGTTTTGTGCAATGCCCCCCTCCCCACCCCAGCCTCTAGGGGACTCGCTAACACGAGGTCTTCATCCAGAGGCTTGTTCGTATGGCTTGGACAATCCAGAAGATCTCTTGATGTCGGACTGGAACGGTACCATCCTAGGACCCCCCCATGTCAGTAGCTCTACCAGCCCTGCATGAGTCGAAGGCGCTTAAGAACTAATGATCATGGCGGCAGAGCATGCATGAGAACCGAATCTACTCCGTCAAAATGCATTGTGGTAATCAGTACCCCGACAAGCCGCCGACCATCCGGTTTGTTAGCCAAGTCAACCTGCCCTGCGTCAACCCGCGAAACGGAACGGTGGACCCGAGCCAACTACCGTGCCTGGCCAACTGGAAGAGAGAGAATACGATGGAGACCATCTTGATCGAACTCCGGAGGTGAGTATACCACACGTTCTCGGACACGCACGGTGTGAAGTCCGGCACGAACGAAACGGAAATTCTGATGCAATTACAGGTATATGGCATCGAGCCAGTGCAAGAAGCTGCCGCAGCCCCCTGAGGGGTCTGTCTATCCCAATTAGTAGGCTTGCGGCGGGCGTAGCATCTCAGGGCGGGGACCCCTAAAACGCCATTCCGTACATCTTTTCAGGTGGAGAAGAGAGGCCAGGTGGGATGGATACGACGGATCATAGGTACATTTCGTTTTCTTAGCACATAGGCATTTGGCATCGGCGCGGAAGGTCATTCAATCATCCGGGAACAATTAGGATCAGGACCAGGGACAATAGGCGCCAACGGTGAGGGGAGCTGGGAGGACAGGTATTGCCTAGAGTCCGTATTCCTCAATCTAGCCTAACCAACCACAAGGCACTTGGTCCCTGGACTTCGGCCCAACCCTCCTAGCAGAATCCCATAGCCTATCCAGCAAGGCAGCAATCTGCACACAGAGGAATACGGTGAGCGTAGATATTGGCGATCCGGAACATGTACGGAGGATGCAACGGGTAGAGAGCTGATGTAGGTAAGTAGGTAGAATAGAAGACGGCTAGTTACCGGGAACACATGATCTGCAACGGGGTAACGTCATAAAAAGTTTGGGGTGCTACTGTTACATGCACGCACGTGATAACGTGTGGGTGACTAAGAAGGTGGCATATTATGTCATCCAACCACAATTATCCATAGTACCTAGGTATCCGAGACAGGTATTTCGAAAGAAAAGAAAGCCGCTCCCCCTCATCGAAAGCCCGAAATCACCACACCAGAGAGAGAGACACACCTAAGGACCTCGATGCCATATGCCATCGTTCTTCATTCCTGCCCGCGACGCACGGCATCGGATAGCATGTAAGATTTCCTTGCCCTCACAGCCAACCCAGCGCGTCCCAGCTCGTTGGCGTTCAACTGACCCCGCCGCCGATTCTCGGGCGCCCCGGTAGGCTTCGCCCTCTACCGCGCACTCATCCGACAAGGCCGCCTCGTCCCGCTCCCCGATGATATCGCGAGCGCGTACCCTTCGAACCCAATCACATGGCTGATCCAACGGGGCTTCCGGCGCAACAGCCCCGACACCAGCCCCCGCCTCGTCAACCCGGCCCTCAAGGCCGGCTACCGAATTCTTGCGCTGCTGCGCGCCGCGGCCACGCCACCGCCAGGGTCGCCGGCGAGTGACGCCCCGACGACCGTCGACGAGTCGAACCCCAACTACGCCTCCGTCATCCGTCTCTTGCGCGCGCGCCTCGCGGAGCGCCAACGCTCTCACGCTGCTATCGCCAAGAACCCACCTTACTCGAAGACCCCACCTAGGCCACCGGCCACGCGGCCGCCCGATTACACCCCGCTCCTCGTGAATGTGACGCCGGAACCGACGCCGGAGAATCCGCGCCCCCGGCCGGTGTACGCGACGCCGTCGCGGCCGCGGCCCCGCGAGGAGCTCAGCGGAACCGGTTTCCGGCAGGTGCCGCGGCTCGACCTAGCGGGGGACTTCCCGTTCCTGCGGCTCAAAAAGCCGCAGCCGGCGTCGCTGAGCCGCGTACTCACGCACAATATCCGCAGGCGCGTCGCCCGCATCACCACCCTACAGTACATGGCCGACGAGCTGATGCCTGACGCCCAGCTCGAGGACGAGTGGGAGAACCGAGTTGCTTTCCTGCTCAGCTGCCAGGGCAATAAGCCGAACCATCGCGATAGATACTCGCCCGGCTATGGTGACGGCGGAGACACCACGGATTCGTACTTCAGCAGCATGACGGCAGAGAGCCGCGAGGCGGCGAATATCCGTGCTGACTTCTGGGTAGATGCGACGTACAGCCGCACCCTCCACGAGCACGGCATCCTTCACCTGCAGAACCTCTTGTCTGAGGAGCGAGAGGACCAGGTCGCCCGCGCGGATGCCATGCGCAGGTTGATCGAGGAAGAGAGGGCGCTGGCCGAGCAGGAGAGGGCGCAAGGGATCGCCGAGAAGACAAGGCTTTATGAGGATAGGAAGCAAGCGTTGCTTGAAGGACAAGACCCGTCACACACAAAGGACGATCCGCCACGATGGAATGCGTAACCACTTTTGGCGTCCGACGAGGGCTATCCTACGTAGTTCCATACCGTATAGCTACATGTGAATCCCGATAACATCGCCCCATTCCTAAGCCCGTTAGATACTTCGCTCTTTTCCGGTCCCCAAAGCTTCCCGCCTGTTATATCCGTCGTCTGCGAGCATCCATAAGAAACCGACAGAACGCCTACTTGTCCCCGTACCCATGTTTATATATAGACACGAATATGTATATAAATTAATGATTGCGCGCCAGAGCGTACAAAACCATTCCCATTCCCGGGCATATCTGCCAGACCCCACCACTACACATTAGCGACCACGGCGTTCCAGAATGAGCCTACAATATCTCTCGGTCTGAACGCGGGAGCACGTCCGAGGCAGCTCGCATGGCTTATGAGTCCTGCCGCGGGATTAGCCTCTGCCTCCGGCTAGGTCTGATGGAATGGGGGACCGGTCGGGGGATGAGCATCTTACCATCGATGAATTCGTTGACGTCTAAGAGGACTCGCCTAGCGGCTGGTGTTGGCGCCACATTAGGCGCTAGAGCCTGTGTGTTTTGTTGGCTACCGCGAAAAACATAGGATGGGGAACTCGGGAAGATATCGGCCCCCGTGTCACCGAATGCGGCGAAAGATGCTGCCTCTCCGTCCGCTGTTTGTGCTACTTCTCCTAGATCCGAGTGGGCAGAAAGGCCAGGCCAGCTATCGCTTTGCGCTGGGAAATCCGGCATATCATCGTGAGGTTGCGATCCACCGGAAAAAGCCATAGTTCGCAACGGTGCATTGCCGGACATCCCGGGGCCTGCGGATGCATCCCCTCCTGGCACGGAGGCGGAGCTCGGCGGGGTTGTCGGCATCGCCGGGGTCTTGTTGGGCTGCGTTTGCACGTCCGCAAACATACCGGGCGGGACCTCGACGATATGTAAATCAGCCGCTACCGGGATGACTACCCCGTTCTGTGCGAGATACGTCTCCACTTCGCCCGAATCAAACCAGGTGCCCTCCCAGCCGCTCATGTTGATATACTGGGAGACTCCTAGCAGAGTATCGCGTACGCTGGTCGTCCGCTCATTAAAAGGCCCAACCCCAAAGCCGTTACTCTGATAAGGGGATCCCAATCCCGAAAGGCTGGACGGCGTGTGCTCTCCTCCCTCGGAGAAGTGGGTACCAGAACCACCGAGCCTATGGAAAGGATACTCCCAGTAGTTCAAAGGCTGGTTCCTGATTCGGGCCAGGGTCGCCAGTGTTCTCGCGCGAATCTCATCCATAGTTTCAAACAGCATGACGAAGCCAAAGACCCGCGTCAACTTGGCCGGAGGTGGGTTAGGCATCGAGATGAGCGCGACAGCTCTCTCTACGGCGTGCCGATGCAACCTCCGAGCGAATGCCCATTCGTTGAAGGACATGGTCCGCGGGCCAGTGAGTCGATTCCACGGATTCTCAGCCCAGGTAGATTGCCATTGCGGAGTGTTCCATAAATTGGCATCAAATGGCATGTCAGCCCCGAAGCTAGCATTTTCGAGAGTCGGTGCCGTAACGATCTCGTAGGACTCCCCGCGTGGCTCGCTTAATACAGCACCTACGTTCGTAGCAGGAGGTAAGACTTCCTGTTGTGTCGCGGGGCCAGGCTCGTGCGTTACGGTGAGCCCTGCGAACAGCTGGGTCGATTCAGCCTCTGGCCGTAAATACGATATCTCTTCATTTGCAGTCGACGTCTCTTCGGTCCTCTGGCTTTCCTGCTTCCTATCGTCGGAATTGCTGTCTGGACTGCTGTGTTCCCCCCCCGAAACTTCCTTCTCCTGGCTTTGCTTGATAAGCTCTTGAAGTCTTCCCAACTGCTGTTCAAATTGAGGCGCCTGGGCTAAGAGCCCTTGACTTGACGCGTATTCGAATAAGCTCTTATATGCAGTGTTTATCTCATTGTTTACCTCCTGGAGGTCATTAATTTTCGCCTGCAGATCGGTTATGGCGTTCTCCTTCCGGTTACGATACGCCCTCTGCGCAAGTCGAATTTGAGTTCGTCGGCGCTAGGTACGATGTAAGCATGGGTATGTACTCGATTTACCTACGAGTTTACAAATCGTACTAGGAGCTAGGTAGCCTAGTCGAGCACCCGAGATAGGGGCACTCTAAGAGGACACAATACACCTGGGCACGCGTACGTAAAGATGGCCAATCGGGGCTTTCTACTGACCTCAGTGGGCGTCTGGTCCTTAGTTTCGAGGCGCGGGCGGCCACGAGTCCTCTTCGTCTCTTCCCCGTTCTCCTTTCTCCCGGCATCTTCCGTTTTCCTACCCCGTTTCTTCGGGTTGGGAGGGCGCTCAACAGGTACAGGGCCGCCTATGGGATTGGCTTTGGTTGTAGGGCGTCTTGAACGGTTGCTGTCATCGTACCGTTCGGCGCTAAGCATAGGTAGGTCGGTGTGGAAATACCGCATTGCTGGCACTTCGGGTAATGACGTCGATGATTCCCCCGCAGTAAATTGGAAGTCCACTGGCTCAGTCCGCAATACAGGCTGCGCGCCACGGCTCCAGCGTGCTGACTGAACGACTGGTGTTTCAGGGGGGAGAAGGGAGGTATTGCCCCCGACAGTGGAAAGCTGCGCCAACCCAGAAGAAGCGGAGGAAGGATAAGCGGTAGACGATGAAGGCGGAATTGGGAAAATTAGGGATGGTGACAAGCCACTCTGTCGAGGATAGGACTCGACTAAGCTGTTGAACCCGAAGCCCTGGCTGTCCTGGCCGAGGCGGCCTTGGTGACCCAGCCCACCATCTCTACCGCCATGACGGCGACCGTTGTTGGGCCGGGGTATCGACGACATCGGGAAAGCACTGGAAAGGGCCCAGGCCCCATACTGCGGACCGGCGCAGAAGCTGGTGTGGACACCCCTCCTGTGAGCTCGGTACTGGCCCAGGAACTACCGTTGCAATCCGCAGCGAGGCCCTGTCAAGGCTCGCCTTTTCCAGGAGGCGCCTCAACAGTGCAGACGTAGATGGCCAATTAGCTCGACCTTTGGAGATCCAGCCAGGTAAGTCTCGGCGCACGATTCGGGCTTAGATGCCGAGTTTCAGTCAGTGTCTGGCGATAATCCGAGGCACGATTTGACGATTACTGAACATGGAAGCATTAGTCAGCGTGAGAGGGCGACAAGATCTTAGAGGGACGTAGTAAGCTTGATGAGTCAGCATCCCTGCCTACGGTTCACACTTGATTGGTTGATTACATACCCTTGCACTCGATCTCTTATAGGGGGTAGAGGCATGTGCACACCGACACTAGCATATCTTACATGTTCGCGCCGTTCTCTGCTCAACATCCTCTACCTACAATCATCTCCTATCAGCAGATCTGGCCACGGTGTACAGGTATGCCGCCCCTATAGCTTCCATGTGCCTATGACACGATATATACGGCCATGATGAATCCCTTAGACAATCAAACATGTCGATCATCGCTGACAGGTATCCCCAACCGGAACATACGTACGCTATTCTCCCACGCCGCTTCAGCGACCTCATCCACGGAAATTCCCTTCAGCCCAGCGACGACGTACGCGACCCTCTCTATCGCGCAGCTCTCGTTCCTCTCCTTTACCATGCACTTCGCATCCCACTTGTCCCTCTTCTTGCTGGCCGGAAGCGGTGCGGCGTTAGTGAGAAACCTCTTCGCGACCTCGCTGCCGGTCCTAATCTCGCCCCACGGCGCATCCGTCTCGATCTGCAGCCGCTCCAGCGGGATCGCCGCCGTCATGTCCAAGCTTTCCCGATCCTGGAAGCTGAACCCATTCACGCTGATATCAAATCCAAGCTGCACAAGCTTCTCCATCTGGGCCGTCGATCCGACAAAACTGTGCACTAGACCGCGCCGTGGCAGCCGCCCAAGGTAAGGCGTCACGATCTCTACAAAGTCGTCGAATGCCGCGCGACAGTGAAGAAACAGTGGTAGATCCCACGCATTTCGTACGAATAAGTCTAGTTGCGCTTTGAAGGCCCGGATTTGAGCATCCCTAGGCGCGTAGTTGAGTCGGTCGTAGTCCAATCCTAGCTCGCCAAACGCCGCGACGGGACAAGGTGTCAGGGCGAGAGCAGCTCCGAGGCTCTCCACCAGGTTTTCTAGATACACCTGACCCCCACTGTCGAGCTCCGCAGCGTGGTACGGATGCACACCTATCGTGAGGAAACACTGATCCGGTCGAGACCGCGCGATGGCAATGTTTATAGGGATGTCAGATGGAGACATGCCAGTAAGCATTACCTTCTCAACCCCCACTTCCAACGCGCGATCCAGGGTATTGGCGAGGTCGGCCGGGTGATATTTCTTGTTACGATACACACCGTCGAACTCCTTAGCAGTGGCGGTTACCGCAACCTGCGCGCACAAGCGTCAGATACCCACGATACGCGCAAGAAGGTCGTGGTACTTACATCCGCATATCGCATGGATCTCTCGAGCCTCGGGGGGGCTTTTTGAGGCAGACCGTCCAGGTCTAGGCTTTGCGATGCCATCACGATGCTGGGGGTCGTGATAGTAGGGGCGATGTGATTTAAATAGAGAGGCTGCTAATAATTATCGAATAGGTAATATAGGCGCTACCGGAATTCTAGCGAGAAAGGCTGTAAATCCATGCCCGATATCCATCCGAGGCGCTCGGCATCCCCCATTGGTCTTGAACATCAGTTTGGCTTAAATGTCCAGAGATCACCTTCGATAGCGCATCTCCACCTTCCAACCATTAGCCGGATTCGTTCCCCGTTAGGCTCATCGATCCTCATAACCTGGAATATAAACGTCTTATCACCCTGCGACATCGCCACCACGCAACCGGTGGCACATCTATTCCCCGGCTCGGGACGCCTACCAAGGCCTGGTTCATGTGGTTCGTGGCTTGCAGGACAGAAGGATTCGGTATGCCATCTGGGTCCCGCACAGTACGCCAGCATCGTCACGATCCCGCCAGGCTTGACGCCCTCCGGATGCGTCATGCACGCCACTCACGCGGCATCGTACCTCACACACCTTACACGCGGCTCTGCCTGTCCGAGACTTCATCGCCAAGCCGGCGGTGCCACTTCTTGGTATCTACCCCGTGATTGCTATTTTAAGGGGTGCTGCAACAAATTGATCCCGAGACAAGGGAGCTGGCAGCGCGGTGCGGTAATTCATAACGGGAATGCAAGAGCAAACGAAGAAATTACAACAATCCCTATGCCTGTGGAGGAAGAGTCCCTCTCTCGCATAGTGGATTTTCCGCCATCAAAGGTCAAAACGCGGTACAGAGGAAGACGAGAATACAATCATAAACTATAGAACCGTACAGATGCAGCAGTCCTTACTCTTAGAGCCCACAGTGCTGCCTCGTCCCTAGGAGCGGGTATATGCTTAAGAAAAAGTTGCATGTCTAGGTACGTGATCCTTCTACCCCTCCCTCCACCCGCTTTTTTAATCTCTCCGGTTCTAAGCCGTCGAGGACCTTAAGGATGCCGTGGGAGGTGCTTTTCTTCACGATGCGGTACCTCTCCTCACCACCGCCACCGTAGCTCGTCTTGTGCGTGTTATGGAGAACGGCGGCGGCGCGCGTCTCGCGCACCGCCTCGCTTCGATCTACCGAAGGGCCGCGGGGACGTCATCGCGGGCCAGCGTCCCCCCTCAATCCCTTGGCCCTGTAGCGACGTCATGGCATGCGCGTCGTCGATCAGGATCGCTCGCCCCGCCGTCCACGTGTCCAGACTCCATATCCTGCAGCTTCCAGGGCTTCACTTCCGTGGCGACTCCGGTTGGGTTTTGCTCGCCGTTTGATACCGTTTACCAAACCCACAGGTGAAAGGACAGGAGTAGGTACGAGCCAGATCTCAGGTGGACAAGACTTAACCCTCTCAGGGTGGCTATGCTAAGGTCGACGCCATGAAACACCTATATCCGACATCCCCTGGCGGGCGTTGTCACCGAAACCGGACCTGGTGCTCTCCCCCTCCCCACGCGTCACAATATAACTAGTAGGTATTTCGCGGGCCGTACACAACCATCATGCGGCTGGTGCCGTCACTGGCCTAGAGGACCAGGATCCGCCGATCACCGGTTCGCCGCTGCTACCACCCGTCGGACAGGCAGCCGAGAGTCTCGGTTGCTTAATTAGCCAAGACAGCCACCTGGTAACATGGGAGACCGCTCTTATGAGGCCTCGGATAGTCCGCGCCGACGATCTTCGACCAGAAGTGCAAGTAAATGCCGTCCAGAACTAGCTTCCAGTTGACGCGTCACCCCCCACCCTCCCCGCTAATGTCATCCTTGCGCGCATGACGTTTGGTAGTGCGTAGTAATGGATAGACGGATAGGTCTCGCTTATTACGACGTCCGCCTTGGCTTTCAACCCATCTTTTCGCGTGATCTCGCTCGCCTCGGGGTCAACATCCTTGGCGCCATGCTTCGGAAGGGGAGCTCGGTCTCGTAGACGAGCCTCGGGTGCTTATCCAGGATACGGAACCCCTAGACGGGCATGGAGCCGATTGGCGAGCCGTGGAAGCCTATTACGCGGAGGATTCTGACGACGTTAGGAAAGTTGGCGCAGCCCTAGCCTCCGGTGGCGACGGACGGTTCGCCCCACTCGCCGACATGGTGCTTTCCCCGTAATGTGCCGGCTGCGGCCAAGCCGGCGCGGCCGGGCCCTCCGACGACAACGGACAGTGGATGATCTTGCCCGATCACGGTACTGTATCGCAGCTAGCGGCACAAATGGCTCAAGAGGGAATTCATAGGGAGGCTGAGCAGTGAAAGTTTGACGTCAGACTCAGGTTTATGAAATTACAACTGTCTATCAGGGGGCGACGAGAGATAGATAGGCAGGTAAGTAGCTGCAAATTTCTTCAGACAGACATTCGTAGGTGAAAAAAAAAAAGTATCGCGGAGGTGAGAGATCCTGACCTCAATATATATGCCCACATACGCATACACATACACACACATTTACATATATACGTCCAGGCGACATTTCCACGAGCACGGCATCTCCACGCCTTTGGTATGTTGCAAATTCCCTCGCACGCGAGACGACTCAAGTCCCATTCGACGTATAATCTGGATATTCCCAACAGGCAAACTCGGAGCCCTTCGAATCTCTACGGGCATCTTCGGATCTCTGTGTAGGAAGTGGCCCGGCATGGCCCGGCATAGTCTTCGTCGTTACGTTGTCCCCGCGTCCGCATGGCTGAAATACAGGTCGGTCCTGTTGGCTCCGTACGCATCGACGAGTGGGTGACGGCGGGCTGTTGTGGAGGCCATCGATATGGTCTGCTGCCAGTGTACGAGTAGGCATGGCGGACTGACTACCTCCAAGAGTCGGGTAGACGATTTGTTTGTGACACGGGTCACGGACTGGTTGCGCCCACGCGTTTCCGCACGCCGGTGTGGATGGAGGAACTCTCTCCCGCCCCCTTTTTTTTTTCTAGAAGCAGCGCATGGAAGACGGGGAACCGAGATCGATCGATGTCCTCCCCCGATAAGTACATATACAGGTTAATTACGTCAAAGACGGCCCATCTCCTGCCTATCCGGTTTAACCCCCAAACCAGCCCTCCATCGAGCCAGCGGAACCTAGGGCGTGGGACTCCGGCAGGCATGGCGAGCCCGGCACGAAGGAATGTTCCATTTCAGGTGGTGATGGGCGGTGATGTGGTATCAATGCACGGAGCCAGTACTTCCATGCTAAGGTGTAGGTACTTGGCTCTCCATGTACCTGTTGCGAGAGGGGTGTACTTACATACGGCTGGTACGTACCGCCTCCTACCTCCCAGAGGAGGTACTTGACGTACAATAATTACCTGACTTACACCCCCACCCTGTTGCTGCATACCTCCCTACATATGCACATACCTACCCCCCTACCCCTATCGCACCTCATCATATAGGCCGTCGCCCGTTGCGTGTCAATATGTTATAGACGTGTGAATGCCTACGCGTTCGCATTATGCGTTTCAGTGTGTCTATAATATACCTATATTTTATAATATCATATTTATCTAGGCATACTCATATATTGCTTCAGACACATCGCCGTGATGCCGTGCTCCTCGTGAGCGGGAAATTGCCGCGTCGATTTGTCTGTCGAGCACACCCGATAGAGCGAAGAAGAAGATCCGAGCGGTGGGACCGGCAACCTGACGAGATTGCGCTCACAGAACCCATACGCCTGCGCACCTAACACACATCCACATGTTACCTAGACGCCTCTCCTCAGGTGGGCACCGCCTACTGCAGCCGGAAGATCTGCCGGCATACGGCTAGGTCGCTCGCTGCCGCCCTCCTCTCGGCGGGTAGGATCGGCGCGATCCCGTCGCGTCGCACGTTCGTCGAAGAAAAGAACATTGCATATGGTCCCCGTGTCGATCGGGCCACGGTGATACGCGTCTCCCTTGCGAGCGCTTCTTGCCGCTCTCCATAGCCGACGGATTCGGTGGGTCTGTCTGTCTTTCTGTATGTATGTTTGTCTGTATGTCTGTATGCCCGCCTGTCTGTGTCTGTCTGTCTGCGTCTGTCTGTATGTCTGTCTAACTGGTTGTCTGGCTGTCTGGCTGTCTGGTTATCTGGTTGTCTGTCTGTCCATCTACACATCCATATCTGTACCCAATCTGTAAACCTCCTCCTATTTCCCGCAGCCATTCCCAATCCACACGGGGAAGGGTTGCCTAGTGCTAACCCGCCCGTACAGTACGTGAGGTGATTATAGCCTCTCCCCCCCTCTCCCCAGCCTCCCCGGAAATTTGCACTTTCCAGGAGTCAGGTATATGTTCATTAGGAGGCGCGCGCAAGGGAGCGTGGCACATAATGCAGGTACACGACGCCTCCCTCCCACCGACATACCTACCTACCTACGCCCACCCTGAGGGACGACGGTAGCTCCTCTTCCAAGTACCCAAGCCAGCGACATGGGGAGACTTGGCATCGCATCCCACTCTCACACCGGCCTCACATGGAAAACCCCAAAACCGGTATTCGATGGGCTCCCGACTCGCCAAAAAAAAGGGGGGGCTGGGAAGGAAGCATTATCCGGGTAGGCGTTGGCTGGGTTTTGGGCGGTTGGATGGTCCCAGGACCCGAAGAGCCGGGTCGCCTCTTCGCCTACGCGCATATGTATGCACGTATCGGGTTTCATACGCGATGCCGTGTGTATATATACGTATATATGCATATAGCTATGTATATATGGGCAAAGTGGGTTGTCGTTGCGGCTGATGATACCTACCCCTAACCCATTCACCGGCCGAGCGCGATAGACGCCCCAGATGTCTCGAGAACGCGCCCCCTTTTGGAATCCGTCTCCCGCCCAGGATCACCGGCGAAGGCGCCACGTCTGCGCTTGTCCTAGACTGCCCGTCGGGATGTAGGTATGTAGGCGCGTTTTCTTGATGAACAAAGAAGGGAAGATTACAGCTGCACATGTATGTGTGTAGGGGTGTGTGTGTGTGTGCATACACAGGCACATACATATGTAGGTATGGACGGATGGACGGATGGATAGAGGCATGTCCATGCAGACCGCCATTTTCCTCCGCCTCTCCAGGTCCTGATTGGCTCTGCAAGCTTTTCCTGGTGGTAGGTGGTATGATGCATTCCTTTCGCGGTCGTAATATTGGTTATTCGCTACATATGTATTTCCGATTGCGAATAGCTTAGCCCGCCACGCGCGCGAGGAATATCTACATGGCTATCGGCGTTAGCATCCATCCTCTCCACCGCAGCCGACTCGGTTTGTCTGCATCAGGAGCGGCTATTCTGTCGGAAACCCCATGCCCTCTGTGCTTGTGTTTGGGGGCGGGGGTTCCGTATTGTCTCCTGGCATTAGACACGTGTATGTGTAGGTACGCAGGCGGGCGACAGCGTTTACCAAGATATGATCTAGGCCTAGCTCATAGTCATATTTGGCTTTCGACCTTGAGACCCCCTCGATGCGTAGGTGACTGTGGAATCACATCTTCGCTTCTCTGAAGGTTATTGCGGCAATCTCCCCTAGACCAGGTATACTATGCACTTCGCACTTGATCTAGGCATGTCTGGTCATAGATGGTCTGAACTAAAACACATGCTGCACTGGTCTTACGGGGTCCAGCATACACTACCCGATCCAAAGTTGCTCTTGAGACCCGGAGAGCAGCAGAGATGTGTTGAGTTAGTGACAGCTTTGTCACCGGCGCAACATTAGCAAACAATACCGCCGTCATAAGTCCCCAACTAGCGAATATTCGGGTGTCGTGGAACTATCCAGACCCTAAGAGCATATTCAGCGGCAATCCTCATCTGACCATAGAAGTAGAATGATATACGCACCTCCCCTTGACCCCGTACCCTGAACATGGCACCTCTCCGGCTGTTCATATTGCCATCGACGCCAAGCCCTGACTCTCAAAGTCACTATTCAGACAATACAGGGCCGACGACGGCAACGATAACAACCCACACGGCCCCGTTTCTATCGACGCTCGGAACTAAGAAACGGAACTCGACGGCGTCAATTTACCGCCCCAAGCCATGAAGGTAGTCGATTTAAGCACCATCGTCCTCTGCGTATCCTACGTAGCCGCTCTCTGCGCCGTAGTGATTTACGCCGTGACCACTCGGTGGAGACTCCGGCGGCGCTGGAAGAAGAACCTGATCTGAATAGAAGCGATCGGCGTGCCATATGATATTTATATTGAAACGTCGATATACCACGGCTCCTGCGGCTAGTAGGACGGCGTATTTGGGAAGTCGATGCAGAGCTACTCTCCGCCGACCCCCCTTTTCCCACACACCTACATAAATATTTCACGCCACGATCCGGAAAGTATTATCTGGGAAGATGGAGAAAACCCCTCATTATGCGCTCCAGACCATCCTTGTTGCGGGATGATAGTAGTTATCGAGAAGAGCTTGGCAGATAGGACACACTATCCAGTCAGTCAGACCTATCACACACGCTCTCTCTTCCGAACCCCGGCTGGCTGTGCTGTTTGGGGACTGTTCCGATATTAGAAGGGTATGTGACATTGACATGGGTAATAAACTCATCGCTACGATACGACAAGGGCACGGTTACTTATCACGGAAAGTTCAGAAGAAGAAGAGTCCCCAGTGCCGTGGCGGAGTGTTGTCCTAGAAATGGCCACCAATTAATAGTATACACGATTCTATAAGGCCGAAAACATCTCGGATTGACCTACTATGTCTGCTTGAGGCAGGTAATAGCCTATGCTTGCTTCCTGCGAGAAAGGGGACTAAAGTCTCACAGCGCCCATGGCCCACCTTATTATTCCCTATTCCAGCTTTCCAAGTCTTCCGCGGATCCAGGCTCCGTAACCCGCGAAGAAGCCGACCCGATTCCACGAATCGCAGAAGGGCTGCAAGAGAGACGTACCTCTCCCGCACGTACTGCTGCTCGCCGGCCTCGTCTCGCGCCTCCAGCTCCCAGGCAACTAACTGCATGGGACACCTTGCTCAGACATACCGGACACAAGCACGAAGGTTGCCGGACATCTTCCGCCATCCCCCGTCGTGGCCTGCATGGCATATGCGTAATACACTTAGCGGTCCATTCCAGGGCAGTGCCCAAGCTCGTGTAGCACTGCCCTCGCTCGGCTAGAGAGCCGTAGGTCTCTTTAGTCATCTAACGTTGATGGCTGCTCTTCTTGAAGCGTTGCCGCCTCCACGGCCGGCCCCGAGAGCCCAAGCACGGCGTGATTCTGCCTCCTCTTTCTCGCAGCCGGTTGGGGGCCCTTGGCTTCGCATCTATGACCAATGTAGGCCTTGCAGTGAGAAGCGGGCCACATGTGGCCGTGACCCATCGTGGAATGGCCATCGAGGAGAGGATAGGGTTGTACCGCGAGGTGGAAACCACACCGGCCCGACTACCTCCATACGCCCTACCGCAGCAGAAGTCATCATCTTCGTCTTCGTACATGTCGTGGTCGACTAGTAGGACGATCGAGTATGCGTCAGCCGAAAGCACGCCGATGGTAGCACCGAGAAGGTCTCCCAGGTTCAGCTAGCCCTCGAACAGCCCGTCTAGAGACGGCCTAGTCCAGATACGGGCGCAGCTGGAATCTGTGGCAAGGCCGACGTAATCGGTACTGCTGCTTAGCTTGCCGGACTTCTTCGTCTCTTACGGAACGAGCCGCAACTGTTGTGGGAACACTTTAACGGGTAGGCCGTGGTAAAACTCACTCAAGTACCTAACGATACCCTCTGAAGATGGTGGGGTCAGCTTCTCCTCGCTACGCGGGGGCTTCCCCGACGCCGAGCTGTCTCCCTTCTCCCATGAACCCCACGCCGGGGCAATCCGGGGTACGGCGGCCACAAAGAGAGTTTTGCGCGCCTAGATCAGTTTATTCCGCTATCTTTCGTCGAGCCAAGACCGGAATAACTGAGGCGAGGACCTGGGATCCCAGGCCAGCTCGTCTTTGGGCAGGGCCAACGGACCGGGGAAGGCGTCGCGTAGCTCGACAATATCCTGCGTTAACTGCCCTAGAGCCACGGCAATCTGACCCTTCTTCGCTAACGGGCTGTAACCCGACCTCGTCGTAGCGGCCAGCCTCCTGTTGGGTCCAGTCCGCACGAACCCAGCTTTCTGAGCGTACGCCGACAGCTCTAGTTGCAAAACATCATGCGCACAGGCGTCATGAGGCTTCGGCATGGTTTTCTCTGCTTTGGAAGCTCGTGATGATGTTCAGTTTAATCCAACCCCTGTAAAGAGTTCAACGCAAGCCACAAGAGTGACCGGAGCTGGGCAAACAACCCTGGCTGCTACCCGGTGTGATCTAGAAGCAACATTCAGGAGACAGGGGGCAACCAGGGGTAGGGGGGAAAGCCAACGCACATAGCTACATACACCGGATATAGTGAATAGGTATATGCGTCTATGCACATAAACGCTCCCCCCCCACTTGAGCACCGTCCTCCTTTTCTACCGAAGCTATAACAAGTAATAATACAACTCTCTCTGCTGGCATGGTTGATCACATCAACGGCTTGCCTGCCGTATAGCATGGAAGATGAAAATTTTTGAAAATACAACTATGTGGAAGACCATCACACACCCGCACACCCCCGCATGGAACACCCACGCGTATCGCCCCGTAGACACAGGTAGGTACATAGGGATACATCCTATCCATCCCGGGATAGAATCCCCATCCTCGCCTTCACCCACCCATGCTCTTATTCGTGTCCGTATATTTTCATCCGAGCCTCTCGCAGGACCTCTACGGGCGCGAACCTGCCGCCGAACGTCGACAGGTACCAGCCGTTCTCTAGCGTGAGCTCCGTCTTGTTGTTACACTGCCCTAGGCATCTTCGCAAGATTAGAGGTGTGTGCTCAGGGACAATATAACGTCTCTCCCCCGTCCCCAACCGACAAATCAGAAACACAAGCGAGTATAGCTAGGGGGGCAAGGAAAAGGGGGGGAGGGTTGCCATTATCGTCTTGGCTAAGACCTGTATAGCACAGAAACCGGCAATCGACCTCGGGGTCCGAGTGCCGTATTATTCTCACTCACCTCTTGACTTTATCTTCCAGCGGCGTTTCCCAGCCCATGCTGACCGCGGATGAAGCATGTTCGGCCATGCGTATGACCTAGGCTGCGGTCAGATCTCCTGGTTCCTCGGCAGAGGCAGTCGAGGGGCTCGATCTCCGCCGCCAGTGAGAGCCAGAGGACTACGTCCGGTCTAAGCAAGCAGCTGCTTAACTTACGCAATTGGCTTGGCTCGGTGTCATCTCGACAACATGCATGCCTAGGGAGAGGGGCGATGGCAGTGGGCGGGAGAAGCGCCGACACCTGCGCGACAGGCGTTAGACAAGGAATAAAAATGGCTTTCTATCGGAACCCCCCTCGACGACCTCTTCTTCGGTTTCCATGGGAGCGTGCCCGAGAGAACCTAGGATTATTTACGTACGGAAACGGATCGTGGTCTGCTAGAAGCAGAATTAAATGTAACCCCGAGCCAGCGAGCGAGTCGATGGCGTAACATCGGAAACCATCGTATTCTTCACGGAGAGGGGGAGCCGTCGACACGTAGAATATCAATATTAAATCATCCTTCTGGATTCAGGTGCCGGCTGTCGCGTAGGTATTTATATCCCCAGCTACGGAACGGTGCTGCCGCAGTTCCTTGCGAAGGATTTTTCTTTTCCCGCATCCAACGGGATTTCTAGCCCTGGGCGGCGACGCTGCGAATGGGCACCACCAACGGTGCCAGCCTGCCCCCCACCAAGTTCCGTTTTATTCCCAATAAATTGGTCAATAGGGATGCGATACGGTCCATTCCCGTCCTCGTCCAAGATCATGCCCGCGACGAGCGTTTCGGTCCGCACCCCCCCTGTGGTGTGTCGCACCGGAAATGTGGGAAGGGGGGCCAACGGGAAGACCACAGGGAAAAGAACTCTCTACCCCCGGCACGCATCGCCGTGTGCATAGAATCTGCCTGTAGGCACGATGCTATATCAAAAAGATTCTATCACATATGGATTCCGACCTTTGAAACGGCGACAGAACAGATTCGAGCGCAGCCAGGAGCGGGAAAAAATATTCAATATTATTCCAACGCATATCTACATATATTACAGATACCTGTCACATGTAGAATTCAGGTATGATATGCGTGTATACAGATATATCAATAGCTCTCTATCGATCCGTGTTTTCCACCCTGTTTACCTCATATGGCTGCTTCACTTACACCGCACAGGGAGGAATACGGTGATTATGTAACCGCGATGCATTGTTTAATTCTCAGTAGGTGGTAGATATGTAGGCGGCCAACTGACATCCAGGCCACCACCAGCTGGGGGCTGGTGCAACCCGCGCCGGCGCCGGCCGTCGAGTCCGCGGCAGCTGGCAGGTCACGACCTCAAGTCAAACGAATTCCCGCAGTGGAATCCGTCCGATGACACCATCGATTCCTCTGGCATAACGTGTTAGCAGATCGACTCGCAGCCCGCGAAAGCCCGAGGAGAGAAATAACACCGCTCGCAACTCCGTCTCCCACAATCAACGCTCGAGTCCTCCGGCCGATCGCAGCCCGGCCCGTGCGTGCGGCAAATGGGGTCCGACGGCGCGGACGACGGCGCGGCCGTCCGAGCCCACATCGAGCAGCTGGTGGCGGCGCAGCGGGAGAAGTCGCCGCTGTACGGGTTCCTGCTGGCGGGGGTGCGCGTCGCGGCGGCGTCGCGGGGGGCGGTGACGGCGCGGCTGGCGCTGACGCGCAACCACATGAACTCGGCGGGCGGGCTCCACGGCGCGGCGTCGGCCGCGCTCGTCGACTGGGCCGGGGGCATGGCGATCGCCAGCTGGGACCTGCGCAGCCGCACGGGCGTCTCCGTCGACATCCACGTCACCTACCTGTCCTCCGCCGCCGAGGGCGACGAGATCGAGATCGCCGCCACCGCCGACCGCGTCGGCGGCGCCCTCGCCTTCACCCGCGTCGTCATCGCCAAGGTCGTCGACGGCCTGCCCGGCCCCGTCATCGCGAACGGCTCCCACACGAAGTACGCCAAGCAGCGGTAGCCGCCGGCATGGTCTCCGGCACCGCACCCCCGCTCTCTCTTTCTCTCTCAGCAGGATGGTGTGATGGTGATGTGACGGGACAGTTTCCGGTTGCGAGATATTTGCCTCGCTTTCCGGGTAGACGGCAGGAAGGGGCCATTTTTTCGGCAGAAGAGTTGTGACGGTGGAATGCGCGCATTGTTCGTGGGTCCCTGGCGGGAGTCTATAGACCATGTTCTTAGAGTATAAAGATTGTAACTGTACACGGGGACAATCTCTGAAAATAGGGGCCATCCTGGCACAAAAACGTGTCACATTACGGGGCCCGGCTCTTCTATAGTGGTAAATTGAGCCTCGCCCGCATGGTAAGGGACAACCTGCATAGCCGGAATCTAGAACGTGCTGTCGCTACCGAGTTCTGAGCACACCGTTCACAGCAGCACCCTAGCCAGTTCCAAATTATCTTTCTCACACCTTGCTACACCGCCGATATATACCCAACTATGGCGAGCCGGACTAAAAACTTTATACAGCGCGCGGCAAAAGGGGCGCTTCTACATACCTACATCGATGGAAAGGCATCGCGGGCGTTCCGGGACCCCGGGGAATTCTCGTCTTCGTAGCGGCATAGCGCAAGGGAGGGGTGGAATTAGACAAGACATATGGCATCTCCTATTTCTTCTGTTGACGCTCTCCCCAGGGGTTAGGGGGGTGCGCCCTTCCTCAGGGTAACTAGAGTCCGTGGTCCGTTGAAACGATCTACGGCAAACTCGAGACATCTACAAGGTCCCACGTAGCGAGAACCGGAGGAGGGTACGCATGAAAACTACTTGGGGGCGCCCGGGCATTTGTATTATCACGTCTCAAACTGGGAGGCGGCGCTGCCGTGGGCCGGAGAGGGCAGGGAGGCCGTGCCCTAGGAAGAAGCTACGCTCGATAGTTGACCGTAGAAGCCGGCGTGGAGAATTGTCTACGCAAAAGAGCGAGATAACTCTGGTGCTACGGGGTAGAGAAGCATCTCGGAGGGATCACGTTATAGTTCTATGTGCGGCGAGGACACAGCGGTGTCGTGGGCGCGCATCTACAGTCTTCCCGGGACGAACTGGCGTGCCAAAGGCATCCGTGTCTCTATATCTCTCGCCACCTCCTCGCCAGAACTCGTCTGCTGACATTGTATCACATACCGAGGACGCGGGAGGCGGGATTCGCGGAGTCTCGCAAAGGCAGTGGCATTCTGGAAGGCCGTCTAGGAGATGTGGCAACGCTGGGAGCATCCGTTCGGCGTAGCTGCCGGCATCGTCTCGGTCGTTGAACGTTCGCCTGCGGTGGTCCCGTCGCCGCTAGTTTCCCGAAACCGAGTTGCGAGGTGGATTACGGGTGCCGGATCGATGTGGGCTTATCGTCGCGCGCCTATCGAGCAGCCGTAAGGTCAGCGCTTCGAAGACAGACAGCGTCGCCGGGCTCTTCGGGCCCGCGTTGTAGCGACGGGATGATGTACAGACGCTTACTGATGTCGAGCCCCCGGGCTGGATCGCGAGAGGCGTTTCTGATGTGTCCGTTGTATCGAGGGACAAAAGGTAAGCGAGCCAGGAGAGCGCCTTCGGTTACGATATCACGATGGCCCAGAGTCTCCTCTGCGAAGGCGATGCAGCATAAGAGCACGAAGCTCGGGGGCGCCGACGAACTATCAGGCGAAACCTCGGGACGCCGCGTTTGCGAGTAAGAGAGAAAGAGAAAGAGAGAGAGATGTCCAGTACAACGGCGGATAGAATGCATAAATGGGGGCCTTACTTGATCGCCGCCAGATTGAAGAAGTACATGCTAAATCGTCGTCTCCCGGGTCCGCACGTAGATCAATAAAGGAACGGTTCGGCATTTCTAGTCTGCTAGATTTAGTCCCCCTCCTCCCCCCCGGGAACTAAGATATACTAAGGTATACAAGATATACACGGCGCTATTCGCTGTAGAACGGAGTTTGGTTCTTGTGCCTCTTCTGAGCTTAGGTCCCTTCGATAAACATGGAACCGTCCCACCGGACCGTAAGCCACATCCCAACGGCTCGCCGAAGCTGGATTCCTTATATGAGCCACGCCGGCATACAACAGCCGCGAAATCTGCCTGCCACTTGGAGTGTCACCCTCGTCCATATCCTAGCGCGCAAAATCTAGGTAGATAGGCTTCTAGAACGATGGGTGCGGAAAAGGGGGCTGGATTGCCCTCGTGAGATTGGTATTCGCCGGGGCCAAGATCTAGAGGGGTCCCCCGACCCCTTGGAGGGGGGCGGGCAGTAGGGAGGGACGCTTCTGGAAGTCTACGAAATCACGGCACAAATTATCCATCGAGGGTTCGTCGGACGAGAGAGGTTGGGCTTTTATTGAACATGGCATTATTTCGCTGCGCGCTGGGTCGGGCTGGCCGAGCGCGAGGACGCCAATGTAGGACATCTAGAACTTCCGACGTCTCGCTGGCGCTGCAGCATTGGCCCTCAGCGCAGGCACAGCCAGTGTATACAGTCGGGGTCCGCCTCACCAATCCCTCACGTCCTAGCAGCCCGGGCCACAGAGGAAACACGCCTCTCGCAGCGTGCGAGCACCGAGATATCGTTCCCTCTGAACATCGCCGACGAGGACGCCGCGGTGGAGAAGCCACGCGTCGACCACGCCCTCCCCCTAACTCCTCCCCCCCTTTTTTTTCCCCCTCCCTCTCCCTCTCCTTCGCTCCCTCGCCCCCTCGCCCGCCCTCCTCCGCACCGGTTGGACGATGAGCGTCGCGAGACAGAGCGTCGAGTTGGGCGGGTGGGGCGAAGGGGTCCCATAGGAATCGGATCGAGCTCGCGCCCGCAGGCGAACCAGCAGCCCGACCCGACCGCTCTAGGCGTTATCAGTTGGGCGGAGATCGAGATTCGCGGGATGGAGCCTGGTGATGGGGGGTTGATAGTCTAGTCGCCAGAGAGATAGAGAGGAGGGACCGAGGGCTCTCCCGTAGGTAGGTAGGTAGTTAGGTAGGCTCTGCACGCTGGCGAGCGACGACGGTGGTACAACGTCCACTGCTTGGCCCCCCCCCTCCTCTTCCCCTCCCTTTTCCCCCTCTCTCCAGGTATGCCGGCCGGGTCTTTGCAAGCCTGAGCGCGCGTGAATCGGTGGTGCCAACTAGGCTAGGCACGTCTCGAAGGACGGCCTGCACTGAGGTACTCATACGATCGATGGAGGGCTAGCTTTGAATCACATTTTATTTGGTGTCTTCCACTTAGCTTACTCGCTGGCGGTATGAGCGTATCCCCCCCCCCCCCCCTTCTCCTCCCTCTCCGCCCGGCCGAGGTCATATGCGCGACCGGCTAATCCAGGACGTGCCGGATGCGACGGGGATGTACGCAGGCACAGTAGCGCTAGACGACGCTGTAGGAAGATCGTTACGAAGAAGTCTGGCCTTGTTGCCGTCCGCCGGGGGGGAGGCACTGAGATGGCGGAAGACGCCGAATTACACGCCGATAATGCTTGCAGTCCGGCTTCGCAAGCATGAAAAGCCTCCACACCCGCATACGCCAGCACGCACGCACACATATACGACAGGTCGTAAGGCAGGCGTCTTGGAGCATGTGAAGGGGGAGCAGACGTGGCCGGCGGCGAGACGCATTGGATCTTACTACTCAGCGATACTTGACAGCAGCTATTACTAACTTATTAGGCACACCCATGTGGCAGAGAGAGAGGTAGCAGCACTCCCCTCCCACCCTGCGTTATGTGTGTTCGTAGGCAGGTCTAGGTAGCTCTTATTCGAGGACTACCGGGTAGGTTGGCCGTCGCGGATTCGCTCTCGGGATCTTCTTTTTGTTCCTCTTCCCCTCTTATTCTTCCCCTTCCCTTTGGCCTTGTCTCCGTTTCACCATTCATCCCGCCGTGCATAAAGGGCCTCGACCGGAACTACCGGCGCATACGCCCGGGACGAACAACGCATGAGCGGGAACGATTTCTGATGGCCTTGGTGATTAGCGATCCTGCATCCCCTTCCACTGATGGCGTGAGGTTCCAAGATTTCCGGCGCGGGAATCGATGGGAAGACTTCCCCAGACTGGATTACACGTAGCTAAGCGGGCTGTCCCCAAGATTTGGGCTCTATTGGGAATTACCGGGCCCTGGGTGGCGTCGCAGCGAAGTCCCACTTGGACGAGGGAAGCTCTCCTAAGCCGCCTCGTATCTCTGCAGTTGAAGCATGCGTGTGTGCGTGTCCCCTTTACATTTTGAACGCTGTGCCTGCTGGCAAGGATACCATCCACACAGTCTTCAATACTGTACATGTAGGTAATGAGAGAAAAGATAGAGAGGGGGAGTCGTGGTCGGGCTTTCTGCACCGCTATCAAAATTTTCTGACAGGATCCCATTTTAGGGGCCACGACGTGCAATGAAGGAGGAGCTGAGGACAGAGAGAGAGCACGAGCGCGAGAGAGAAGGGAGGATGGGTGGGTATGCAACACCCCAGACCTCGCGTCAAAGACGCCCGCCGAATAGGCAGATAGAGGAAGAAGAATAAGACGAGGAGGAGAGGGGAGGAGAAGGGGGGGGTGGGGAGAATATTCCACGCTGAGAAGATGGACGTCGTCGAAGAAGAGACGGAGAAAGAAGCAGCCTAGGTGGATTCGAATGCCGGTGGATTAGGGACGCCCAGTCTGCCATGGTCCGCGAATGGATGTAGGCATTCCGAATAGGGAAAATTCGCTATAGCATTGTATCGTAGGGGACGACAAGACGGGCTGACAGCACCCCGGTTCGTGACCGGTGTAACGGTAAGGTGAAGAGGTGGTGTGTGTGTGTCTCCATGCTAGGGAAAAAGGCATCCCGGCGCTAGCCCAATCGCTGTCGTCGCCAGCCGGACCGCAGCGAATTACGGGAGGAGAAAGGCCCTGCAGCGGCGAGAATTGATGACATGTCTCCAATACATCGCGCGTTGTCGTCGGCGGAGGGGGCAGTCGGTCCAATTCCAAATCCACACGCGGAGTCAGGTAAGCATAGATGGGAAGAACATGA